CGAAGGGATCAAAGCTCCACCCAGTATTGCACTCGTCTCAAGTTAAGATGTTTATAGAGAATGACGCAAGTTTGTTCCCGGATAGGGAACTTCCAGAGCCAGAGCCGATCAGGTACTCAGATGGTGTGGAGGAGTATTATGTTGGGCGCATTCTGGAGAAAAGAACGCGCTACAGGAGACTACAATATAAGGTAAGGTGGTACGGTTATGGTAGGGAACACGATTCTTGGGTGGATGCCACAGAGCTCGAAGATTCCGACCACGTGGAAGCGTTCGAGGCCGGACAACCTCAGGACGACATTACCTCAGATTTCTTGTGACAGGCGACCAACACCCCTCAAGAACAACCATATCCTGGACTCGACTGGACCTCAAGATGCTTCGCAAGAACGAGTCTCTAGTGACAAACCGAGGCGAGAACGTAAGAGGCTTGTAATGCCTCCGAGAGAGCTTCCGCTGCACAACCGAGGGATCGATGGAAGGGTGTCCACGTCTGCCGCATAACCAACTTAGGTTGTATGTGAAGTGCCCGCAGTTGGTCAGGAGGGGGGGGGGGTTTTCTAAGAGGGGGAGGGTGTAAGCCTGGGGCTCACATCATTGATGGGATCATTCTTCTTTCTTCACCTGCTTCCATTGTCTGTATCGATACATATCTTGAATCACCCACAGACGGGTTCTATCATCTCTCAGTCCCCACATCGACACGCCCTTAGTGTTTCCGCCTACCCTAGTAGGCCGGTTTCCACCTTATACTATCTTAGAAGAGCCTGATGTAACCATTTCCCAGAAAAGAGATAATCCATTTGTTGTCAGCTATAATCCTACTATATATGGGGGTATGCAATGCAATACTAATGGCAGGTTTATTGGCTCAGGCCTTATTGCTCTAGTCATGGTGACATACTGCACTTTATATACTGTCAAACCCTCTGTAGATTCAGCAACTATTATGAGTGCATTAGCTGCTGCAACCAAATCACTTCTTGATACAGAATCAGCCACATCTGTATCTAAAGAAGAGGAACAATGTCGCAAACTATTATTAAAGATGTAAGGGCAACCCTGGAGGCCTGAGATCAAGGTCCTAGCAGGAGAGGATCCAAAGCGTGAACATTGGTAAGCGAATACAAATGAAGCTGACCTAGCAGGGGAGGATCCAAAGAGAAGAAACTCTAAGGGTCCGCCTGCTAGGGAGCTGACTATATACTGCTTGTCCATAGCTGCCGCTGTGGGGCACAGAAGGCTTGGGCGGCGTCGCAGGCGAGGTCCCAGGGTGACTGTCGGGAGGGTGTTAATCAACGGATCAGTGATTGTGCGGGCGAGATGGAGGGCCGGACCGGAGTCGGAACCGGAATCGGACCGGAATCGGACGCGTCTCCGGGCCGAAAGGGAGGTTCCCCTGACAAAAGACTTTAAACCAGATTAATGCACGTTCAGAAATGTCAGGTCAAGCTGTAGCTGCTGCATTACTTGGTATTGGGAACCATGTTACAAATGAGCATTTTGCAGTTTACTATTGGATCAAGTTACTATGCTGGCTTTCTCCTCATGACTTTCCTCTACATTTTCAAGATAATTCACTGGAAGAACTTGAAAATGAAGAAGATATTCCAGAGTCAACTGAGTATATAAAATCATTTTCATTTATTAATATATGTTAATGAACATAATCTAGGAACATCTTACCTACAATGGATTTATTAGGTTCTGATAATGAGTAAGCAACTATTTGATTTATTGATACTATACTAACACTTTTAGTCCTAATAATGTTATTGATCCAGATGATCTTCTTGAGCTAGGTTTAACTACTGTAATCTTGAATAATCATAAGCTACCACCCCCTAATTCACTAGCTCATGATATTCTTTTTCGGCCTAATAAGCTTGAAAATATATGCATGTGGGACCAATGTAGTTTATATGAGAAGATCCCTATATGGAAACTCAGATCAAACAAAAAATCAACATATACAATGAAGATTTGGATATAGAAGAAGATGATAATAATAATCACGCAGATTTCACTAGTTAGTATCAGCTTACTTGAATTATTTTGGAAAACTAAATATAACTATAGCATCATCTAAATCAAATATTTTCCACTTCACTAGTGGTCATCCTCAGCAAGGTTCACATGTTTTACGGAAACGCCGGATATCTTGTATTCCTGTATTATCAGGAACACCTATTCCTAGAAGTGATCTAGCCTCACATCGCAATTAATATGCTATTGCAATGTTGTCTCTGTTTCAACCTTGGTACCGGTAAGATTTTAATATATATATATGCATTAAATTATTTTTACTTTTAGCTCTCATGGAAATCCGCTCAGAGAAAATGTAGATGCTTTACAGAATATGCTGTCTTCTCTGACATCTGATAAACTTAAGATTATTGGCCATTTTCAGGAACAATGGGAATGTCGACTTGCTGCCAAAAAGTTCACAGGTGAATATAAAGCACACATTAGTAATTTCCTTAGGGCATCAACAATATCATTTGGTGCAGATGGAGCAGATAATGATACTACAGAGCTCTCAAATGATGTTGATTGGTAACTTGGTCAAATTCAAGATGAAGAAGATCTTTTTACTCAGAATCAAGTAGCAGATGATCTTGAATTATTGGATTTTGGTGGCTATCAAGAGACCTGCAGTGATCATGCAAAGGCACATACATCAGCCATTATTGCACTGGCAGATGCACAGGGCTGCTACAATATACCTTAAAATCCAATGAATATTGAGGACTTTCCTTGGCCTCCTGCTGAAAAGTCATTAAATCCAGAACTAGCCTGGAATGAAGCACGTAAGGCAACTAGGAAAATTGCTAAAGATGTTGCTGCTGTACGTACTATCAAGATGAATAAAGGTATATACCTTGATGTATAAACATTTATTAACATTAACCAGAAATTTTGTTAGACATATCTAGTCCTTCTTTCCAGAACTTTGCCCCAAACGGATTTGAAATAGGAAGTGTCAGTTCTCAACTCTCTCCAGAAGTCACTTCTTTCTCTTTGGAACAGCTTTCATTATACAAAAAGATAGAAAAGGTGGTTTCTGAAAATCATGAGCTTGAATTCTGGCAACTTCTTGCTTTGGAAACAATCCAAAAGTTTACTCTCAATCATAAACAGTGTCTTACATTCTTATTGAAAGTGACTTTGAAGATGGATAATATCACTTCTGAACCTTTTCGTTTAATTATGGAGGAGCAGGAAAATCTCACTTGTATGATGCTTTAAGGTTCTATTATAATGGTATCAATTCTCTTGGAGAGCTATTGTTTACTGCACCTACTGGTGTTGCAGCAAACAACTGTGGTGGCTCAACTACCTTTGCAGCCTTCTCTTTACGAACTTCTACTGCTCAACTTATGAAACATAACTCCAAGTCTATGAAGCTACTACAGGAACGTCTCACAGGCTGCAAGACGGTAATTATTAATGAATACTTCTTTTTGGGATGTGATGATTTTGAAAAACTCTCTCATCATCTATGTCTTGCATTAAATATGGATGATGATCCATTTGCTAATCAAGATATTATTTTATCTGGAGACGAATATCAGTTGACTAGTCCACGCCAAGTTCCTTTGTTTTTATCTGAGTATATATCAATCTTTCAATCAAATTCCCAGCTTCAATCTTTGAATTCAGGTGTTCAGAGAAAGGTTACAGCAATTAAAAACTACTGGTCTATCAGAGACTGTGTTATTTTTAATGAAGTTGTTAGGCAAAAGTATCCACCATATGTTGCTTTACTCAATCGGCTTTGCCGTGGAATGTGCACTGTTTCAGGGCCAAATAATGATCTAGACTTTCTTCAACAGTATCAACTAGGTGCCATAAACTCAGTTGTTCCTTATGATTTTTTAAATATTCTGGACTGGTTCATCTCTCCAGATAATGCAGCACCCCTAATTACATATACAAATCATGTGCGGAACACACATAACTGGCTTTCATCTCAGTCTTTTGCTGCTGCCACTGGGCAAGACTTTGGTATTTATTATGCTAAAGATACTGTGGGAAAAGGTGATGACAAGGTTGAGCTTCAGCATTCTAATGCTAATGATGCATGGAACACTCCTATTAAGTCTCATGCAGAAGATTTGAGTGGTCGTCTTCCTCTCATCATTGGCATGCCTGTCTATGTGGTTGAAAATATTGCTGTAGAATTAGGGCTCTCAAATGGAAGTAGAGGCACTTTAGTTGGCTTGAAATTTGAGCAACATAATGGACACCGTTATACTATCACTGCTGAAGTTGAGCTAGCTTCTTATACTTCCCTGGACCCACAAGCCACACATCCACATTGATTAGTCTTAGCAGCTGTTACAAGACCTATTAAGTTTGTCCAGCAAAAATCTGGAAAGACCTATTCTGCAATGCGCCAACAACTACCACTTATACCTGGTTTTGCATTCACAGCTTATAACTCACAGAGTCGATCATTGAATAAAGGCTTAATACATCTGGAAAGTTGTGCCTCTATATCCTCTGCTTATGTGATGCACAGGATACTGCAATACGTGCCAAAAACCTTTTAAGTTGGTATGTGAAGTTGACAGATGATGTAGTCTATGAATGACTTAGATATGGCTTGGTTTATCTAATATATTATTTTTATCTTTTTACTCTGTACATAGTGTTAATAAGTCATCCATCAGTTTGTGCTATGCCGCTACATCGGCATACCTTCAATCATGTCCATTGTGGTGTGTATCCACACACGACTACGAGTCACAGCAGCGAGTCACAGCAGTGACAAGTTACAACACAGCTACATGGCTTGTTTGAGTCCATTGCTAAGCAAAACTACAAAGACAAGCAAACCATTTGAATGCATTGTCGTCTGCTGTGCATCGGGTTTGATTATCTTTTCATGCAAATTTTCAACAAGGAGCCACGTGATAGCGCTATCACGTGGCTAGCACGACAGTCATTAACACGGTCACGTTGGTATTATACGTCATATCATACAAATCTCCAAGTTACTTCTGGTTTCTCTTCAGCAAGCGCTCCACCTCGGGCCCGAGACTGGCAAAGAAATCGCTGGTGGTCTTGACTGGCTTCCAGCCGAGGACCGCCCGTGCGTGGTTGGCGCGGCATCGCGCGTTGGTGCCCAAGACAGCAGAGCCCTAGAAAATAGAAGCTTAGGGGGGAGAGCAGAACTGGACAAATGACGTACCCCGAAGTACTTGTTCAGCTCTTCTTGGGTGTATGAAGTGGGCTCTGGATTGTCGAGCTTGCCGAGGGCGGCCAGCACCTTGCCGTAGGCAACGGACAGCTCGTAGGATGTGTGCTCGCCATTTTCAGCAAAGTAATAGCCGTTGGGTCCATGGTCGAGCTGTGGGTTTGAGGCGATTGCGTCGATCAGAAGACTGAACAAGTCTGTAACTGAAGAACGATTAATTAAAGACTTGGATTTCATCCTAGCCACGCACCTTCATGGAGTTCGACGTTGGGCCACATGTTCTTTCCCTGGCCGACTACACCAATCCTGCCGCGGTCGAGGGCAGTGCGAAGGAGCATCGGCTGGATAATCGAATGGCCATTCTGGATCCCAGACTCTATGATTCGCCCTGTGGGATAACCGTAGATGATGGCGGGAAGGACGATGAAGCTCTTCACATATCCTATCAGCCTTGTCAGTCGAGGTGATTTAGGCAGATAAGTTCCAATTGACCTTCTGTGTCAGCATTCGTTACAGCCAAATCGACGTTGCGATGCATTTGGGTGTCTGCTAGGGAGGCAATTTGGGCAGGGTTGGTGTCATCGTAAATCGTATCGCTCAGGACAAGTCCTTTAGAGTCTTCAGTCAGCACCCCTGTCCCTGACTTGGTTTTTGCTATCAGCAAATGCGTCAAAGGCGAGAAATCGGACTGACGGTGTTGATATAGACCGGCGGGACACCACTCGACTGGAACTTCTTCTTGAGGCCAGCCAAAGTCGCCTTCGCGGCAACAAGATCGTCGCAGTCCGCCTGAAGCAGGTCAGTAAGTCTTCGTTGTCAAGTCTTTGGTCGACACACCGTTGCAATAACCATATCCGTCTTGCTCGCCAGATCCTCCATTAGAGATGCATCGGAGTGCGAGCCAATCACGGTCTTCACGCCAAACGAGCGCAGCGTCTCAGCTTTCTTGGCGTCACGAACAACGGCGGTGAACTCGAATTTGCTGGCATCTGGACGCGACAGAAGCCTGTTCAGCACAGAGCCCCCAATGTAGCCTGATGCCCGTCAGCCTCTGCAGCCTTCGAGAAAGAGCGTGATTACCTGTTGCGCCGGTGAAAAGGACTTTGGTTTGAGCGAGAGACATTATCGTGGAGTTTGTTTGGCCAGAGGGCTTCCGTGTAGATATATGTAGTAAAAACCAGGAGTCGGGAATTACCAAGACACAGAGTCCGACAGGTCGGATACAAGCTAGCCACTCATCCGTTGCTCATCCGTAGAAGCCAAAGAGTGATGTCCGATACCCAGGCGGAAAGTCATGACTAAGCATTATGATGGCTGACTTTCCGAATCCCTGACTTTCCTCTCCTCTCTCCGCTCATCCGATTCCTCGATCGGATCGCACAATGCTGACTTTTGCGCTGAGCAATGTGGCCAATTTGGCCCAGGAGCGCCAGCTACGGACTGCTTAAGAACGAGCTCGAAAGCTGGGCAGTTCCTCACCAACCGCACCACCTCGTCACCAATCCGTCTCTGCCTTTCAACCATCACCGACCACAATGACCGTCTCCAAAGACTCCTCTGCTCCCCTCGTTGCCGTTGTCGGCGCCACTGGTACACAGGGCGGCAGCGTTGTGCTTGCTCTCTCTGAATCCAACAAGCCCTACCGCATCCGCGCCTTCACGCGTGATGTCTCCAAACCGAAAGCGAAGGCGTTGGCCGACAAGGGTGTCGAAGTCGTCTCTGTGTCGATAACGGCCGATAACAAGGACGCGGTCTTCAAGGCCTTCCAGGGGGCGGACTATGTCTTCGTATGTCCTTTTCCAGTCCAATCCATTCGTCTACTTACTGTTGACAGCTTGTCACCAACTGGGCCGAGCACGGAGACCCATCTCGCGTGTGTTTGCTTTTCCTCTTCCTTCTACAGGGGCCTAACTCGTGTACAGGAAACCGTTGAAGGCAAGCTGATGATTGACGCTGCCAAAGCTGCTGGTGTCAAAGGCATCGTCTGGTCTGGCTTGCCCAGCATCGAAGCCATTTCTGGCGGAAAATACAAGCGAGTCGGCCACTTCGAAAGCAAGGCACGTGTCTCGGAGTACGGACGTGCTGCCGGTGTCCCCTTTGTCGATGTCCAGGCTGGTGGCTATGCCAGCAACGTCCGCACTTTCTCTCGTCCCATCAAAACCTCGGACGACACTTGGACCGTCAGCCTGCCCCAATCCGCCTCTACCAAGACCCCGATCATCGACTGCGACAAAGACTATGGCCTCTTCGTGCGCAAAGCTCTTGAGGCACCAGTCTTCCCCGACAAGCAGACCTGGACATCGTTTGGCGACCTCATCAGCAACGAAGACCAAGTGAAGCAACTTGCGGAAGGTGTGTTGCAAACTTTTATTTTTATTTTTTGATCCCGCTGACGGCCTCGCAGTGACTGGCAAGAAAATTGTTTACCAAGAAATCACGCCTGAGGCGTACGGTGCCGGCCTCGCGTCGTTTGGCACACCGCCCCATATCGTCACGGCCATCCAGGAAGTCTTCACCTCCATCAGCGAGTTTGGATGTGCGTCTTTTTTGTCTCTGACGGTGAAGCCTTTTTCTCACGTGTCTTTCAGACTTTGCCAAGGATGCTATTGCCTCGCAGGACGGCCTCGCGCGTAAGCCGAGCACCTGGAAGGAGTATGTGCAGGCTAATGACTGGAGCGAGATTCTGGCTTGAAATTGTAATTTAGTGTAGTTCATAATGACATGATACAAAAGTTGTGATACTCTGAATCTGTAAACACACTAGAAGGCACAATCTCCACGTGCAACATATAGCTCGTTGGCGCCCATACCCCGAGATAGCCAAGCTTCAGCTATTTATATGTGGCTATTCATGGCTTGGCACGAGTTACAGTTTTTGGTCGGATCAAGCCCGGCCCGGTCCGGGTTAAGAGTTGGATGAGCTTTTCGATTAGATTACTCGGAGTTCATCGTCCTCTTCGCCCATACTGACTGAAGATCAACCGACGCTCACCAGTGAAATGTTTGCCATTCAAACTCGGCAAACGGGTGCTGTTTTGAGGATGTCGCCACTTGGCACTGACCATCAGCCGAAGGACCGAGGTATATTTTGGTACCACGTACGCTGTCAGTTTGGATCGCGATAGCGTTGTCTATGGCGGGTAACATAGATTGGCCCGGCTATAAGTAGCCGCGTTTTCGAGATTGGACTCTAGATCTAGCGACCATGTCGAAGTCTTTACTTCGGGATGTGCTCAAACGGAATCAAGAGAAGGGCAAGGCACCCGAGACGCAAACGCTGGTTGACTCAAGCGAGAAGTCAACAACAGGCTCGTTCAATCCCTCTTCCTCGCGGCGAAGCATGAAGAGCCTGTTGCTGCCCAGCTCTTCAGCAAAGAGCATTTCTGGCTCGATCCGCTCGTCTGGCGCGGCCTCGTTACGGTCTATCGCGTCGCTGGCCCAGTCAATGGTCAGCTTCTACAGCATGATAACTGGCGGGGACCGTGTTCCGAAACGGCGAAGGCCGGATTTCTCCAAACTAGGTGTGTTTTGGTCATCGCAATCTTCACGGAAAGCTAACATGACTTAGGTGTACCGGAATGGTATGCCGAAGACCCTCCGCCGGCGCCTTTGATGCCTGGAACTGCTGAACACTCGCCCGTGCCGCCGTTATATGTGAGGGGAATGGCCAATGTCATTCATGAGCGGTTTCCTGGAGACAAGCCATATGTGGGGATTGTGCTCTACAGTCATGCGCCAGCACACAGCAATGCAGCCCTATATCACAACGAAGGCATGTCCAAACTCTTCTCTCGGCAACTTGCATTGATTGGACCCACACAGCGCGGGTGCAAGGCGAAGTAAGGCTCGACATCAGGAAGAAGGACAACATCAAGAGCATCAATGTTTGGGTGCGTGTTCAAGCGGGGGAGCTCGCCGGCATTAACCAATTGTAAAGCTTACTATTGCGGCGGAAAGTGTCCTCGATATATTCACCCCGCCGATGTATGCGTTCACGGCCAACTTGTGGAACCGTGAGATGGGCGATCCTCGGAAAATTGACTCATCAAAAGAAACTCATCCATGGCGAGGACGATTTCCGAAGGGGACATTCGTCTTTCCTTTCGAGTTTCCAGAGCTTCCCAAAGATGTGGTCGTGAAACATCCAACGGACGGCAAACGTAGAAACCTTGCGCGAGTCCCTTTGCCTCGTGAGTCTTATTGTCCATTTTCTGCTTGCACAGTGACCATGCATCGTAGCAACATACTTCATAAGCCAAGTGACGGGCTTTTCGGGGGGTATCAAGTACATCGTCGGCGTCAACATCGAGCGCGACGGATTTAATGGGATCGACGACGAGCTTGACATGCAATTCCAGTATCTTCCGCTCTGCAAACCCCTTCCACGTGTTCCAACTGCCTTTCCGTTCATCCCCACACGCGAGGACTGGCCATTCAGTCGCGAGACGGTTGGTGGATGGATATTGACGCCGTTTGGGGGTAGAGGTCGATTGGGTGAGGAGATGGTAGAGGTTGAGGGCATATTGGGCGTCCAAGATCCACCAGTTTACACCGCCAACGACACGATTCAATTCTCGATTCTTCTGTGGTCCAAGAATCCGCTGGCGCTGGAGGCATTAGGGCAGCCTGCGGCAGTCGAGGTTGCTTTCTTGAAATCAGACATGTTTGCCCTTGACGTCATGACCCCACGCACATCGACGCGCAAGAATCGATATCTTGGTCGATTGGCAGCGGGGCGGGCTTGGAGGACGGATGATGGAAGGCCAGAGGATGATGAACCGATTCCAGAGTTCAAGCTGGTGACGCTTCCCGAGCCAAAGCCTAAAACACTGCCTGAGGGGGGGTCTTATCGAGTTAAGGGTGCATCGTCCTCCAGAATGAAGGAAGTATATGTTGCAGATGAAGAAGACTTGGAAGGGGAGGCCAAAATAGTGGAGAAACAGACTGGTTTGGCCGATGATAGTGAGTCGACGAAGGGCTTGGAGAATCAGGATGCCGAATTGGTGCAGAAACAGAGTGAAGAGCCGGATTTGGCTGATGATGGGGAGTCGACGAAGGAAACTGTGGTTGCAGACGGAGAGAGCGTCACAGAGCGAGCCCCTTCTCCAACCCCGTCATTGGACGACATTGAAGAGGAAACGGAAGACCACTTTTTGCGTATGGATGGCGAGGTCAAAGTCCCGGCTTGCACCCATCCCAACTTCCGATACACCCACATGGGCCGCGAGGTAAGAATTTTGACTTGTTTGTTCAAATTCGTTGACTTGAAGCCGCATTGCAGTATGTGGTCCACTTGATATTTACCCACCCACAATACAACCACATCTCGCCCAATGCAACCGGAATCCTCGCAGGTAGCCGTGACTCTTTCCGGGACGATTTCTCTCTCTGAACAATGGTTAGAATTTCCGGTCTGGTATGTTCTTGACCGTTTCGGGCACCACCCACCAATTCCTGAGCATCGTCGCAACCTCGTCCAAACGCCCGAGGATCTCGCAAAACTGCCGATAGGTGGCACTGCCATCCCTGTCGGTCCGTCTACGGCGCGTGCTCCGAAAGTGATAGGCAAGGCGACGGACGAGAAGCGGCCAACAGGGAAGTATGTCCGGTATTTCGCGTTTTGAGGGTTGTTTATTGGGTATTTATGGACTTGTGTCGGGTTGTACGTATGGATAGGAGACTTTAATTGGATCTAGCTGGACTGAGAAAGCGGACTTGAAGACACACCAAAGGAACGTTTAACGCGTCAAAGACAACAAGTTTGAGCAAAATTCATCCACTCCTTCAGGCTTCAGTGGGAACAGCGTTTCTCCGGTGCAGTTGGTCTAGACCTAGACCACCAATGAACGTTGAAGCCGTCAGAGCCATTCATCTTTGTTGGCCACTACCCTTGGCCAATCCCAAGAGAGAATCCGACGATTCTAGGCCATAAAACGTTCGAGATACTTTTAAGGATAAACGTGGCCAATCGCGGACTGTTGTCGGCAGTGGAAGAAGCAGAGAATGAAGTGGACAGCCATGATGAGATTATGCGTTGATCGATGTAGCACCTTGCTCTCTTTCGTACATCTTCTTAATCGCCTACTGCTTCCTTTAATCCTTCTCCTCTCCCTTGCTTTCTGCCACCACCATGGACTCTTTCGCAGAGCCGTACACCCGCGTTGGCGACAACGTCTCCATTGACGAGGTCCGTCGACAAGTTCTTGCCCTTGAAGCGGACCATCGAGCTGCTGGACTTGAACTGTCTGGACGAGTTCTTCACGTTTGCCACTACCTACCCGTTACCGCCACCCTCAACACCGCTCCTGGTGTTATCAGCCCACCCGCAACTCCCCCACCCAAAACTTCTGACGTTCTGCTCACTCCACCCCAAGACACGAAGGATATACCGAGTAATAGCACCTCTGCTTGGACATTGGGTGTTCGTTATGGCCACGCCGCGATGATTTCTGGCATACGGTCCCTCTCCGCAACCCACGAACAACTTATCATTGGTTGGACTGGGGACATCTTATCAACCGTCCCTGGCGAAAAAGTTGCTGTCGACAAAGTGGACTCGGAGGATCGCGCGGCGCTGGAAGAGGCCTTGAAAACTTATCAGCCAAAGGAGTCTGACCCCGATGATGACCGCAAGACGACGTATGTTCCCGTCTGGCTTGATGATAAGGTTGCACATGGCCACTATGACGGGTACTGCAAACAAAGTGTGTTTCGTTTCTGCAAATCCCCCCATCTCGCCTTTTCATCTTTACATTAGCTTTATGGCCGCTATTCCACTATCTCCTCTGGCAAGACATCGCAAACGAGGACACTTCTCAAGACAAGCACTATAAAGCATATGCAGCAGCAAACGCCGCGTTTGCAGCGCGTATCGCCCAGGTTTACCAACCAGGCGACCTCATCTGGGTCCACGATTACCACCTCCTTCTCGTACCAAAGCTAGTTCGCGAGGTCATACCCGATGCCGTTCTGGGTCTCTTTGTCCACACTCCCTTCCCCAGCAGCGAAGTTTTCCGCTGTCTACCGCGCCGAAAAGAGATTCTCGATGGAATGGTTGGCGCCGACCTCGTCTGCTTCCAGACATACTCCTACTCCCGTCACTTTATTAGCACTTGCATTCGTGTTTGTGGGTACGAAAACACACCCAGAGGAATAGACGTAGAAGGGCACATTACTTCTATCTCACATTGCCCCGTCGGTGTTGACGCGGAGCGTGTGAGTCGTGATTTGCTCCGAACCGGTATCACGCCCAAACTCGAGGCTCTACGCGCTCTTTACGAAGGGAAGAAAATTATCGTTGGACGAGACAAGCTCGATGTCGTCAAAGGTGTTCTGCAAAAGGTCTGTCATGTCCATTATGACGCTCTGCAACACACTAATCTATTTTAGTTGCTTGCGTTCCAAAAATTCCTGCAAACGTACCCCCAGTGGGTCGGCAACGTTGTGTTTATCCAAGTGACTTCACCTGCGCTGACCGATTCTCCCAAACTCGAGCGACAAGTTAGCGAGCTCGTTGCCAACATCAACGGAGAATTCGGCAGTCTAGATTTCATCCCCGTCCACCATTAGTACGTGTTTTTTACTACTTTCTTTTCCACCCAATTCATAGCCTCCAGCCATCAAACGTTGAAGAAGGATGAATTCTACGCGCTACTGAGTGTTGCAGACCTCGCCGTGATTACTCCGCTTCGGGATGGGATGAACACTACCTCGATGGAATTCGTTATCGCTCAAGCGGGCACGAAGAAAAGTCCGGTTGTTCTCAGCGAGTTCATGGGGATCAGCAAGCACATGGAGCAATCGCTCATGGTGAACCCGTGGAATCTCGGGGTAAGTTTTTGGTATTATCTACCAAGTTTTGCACCGAGTAACCTGCTTTTAGGATGTCGCGGCCGCGATCAACGAGGGCCTGCTTATGTCCGAGCCGGAGAAACTCATGCGACACGAGATGCTGTACAAGGTGGTCACGACACATACCTCGCACACATGGGCCGCCCTGCTCGTCAAGATGCTTCTAGGCCAGCTCGACAAGAAAGAAACGGCACGCCGGACGCCATATATACCCAAAGATGTGCTGGAAAGCAAATATCATGCTGCGAAGAAGCGGTTGTTCTTCTTTGACTACGATGTTGGTCTTTTGTTTCTCTCGTTTCTGTAGCTAATTTCCTGGTTTAGGGTACTCTTGCGCCGATTGTCAAAGAACCTAGCATGGCGATTCCAACCGCTGCAACCCTTGAAGCATTGGAGAAACTCTCCTCAGACCCCCGCAACGTCGTCTACATCATCTCTGGTCGCGATGGTGCATTCCTCGAGCAACATCTGGGACATCTGCCGCTTGTCGGCTTCTCTGCCGAACACGGCGGCTTCATCCGTGTGCCCGGCAAGAACCAGCCGTGGGTGAATTTCACCGAAAAGCTGGACATGAGCTGGATGAGTGAGGTCGAGGAGATTTTCCGGTATTACACCGAGCGCACGACAGGAAGCACGACGGAGATCAAGAAGACTTCGATAACGTGGCATTATCGAAACGCCGATCCAGAGTGGGGCCTCTTCCAGTGCCGACAGTGCCAGGATCTGTTAGAGAACAACCTTGCACACAAACGACCGATTGAAGGTGCGTTTACCTTGTCTAGAATCTTCGCCTTCATTGATCATGTTACAGTGTTGGTCGGTAAGAAGAATTTGGAGGTGCGACCAATTGCAGTAAACAAGGCAAGAATCTCTCGTTTGACTTGTTGACACCAAGGCTAACTTGCTGCAGGGCGAGATCGTCAAGCGGCTGTTATACCTCAATCCGGATGCCGAGTTCATCTTCTGTGCTGGAGACGACAAGACTGACGAAGATATGTTCCGCGCGCTCATCCTATTCAACACGGGGTCAACAACTGCCTCGATGGAAGCCCCTGTTTCTGTCACACTCATCGACCAACCCAACGCACCGCCTGTTGACCTGACCATCAAGCCCGACAGTGTATTCACGACGGCGGTGGGCCACAGCAGCAAGCGGACGTTGGCGAGCTGGCACGTGACGGCGCCTCAGGAGATCGTTGACCATATGCTTGCTTTGGTCAATGCAGAAGCAACGACACCCACTGCGACGGCACAAAGCAACCTCTAAGCTATCTGTTAATTTTTAATAGACACGAGAACAGATAATACCACATAGATTGCTTTTTCCTATCGCCGTATTCTTGTATGTATAGTATTTGTACCATAGGAAAAACAACGGTTGTCACCAAACACGTGAACTGTGACACTCGTGTCTGTAAAACTTCGCTCCATCACCACCATGTCTACTGAAAGTATTCACCCCATATTCACCTTGAAGCGCAAGGTACGCAGCATTGAGAACCCATGCTTACCACTGAGAAATACCTGTTTACAGAGGACCAACAACGAAAACGGTTCAGACGATTTTGTACCCGAGCCCGACATGGCTGCGCCCACAACCAAGACAGCCAAAACTACGAAAAAACCACGCGCGTCGGCGGCTGCAATGGCGGCAGGGACCTGCTCTCTCACCAAGAAGGAGTTCGGTGACAGGATCAAGGCGGCGTTGCGTATAGAAAAGTACGACGTGCAGCGAATGCGGATTGACGTGAGTACATATCGCGTCTAAAAGTGGAAAACGGGAGACTGGACCGCCTTTTCTAATAGCTAACCATGGACGTCGCGTTTTTCCGCTCGTTTTTTGGAGGGCACGCGAGGATCACGCCAGCAGGTGACAGTAAGCCGGTTACCAGCTGCATATACTCATTTGGGACCACACAGACTACTCGAAGGACTCCCCGGTCATCGTCGCAGAACTAAACAACTCCCAAGCCGGAGATGTGTTTGGGGTTAGCAAAGTCAAGAATGGGAACCGCATGGTGACGCTGCACCTACAGAGCATGGTGGTGGTATTCTATCCAGCAACGGGAAAAGCCAATGCGTGGTTGACTGTGTGAGTCACTAGCGCGTTTGTTGAGTCGCACGTTAGGTAGCGGCGAAACATTTTAATTGGACATGCGGAGAATATAGAGATAGTAGTGGAATGCCTCTCCAAGCTCTTTGACCTCCAACTTGGTGTTGGTTCCTGGGCGAGTGAGGTATCGACGGCGAAAATGAGGCTGGCCGAAAGTGAGGTAGATGAACACGCCAGAAGGCTTTTTCAGGCAGCGTATCGTTTCGTCGACTTCAGCCGTACAGTCATCCACAACTTGCTGTGGGGGATCCTTAGAGTGCATGTCAGGTCAGGCCAGACAGGTCACGAGATAGAGGCACCCAAACATCGCCTTTGGCGGTCATCATGGCGTCCATTGTACCCTTGTCTATAGCAACATCGAAAGACGCATCTGGGAACTTGAGATCGCGAACATCCATTTCAAGCCCTGCAGAAAGCATCAGGCTTGGTTGAACTAAAGCCCCAAAAAACACGCACACTCTAACTCTGGCCTCTTTTCCGCGTGACGAGCGCGCATTTGCTCTACCACCACGCCCGAGTACTGTTCTGGTCATCAACCGCGCGTTGAATGCTGCCACTATGGCTTACATCCACGTTGACGATGTTCTTATACCCATCGTCATACATCTAAGGCCGGATTAGGACATGTTTGGACAAGGCATACTAACACATACATCTTGCGATAACGTCGAGTTACCGCATCCAAGCATGAGTATTCTGGCGTCTTTATTGGGTATGAGGTCCCGAATCAAAGGCGCAAGGTCTGCATAGGACTTGAACCAATCGAATGCCGCATCGTTTGCAGATTCCCTGATTTCGATGAGAACTGATTTATATCGAGAGAGGGTGTGAGTACTGGGCGTAGCGCTCGTCCCTGGCTGCTTTCAGATAAGCTTCACTGAGTACTAAAGTCGTGCCAGTAGGACTTGTGGCCGTATTGGTCGTTGGATGACGGTAGTGGCATGGTTTGAAGCAAGTTTAGATTGAGTGACTGCAGCCAAGTCACGCCGGACCGTGACGATGAGAATGCGCTTGACTAGAAGCCTTGATCATGAAGAGCCCAAGACCGACCTCTTTCTGGTCGCTGTTGAGCAACTCTTCAACGATTCCATCGCATTACTGGTTTGTAACCGACTTCAAGCTGTCCACCCGCCACTTGCTCAATGATTTATGCGAGCAGCTTCCATCAGCCCTATCTTCGCCAATCGACGGATCGTGATGCTCGTTACTCCGGAAGTTCAAACGAAAGCTCCTATAAACTCAACAGAAATCCTGCGACAAGCTGAGGCAAAACAACTTCAGCGGCTAATACTAGGGCCACAGAATGCTTGCAGCTCCGACACCATGCATTCTCCCCTCCGGCAGGCACCGATCGATCTTCATAACCGTAAAAGCCGAGGCAAAAGCCTCCGTCGAAGGTTTGCTCACCAAATCTTCTTTTTTTCCCATGTGGCTTGTTTTAGTCTAACAGCGGCTAATCGAACCCTCTGAGCCTGTTTCTTCTGTACCCTCAAGTCGCAGTTGCGCTCGACGCTGCCTCGTCCTTGACAGACCAGGAGCGTGAGTATTGTTCCAGTTCTTGTTTGTTTCGTTTGCCCCCCTAAAGAGTTCTAGGCTCTAGCTCTCTCTGTCTACAACGAACCGTCATCATCGACGGCGTTGACCACCATGGGCCCCGCCCGCCTTCCACTCGTTTTCTCCCTACTCTCCTTATTACTCGGCCAAATTACTCTGTTGCTGGCGGCACCCGTTCCGGCTCCCGACCTGGTGCTTACTTTCGGTGGCTTCGCTATGACCATCCCTGGTCCAGGCGGTATAGGGCCCGGCTCCGGCTTTGGCAACCCGGGCAATCCAATTGGTGGTGTCCCCCAAGGTCCCGGAAATCCGTTTGGGCGTCCAACAACCACAACAACTACCACGACCGAGCAACACCGAATAACCACAACTGCTCCTGCCCCCCCACCACAAACCCATACTACTACGTGTGTCATTCAACTTGTTTTCTTTCTTTCTTGCGCGATATTAACTCTGTACGCAGACATGAAGAGACTACAACCACCACTACCACCAAGACCTCGGCTCCCAAAACCGTTGTTTCGATCCAGGGCGTTACACAAACTCCTGCTGACTGGTCTCCAAGCACAGTGTCTTCAGTTGGGATTATGTCAATAATGTCGATTGATCCCGCGGCCAGTGGTATTTCGAGCTCAAATCCCGTCTCATCGACCTCATCATCCTCTGGTCTGATTGCGAAGATCGTCGTGCCAATCCTCATCTTATTGCTCCTTTGGGCGGTGGCCGTCGTTTACTTCTACCGCCGGCGCAAAGGTGCCGCTACCAGAGGCGATGCATCCCATGTTGCCTCGCGGAGTCCAAACAACGGGGCCTGGAGCCGTCTTGCGATGTCCTCGCGAGGAGACCTTGCCAGCATTCCACACATGCATTCGGCGACTGTCTCAAGGTCAAATACGCCACGGTCACCATCTCCCCCTCCTCCCCCTCCGCCCCCAAAAACTCCCCCACCCGTTCCAACCCAAGCTACTATGGCTGTTCCTTCATCATCTCTTGCGAGGAGCCACACTGTCTCAACCGCCCACGGGGGCGGTGATGGCGCTTCTGTCTTTGCCGACTCGCCGTTTGAATCAGAATCTCCTCTCCACTGGCAAGACGAGCCAGCGCTCGCTGATTCGCGGCCCACCTCGCTTGACGGAGCACCGCCACCGCCCCGCTTCTATCCCGACTCCCCTCTGCCTGCGCTCAGCTCGCGGAGGCTGTCGTCCATGTATGACCCGGACACTCTCCTCGCCTACGACCGCGACTCGCGGCTCCTCTGATCTTCCATGCTCTCGTACATACTTACCACATCTGGATCTCATGCCGCCTTATTTTTTCCTCTATTCCACCGGCATCCATATATAGACTTTTACTCAAGTACACATCCAAGGTTTCCTGTTGTCTCTGGGAGTGTTTGCATTACCTGTTTCTCTGTCTGTCTTTACGCATCGCACTTGACGTTGGTGTACTTCATTTAACTGGAAACTTTCCAAAAGTGGATTTCATGATGACATGTCACGTGTCGTCGCATCGGTTGAAACCATCTTTTGACGCAACGAAAAGCTTTCACTGCTTGCGGCCTGCTAACAAGTCATGAACTGATCAAAAGACAACGAGCCTCGATCTGACAGCCGCTCATCTGCCAACGTGTTATCTCCCTTGCTGGTGTTCTAACTCTGGATGGCCGCTACAGCATATAGCATGTCCTTGTCGCTGATCTTGTCGACACCTTCCCTTCCCTCCCTTCCATCTAATGCTCCATCCTCCACACCGGACCTCCTCTCTCCCTGCACCGACCCCGATCTATGCTGCCAACAACTCCTTATTGAGCCTGAAGATGCGTGACGGCGAGCTGCCTGCGCTGCCAGCCGAACTGGAATCTCGCATACCAGCAGGTACGCCAGCTTCATATTTCTGGCTCGTTGATGACCAATTTGCGTAGCCCATAATATTCCGCATTCGCGACTGCAGCCTCTTCGGCATCTGCGACACGCCTCGCTCAGCTCGCCCTCTGTCGCCCGCATTTCCCTGGGCCATGCCCGCTATGGCGCAACATACGACAGCGACGACGAGTCAGATGGCGACTACTCTTCGTCACAGGAGGATTTGTTGGTGCCGAAACACTCCCCCCGGGCCCCTGCGGAAGGGTATCTTTCCCTGGGGAACAAAGTTTCTCCACCAGTGTGGGTTGCCATCCCCTGTTTCCCAAGCCTCAACATCAACCTGATGGCGAGGCTGCAGGCCACCGCGGGCACAACACGGGGCCTCAGCACCGACTCCAGACTGCGGTCAACGCCGTTCATGCGGTCGGACGGCGACGATCCAACAGCGGGAGTGCTCGTGACTGTTCATCGTCATCAGGTTGTTTCGGAACCGTGGGAACATGCATCCAGCGCGAAGACCCTTGGTGCTGTGCCGCTCCGCGATAAGCCGCTTCCCATCCCAGTCGATGTCCTTGTTGATGTCGAGTACCCCGACAAATCGGAGGCCCGGGCCGAGGCCGACAAGGATGGTGTTCAAGTTCTCCAACTCGAACCCGTACCGCTTTCACCCTCGGAGCATCCTCACGTTGCCCACGTGAAACGGGCCGGCAAACGCAGGAAGCACTATACGACCCCGACCCCAACGCGCTCTCAGCCATGAGACAATGGCTGCCACACATTCGTTTGAAGACACTCATTTTTCGTCTCCACCTTCCTTTTGACTGTCGCTCTTTTGAATTATTATGTACCTCACTGGTCCAATGGCACTAACCATAAATCCAGTTCAGCTCGAAGTATGCCTCTGTGAACGCTGCAGGGTTATTATCCACGAAATCTATCATGAGAATGAATTAGTCGGTATGCAGTAAGTTGGGGTATGTGACGGACCAACTGCAAGTGGAGGGACAGTTTGAGGATGCGTATACTTCAGACTGGCCAGCCCAGTCCCCGCCTACAGAAGCCAGCTGAGTCAAGTTCAAGAACCCAAAAGAGATGATCGGTCACAGAAAGTAACTAATGTTGAAACTTGAGGAGCCCAAATTTAGGACAGGTCGTGGCAGGGAAGAAGGCAGTTGGGACTCCTTGAACGCATTAGCTGCCAAGAGAGAAATGGCACGAAAATTACATTACTCCCCTCGTTATTTGCTTATCGGAAACCAACCTGACAAAGTTGCGTCCTGTAAAAGAAAGGTGATTTAACCTCAAGCCAAGGGGTTTCCGAAAGAGTGCGCACCAGGCCCGCTGGGAGCCAACACCATCTCCGAATCCGCCCGAAGAACGAATGTGTTGAAACCCGAGCTACTGTCACGGTGGGTGTAAACGAGGTTCTGAAGCCAGCGCTGTTGCTTGATCGGTGTAGTTCCTTGTGAGATGCGAGCATCAGCGTTGTTGAATGGAATTGGTCAGGCTCGAAGAGGGCGCACACGCGACCGTGTGTCGGATCCGTAATGTCCTCGAAAGAAAATGCAGAAAGGAAGTCCGTCAAGTTATACGCTGTCGCAGAGGCCGGAAGGGGTCTCTGCGGATATAGAAGTGTGAGCAGGAGAGCGCGCAAGACATGAAGGAGCATTCTCGTTCTCAAATTCGGTCCGAGCGGCCAACGATGGTGTTCTTATGCTGGGCTCGAATGATACAGATCCAGTGTCGGCTCCGCATTACGGGCGAGCGTGCAGGCATAGGGTGAGCAGTCGAAATTTTTGGAGGAAACAGCAAGCTTGGATAACTTCAACGCGCGCACGGTGAATGGCCAACTGGCCAGAGTGGGTGTCAATGAGCATGAACACCGTCTTGAACGAGCACTACTGTGCTACGACAGAGCGCATTCAGAGCAGTTGGGGGAGTTTAAACGTCAACGTTCAAGCAAGAAAGTGAGAAATGATTAGGCTCGGTTTCAATGCCAGCACCCAACGGCGGACTACGGCGAATGAAAAGAGCAAGCACGAGTCACAAAAACGCGTGGGGTCACGCTTCGTGACACGAACACGCATCATGATTGTTGACTCGGAGGACCGCTGTCAGTGCTTGGTTTTGAGATCGCTTTGACTCGGTGAGTACTTATAACCTCTCATTGTTGCTCTTCTGTCCTCGCAACTATCCTCATGTCCGCTTCAGCTCGTCGTTCGCAGCCGTCGGAGCACCGGGAATCCAGTCCGGACGAGCTCGACATTATTCCACGGGAATCGACGACTAGCCGTGTAAACACTCCACCACCAGCCACTGAGAGCGAAGATCGAATAACCTCTTTCACCAATACCCCTCGATCCTTGAAGCCTGTCCAGTATCATACTCAGCAAATCAAGCAAGACGCAAACAACATGGGTCTTTGGGACAGCATGACGAAGTCGAGACTGCAGCGAGTTGTATCCCCAGAAGTCTTCTTCCAGGACTATTTGCCACCGACGCCCGCCGAAAACTTGAAGCCGAAAACTATCCAAAGTATAGTGAAGAAGGCAGCGCCGGCTCTTGCACAAGCCAACACAACCCTCCAACCATATATCCAGCGTTATAAGAATAGAGAGGGTCGCGACGAGAACGTCATGTCCGAACCATTCGTATGTGTCATCATGCTTATATTCAAGTGCTGCTAACGACATTTCTTCAGATTACCTATGGAAATGTCGTTCTGGCTGCGAGTGGCGCAGGAGCCTATCTCAAAGACACGCATCGTGCCAAACTTCCCACACTCAAACCAGACCCTCCCAACCACACCAGTCCTGATTTTCTGAGCGGATTGATCGGCACGGAAAACAAAAAGCTGAGCTGGTATATCACTGATTTAACTGGCGAACTTAAATGGGAAACCGATATCATGACCGACGAGGGAGCACCGTTAACGAGCGAAGCAGCAAAGAACGCCCGTGCTCAGCTATGCAAGAGTGCGCGAAGCCTCCTTATGGCCTTAGGATGATGCCACGTCTACGTCCTCACCGTGTTTGCCATTGATCAAGCCCGTATCTTCCGTTTCGACCGCTCTGGCTTCATAGCCACCACGAAATTCAATTGGCTCGAGCATGACAGCGACATCTTTCCTCGCTTCTTCTTCCGCGTCAACAATCCCTCTACCTCATTGCGGATGGATGGCCTTGATGATACCATCACTTCCCCCGAGGACAAGACAATTGGCAAACTGTGGAAGGTCCTTTCAAGCCATCCCTACTACTCCAAGACACTCGACAAAAAAACTGTGAAAAACCATTGTCTACGCATTGTTGCCGCTCGACGGGCGGCCCACTGTCGTATGAGCAGGAGCTCGTGCATTGTTTAACAGTGGGTGAGATTCTGTCCGTCTCAAACGGCTTATTTGGGCGTGCGACACGAGTCTACCGCGTTGTAATTGAAGAAGACTTGGACAAAGACGGTCCTCCCGCGGTTTACGTGCTCAAAGACGTTTGGCGCCAAGCATGCCGGCGCCCTGAGGCTGACTTCTACGACCTCATCGAGTATCACTGCGAGACCGCGCAGCCCAAAATTGACATGGACGCCATTGGGATGGCTCGCTGTCGCAGTAGCATCGATCTTTCTGACGCGACATCTCCGTTGTTCGACCAGACTTGGGACCCTAACCTGCACAAAACCCGCTTCGCTTTCGACAACGCCAGACAGCGCCTTCATACTCGCACGCTCCTCACACCCGTTGGCTCGTCAATCGAAAACTTCCCGTCGACGAAACGGGTCGTAGAAGCGCTGTTGAATGTTTCAATACGTTCGTCATTCTCCTTCTGCTGTTTGATTTCTTGCTAACCCGTTGGTAGACCTCGAAATTGCCTACGACGCGGGAATCATCCACCGGGACGTTAGCGTTGGCAACATTCTTTTCGTCGAAGACACGTCCACCAAATCATCCGTTGCCGGCTTTCTGGTGGACTGGGACTATGCAGAGCTGACCCAAGACGGCATCAAGCGATTTAACGAAGTGTTCGTTACGCCTGGCTCAAACCGCCTCAAAGCCAGTTGGGAGGAGATAAAAGAAACCCTAAAGGAGATGACGGTAATTCTTGTTTTGTTTTCCTTGATCTAATTTGCTAAATGAAGCCTAGGGAACGTTTGCGTTCATGGCCATCGCGATCCTGGAGGAGCGTGGCGAGCGACACGACACTGTTCATGATCTCGAATCCGTCTACTGGGTTTTGATTTGGCTCATCTTACGTCATACCAAACACAGTCATCCCCACGGAGCCAATGCTTGTCATAACCTCTATGACGCGCCGGAGTCAAGCGGCAAGTTGCAGTGGCTGAACTCGGGCCCTTCAACAGCTCCACTGCCAGACAAAGAAACGCCCCTCCACAAGCTCCTCCTCGAAATGGCCCGGATGGTCTACCTTGGCGCTGTCAGGTTTGAGGACCTCAGGCAGTCTATATTGCATGAAAAATGGTGCGCCATGCTGCGGGATGCTCTGGGAAAGAGCGGGTGGCCTGTCGATGACGCCGCCATTCCATACCAACTCGTTTCTGCCAACCAGCCTCATCTGAATGGAGAATCGGCCCGGCAGTCCCAAGCCCGCGAGCGCAAATCGCTTCAGCAGCAACAACTTGAAGCTCCTGTTACCGGCCCCTTGAAGCGCGGTTCGGACAAGATCACGGGCAATAACGAATCGCAGGCCCGTAAAAAGCGTCGGACGACCCCGGATCCACCTTCTTCTCGTCCGGCAACCTTCGAGGGTAGTCCTTAATTTATTCCTACGCTGCTTTTGTCCATGTAGTAGTACTTCAAGTTGTTCCTTAGACTCGCATTGTTGGGAGACATTAGCCAAGACGTATAGTAGATGAACAGCGTACAAGTCGAACTTGAATGTAAATTGTTGAGGCCATTAGATCAGCATCAACATTTCCTGCTTCCCACTCACTCTCCGTCGGAGTCTCTTGGTCAAGGCGAATCTCTCGGAGAACCTCCGGACAAGTCTGACCGAGGACGAAATGCTGAGTTATCGTGGCTGCGTATTTCCATTAAGACCAACGCAGGCGGCAGGACTAAAATGCCAAATAACGACTGGCTCGAGTCTAAGAAATGATGTGGATGATGCTTACGTGCATATGGTTGGTCATCGAAATGTTCGTCCACAACCACAACCTCAAACCACAGTATAATGCTTCCTAAAAACTGTACAACCCCGATTCTCGCCAGCTCCATGCATTGGCCACTTTAGCGCTTGGATAGCTCTTCAGCGCGCTCAATTTAAATCACCGACAATCGTTTCCGACTAGTGGACATCGACACACCACCAACTTCAAGTTGCATTAATATTATTGTCTTCATTGAAACTCGCCATAGTGGAGCAAATTGGCTTGAACAAAATAACGTCCACTGTAAACTTAAGTACTCGAAGACCATGAAGCGGCAAGCCTTGAATAAGCAGCATTATCTACGATTATAAATTGCCCCAAGAGGCCTTCTCACGATCTCTACAGCTTCGTTACTTTATGTGCCACATCAGCGCTTTCCTTCAGCCCAACATACTCCATCACATTGACCTTGTACTGCCCTTGCCTCTCGCCCGGCACCCGCGCACAAATCCGCGCCGAAAACGAGCAAAAATCGATATTCACCTCGTTGACGAGCAAATTTGGCGTCTCGAGCGTCCCCAACGTGTACCGCGGCAACACTGACTTGTCTTTTCCCTCCGCCACAGCCAAGTCAATATCTGCAAGACAAACATGCAGTTTGGACCCCTCCACAACGTAGCTCTGGACACACGGCCGGCCCTCGCTGATCCGACAGCCCAGCCATTCCAGATGCAGAGTGTGCGAATGGGCGAACCGCGCAGGGATTGCGCTCTCGCCTAGCGCTCGCAACTTGAGTGTCTGGTCTTTGCCTCGCTCGAGTACATAATGGGACAGCAACACTTTGCCATTGTCGTGTTCGTTCATGACATCGAAGAAGAGCGGGCTCGTCTCTCTCCCTTGGAAAACGAGTGTTATTCCGCTGACACATGTGTTGAGCTGTTCGTCGGGACGAGCGATGCGGTGAAGCTGAAATGTGCTCGTCACAGGTAGGTTCACGAAAGGTGCCGTGTCGCTGTCCTTTCGCGGCTTGAGCGAGGGCATGGGTGAAAGGTACACTTCAGCCGAGTCCGCGCGAATGGTGACGATGTGGTTATCGCAGACATATATGGCCTGGAAAATGAAATTGAGACGCTTGGCGGAGGGGATTGACGAATGCTCACATCTTCCAGGTGGGTATGGGGCTGCTCCCAGCAAACCCACGTGTCTTTGACGATGTTCCAGAGAAGGACCCTCGAGTTGGTCGCAACCGCAATATGTCGGTTGGTACTGCCTAGAAAGATTGGGACATCGTCGAATATGGGCAGCACGAGGTCTTCACAAAATGGCTCAAGTTTGGGTGGACAAGCAGTGGGCCGGAAGCGGAATACATGCAAGCGAAATGCACTATGATGGGTAAGGTAAGCAGAGCGTAGATCGCGTTTTAAACACGTACAAGTGGTCAAGGACACTCGTGACCACCACCAGAATTTCATCTTGGGCCACGGGAGATGCTCGTGTGCGGACACTCCTTATGCGTGTGATGGCGGGAATTTCGTAAGACGCGATTGGACCAACCACAGGGGTACCTCCCTGAGTTCCCGCGTCCCAAACTCGCACCAAATTCTGGTGGCTCGACAAAACAAACCGACCACCAGGGACAAAGCGAAGATTGTCAAACTCTTCGCGGGGCTCGAGGGGGTTTTGTAACACCCGGGTCGCCAGTGGAGCGATCTCGCTGTTGTCCGCTGGAGACAGCGCAAAAACGCGTCGCATGTGGGCATTAAATCGCGTGCAACCAGTGGCAGCAGACTTGAGTTCGCCATTCGACATTTCTGCAACGGGAAACGACGATCCATAGACATTGTGTTGCTTGCAATAGGAGCGAAGCGCGTTTATCCAAACACTACGTTCATTGGTAACCGCGCGAAGAAATCTGCAGACCTAGAGTTGGCGGGTAAGAAAGTTATCGTTTGTCGAGCAAGAACTGACTCTTCGTAGAGACAATAGATCAGATGCTGGGAGGAAGGAAAGGACATGGATAAGGACATCGACGGGGAGTTCTTTGAACGCTGAGGGCATCGTGTCGGGACTCATGGGAGTAGGAGGAAAGAGCAAATTACCCCGCGACTGTGACGTGATTGCCGAATCCGGCGAAATTAAACAAAGACTTCAAGACGCGATAGCGAATGAATTCGTCGGTATATTATACGGGCCACGCATTGGGTAACAAGTCCGGTTGAATTCCAGTATAATCGTTCTAGCTCCGCCAGCCAATACCATCCTTATCGCCTGCTCGATGGCTATGACGTCTGTCGTTGCTGGATCATCCAACACGCCGACTGTGTTCCGGCCGACCAATCAGCTACATCATCCACTGAGAGGCGCGGGAAGGAAGTACTCTAGAAGTAAAGAATCAGATTGAAGCGTGGCTTCCGCAAGGGTTCCGTATGTCTCGCATGTGATACTTGGGAGGTATTGGCATCTCAAAGAAGGTGTAACTGGGTCCAAACAAGGATTAGACTGGCATCGAGAACATATCACAAAAATTTGAATTGAGGACAGCGGCATCAAGGCGTCGCTACCTGCACCTAACTAGTCGAACCGCCAGGTCGTCTGTTCACTTCAGAGTTATAACCTAGAAGCGAAGGACAAGATATAGGCGGAGATTCTGCAAAAGCCGATTCAACGGCCGTCTCGAAGGGCAGTAATCAACCTTCCAGAAACAGAATCCCAGAGTAAGTGCATGGATTAGATGTTAAACTGCTCTCGAAGCCCTAATGTCTTCCCCTCTCGACCCTCTACTCGCGTGGACCCTGTGCATTCGGACCTCATCCGATCCCTCATGTTGCAATTGCTCTTCTTCGTCATAGGCAGCAAACAGCGGCGTCCGGACATACCTCTCTTCGTCATGATCGCCGACTCCCATCCGGCCATAAGAACCGCTTAAGCGTTGCGTGTTAGCCTCGACAGCGCTGTCCAATAACGCGATGTTGAGTATATGGACACCAAGGAATGTGATTATGAAGCCGCAAAGAAGGGAAATGGTATTGGCGGGCGAGGTCGTATTGAAGCCTTTGAAGAGGATAAGGGAGGCCACAATCGTTGCGGTACAGAAGCCGACGTAGTAGAGTGGGTTGACTCTGGGCAAGCTCCATGAGCAATGGAAATGTAGAAGGAAACCACGCACAAGTTCACGGAGAATATATCTAATGCGCGATTGGCGTAGTTGAGTTGAATGACGATGCATACCAGCCCAATTAATCCGAATAGGTAGGTGCTTGGGTAGACGAACTGGTTGCTGCCCTCCCATGTAAGCTTCAACGCAATGCCAAATCCTTTGATGAACATGACTGATACCCCGCCCACAATACTTGCTATGCTTATGTACACCAGCGGATTCGTGCGCCCGTACTTGGGCGCAGCAACGAAAAATCATCGCTAATGAGAACACCGTTGCAGTGAAGCAGTAGAAGAGGAATCCAGGAGCAAGTGCGTAGTCGAGAAACTGAGTTATGGTGGTGATGTCCGCGTCGGCTGGAGCATGGAGGACGATGATGGTAGTTCCGAGGATACATAAAGCACAGCCTACGCGACCAAGGTGGCCAAGTTTTTCGTTGAGAATAACAGAGGCAAGGATTGCCCTAACAGATATCAGTGTCGAGACACCAGTAAATAGAAGCAAGACACACCCGATAATGACGCTTAGAGCTCCCAGGGGCGTAACCATTACAGGCGGTGCAAACGTATACGCAGCAAAGTTTGCGGCTGGCAATTCATTAGTCTGATACAAGGCAATATTGAACACACACCTTCACCAACAGCCACTTGTCCCCGGTGAGCTCTGATAGCTCTGGAAGGCGAGAGTACTCACAAGCAAGGGTGCCTCCCCACCATATTGGATTCTGAAGGTATGCAAAGCCATCCGTCGCATTTTTCCCCTGTCCCGCAGCAGCCGTGAGACCCTAATAAGGCGCTGAGCTACGTGGCAGTCGAGCAAAGGGTTGAAATTACCATCTTCGTGATTACACTACTCGTTCCGATGGCAATGGAGGCAGCAACAGCGAGTAGGAGCCCGACATAGCGGTCATTCAAGGCCACCATTTATGTCAGCAAGGAGGACAGTTGGATATCTTGATAGTTTGTACTCTTGCGAGAGCAGAAGGAGCGTTAGATTGGCAAATGAAAGTTGAGGTCGTGTCTTTCGGCTATTGGGAAGATGACATTCTGAGGCAACACGTAGAGTTGTTTGGTGCTGTTGCCTTTCGGCGACTTCGTCCCCCGAAGTTGATCCGTGTCGTCTCGTGACACTAGGGATTCGAACTTCATCTTCTGCCCCCCATCGCAATTTGGGAGAGAGGCTAGAATGGCTGACAGCCTCCCACTCGAACTTCTGGATCGTGTATTTGACCACCTGGGGGTCACAAACTACTACGGTCGGCGATCAATCGCTCGCAGTGGACTTGTCTGCAAGTCTTGGGGTGTCGCCAGTCGATACCAACTCTTTCGAGACGTCACCCTCAACGAGCGTAATATGATCTCGTTCCTATCTGTAACATCCAAGTCCTCTTTCCCCATCCCAGGCGTCATTCGCAGTCTAGAGCTTGCTTCTGGCCGGGAGGACCGGGCGCTGAGCATGAATATACCCCGACTAGGGGCGCTGCCTCTCATAACCACACTGCGTGTAACGATGAATGAGCGGGTGTTTGCCAAAAACCTTCCTCTCCTCAAAGAGCTTTTCCCTGGCGTCCTCAATCTGACGTTGCTCAACAGCGACTTGTCACTCGCCACCATCCTTACTGCAGCTGACTCCTTCGAGAAACTCAAATCGCTTACACTCTCGTGGGTCTATATACCCAACCACGAGCTACCAACAGTAAACAATGCCCATCCGAATTGGAGCAGTCTCTTTGTCGACCTGGTCTCTCACCCTCGGCCGGAGAAAAAAGACCGGAGCCAGGAGATTTACAACTCTGACCCACCACCAGTAATAACAACATCCGAACACCTGTTTGCGGCACTCCTTAAACTGAAATCGCCTCCTGATCTCACCGCCCTCTCAGTGCGAGCCTACGACCCAAGTAAAGGCGCAGAGTTCGGCGCGTTTTTGAAAAAACATGGAAACCAACTGCAACGACTGACGATCGAGACTGAGAGTCAGTGCTCGCACTTGGCATTTACCCGCTAAACAATTCCCCACACAGGACACGATTTTGAACATTTGCCTGCCCTCACCTTCTGCACGGCTCTTCGCGAGCTCAAGGTCGTCTTCAACTTTCATGGACATACGCCTATGAGCCAAAAGATCCTCAAAACCCTGCAAAACGTGGTTGCGCGCTCGCTCAAGACAATTACTTTCGTCGACCTCTACGGCGCCCCCACCCGCGTCAGCGATGAGAATAAATGGAGCGATATCGACGAACTACTATCCCAAGACGAAGTATTTGTGAGCCTAGAGCTGTTCATGTTCAAAACCAGCAACGAGTCTGTGGGCAATCAGGTGGCTTCAGAGATGCAGTTATGTACAAAGCGAGGAATTTTTCGAGTGGAAGGGCTATAAGCATCAATCTGTTTGTTTGAGGAAATTAGGCGGGCGCCTATCTGGTGGGAATGATGCTCAGAGTCATCGACGACGGATGGGCGCGACAGCGGGAACAGAAACTGGTCGTTGGAGTAAAAAATACAGAAATGAAAACAGCAGAGTAGTGAGCAACGACGAAACCTGGACCCCCCCCTTCCTTCCCGCTTAAATCCACTGAGCCTTGTCCCATGACGGGTCTTGCAGGAAGGCACAGAGCACCTTGCTCCCAGTCTGGAGATCGACTCATCAGCGACAAATAATTGTCACTACAGATAACACATACCTGAAGCAGTGGGTGCCCAGCGACGATACTCAGGAAGCGCTCAAGTCCATCCCGCCTGTTCTCGATAACCTCGTCGGAAAAGCGGTTGGTGAAGACCTTGCCCGGGAGCGAAGGGATATTGACGCGCGTTGACTCACGCTCCAGGATGTCATGGAATGCTTCGAAGTCAGAGTAGCGTCGTCGGACAAGGGAGTGTCGGAGCTTGAATGCGGGGATATTGGTCTGTGGAGAAAGGTGGTCTCAGACGAAGAAGGAGTCAGTAAAGAAAGATAGGTACCTTGCACACGATCTCGTAGTCCGTATACATCTTTCGGCCAAACCCTAACCCTATTCAGCTTCACGCCGATTACTGGAAGCTAGAGAGCATACCGTGGGTCTGAGGGTTTCGCACTTCAATCTCCAAGAAACTTTCTGGGACGCTATACATTTCCTCAATCTACTCGGCCAATGTCAGAACAAACAGGCTCTTTTAAGAGGAATCAAATCGTGCAGACCGTCTGCTGGCGTGTGGCGAACGATGGGTCATCGAAAGCGCTGCTCCGCGCAAAGGGAGAAACTGCAGCCATGACGGAGAGAGAAGGATCGGGTCACACAATGTCACAACAAATGACCAATGTCTAAATGTGGATGCGGAGGAGAGTGCAAGTGCATGGGCCCACGAATACTCAAGCAAGACTTATTTCGGGACCCGATTCACGGCATAGTCGGAGGCGAGCAGGCAGGGGGTAACAATGTGTAAAGTCGAACTTCATCCATGACAAACTGATAGCAGACTGGCCAACGGCTGGCTTAAATTTTCCATGAAGCGCTTGTTGAGTCACTGAAAAGACGCGGAGACGAGGCGAACGGATTGAAATTCACAGCTTAGGTTCGAATTTCTATTTGGCCTCGTCCGTTGGTGGTATTAAGCCGACCCTTACTGGCACCCCTTCCACTTGCGCGTCCAGCTTCTTCTTATACTCTTGTAGATCCTCCAAAGTTCTGTTCTGTAGCTCGGTTTGTATTGCAGCTAAACGCGCTTTCTGAGGATCGGAGTTAGCAAACGGGCTTGTTGAGATAGCAGCAGCAACGACGCACCTCCTTCTTGTGGTGTAGGCACTCTAAGTAGTCGTCGCGTTGGTTTGCACATTGAGATGGGTGGGATACTTTGGAATAGCACTGAAGAAGCGGGGTAAAGACCAAGACTACCAGAATTTCGCGTGGTTGAGGATACCTTGGCAAATTCTTGCCAGTACGGGTTGCAGCGAGAGGGCCCGCCAGTGAAGCTGAAACCCGACTGCGTATATGAATCAGCTCAGTCCCCGGAGAATGGATGAACGAAAAATCCACCATGATGTGGTCTTCGGAGAAAGGTTTCGGTGTGACGCTCTCTCCCTTCTCCACGTCCAACTCAGGCTTGTTGTACGTTCATTCTTCCCATTGCACCCGAGTGTGGTCCTCATTTTTAGATCCATGGCAGACCAAGCAGAGGCTGCATTCCTGCGTGTTTATATCAACACCCTCGCGAGTCAGAGTCTTGTTTACGCGGACGACTACCAGCAGCCGCCGGCTAACTCACTCAAGAAGGTCCCTGTGCTGCAAGTAAGCCGTGTGCCCTTGTCTCATTTCTGCTTACAACTTTATCACCAGATTTCCGTTCCAGCACCACCACCACGCAAGAAACAAAGAGAATCCTCTTCAGGTTTCGCTTGATTCCTGCCTCACAATATAAATTTGACACCTACTAGCACCGCTCTCGCTGACATTCAAGTCGCTTAAGCCAGCGGCATCTTACACGATCGCAGTCCACCCAACCGACACAATTGCTGCAGTCAAAGCGGCACTTTCATCTCAGCCAGGAGGACCGCCAGTCGACGCCCAACGCTTGCTGTTAAAGGGCAAGGCTTTGGCAGACGCGAAACTCGTCAAGGAATATCCAATCAAGGACGGTGATACCGTGAATCTTGTCTTAAAGACAGTTGCACCTGCACCAACAATAACAGCTTCTTCAACCCCTCCCACCATGGATCCAGGAAAACTCCCCACTCTTTCGCTCGACCCGCCCGCTCAGACTTCAGCACGCAAACACCAGCGCATCCCGAGTGTCGTGTTATCGCCGTCTCCATCGAGCGAAACCGTCCCAACCATCGATAGAGACATCATGCTCACTCTGGACGCGTCGACCGAATCTCTTCCTGCCAAAGAGCTTTCCACCTACCATACCGCCATTGCAGAGCCCGAATTCTGGGCCCGCCTGCTTGCCTTTTTCCGGTATGTCGTTTGGCTGTTATACTTGGTGCCTTGCTGAATGGCCACACAGCTCCGAATTCAAGAACGACACCGACGCTCAGACTGCTTTTGAAGACTTTATCCTCGCCAGCAAGAGTACCCTCACTGCGAGCGAGATTGCCAAGATTCGTGACCACGTTGGGGTCATTGGGATGGCTGGGACGTAGAATGGAGTCGAGCATCGTTTTCACTTTCTCTATCGGGTCTTCCCCTTGTGTAACAAATGTGTCCTTTTAACTCGCAAGTCGCTTCAACATCTGCAACTCTTCGGATGTGGTGGAGTCAAGCATCACTTTCACTTTCACTCTCTCTCTCTCTCTCTCTCTCTCTCTCTCTCTCTATCGGGCCTTCCCCTTCTGTAACAAATGTGTTTTTAACTTTGACTCTCCAATCCAGCAAGTCGCTTCAACACCTGCAACTCTTCGTCGCCCATCGCGTGGCACATGCTATGAAAAGCACTCTCAGGATCGGAAAGAAGACTCCTGGGACTAGGTTTCATGGGTCAGAAACAGGAAACAAAAGCTGTTAAACTCATGCTCACCTGTCAAACTCGGCGATTCGGCCCTCATGTAGCACCATGACTCGGTCATACGCGACGATCGTGGTCAATCGGTGGGCTATGATGAGCACTGTACTGCGGCGAAAGGCGCTGCCTATTGTTAACTTGCTGGAAACGCCTGCAGAAGACTCACTCGCGGACGGTCTGTGTGATCAGTTTGTCAGTCGAGAAATCGACGCTGGCCGTCGCTTCGTCCATGATCAAAATCCTCGCCTGTTTCAGAATCGCGCGTCCGAGGCATAGCAGCTGTTTCTCCCTGTCCAGCCGTTGGTCAGCAAGTGATTCAGAATAATGATAACACACACCCGGCAGAAAAGTTCTCTCCGCCTTCTGATACGGCTGTTTCGAGGTCGTCGAATGGAAGATGGACACGTCTGAGGGCATCGAACTTTGCGTTGGTTGGCTCAGTGTTGTCATATTTGGTAAGACTGAACTCACAATCGCTGCGTCACTATATTCTCCCTCTGGATCAAGGGTGGAGCGGATTGTCCCACTCAATATCGTCGGGTCCTCTTGAAGTCGGGTTAGAAGCAGCACACAAGAATTTATATCCAACCCACGCGGGATGATCGTCAACTGCCTCCTCAAGTCACGCAGTCCGATGCTGGTAATATCAACAGCGTCCATGACAATCTGGCCAGTGAAAGGGACGAATCGGAAGAGCGCGAGGGCCAGCGTCGATTTGCCCGATCCTGTTCGTCCAATAACGCCAATCTTCTCGCCAGCAGAGATCGTGAAGCTGACACCGTGCAAGACAGGCGGCAGATCATCCGCATAACGAACGACAAGCTTCTCGGCACGAATTTCGCCGGCCTGAGGCCATTCTGGTGGGGGCTTTGCTTTGGCTGCATCATCAAACTCCTCTGGCTCGATTTCAGAGAACTCCTTGACCCGCTCCAGCGCGACCATGTCCTGCTCAAGTCCCGCAAACCGATGTGCCATGTTTTGAAACTGCGTCGATTAGCCTTTACCCACAAAGATATAATTGGGACAGACGGACGTCGTTGGTCATGTTCTGGGCAAACATCACAGTGAACCCGGCCAGCGCCGCATCGATTCGGGGGGAAAGTACTGCCATGACGACGACGGCTGTGGCAAGCACGCTGGTCAGCGCATTGGCGCGGAAACTGAGCCATTGACTGGTGGCCAGACTCCAGTACGCTGGGGCGGTGTTCTAGATTGAAAATCGAGTCAGAGAAAGCGAAAAAAAAATATGTCAGAGTTGCTCTTACGATATCGAGCAGTCTCAGCATGTCCGACATGAATTGGGTAGAGCCTCCAAAGGCCCTTATGGTAGTGATTCCAGACACAGCTTCCCAGTACAATGCATGCAATGGGGAGCTAGATACGGATGCTAGTGTGTTTTTTGTTAAAAGTCAAGCCGAGCCGCTGAGGGACAAGCAACGAACACAAGCGACGCATTTCACGGGAGGCGATGGAGAACATCTAGAGATATTGAGCTATCGGTGCCGCGAATGAGTATTGTGGACAAAAGACCTTCCCATCTGGCAATCCCATCAACTACCATGTTCATGTGTTGGAATGCACTCACAATGGAAAAAGACAAGACCAAGGACAACAGCCACCAGACAGAAAACGGGCCCACCGACGACGCTGATGATAGTGAACGTTATCCATGCTGAGGTAAAAGCGATGACACAATGCCCAATCGTCGCTGAGATTCTTTTGTCGATACCTAGCGCAAAATTAATGAAGTTGCTGGAAATATAGAAGCGACTCTCACCTTCCATATCCTTCCCAAACCGATTTAATAGTCGGCCGCGCGAAATTGTCTCGTGAAACCTAACATTGGCTAAGAGGATAGAATGAAGTAGTCCTAAGCTAAGGAGTAAGCAATCTCGGAATGCACTGGATCAACACACCTTGAAATAGTCTTCGGGAGGCATGTATCGATCCTGAGTCTGCAGCGGATTAATCAGTGTCTTGAACGCAAACAGATAGACCAACTGACAAAGGATATACCATCGGAGGGTTTTGACGACAAGGCCTGTGTGTCCGTTCATACGAGTTGTTTACCCGCAGTCAGCATACGCACCAGTAAATGTCAGTGCAGCATAAACAGTAACGTAGAAGGCTGCACTATGCGACGGCATTGTTGTCGAAGACCCAGCCCAAATCCTATCCAAGTCAACTTACACCATCGACTTCAATAAGAAGCCTACTGACTTCAGCCAGCCATTTTCAAGCAACGGACTGAATGCTGCTATGATTAACACGCCCAGAGATATGCCCCACTGAACGCGACTGCCCCATGCCTTGAAATACGCCAGCCCAATGGCCGCGTCAACATTCCCAATCGCCCGCTGTTCCTCTTGAACGAGCTTTCGGGGTGTGTTCTTGGCCAACTCGACCCCTTGTTGTGCTTGCGGTTGTTTTGGGTCGATGACAGCAGATAGTTTCTCGCCTTCGGCATTTTCGGCCGACAGCATGTTATGATCCGTTTGCACAAGAAAACCGTAGTTGGGCGACGCCCTAAACTGGGAAAGGTTACCCTGGTGTTGGACCTTCCCCTGATCCAGCGCAACGATGAACGCGGCCCCAGGAGCGCATAACTGGACATAATGGGACACAATAATGACGGTTCTGCCTCGGAGGAGCGGCCCTTTGAGGCATTCCTTGTAGATGTGTTGAGCGGTGTGCGAGTCGACTGTGTTCAGCAGTGTTAAATGCAATGATTGTGGGATTTAGAGTGCTTGCCTGCAGATAGCACGTCGTCCAAAAGGAGAATCGACGCGCGACTGTAGACTGCACGTGCGAGCGATACTACTTTGGTGTCAACAAGAGTACGAGCGAGTCAAATGAGTGAAACCTCTTTGCTTCTGCCCCCCCGAAAGATTGAGCTGTCAGTTTGATGAGATGAACAAATACTAACAGCCTCGAATATGCACAAACCCCGCGTTCACCTACATATCCATGTTATTAGTACTGGTTCTATTCAAAAAGACATACCAATCTCTGTGTCGTCGCCATCTTCAAGGATTCTCAGGTCCTCCCCTAGAGCACACGCGAATATGGTCTGTTTGTATCGCTGTTCATCGTAAGGCAGATTGAAGAGGATGTTATCTGGCAAATTTCAGGTCTGAGTCCGATGTTCGGATGATGTCGAACCTTTTATAGACTGATTCCGCAACCAGGCAGTCTGTAACATGTGTTTTTAACAGGAGACCCATTTGACGATGACGTAAAGACCTGTGGTACGTATGCACAGAGGCCGTCAACAATCCACTCTTCTTCAATGGCGCGGCTGGAGGCCAGAATGTTTGCAGGAGACCGAGGGCAGTACACCTGTCCAGAAAGAAGCTCTGCTTCGCCAAGCAGCGCTACATGGTGATTCAGTGAAAATTCAAGTCACAGATAGGTTTAATGGAATACCGAGCAAAAGGAGGGTCTTTCCGGACCCGAAGCGTCCACAAACGAGACTAAGCTCGCCCGTGGGAAATTCGAGCGAGATATTCTTCATCGTGAACGGCTGTGGCGTCGAAGGCGTCCGCCCTGCTTCTGCAACTTGAGGCCAGGTTATGCATGCATTCTCAAATACGACGCGTCGGGTTTGGCTACTGAGCGGCAGTACAGGCAATATTTCTGCATCATTCAAGTACTGGAAGAAGCGTGAGTCTTCGAATCTTACTGTTCTGTACCACCTACTCGTGAGATACGGCCTGCTGACACAAAGCCTTGGATCAGTCGAATTGCTGATGCCGGGATTCCTTTGATCGAGAATTGGATTTCGGTGAAGACTAAGGCGGAATTAGATGAAGACATGTTGTTTGGGGGTTGGGCTAACTGGAGAGCTTGAATAGGAGGATGAAAACAGAGCGTTGTTTCAACAAAGGGTCATACCGCTGTAAAAGCAATGGCTGGGGTCAAGGAATGCCCGGCTATGACGGTAAAATGCCAAAAAGACACAATGGCAAAAATGATAGGCACAGAGTTCCTATAGCGACGATGAAGAGATGAAGAAATTGCTGATGATACCTACCCCATCGCAGTCCACAACGTCTAAAGTACAGGGTAAGCAATAGTCGTTAGTTTAGTAGCCTACTAACCTCAATGTTGAAACTGATCTTCTGATAACGCAACTCTTTCTCTCGGATGTGCAGCAATCGGCTCTCAAAGTTGTTCTCTAGTGCCATAAACTGGATTCTGTCAGTTTCAATATGAATGCAGTGAAAGAAGAACCTTCAGCATTTTGATTGCACCGAGTAACTAATTATATGTGAAGCACAAAGGAAGATATATTTTGCAACACACAGACCTCGTTTGTACGGCTGACACGTTCGTCACGTGCCTTGAACAATCGGCTCTGTGCGTCTGCAACAATGCTCCCGCTACGTTGATGCAGAGGCAAGCAAACGAGCGTCACTGCCAGGCCGACGAGGCAAGACACGCCCAACAGCTTATAGAGAAAGAAGACTCCGACGAGGAGTTCAAAGGGTGTATCTGGACTCCGAGTTATATCAGCCTATTTCAGGCGAAGAAAGGTCGGTTGCCTACCCGCAATATCGTAGATACTCTCCGCCAACGCGCTAAGCTGTCCCACATCACTGGACATGAGCGCAATGATCGCCGCCTTCGAATGATTGACGCTGTGGTCTTCTGGAGCAGGCGCAGAGGTGACGTCTTTGCGAACCAACGCTTTCGCAAATAATAGCGAATGGAGTTGGAGCTCAAGCCGGGTTTTCAGTACTCGGTTCATAAACACCATTTGTCCCATTACTGCTTGATGTCAGTTTTGCGCATCTAGGAGGATTTTCGGCATACACAGCGACAGGCCGAAGTGTGCGAGGAAGAATCCCGTCACCCACAACAACGCGGACGAGGCATTGGCTCGGTGTGGATCGGTTTCGAGGTACTCGAGAAGTCTTTTGAGGAAAAAGGGCGGCCCATAATATGCAAATGAGATCACGAAGGACAGTAATAGAACTTTGAAGACCGTCGAAATGTTGATTCTCAGTAGATGAAAGATAAGGCGCAGTCGGGATGTGGCATTGAAGCTGCGGCGAACATCATGGTGGTTTCTAACGGCCCGCATACGGGCTTCAACAATGGGCAGATGTTCGACTTGAAAATTGGGAAGGTTCGCAAGAGAAAGAACCTTGGTGGCGAATATGAATAGCCAGACATTTACGATGGAGCCGTCTTGACAAAATGTTAGTTTCGCAGAAAAGCATCAAAATCTTCCACGCACTAGCATACTCTGACACACTCTCCGTGGCGCCATCAAGACCAGGATAACAAAGGGGTGGACCCATTGGCGTCGTGAGCGCTATGATGGCGCACATGGAGTAGAGGAAGGCGGCAATTGACATCGACGCCGATGTTTTAGTGGATGGTGCAAGTAGTATCGCGCTTTTCGTGAGGCTAATGCCCAGAGACAAGACAGACAGGTGTGTTATCGAGGCGGAATGGACGGGGACGAAAACCAAAAGCAGCAAATAAGTTGGTAAAAGCCACAAAATTGCGCTCTTTTCGCAGGCTATCACACCGAGAAGAGACGCGGCGATGAACAGTTTTCTGAGACGAATCTACGCGTCATGAGTAGGCAAAGGGAAGAAGTGGCATGACGACCACCTTGCGCCAGAAATCAACCTCATTCACCGGAAACTCGTCGTTGGGTTGGATCACATCGTCGAGGTTGAGACTGTCCCGCGTGAGCTGTACTCCGTTTTGTTGCAAGAAATAGGTGGAGAGGAGCAGAGTGAGAGCACTGACGGCGACGCCGCCTACATAGACCGCGTCTATGGAGAGCATAAAGTGAGTGTCATCTGCACAGATGATGGTGGTTGTTTTTGAAGGGTCGCGATTGCCGAGTCAAATTTTCCCCAGCGACCGTGATCCTCTAATGTTGAGCGGAACCGGCCCCGGGACCGCAAAGCGTCCACGAATTGGTCGACTGGAGGGGCTTATCTAACACAAGAGCTTTTTCTTCAGACCACGCCCCGGCCAACGTGCAAGTGCTCGTCATTGCTGATGAAGACTTCGGTTCCCACTTCCTTTCCACCGCAATGACTAAGACCAAAGTCCTCGTAACTGGAGCCACAGGTACGCGGACTTGAAGCTTCTGTTAACGACAACAACAATCAATATAGGGTATATCGGCGGCTCTGTCCTTGATCGCTTCCTAGCTCGTCCAGATGCAGACAACTTCGAGTTTACTGTGCTCGTGCGCGACCCGAAGAAGGCGGAGAAGTTCAAAACGCTGGGCGTTGATGCAGTCGTCGGTTCTCACTCGGATGCGCCCCTTATGGCGAAGCTTTCGAGTGAGGCCGATGTCGTGATTGCGACGGTACATTGTTTTCGCAAAAGCGTAGTGCTTAGCTTACACATATCTAGGCTGACTGCGACGATCTCGTCGCGGCCAATGCAACGCTGGCCGGATTCAAGAACCGATTCGAAAAAACTGGAGTACCGCCCATTTTTATCAATACGGCGAGTTGTTTGTAACTTGATGCCAATATCCAGTATTCTGAAGCTGTTTCTGTAGTCTGGCACTGGCGTAATTGCTGAGGATTCCAAAGGATTGTCAGCGAGTGAGCTGATCTACGACGATGCCGATGCAGCCCAGATGGCTTCAATACCCGACACGGCCATCCACCGCAACGTCGACCTGGCAATTACTAATGCAGATGCTGAGGGTTTGTGCCATCAACAATGCGGAAGCGCGACTGACAAAGGACGATAGGCTACATCAAGAGCTATATCATTCTTCCCTCCACCATTTACGGTCTTGCTAGTGGTCGTTTCGTGGATGCTGGCTTGCAGAGCGCACATTCACAACAGATCCCCGCCCTTATCAAGTCTTCCCTTGACCGTGGTCATGCTGGGATGGTGGGAGAAGGGAAGAATCTCTGGCCAAACGTTGAAATCCACGAACGTAAGCTGATCGTCCCATTAACTCTTCCGCACGTTGATTTTCACCAGTCAGCGAGTTGTACAGTGTGCTGTGGGATGCAATCGTTTCTAATTCCGGCCTCGGGCACGGCCGCGAAGGATATTTCTTTGGAGCAAGTGGGGAGCACTCCTTATATGAAGTCGGAAAAGCAATTGGGGAGGTGCTGGTTGCACTGGGAAAGAGCGATGATCCAGCACCGACGACATTCACCAAACCGGAACTAGACAAGTACTTCGGGGTGCGTGAAATTCATGCCGCCGGCTAAAAGATCTCTAAATACCATTCCAGGGGGCTGACTATCTGGGATCTAATTCACGCTGCCATGCTACTCACTCGCGTTCAATTGGATGGAAGCCGGTCAAGAGCACGAGTGATATGTTGGCAAGCATCCAATTGGAGATTGAGGCCATTCTTAAGAAGTAATTTGAACGGTGAAAGTATTAGTAATAAAAGTGTAAGCGTCATGGACTTCATATTTGACACCATTGAGAGAGTCTTGATTGCATCTTCTTCTTCCAACTCGGGCCCCCACCACATATCTTGACCGCTTAGCGCTGTAGCACAAATGGAACCTTTCGCAGCGGACCTCTACCTACCCCCAAGCCATACGCAAATGAAAGATTCTGGGTCCGACAGCGATGAAGCAGTCCCATTCGCTCTTCATCGGATAACACTGAAAGCCATGTCCAATAGTCAGTTGATGGCACAACGCAAGAAAAAAAAACCCTCTAGCTCTATCTTCCGCCTCCCTCCGGAGCTACTATCAGAAGTATTCCTGCAATTGACTTCGGAAGACCAGCCAAAAACTTTGCCCCCAATGCATCGGCATTTACTGGCGTGTAAAGTCTGCGGGCTCTGGCGCACAGTCGCACTGCACACTCCTGTACTCTGGTCCCGCGTCATGCTCCACCTGGGGCAGCGGACTTCAAATCTCGGTGGAATCAAAAGATTAGCGCTGACCTGTTTTGAGCGTTCTCACGACCTCCCGCTTTTCTTGACTATCACTTCTGAGTCGCCTGCAATCCCAAATCTTATCATCGATTTGGTACTACCCGCTCGCCATCGGATAAGACATCTCCGGCTCCAGATCCCCATCGCGTTCACCGAGTCGGTGTTCAAGCTTCCAAGTAGCTCTCTGAAGTCACTGAGGACGATTGAAGTGGCTGCAATGCTAGCTCAGGGCGATGAGGGACCGTGGTTCCGTGCCATGACTTCATTGGAGGGAGCTACACAGCTGGAAAGTGTCGTTTTTCGTTGCTATGTTCCGGGTGAAAGCCACCGACTCGGAATGGGTCACGCGATCCCAAACCAAGGGCTCTTCAGTCCGGTTCAAAGTGGACTTCACTTCGAGCGGCTTGTAAACCTCAGTTTGGTGGGCTTGTTGCCAGTTTTGGCAGACGACGCTGTCGATTTAATTGAACAGTCAATCAACCTCGTCCAGCTCACCATCCACATAACAGAGATTGCGCCACGGGACAACGCGGCTGTACAGCTCCCATTCGTTGTTTCTATGAGTCTTCGGTGCCTCGACGTCACAGTCAGTCGGGACGCTCTCCCTCGATTCATGGCCCCCCTCAAACTCCCTTCTTTGCAAGAGCTCTCGGTAAAGTGCACGAAGAATCAGTCCATCCTCTGCAGCGTTTTCGTCGACTTGCACCGGCGTTCCGTATTTTCCTTGCGTCGCTTTCTTCTTTCACAACGAGGGGGAGATTCCCTGACGCCCTTCTTTGCGTGCAGTCCGTTCTTGGAGAGGCTGCAACTCATCGGGTGTCGCTCTGCCCTGAGCACAGTTTGTAGTGGGCTGAAACGAGGTCCGGATGGTGGGGAGTCTATTTTGCCTCGCTTGCGTGAGTTGGCTATTGTTGGCTACTGGCTAGACGAGCGGCCGATGGTGGCCTGGAGCGCTGCTACACGCGCGTTGGTGGACATGGTTCGTTCTCGGCGACGAAAAGGCCGTCCAGTGCTGCGAAATCTGGTGTTTGGATCGGAGCGACCATTGAGTGAGAAAAAAGCTGCGCAGCTGAGGACCTGGCGGTTGGAAGGGATGGAATACCGATTGATGGACTTGCGGCTTGGGTATGACCGCATCCAGGAAGATTATTTCGAGGTAGCAGGTTAAAACTACAGACTGTAAGTAGTTGAGTAGGCATCCATGCAGTCAAGTTTTGCAAGAGTGTTTCCACGATCAGATCCAAGATGAACATGTTGATCATCTCGTGATCAACTTCTTGAATTAGGACCACCACGATATCCGCTTCGTCGTCAAGGTCGCAGCACAATGGACTCTTTCGCAACGGACCTCTATCTGCCGCCTACTCATACTCGAATGACGGATTCTCGTGCCTACAGCGTCGAGGAACCAGTCGCCATTCACCACATATCCCTAAAAACCATACTGTCCAACAGCGAATTCATGACGCAGCATAAGCGGCAACAAGCTTCCAGCCCTGTTTTGCGCCTGCCTCCAGAGCTATTGTCGGAAATCTTCCTGTTGTTGTTGGCTACGACAGAAGACAAGGCATTGAGACCTTCGTTTCCGATGCATGTGCAGTTAGCTCTCTCCAAAGTTTGCGGGTTCTGGCGCGCAGTAGCGCTTCACACTCCAATGTTGTGGACATCCGTGGCCCTTCATCTGGGGAAACACGTCTCAAACTTCAACGGAATCAAGGAATTGGCTCTCACCTGTTTCCAGCGTTCTGAACCACTCCCACTTTCTTTGACCATCACATCCGAGACGACCTCTATGCCAAATATCGTCAGCGATCTGGTGTCATCTGCTCGCCATCGGATAACACGTCTCCAACTTCAGATGCCTATTGCGTTCACCGAGTCCATCTTCAAGCTGCCAATGAGCTCGTTCAAGTTACTGAGATCAATTGAAGTGTCTGCGATGCTCACTTCCGGTGATAAAGGCCCGTGGTTTCGTGCCATGTCGTCATTGGAGGGTGCCACCCAGTTGAAGACTGTTGTTTTTCGTTGCTATAACCCCGATAATACCCGATTAGAGCGACGACTGTTCAAGCCGATGAAAAGTGGCCTTCGCTTGGAGCAGTTATTACATCTCACTCTTGTGGGATCACTTCAAGTCCTAGCAAATGATGCTGTCAACCTTATTGGGCAGGCAACCAACCTCGTCCAGCTCGCTATCCACATTACACGGGTCCCTGAAGGTGCACCGGAGCCCGACTCTGTTGTTTCTTCAACTCTACGTTACCTTGACGCCACTGTCAGTCAGTACTCGCTCCCTGTATTTCTGAATGCACTCAAGCTTCCGTCGTTGGAAGAACTCTCGGTGCGCTGCAGAGGAGTTCAAAACATCCCTTGCAGTGTTTTCGTTGGCTTACACGAAAAATCGGCCTTTTCCCTTCGCCGGTTTCTCATCTCTGATCGCATGGGAGATTCAATATTCCCCTTCTTGCGATGTAGCCCGTTCCTCGAGCGGGTGCAACTCATCCAGTGCGGCTCCGCCCTCAACACTGTCTGCAAAATTTTCACTCGAAAGGCTGGCAATGGAGTACCCATACTGCCGCACTTGAAGGAGCTGGCCATTGTCGACCGTTGGCCTGACGAGCGGCCTGAAGTGGCTTGGGACACAGCTAGCCAGGCGTTGATGGCAATGGTTCGTTTTCGACGACAAACCGGGCACCAAATGCTGAACTATCTGGTATTCGGCGCTAGGAAAGCGTTGAACGAAGACCAAGTTGCCCAGTTGAAGACGTGGCGGTTGGAAGGGATGGAATACCGGTTGACTGACCTGCGGCCCGGATACGACCGCATCGAGGAAGATTATTTTGGGACAGCGAGTTGATTTGTCCAGCCCCGGTCACAGCCTTTACTGTGCGAAATTCGTTCAGCATCGTCCATTCGCATGCTCGGGCCTGGATGCAAGTTCCTCAAAGAAACCTCCGGAGATAAAATACAACCAGGGCTGAGCGTGAACGATGCGTCTTCGAAAATCGATTGCGGCTTTAAGAGAAGGACGAGGCGGCGTTAAAGGGACAGGCAACAGCTGCGTAGCATGTAAACCTCGCCACACATCTAGTGGCCACATATCCATCGTTTCAAGATTGAATGTTGCGCGTTGGTAATGGCATGCGACGGTCCTCATCGACAGCACCAACTTAAGAAGCGAATTAGGCATCTACATACTCCAAATGCCAAGCGGCGGGTTGGCATCTTTAGAGTTGGAGGCTCGGGCGATGGACAAGAAGAACGCTAAGTGCACGGGAGAACTCTTGCCAAGACGACGAACGAGCGAGCAACGACAAGTGAGAAGATCTAACTGACGGCACCAATGCTACGATGGCCCATAAGTAACGAGCTTAAGCCTCGGGTGGAAAACAAGTTTGCGGAAGCGGCGCACACCGTTTGTTCCGGAGATGGAAGAGAGCTTTCTTGAGGTGTGAACGCGACCACTCTTGAATAGGGGTGTTCACCAGGTGTCAAAGACGCGTGGCATCGGTCGTTATGGGAGCCAAGGAGGCATTTCATTGGCTAGGAAACATGGACTCCTGTTGGACTGAGTGAATGTCTTGCATTTTGAAAGTTGCCTTTCTGTTGCAGGCACCAAGTCAAAAAGACAGTGCGGTTGTTGCAGACCACGACCTCCCGAACGTCGATTTGGCAACTTTTCAAACGCCAGAGAAGCGCATCAAAATCACGGGTTGGCTGATGATCGGGATAAAGAATGCTGAGGAAAATAAGGAAAATGGACTAATGCGGGCGGAAGATGGTCCAGAGAGCGGCACCAACAGCAATGAAGCTGGGAGAACACCGGTGCGGGGAGGAACGGGTTGGAAGGTCCTAAGTTGGGGCGGACGAGCGGTAGAACGGAATTTTGTCACCAACAATGACGAGAGGATAAAGATATTTATAGGTCGGCCGAGGGAAGAGCCAATGGCCAATCGGACGCGGGAAATTCACATATCGACGTTCCGCTGAAGCTGTGGAAATCAGAGGTGGTTTTGCCAAGTTTCTACTCTGGGGTAAGTGGGCGTGATTCGGATAACGATTCAGCGAATGGCAAATGAGCTCGAGAGAATTCGGATCCAACCACACGACACGTTACACGAAGACGTTTACATGCTTCTGCATATTCATACGATCCTGTCGGCCGTGTGGACCCAGCGCGTCATCTTTTCGGTCAATCGGGACGAGGTATCAGACTGATGGCAATTTGATGGGTGGTGATGGAGGCCATTGACGACCATAGCGACGTCGGTAGGGTAGATTTAGGCACCGTTGAAGTAAAAGTGAGCTGTCGTTTCGTTGTTGGCGACGAAGAGGAGCGGGGGGATACCATCCGAGCTGAATATCTCTTAGCCGAGGATTTATGTATTTGTTGTGTTTGGAAGGTTGATGCCCATCACATAAAAAGGTCACATCAGCTCTCTCGATTCTTCCCTTCTTCCCTCCCCCACCCATGTCCGAGAACGAAAAGGTCCCTGGCACCGACCCAGCCCCGACGAAAGTCGAGGGTGAAGCACCTAAACCGAAGCGCGAGTACAAGGAGTTTGGACACGATGAGCAGAAGGCCACCCACGCCAATGTCGATATGAGCACCATTGAACTCAAGGCTGAAGACCTCTACGACAAGGAAAAGGTCGACCTCGAAACTATCGTCATCGACGACGTATTCAAGCTGCTTCAATGTGATGACAACGGTCTTGACAAAGAAGAGGCGCAACGTCGTCTCGAACTCTTTGGACCTAACAAGCTGGAGTCGGAGGAGCAGAACCCAATTCTTCAGGTACGTCGCCGTAAACCATTTTTCGGGATGTCGTTTCTAAATTATGCATCTTTTCCTGTTTAGTTCCTCTCGTTCATGTGGAATCCCCTTTCTTGGGTGATGGAGGCTGCTGCTCTTGTCGCTATTGCCCTTTCCAATGGCGAGCATCGTGCGCCCGACTGGCAGGACTTCGTCGGTATCGTTCTTCTCCTTTTCATCAACTCGGCCATTGGTTTCTACGAGGAGCGTGGTGCTGGTAACGCTGTCAAAGCCCTGATGGACTCTCTTGCGCCGAAAGCCAAGGTGAAGCGCGCAGGCGCCTGGTCTGAAATTGAATCGGCCGACCTCGTCCCCGGTGACATGATCTCGTTCAAGATTGGCGATATTGTCCCCGCCGACTGCCGTTTGACGGAGGCTATCAACGTGTCCATTGACCAGGCTGCCCTCACTGGCGAGTCGCTGCCACAGTCCAAGAAACTTGGCGACCAATGCTTCTCGTACGTGGCGATCTCTGGTTTATTTTTGCAAATTCTCATGACGTTTTCGTCAGTGGCTCCACTTGCAAGAACGGTGAAGCTGAGGGTGTGGTTATCTCAACCGGTGCCAATACTTTCTTCGGTCGTGCTGCCTCGTTGGTTGGCCAGGACGATGACACCACCGGTCACTTGCAGAAGATTCTCGCACAAATCGGTTCTTTCTGTCTGGTTGCGATCGGTATCTTCGTCGTCGCCGAAATCCTTGTTTTGTATGCCGGCTTCCGTTTCCCTTACCGCCGTGGTATGTCTTTTTTGGTCCGCTCCAATTCCGTTTTTCCTGACTAGTCTAGGTCTCGATAACATTCTCGTGCTTTTGATCGGTGGTATCCCTATTGCTATGCCCACTGTCTTGTCGGTTACCCTTGCTGTTGGTGCTCAGCAACTCGCCAAGCACAAGGCCATCGTCACTCGTATTACTGCTATCGAAGAGTTGGCTGGTGTTACCATTCTCTGCTCGGACAAGACTGGTACCCTCACCACCAACAAGCTCACAATCGACCGTGAAACTATTATCCCTTATTCGTACGTTAACTCCGCACCCGGTCTTCGGGCGATGGCATGTCTGACACTGTTTCAGCTCGTTCTCGCCCGATGACATCATCCTTCTTGCTGCCTACGCCTCGCGCACTGAGAACCAAGATGCTATCGATACGGCCACAACTAGTGCTATCGGAGACATTTCTCGGGCCCGCGCTGGCATTAAGCTCTTGGACTTCAAGCCCTTTAATCCCACGGACAAGCGCACTGAGATCACCTACCGAGAGGAATCTTCTGGTCCGTTGTGAACGCCTTCTAATTTGCCAAGCCGCTAACATTTTTTCCAGGCAAACTGAAACGTGTCACCAAGGGCATGACTGGCGCTATTATTGAACTTTGCTCTCGGGGCCGCACCGAAGAGCTTGAGGCCCGTCTTGAGAAGGACGTCGAAGGCTTTGCTACCCGTGGTCTCCGTTCTCTTGCTGTTGCGTACGAGGAAATCGACGGTGATGACCACGAGGCTGAGGGCAACGGGTTAGTACACTTGATTTCTTTAGGCAGTTGTTTTAATCCCATCACAGATTCGAACTCATTGGTCTTCTTTCCATCTTCGATCCCCCGCGCGAGGACACCAAGCAAACCATTGACGATGCGCTTGCTCTTGGTGTAAAGGTTAAGATGGTTACTGGCGACCAGCTCGCTATCGCAAAGGAAACTGGTCGTCGTCTCGGATTGGGTGACCATATGTACCCCGCCAAGGTGCTTAAGGATGGACCTGCCCCCGGTGGCAAACACGCCAGCTTGGACGAAATGATTATGGACGCCGATGGTTTCGCTGGAGTCTTCCCTGAACACAAGTATGAGATTGTCAAACGTCTTCAAGGCCTTGGTCATTTGTGCGCCATGACTGGTGATGGAGCCAACGACGCCCCTGCTCTTTCTCGTGCCAACGTCGGTATTGCTGTTGAGGGTGCAACTGATGCCGCTCGTTCAGCAGCTGATATTGTGCTTACTGAACCCGGTCTCTCAACCATCGTCCACGCTATTCGCGGCTCCCGAATCATCTTCCAACGTATGCGTAACTACTCAATTTACGCCTGCGCTGTCACGATTCGTATCGTCGTCTGCTTCGCCATCCTCTCGTTCGCCTACAAGTTCGACTTCCCGCCGTTCATGATTCTGATCATTGCCCTCCTGAACGATGGCACAATCATGACCCTGTCCGTTGACCGTGTTTTGCCCAGCAACACACCAGATAGTTGGGACCTGGCCGAAATTTTCAGCTACGCCGTCGCCTATGGCCTCTATCTCACGTTGTCGACGTAAGTCTTGCCCCAAGCCCCTTTTTTACGGTGCTGACAAATCCTACAGTGTCGCCTTGGTGGTTATTATCATGGAGACGACCTTCTTCCAGGACAAGTTTGGTGTCGAGTTGGACTCGATCCCTGTCAAGGCCAACGACGCCAGTCTCCACATGGTTGTCTACCTCCAGGTTGCCATCATCTCACAGGCCCTCATCTTCGTCACGCGTTCGCATGGCTTCTTCTTCATGGAGCGTCCCTCGACGGCCTTGCTTTGCGCGTTCGCCATTGCTCAGCTCATTTCGAGCATCATCGCTCGTTATGCTGACTGGGGCTTCACCAAGATCCACGGTATCAGCGGTGGCTGGATTGGTATTGTCTGGGTCTGGGTAAGTTTTGGGGTTGTGATTGGACCGAACCTTAACTGACTTGTTGGTAGAACATCGTATGGTTCCTCCCCCTTGACTGGATCAAATTTGCCATGAAGGCCACAGTCATTAAGTACCTCCGCGAGCGTCGTCTTGCCCAACAAGCGGCTGGACCAGCGCAAACCAGCGATGGCGTGCCAATCACTCGCACTCAATCACGTGCTGCTTCTATTCACGAAAGCCTGTACTCGAATCGTGTCAGCTTCATCAAGCGTGCGGCTCGCAAGGTTGGGTTTGGACAAAAGGTGTCGATGAAGCCAGAAGAGCTGCAACGGTTCAGCTCTATCCAGGCCCAGCGTGTTGGTGCGACTCTTGCTCGCAACCCGAGCAGGACTGGCAGTGGCGCGGCTTAAACGCGGCCGTCATCACCCCCCTTACATTTCCTTTTTATTCCGCTTAGACCGCCGCGCCTGTACCATAATACTCTCTCCCTCCCTCCCTTGGCCGGCCTCCTTTACACGACGACCTTCCCTTGCCGCCGCGCCGCCCATCTGCACGCATCCAACACCCTACTATACCATCAGCCATCGCATCTCTCTCTTGTCCCCTATACATAACCAGCACACCTATCGCCGCTCGTAGTTTTACCCGGGGAATCTCTGTGTACCAGTAACGGCCTCCACACACACTCGTTCTTGCACCCGTCCTCGCCCCGTTAACGCAGCGGCGGACGGTAAGGACGCGCAGTTTGTTTGGGGCGGGGTCGGGCCTTGTACATATTTCTTTGCTTTTTTTTCGACTACTACGACGTGACAAAATCAAAAGAGAGGATTTAGAGTATCTTAGTGTGTATTTACGAATCAACGATTTCCTTTGTTAAACTGGAGCAAGTCAAGAAAGGGTGTCAACTGTTAAACGACCGAGTTTGGCGTTCACCACGAAGACCCCAGAAAAGAAAATTGGGAGGTGGGAGTAGATGTGATAACTCACGATATTGGCCTTCAATTTCCCAGTTGATAAACGAACTGGCCACCTAGCATGGTAATAATGCAGAAGAGACTGTTGAGAGCCGCATAACTTCCTCAGTAGATCAGCTTGGCTTATCAATTAGTACTCCGACTTGGTTGGGGTTACGATGATCCATCGTCCACTCGATATTGTTTGGGCAGGGCAAAGCCTTTCTCTCAGAAGTTAAACAGTTTAGAACGCAAGGCTCAGATGTGGAGAGGGTTAGTTAAAAGTGGTCAAGGATGGACTTCATCAAAATGGTTTATTCAGGTGGGTATCGTATTTGGTCACCATACTCATATCCGCGCAAGTCTGCGCTTGAACCTTTGCATCATCGTTAACCTTTTCGGGACAAGGAGGTCCATCTTGATCCCGATGAGCCGCCACTTCTCGTCCTCCGCCGCCTTCCGCTGAGCCTTCCAAAATGCCCGCGCTTCTGCTTCGTCAGCTCTCTCTTGGGCAAGTATCGCCTGATGGGTGAGAACAGCGATGCGCAAACTGGGTTGGAATCGGGTGGGCCTATAATCGAGCGGCATGGCAAGGTCAAGGTCCCAGTCGAGGGCCTTAGGTAATTCCGGGATATAAGGCTCGCAGGGTGATGGCTCCATGAGGGGAGGTATGGGAATCGAGACTGGGGGACGAGTCGCCAGAATGGGACGGCCATTGCCGTTGGCTTTTATGTCAAGCACCGGCTCGATGGCAGGACTCGTCGTATCAGCAATCGGTTCATTGACTGCGACATGCTGGAGGAGTAGTGAGACAGGGTACATTCGAGGACGATAACAACGACATACGTTATATGAGAACCAAGCGGGCATCATTTGAGACTGGTAGAATGATTTTACTAACGAAGTCTGAAAGCAACGTCAGCATGAGAATCCTCGAAAGGAAATGCGACCGTACCCAGGTAGTCTCCTCACTGTCGTAGGACACCTTCCAAGTTCCAGGAATGTCAAGCGACGTAATCGACGACGCTGATTTGGAACATGACTGAAAAGAGAGGGTAAGTGAGTTGGGGCTGAGCAATGAGAGGAAGAAGCAAATACCATTGAGGGAGGCGTCGGGGCTGTCGAGTGGATGCCAATCACAGATAACATGGTTTCGATTGGTAGTATTGGGTGTTTGGTTTGGGTTGAGATGGGGGGCGGAAGCCAAGAGGCAGAGTGAAGTTACAGTGGGGGTGGTCGCCGTTAAATATGCGCTGGGAAGGTCAGACATCGTCTGAGACATTCCGCCGGAGACATGTCCCGCCCCCACAGCCTGCCCAACCCCACATTCCGCTCGGAACAGACTCCGCGGAGACAACCGCAAGCTATCCAAAGGTAGATACCAGCAATTTGGTGACCCAGTCCTATTTAGCAAGACAGTTATTACAGTGCGGGGTAGAAACTATATAGGACATGAGATTCTGGGTCGTAAAATGGCGCATTGGTGACCATAAACACACCTGTTCGTTGTCTATACTGTAGGCGCCGAGACAGAAGACGCCGGAAGCAAGAGCGGTTTCAGCGATACTGCTCACTGCCACGTGCGATGACGTAGTAGAATTTCGTGGGGCTGACTCGGAAGCTGGGGAGAGAAAATCCTTCCGCGACACAGTTATCCGACACAACGAAATCAAGGAAAAAGGAGGTGGCGATCCCAGTTGAGCAAAGAACAGAATGAGATCCTCGATGTAATTGAGCCAAGAATGCCGACACGAAGTTGCTGAGTGCCCGAGAAAGAGGCCACATTGCTCCTGTACTGCGAGGTTTGAACGGGTGCTAAGCAGGTTGGTCGACTGCTGCGTGTAGCGTAAGATTTCTGAAGCAACTTGGAAGTGAAAATATACCCACCGAGCCCTTTCCTAGCACATCGTCACCAACAGTGAGAAAACGGGTCCGCTCCCACAGCTGAATCAGAATCGAGGGACAACAAACCCAGCCAAACCCGCCTGGTCGGAAAGACAGTCGCAAATGGCAAACAACCCATTCTAGCCAGACATGCATGTCGACTCATGTTGTGTCCCCGCCTCGTGCCGTTTTCACCAATTCCAGTGCCATTTATTCACCCGGGGAGCCCAAAGGAGAGATTATTAGCCACGGTCACGATGAGACGGTTGGTTGGTCGGTCGGTTGGACGATGTTGAGATTTGATTCGACAACAGCTGGCCGAAATCGAGGGGACGGACGTGCGTGGCAATTCCGGCATCTGCATGGCTGTGGCGTTGTCTCAAGAGAGATGTGTTTCTGGGCTTGGGGACGTCGGAGGGGAAGAACTTGAAAGTCGAAGGCAGAAGGCGCGATCACATGACCCGTCAACACAACCATTCTGTCTACGTGAGGATTAGTTGTTTCTGAATCAACAGATAGAGGTCATTAAATTAGATGATGTGGTCATGAACGTGTGTACAAAATGGATCGTGATAGGTATGTTATATGCGTGTCGTATCTTACTTCAGGAAGCCACAGTGGCCGCCTGGGTCACCAGCAAGCTCGCACTGGTTCCACTCGCCACCAAAGCCGCTCCGACATCCCCAAGCGTCTTGCTCAAAGCACTCACAATCTGTGTCCCCCTCCCGCTGACCAAGTTCGCCAACTCGCTCGCATGTGACTCGACCGCCATTCTCCGGGACCGCCCAACAAACACGATGAGCGGTCGGCCTGCAACAGCTGATTCGGCATCAACAAGCTCGCAAATTGCGTGGAGCGGTTTTGGCGCGTCCTTCTTGAGGAACGTTACGCGCGAGGAAGGAGCAGAGGCGGAGAGACGGTCCCAAAGCAGGTTATCGGCCGTCTCGCTGATCATGCGCGTTTCGGTGGTGTGATTGCCATAGACCGTGTCAGCAGCAGCCATTGTCTGGATCGCACCAGCATTGGCGGCGGGGGCTTCTGCCCCTGTTTGTGTTGTTCCCTCAGTCTTCCGAACCCATACGATGGTGGCCTTGATGTTTGGATTTCTCGAGAGCAGTTGAATGAGGAAACTGAGTGCGAGACGGTCATCAGGGCCCCCAATGAATGGCAAGAAAAGTCTCTGCTCAGCAACGCCAACAGACGTGTTAGGACTGAGCCCACGATCAACAAACAACGCAACGTCCGTTGGCGCCTGGACAAAGATTTTGCGAATCAGCTCTGAGTAAACCACCGAGCTAGTCTGATCTTGCGTCGTCGTTTTATGGAAAACACCGTCAAATGGATTACGAGCCCCAATCGCCTCCGTATCCTCAGTGGAAGTTGCACCACGAGCCCATGGGACAATGATCATCTGCGAGCCTGATTCCGTAGCGTGGTTAGCAATGGCCTCTGGGAATTCGGCATGCTCCACAACCGACAGTGCAGCGCCGACTGCGAGACGACTGAGGTGGCCAAATGTTCGGAAGACAGAGACGATGGGGTCGTTGTGAAGCAGCGAGTCCGCCTCCTGGCTTTTCATCACTCCAGAAGTCCGGTTGGAGAGCTCAATCAAGCGGAGAGCATCAACCGCGACGTGTACCGAGCGGGGCTCCGGAGAAAGACTAGGAATGTTGGCCTCCATCTCTTTCTCACTGCCGACAGACGACTCATAGGATGGAGGAGCACTGGGAGACTGCAGGAGTTGTGTAAAAGTCATTGCGGCCGAGAGTTGTTCGAATTTGTCCAGAACGATGGAGAATTTGGTCTTGATCTCGCCTTCATGATGGCCTGTAGAGCCCTCCGGGTCCTTCTTCGTGCTCTTACTCCTGCCTTCGTGAACACGGTGTTTGGGCGGATAGAACATGATTGTCAAGGGGGTAGTCATGACCGTGAGGATAATGGCATGCAAAACGAACATCGAGAAAGTCCGTGAGTCAAGAATACCGGCAGAAAGACCGATGTTAAGCACGATAAGCTCAACGAGACTAAAATCAATCAGATCTAAAACGGAAGAGTAAGGATTATTTGACGGACCCTTTGCAACTCATCAACGAGCCGATTGCCCCGGCCTCACGCCAGTTGAAGCCACACAGATAAGCGGTCGCACCACAAGCGATGAACTTGGAGGCGAAGGCGACCAGGCAGATGATGATGATGTAGCCCCAGGTAACCCCATTGTCAAGCAAACCAAGATTGGTTCTGAGACCGGAAAGTGCGAAATACTACAAGGCATCAGCGAAAGGTAATTGAACAATACAAGACTGCGTACGATGGGCAGGAAGAGAATAGAGACCAGATCTTCAAGCTTCTCGACCATCGCAATTGCATATCCGTTTTCGTGAGGGATGATAACTCCAGCCAAAAAGCCACCTGGAAAAGCCGTCAGCGGAGTCAAAAAGCGGACGAGCGGAGCAGACCAAAGATAGCATGAACGCCAATGATATCGGTGAAAAAGGCGGACCCAAACACCATTAAAAGGGTCACGGTCATCATGCTAGTGGTAGGAGAGCCTTGCTCGAGACTTCCAGTGCGCCGCGCCAGCCACATGTATGCCCAGCGAACAGGATATAAAAGGAAGATGACGTAGCCCGCGCTGGCAAGTAGCACATAAAGCGCGGTGAGACCGTTGCTGGCGTTGACGAGAGCAACAGTTAACGCCAGAAGAACCCATCCCACAACATCGTTTCCCACACCCGCAGCCAAAGTCACGGTGCCGACGGTCGTGTCGAGAAGTTGGAGCTCTGTAAGGATGCGACAAAGGACGGGGAAGGCAGTGATCCCGATGGCAACAGCAACGAAGAGAAGGAAATAGCCGAAATTGACGCTGGGGTCTGTGAACTCGCGATAGACACCAACTCCCAAGGCGGCACCGAGGCCAAGGGGGACAGCGAGACCGGCGATCGAGATGAACGAAGCTGCGCGAGCGTTTTTTCTGATGATCCGGACATCGATTTCAAGTCCGACCAAGAAGAGGAAAAGAACAAGACCAATTGTGGCGGTGAGGGTAAGCAATGGCATGCCTGCTGGGGGAAAGATGCGTCTGGAGAAATTCGGGATGCGGCCCATAACGGAAGGGCCGAGCAGCACCCCTCCAATTACTTCTGCAATAACTCGTGGTTGGCGAATACGGCGTAGAAAGAGGGAGAGGAATTGGGTCATAGAAATGATAATAACTAGGGGAAAATAGGTCTTTTGAATATTCAACGAGGACTGAATGCAGCGCACCAACTTGGATGACCCATAGTTGGATGGGGTCGCTGGCGTTGTAGTGTGTGGGGTTACTACCGGAGATGATTCCTCCCTGCAAAGATGACTGAACAAAGGTGGTGAGGAGGGGGAGCACATACCTGTTCTGCAGCTGCTCTCGCCGCAAGAGCGCGGGATACATCGGCAACCTGGTTAGAGAGAATGCCCATGATGGGAGAGTGCAAGGGGAGTGCCAAGGAATGTCAGACACCCTACATATAAAAAGGCTTAGTGGACCAAATAACACGAGTGAAATTGAGGCACGATCACTTGACCTCCTAGATCCCTAAGTGGACACTGTGGAGGCAAGTGGAGGCGTTGTCAGGCCTTCAGGAGTTGAATTCCAGCTGCGCAGGTAGTGCAACCATGCAGTGGAAATCCCCTGACCATATGAAACACGGATCAGAATAAGTTACTTTGAAGTGAAGACGTTTGCCGATCGCGACCAGGGCCGGGACGATGGTCAAGATGTTGGGTCGGAGTTCTAAGACATGGTTTTGAAGGGAGTCTCTCTACCTAATAGTAAGGAGGGTTGAAGAAACAGTGTACATATGCTCTTCATGCGGTTTTCTCTTCATGATACTTGAAGTTATTGGCTGCAGTTTGGTTGCCATCGAAAGTAGGTCGCATTCGTCATAGATCACGTGCAATGATTCCATCACTATCGGGTGATTCAATCATTCTATGGACGCAAGGGCCACACAACACAGTGAACACTGTTTCTTGAGGCTTACTTGGAGGGAGAAATTGCGTAAAAGCTCTCAACAAGCCCTCCACTGTAGCACTAACATAGTATTCCGGTGGCCATCAAGCAACACGCTTGATCAACGGGCTGTCTCATGGGTGTAACCATGACTTGTTTCTAAACACTCACAACACATACCACTCCTTCACTCCTTCCGATGCCTCGCGAAAACAGCTTCAGCGACTCAGATGGGCGTTCGTTGACCCCAGATTTGGAGGACGAAATCGACCCATTTGCCAGACCAGCTTCCCCACGATACTCGGCCCAACCCACCAACCTCCACACGACAAGAACACGAGAATCTGTCCGCTCACCACCACATTCGGCCAAACCAGTATACCCTCCCACATTCATCGCTCCCAAAGAGCGATTCCGCCGAGCAGTCCAGAAAGTCATTGCACTTCGCCAGGGGACTAATGTCCTCGATTCTGGTCGCGTTGCAGGCGCGGAGCCTGGCGTAGACGTTCTCAAACCCTCTGCCGATGCCGAATATGGCTCCCTCAGGGCCAACACAGTCATCGACATTATTGACTACTCTGCTGTTCGAAGCAATGTTCGGAGAATGGCAAATCACCAATTCGTCGAGTTTATGAACGACTTTCAAGCGAGTGAGCCGCAGGAGTGGGTTAAGGTGCGGTGGATCAACATTGGAGGCGTTAGCTGGGACGTCATTAAAGCTGTTTCGATACGCTACAGTGAGTGATTAGCTGGGTGGTGAAGAGATAGCAAACTTTCACAGACCTTCATCCCCTCGCTCTGGACGATATACTTCACGCTCACCCGCGAGCGCGGTCCAAAGTGGACTATTACAACCAACACCTATTTATGCGCATTCTCTGCCATGAGTTGGATGAGAGCGAGCGTCAGACCGACCATTTAAAGCGTTCTCGCTCAGCGGCTGCTAAACCAGTGACTCCTTTACGACCAGGAATTCGACATCGTCGAGAAAAGCGGGGAACAACCCCCGCGCTAGCAAAGGCGGCATTTCAAACAGCGACTGCCCCCGGTTTGCGTTCTCCAGACGACATAGAAAGTCCTGCTCTCCGCAAAATAAAAAAACAAGCAAGAATTAGCGTCAATGTTGCGCCCATGTTCGCATTCCTTCTTCGCGACGGTACGCCGTTTCATAGCCATCATCCTAAGACTGAGACTTTGCAGGGACTGTTATCACCATGCATTCAAATACCAATTTGGACATGACCGAGCCAATAGCCGCACGTCTCCGCCAGTTCGACAGTGTGTTGCGAACGTCGGCCGATGCTTCCCTCTTGATCCAAAGTCTCTTGGGTCTGGTAGCAGACATGGCGCTCGAAGTAGTCCATGCGTATGAAGGAAAAATCAGGCATTTTGAGCGACAGATTCTGTCCCATCCAACAATGGAGACTGTTCGCGATCTCCACATCCTTTCGGCAGACCTTATGTTACACCGTCGAACCCTCGACCCCATTACCACGGTCGTCAGTGGGCTGAGGCGGTATGATGTTGATCGAGTAGCTGCCTTGCTGGACGAGGCGGTTCAAGATACGATTGGCAAGGACGTACAGGTCGTTGGGTATATGAGTAAAAAGGCCCAAACTTATCTGGTATGTGTTGGTCTATTCTCTGAATTAGTGTTGATTATGAGTAGGCGGATGTGAACGACAATATGGACTATGTTCTGAGCCAGCTCGACATGATTGCCGGGATTGGAGAAAACCTCGTCACCTACACCTTCAATGTGGGAGGAATCGATTGCTGTCGTTCTGTTGCTCAACATTTTTGCAGCTTACTTCATACGAGATGAACGAAGTGATGTATTGCTTCCCTCTCCTCGTTCGCCCTCATTCTAAATCAGCGACAGGCGACGGCTGACCCTTGCCTCCATCATCTTCCTCCCTCTCACCCTCCTTGCTGGCTATGCTGGAATGAACTTCCAATATCCGGACGTAGCCACAAATATGTGGTTTACCTCCCACAAGCACAACGACGTTACGTATGTTGACGAACCGTGACCTGGCTTCTTTAGCTGACGAGCATCTCTAGCTTCTGGGCTATTGCAATCCCAGTTCTGGCCGTGACAATGGCCATATTCTTGGGTCCCGACATTCGACGGATGGTGTCCTATGTACGCAAAAAGGTCCTGACACAGAATGCTCTCAAGGTACGCATGTGTGTAGACCTAATGGGCTCCGTTATTAACAGGAACAACAGAGCATTATGCAGAACTAAGGATGTTCATGGTCGATCGTAGATGAGTCTTATGTAACCAGTTGTTATAATCATGTGATCGCTCCCGTTCTTCTCCACACCGTGATGGCGAGAAACCTTTCGCCGTGCTGGTGGGGACTTATAGGGGTTGGTGGCGGGCTCCCTGCTTGAATAAAGTTCGGAGCGCCGCTGAAATTACCGAAATCTACGACGCCATTAAACATGAGCGTTTCACAGTTTGTCAGGTCGCACGATTTGTTAGCGATCCCTTCTGGCCACCATGGCCCTGGACCCCCTCTTCACCTTCAGCGACGCGCAATGGGCTCTCTATCTAGTCCTCATGCAGCTTCCCCTCATTTTACAACCATCCCAATACCGCCCATTATTTTTCGTGCCAATCCTTGCATTGACAGTGTACACGGCCTTCTCGACAAAAGGCCGCTTTCTCGACGACTACTACAACTCCCTGCAATGGATGACCTACTTCTTCTTTGCCTCGGACTACATCCTCATGACGGATGTGCAAAGAGAGTTGCGGCAAGTGCCAGGGGACGCCGACACGAAAAACGGGATCGAAAACGCGTCACTGTGGCGGCGGTTTTGCTGGGCCAACTCTTTGTTTTTCAGCCCCCGTGGAGTTGGCTGGGCACACGAGCCAACCGACTCGCTGCCGCCCCACCCACCATTAAACATATCACGGACGCGTTTTGTCCTCCAGCGACTGCGCAGCGCGGTAGTCTTCTTCCTTATCCATGACCTGTGTAACCTCCACGTGCGCGCCAACCCGATGTTCTACCCTGAGGGCCCTGGCTGGCGCTCAGACGGCTGGCTCTGGCGCTATATCGTCACAGTTTCATGGGCCTTGTCGGCATCGACTGCCCTGTGCCTAATATTCTCGCTGTTGAGCGTACTCGCCGTTGTGACGCGTTTCTCAGAGCCCCAAGCGTGGCCTGCTCTCATGGGTAGGCCCGGGGACGCGTATACGATCCGACGGTTCTGGGGGTAAGCTTATTCCCCCCAGTTTCGTCCTGATTCACTGACGTACAACAAAGTCGGACATGGCACCAGTTAATGCGCCGAGTATGTCCTCTTTCCATCCACTCTTGCTCTGCTCATCTCTGTTTAGTTCGTCTCATCGCATGGCAGACGACTGGTCCAATTCCTCGGACTTCGTCGCGGCAAAAACCCCTCCGCTTACACCCAGCTCTTCGTGGCCTTCTTCATCTCTGGCGTCGTCCACTACGCTGCTGAGGTTATTGCTATGCGCAACTACGCCGGCATGGCGATGATATTCTTCATGCTGCAGCCGTGTGGAATCATGTTGGAAGACTTTGTCATCTGGTGTGGCCGCCGTGCTGGCTGGGAGAGTGACAAATGGAATTACGTCGGCTACTTCACGACGCTGACTTGGTTTGCGTTGGTGGGGCCGCTGTGGCAGGAAACTCTGGTACGGGAGGGACAGATGACCGAGGGCTTGCCTGTGAGTGTGATCATGGGTGTTTGGAAAGGCCAGTGGGTGCATGGACCATTTCCTACGTTACATTAGTGCTCCTTTTGTCCCAGCCTTAGCTAGTAGTTGCAACCAACCTCCTCTTTTCCAGCATAAATTCTGCTGAAAATTAACTAAATAATTATTTCCAAACATCTTTGCGTAACTTGCGTAACTCTATTCTTGCCTCCAACATATTCCTTTTCCCGGTATTGATATAGCAAGCTAGAGGCCCATGGATTTCAGACACTATGCCGCGCGGCGGTTTCAGCTTCTCAAGCCCCTACAAAGTCTCAGACACGACAGCATATTTATATCTCGATTTCTGACTTGGGAAACACAGACCGAGCGCCCCGTGTGCGTAGTAGGCGCGACAACTCTGAAGAGAGACCCTACAGTCGGCGCATCAAGTCCTGCATTCCCTACCTGGTTTGCCAAATAGCAACCTGGGTAACACGAGTCAGTGATGGCGGCGCCGACATGGACGGGAGGTAGGGCAACTCCTACCTGCTTTCATGCTCCTCTCGATGTCGGACGAGACGCAAGCAAGGGATTTGCTTGTTCGATAACTCCGTTGAGTTATGTTGGGTTTGAATGTCACATAGCGAGCCATGGTGTCTGTGTTGGCTGCACGACGCATCTTGCCCCAAATTTTCGCTTGGTAGACTTTGGTAAGTCCGAGTCTTCGACCAAAACCCGAGGCCTCTTCTCTCATTCAAGTTCTCCAGAGGTCTGATGATCAAACTTGGAAAAGACGGACCGAGCGCCCCGTGTGCATAGTAGGCGCGACAACTCTGAAGAGAGTCCCGACAGTCGGTGCATCAAATCCTGCATTCCCTACCTGGTTTGCCAAATAGCAACCTGGGTAACACGAGTCAGTGATGGCGGCGCCGACATGGACGGGAGGTAGGGCAACTCCTACCTGCTTTCATGCACCTCTCGATATCGGACGAGACGCAAGCAAGTGATTTGCTTGTTCGATAACTCCGTTGAGTTATGTTGGGTTTGAATGTCACATAGCGAGCCATGGTGTCTAACTCAAAGTGCATTCGGATTTGAAGGGAATTCGCAACTTTCCGTAGATTCCAATACAGACTGAGTCTTATATTCCTTCACACACCTTCTAGGTTCTAGTAAAAGAATGTGAGCATTTTGAAAGATCTAGCATTAATTACAGTACTGAGGCTCCTCGTAAGGCTCGCAAATAGTCCGTATGCCATAGAATAAGTTATATCAATGACGTGATTCCTCCACCGCGAGAGTCGAACTTGAAGCTTGAAGCTCCTTCTTTGCACTTCTAAAGCTTAACCTCGACAGTGCCGACAGCGAACTCGAAGCACTCTTCCGGGCACAAGCTTGGCATCGCGACGAGGGCGGCAACATGGGCCGGGACGGACTGCAGTCCAGCATTTTCCTTGCCAGCGGCGCAAGTGCGTGGGGGCAATAGCGAAAGCGAAAGCGGCTGACGGGTTGGATGACTCGTTTGTAGGGCGGCGGAAAGGGAACACACCAGCATATCGGTCCACAGAGCAGCATGAACGTTGGTTGGTGCGACAAACACGTCGAAAATGGGCGGCGGTGTCGTTTGACGCGTCTTTGCGGGAGGAGGGGTTGCCACTGCGAGTGTGACTCGGCGGACAACAGGAAAACGGCAGCGGGCCCAGAGCATGAAGACGCCGAGGATGATACCCAGCGCAAGCAGCACACCCATGATGTAGTAGCCTAATGCGAGGTCAATGCTATGTTTCCAACAAGTTATACTACACACGGGACCCAGCATCGGCAGGATTGTTCACGGAAGGAGGAAGTCGGCGCGCTTCACTTGAGGCCTCGAGCCATGTGGAGGCCATGGGGGGACGAGAAGAAGAGAGTGTACATAATGAACTGAGTTTGAGCCTGTCGACGGTGGCGCTTGCTCGGAGGAGAGGAGAAGCGCGTGACCGTGATGGCGGATCAAATCACTCTTGGCAATCACGCTGACCTTGGCGGCGGCCCAATGCTCCAAAGCGGCCCAACGCAGTCGTCCTTAACGACGCCCGACGAACGTTTATAAGAGCTTGTGGTCAACCAGAACCTCCCAATGACGCGCATCGCTCTCATCATCGGCTCTACCCGCACCCCCAGAATCGGGCCCAGCATTGCCAATGTTGTCCTCGAAATAGTAAAACCACTGCTGCCTTCTGGCTCTACCCTCGAAATCCTTGATCTTAAAGACCACCCGGTTCCAATGCACCTTTTCGATGCCCCACCAGCGGGAGTTACTCCTGGATCTTACCCAGATGCTGCGACTAATGCCTGGTCTGCGGTCATCAGCAGTTTCGACGCCTTCATTATCCTTACCCCACAGCACAACTGGGGCTACCCAGCAGTCCTGAAACTCGCTCTCGACGCCCTCTACCACGAATGGGCGAAGAAGCCCGCCGTCGTTATCTCCTACGGCTCGCATGGTGGGGGGAAAGCTAATGCCCAGCTCCGCCAGGTTCTTTCTGGTCTGCGGATGCGCGTCTGTGAACGATTTGTCGAGCTGCCTTTTGCACGGGGACATGATCAGGCGGGCGCGGAAATCGACTCTGCCACGAATGACCGTTGGCGCATAGAAAACAAGAAAGTGGAGCTTGTCCAGGCTTGGGATGCATTTATGGCTCTGTGTGCATAATGTTTGTTGTACTTTAATCAGCGTCTCCTCTCCAAAGTCAGCGGAATATCGTGAGCGGCAAGCGTCAACGCGATGTGTCCGTCCAGCACTCTCTTTCTCCACTCTGATGTGGTCTCTCCTTCACTCAGTAACGGTTTGACCCGCCAGTCGCGTAGGAGCATAGCGAGAAAGCACGTTGCCTCGATTGTGGCAAATCGACGACCAATGCACGCTCGCGTCCCCACGCTGAACGCGGTAAACGCCTCCGAGTCAGTCGGCAGACCGTACCACCTCGAAGGACGGAACTCTGCAGGGTCTTCGAAGTGGCGAGGGTTATATTCTGGCCAGCAATGCTCAGTTGTGAACATCATAGAAAAACAGAAGACAAACGCATTCCAATCATGTCGACATTGAGCTATTGACTTGTCAGTACTGGTCAACTGGGCCGGGAGCGGTAGACCTAGGCACAGACGTGAATCCACCTTGGCCGATCGGGTTAGGCACTTGCAAAATCGTGTCCTCGGCAGCTTCGCGCATCATGATATGGCCCGCTGCTAAACATGGTGTCAGTAACGGGTCGTGCCAAGGGAGGAAAGCTCACGGTACAGGCGAACAGCGCCGCCTCCGAGTCGCGCGCGTCCCTCGTCCTGTCCGCACCGCCGCACGCCGCACGCCGCACGCCGCACGCCGGGTCACAGACGTGACCAACCACCGCGTTCTTCTGCATCTACTCCACCACCTTTGCGCGTCCCGTCACAGATCTCGTGACTCACATCTCTTCCTCTTGTCCTTCATCAGGGTAACCGACAGCATGTCCGCTGAGAAACGGCGGGCGAGAAACGGCGCCGGGCATATCGCCGAGCCAAGCGGTGAGTCCAGCCCAGTGCCAGCAATCAGACTTGTACCAGGCCGCACTTAGCGATCAACAGCGACGCCGACCTTGCCCTCTCCCAAACGGCAACATAAGTTGACGACCCCACAACTTACGCCGGCGCCTATCCGGCTTCACCTTCCCCTCCGGCAACTCACGACCTACTACCAACTACGAATTCGGCCGGCACGCTGCGCGAATTGCAGGACTGCCGGTCCGCCCGGTTGCATCCAAATCTGGGCAAGCGGCTGGGGCCGGCGCGCCTTTCGAGGCAGCGGCAGCAGCAGCCCGAGCAACTCGGGAGTGCCGCCAAAACTAAACGACTCATTACCGCCAACCCACGCTCCTACTCTCCTTGAAAACGCCCATCAACACCAGCAAGCTCGCGCAACGACGAAGACAAAACTACTCAAGTCAATCAGCAAGACGGGATAACAGAAGGATTAGTGCTTGCGATGACAAACGTGGGCGACTGCAGGCGGGACCGTCCCTGGCAACGACGGCAACAACGCTGCTTTGGATTCAAGGTCACGGTGAGCGTGCCAGAATGGGAAACTGGGTGCACAACTCACTTTTCCATCAGTGATGGTAGGCGGGACGATGGAGACGGTTGGCGTGCTTGAGCAGCGGCAAGACAAGACCCGACAGACACTGCCAAACGGTCAGCGCGAGAAGGTTATAAAACCTCATCAACGCCAACTACCTTCTTCCCCGGCGCCAACGACAACGAATTCACCAAGAACAACACGTTCTGCGAATACTGGGGCAACACCAACTCGCACGGCCACTGTCTCGGACGACAACGATTAATGCGGCATTGACAAGTCTGTAAGGTGCAGGACTTATCACGACTTTGTAGGTAAACTCGCGATTCTGCGGCCGGCAAGCCAACGCGACGGGCTGGTCTGGCAACGATGAGGTATGTCTAGAATTGGCCGACTCCGCACAAGCAAACTCACCTATAAACTTGCCAGCGCCAACCCGATCCGCTTGCGAAGCGGCATAAGTCGACAACAGTCAACGGATATGAAACGAAGACTTTAGGGCTGCAGCGGGAATCTTGGTAAGTCTGCAATTGTCCAGTTCATTCAAACGCAAACTCACTTCATCTTAAAGCAATCTCACTTCATCTTCCCCAAAGCAATACCAAGTCTGCACGGGTGAGCTTGAAGGTCGTTTAGTCCTAAGATATAGAACTCACTTTTGCAATGTCTGGCTTTGCCTGAACTCGCGACGCCAAGCGAGTACTCGCGCGGCCGCTATCTCGGACGAGAAAGACTAAGGCGATATTGACAAGTCCGTGCTTATCACCACTTTGTAGGAAAACTCGGCTGGCAAGCCAACGCGACGGCTGGTCTGGCAACGATCAGGTATGTCCGACTTAGCACAAGCAAACTCACCTATAAACTTGCCCATTACAGGATTGCGCGCGCAACCTGATCCGCCTTCGAAGCAAACACAGGAGAACGCGCGAACGACAATCGCGGGCAGCGGTCATGAACCCCAGTTTGGGTTGCGAGCACGAGCTAAAATGACAAAGTCAGTTCAACAATCAAGTTGTTTAGTTTGAAACGATATGCTTACTTTTTTGCGAGACAACCGTCCAAAGTCTAAACAGGTTCGACAATAGGCTTACTTGTTGCAACCAGGCGGGTGCTTTTCGCTCGATTTGATCTTGGGCATCGCGGAACCGACCGACATCGAGCGCGGGCTCACGTTCGCGCTCCAGCGCAAACACCAGTAGGTCTGTTGTCTGAACAAGGTCAAAGTCGTCTCGCATAACTGACGTTTTCGCAGGGTCGGACATCGCAAACAAAGCTGGCCGCCATTGAGCGCCAGTCTGTGCTTAACTGTTGAGCACGCAAACGCCAACACGTTGACATATTGCGCAAGACCTTCGACAAATGAAGCTATTGACGACGAGGTAAGCAAGGAACGGAACATGAAATCGTAAACCTTGAGCACAAAAACAGCATTGGCGCCGAGTTACCGATTTGATGTCCCAACACAACGAGCGCTAGTTTGACTTGGAATAGGTAAGCAAAGCAGCACAGTCAAATGAATCGCACACTTACATGCCTGTTACGTGCAGTTTCCACAGGCCCATGGCGGATTCGCGCTTGAACTCGAAATCAGCATTGGTGTCCGCACTACTTTGTGAGGATGAGGTGGGCTAGCTGAAGGAAAGTCGAGTAGAAAGCTAACTCACCTTCAGTTTGCGGCAACGATGAACGATGAACCGTGAAGTCGGAGGCGGCTGCTGAGTGATCTCGGAGATGACAGCAGAAGGAAGCGGAAAAGGGATGGAAGTTTGGAACGCTAAGTACCGTTGTATGTACAAGGAGAGAAGATATGGCACTATGGTATCAGCAATGCTGAAGGGGGAAGGAGGGCATGTTTGCGCGTAACTTGACGCGGCTTGGGTTTTATAGATAGCGCGGTGCCTGTTGAATGAAGCTGGAACATTTCCCAGGTTGACTGCCATCTGCTGGGGAGCGTTGCGGCGGGAACGGACACCGCTGGGATGTTGCTTGGGGCGGAATATGCAAAGTCGCGTATTTCGCATTTACATTGGGCGGTGTTGCGCTTCTCGTCCGATCCTCGCATCCATCTGTCAGGAATGATGGTGACGTGAGTTTCCCACAAGCCCGGCACAATCGGAAAAGGCGATGTGGCGCCGTAGAGATATCTTACTGGGGTGGTATTCAGCAAACTGGGAGGCTTTGAGACCAGGGATAGTGGCGATTGAAGCGGGGATAGTGTTTTGGGGATGTCAACATTTATTCCCACGCTGAAGATCGGTCGATCATGGTCTGAAAACATGCAAACGACGTGTTTGTTGTGGTGATTACCCTTTTGGGATGCTCTCCAGAAGGCCTCAATTCAGCCACGAAATGGGTGAAACAAGGCAGAGGAAAAAGCGCCATGGGATTTCCCAAAAAACCCGATGGCATCGGAGATCTGCAAAAATAAAAGGTGAGTCAACGCAAAAGATGCGCCGACAACAAAACTAGGCGAGCGGCATAAAGCACGCTAGGCCAAGCAGGTACAGGAACCGGTGTCAGGAAGCATCACTTGTCGACCGCCTACAGCCGAATCACGGTATTGATGTCACCCACAGGAACCTCGCTTATGACTTGACTCGGGAACCGCTTAGGATGACTCGGGAACTTCTTACGCGCTCCGCCGACATGGCGCCATTATTTCTCGTTGTTTCCGGCCTTGTCACGCCGCGTCACCCGGTTTCTTCCCACCGTCATGGGCAACTCACCAACGCGTCAACAAACGCGTTACGACGCGTGCCTGTCTGACGGCATTTTTTTCAGTGTCACACGTTGCCTAACGTTTGCTCAAAACCACCACCTCCTCCTTCTTTTCTCAATTCTTGCCTGTCGTTGCGCCCCCCGTTGCTGCCCTCTCGGTGAGTTTCCGTGCTCCAAACTCGAGCTCTTGGCTCTTGGCACTCACTTTTTCTCAGACTGCTCGCGAGATGGCTTTTCCGCAGCCAGCGCGTCGTCCTCACTGGTCTTTCCTACTGCCGTGCCCGCCTCATTGCTCACCCAGCAACCTCCGAGGCTCCACATGTCTCAAGGATTCGTGTCAACCACCAGGTGTGCGGCTTCATTTCGTTGATAGTTGTTGCTTACAAGTCCTTACAGTCTGCGGGAAAGTCTTCACGCTGAGCTTCTCTGCAAGCCTCCGTGTTGTATGTGGTGTTTCTGCTCATCTGCCGGTGTAACATCACCCTCATTCCCTGTAGAACTTATGCTTTTGGTGCCGCATTGACGACTTCACCATGATTTATGTTGGTGGTTGTGTGTGTCCCGGCCCGCAGACTATCTGACGTGAACTTGGTATGTTTCTCTCCTTCATTCAACCTTTGATTGTCTGACTCTTTCCAAAGACCTCGCGGAGCCGTCGTCACAAGTCCTCTGACGTTGCTGCGCTGCCTGCGCAGACTCTACGACAGTGCTCTTGTTTCGGGCGAGTTGTTGCTGGCTTGTGCCAGCCTCTGTGGCGCTGTACAACCTAAAATACTACTCGTCATTGTCCGGCAGGTATGTTTTGTGCTCTTCTCATGTTTAAATGCTTATTTATTGTTCAAATTTCGCCCAGAACAGCTCCCTCAACGCCTTGCCCAAACTCCCTGGCACAAATTATATGCCACGATACGATTACGTAAGCACTTTCTGTCGCTTCGGGGGGCTTTCAAAATGACGCATTTTATGCCAGATTTTTACTGCAAGAGGTGATGAGTCCGGCTGCGGATACTTTCAGCACATGGTCAGTCTCCTGCGCCTCCTCACTTGATCCTGGACTGATTTCCTCGCCAGAATGAGCCCGGCCCGTGATGCCGAGCCGCCGGCCGTAGATCCGATCATTGATCCGGATTTTCCGATGTTTTTGGGGAGCACTTTTGCTGTCCAAAAACGGGCTAACTCGACCCATTTTTTGCGGGATTTTGCCGCCAGAGGCACAAATAACGGGTGGCCTAGCAATGTTGCGTTGGCAGCTGTTTGCTGCCAGGACAGGTTTGTGTTTCTTCCATTGATCTCTATATTGTTTGACTCGGACTCTCTGCCATCATTTCAGCGGTCGAGGGTATAGAGCTCGGCAACTCCGCACAAGACTCGCAGTTGAAACACTTGGTAAGTTTCTTACTATTCTCGTGTTCTCATGCTCATTCATTGTTAGATCTATACAACATTGATGATGCCCCAGCGTCTGCAACACCAATTTTTTCGCCAGAGCCTGCCTACGGCGTTGTTGGTGAGTTTCATAATCTTCTTGTCAATGTGAATGCTCATTCTCTACAGCTAAATCACGCTCCCTGATCTTGTTCCCTACCACCGCGCCTGTCTCCCGAGACCATTTCCACTCCCCCAAACAGCGATTTTTTCGCTGGAGCTCGCCTGCGGCGCCATAGAGATATTACCCAAGGCCAACATATTCCGCGCAAACACGACTCGTGACTCCCTCCCCTCCGAAACTCGCCTCCTCACCACTCATTTTTGGCCCGAGTTGGCCTGCGGCGCCGCGAGGCTAATGTCTGTCACATCGACATGACTTTCCCTCGCGTGTGTTTGTCTACAGCGTCTGGCCAGTTGGTCTTGCTTCCCGGGACCACTTCTCCTCTCCCAAACAGTGATTTTTCGCTCGAGCTCGCCTGCGGCGCTATTGGAGCCGCTCTTGTGCTCAGCGCTATTACCACTACCAGCCTGTTCCCCTCCCACAACTCGTGTGTCGCCGCAAGCAAGCACCATCAAGGGAAGTTCCTGCAACCGGCATCCGCCAGCAGCAAACTCGCGGTTTGGATATGCCCATTTTTTGTGGGAGCTCGCCTGCGGCGCCACGCAGTCCTTGATTTCTCTGGTCGCAAGACTTGCAGTGACCCAAGCCTGTCCGCCTTCAACAACTTGGGCGTCACTCGCTCCAGGGGGTCTTCACCCGCGCCGTGCAATGCTATCGGCCCTACTTATGCAATCACGACTGTCAATTCCTTCCCTTCAACCACTACGTTTTTCGCAAGAGCTCGCCTGCGGCGCCATTGGAGCTCAATACTGCCCACGAGCAACAGCCCGTCGCTGACCCCAACATCTCGATACCATTTCCCCTCCCCCGAACAGCGATTTTCGCTCGAGCTCGCCTGCAGCGCCGTTTTGCCCAAGCCGCGACTTGCCCATAATACCCTCCAAAGCTCGCCCCTGGACCCCCCATTTTTCAGCGGGAGCTCGCCTGCGGCGCCGTTGCAGCCTATCTCGCCGCGTGTTGCGCACAATCTCTGTCGCCAACATGGCCGTCGAAAGACTTGTGCTAGTGTGTGGTTACCTGCAGCGCTCAATGCCAACTTGGATCCTGCTGGACCCAAACTTTGTCACCAACACACAGAGCAGAAACGGCGAGCGACACTGTGAGAAACCAGAGCGACCTCAGTGTTGGGCATCTGGCGATAGCAGCATGAGTTAGAATCTGGCGAGACGTGGCCTTTGACATGGAGAAGGGATGGAATTGGCGGGAAGGGAGACTCGGATCGGGAGCTACACGGGGATAGCGCGGCGGACGCGTATCTCTCGCTGGATCTGGGGATAGTAGTTTTTTTTACGCGTCAAACACGGTAGTTTACGCGTCGGGTACCTTTGAATTTTCACGCGTCGGTGTTGGGTACCTTGAATAAAAGTTTTTTTTTCCAGTGGATTTGCCGTAATACAGGTGCATAAAATACGAGCGCGAGCTGCGAGCCTTAGCGAGCTGCGAGCCTTAGCGAGCTGCGAGCCTTAGCGAGCTGCGAGCCTTAGCGAGCTGCGAGCCTTTGCGATGGGTGAGCAAGCAGCGTTGAGGTGGACAGCGGAGGGAATGGGCTCGCCTTTGCGATGGGTGAATGACGCGCATCGCTCTCATCATCGGCTCTACCCGCACCCCCAGAATCGGGCCCAGCATTGCCAATGTTGTCCTCGAAATAGTAAAACCACTGCTGCCTTCTGGCTCTACCCTCGAAATCCTTGATCTTAAAGACCACCCGGTTCCAATGCACCTTTTCGATGCCCCACCAGCGGGAGTTACTCCTGGATCTTACCCAGATGCTGCGACTAATGCCTGGTCTGCGGTCATCAGCAGTTTCGACGCCTTCATTATCCTTACCCCACAGCACAACTGGGGCTACCCAGCAGTCCTGAAACTCGCTCTCGACGCCCTCTACCACGAATGGGCGAAGAAGCCTGCCGTCGTTATCTCCTACGGCTCGCATGGTGGGGGGAAAGCTAATGCCCAGCTCCGCCAGGTCCTTTCTGGTCTGAGGATGCGCGTCTGTGAACGATTTGTGGAGCTGCCTTTTGCACGGGGACATGATCAAGCGGGCGCGGAAATTGACTCTGCCACGAATGACCGTTGGCGCATAGAAAACAAGAAAGTGGAGCTTGTCCAGGCTTGGGATGCATTTATGGCTCTGTGTGCATAATGTTTGTTGTACTTTAATCAGCGTCTCCTCTCCAAAGTCAGCGGAATATCGTGAGCGGCAAGCGTCAACGCGATGTGTCCGTCCAGCACTCTCTTTCTCCACTCTGATGTAGTCTCTCCTTCACTCAGTAACGGTTTGACCCGCCAGTCGCGTAGGAGCATAGCGAGAAAGCATGTTGCCTCGATTGTAGCAAATCGACGACCAATGCACGCTCGCGTCCCCACGCTGAACGCGGTAAACGCCTCCGAGTCAGTCGGCAGACCGTACCACCTCGAAGGACGGAACTCTGCAGGGTCTTCGAAGTGGCGAGGGTTATATTCTGGCCAACAATGCTCAGTTGTGAACATCATAAAAAAACAGAAGACAAACGCATTCCAATCATGTCGACATTGAGCTATTGACTTGTCAGTACTGGTCAACTGGGCCGGGAGCGGTAGACTGACTTTAGTTCCTTTCTTGATAGGCACAGCCGTGAATCCGCCTTGGCCGATCGGGTTAGGCACTTGCAAAATCGTGTCCTCGGCAGCTTCGCGCATCATGATATGGCCTGCTGCTAAACATGGTGTCAGTAACGGGTAGCGCCAAAGGAGGGAAGCTCACGGTACAGGCGAACCGCCTCGTAGAAGATTGCCAAAACTTTGTCGAGCTTGTTGTAGTCCTCATACTCCTACGCCAATAGTGTCAGAGGTCGCCGCCAAAAGACACTTGTGGCAATGCTTACCGGGTCCCGGTCACAGCCAATCACGTCTATAATCTGCTGCACGACTTCGTCTTGGGTACTTTGATGCAGCGCGATAAGGCCGAGGGCGGCTGCGAGTGTGTGGGCCGTGGTTTCATGCCCAGCAAACATGAACGCGAAAATATTGCCGATCTGGGAATATTTGTCTGGACCCAAACAAGGCATGAAAATGAACACACACAAGTTCGTCGTCACTGAGCGTATATTTCCCTTCCTCCTCCTGATTAGCCGCGACAAGCTTCGTAAACAGGTCGGACTGCAGAGGCTTCCCTGAAGTAACGTCTACTTTGCGCTCTGCCGCCTGTGTTTGCATAAAATTCACAAGAAGGTTGCGCGCTGTGCGGATTTGCTTGAATCTGTCTCCAGTTAGTTGTTTTCCCGTTCATGTTCCGAACCTACGTTTTGGTGGGGAAGTAGAAGAACCACTTGGGGAGGAAAATCATCGACAAATGGTGGACAGAGACGATTTGCAAGGCTGTTTGCATCGACATTCCACCATCATCTGTAGTAGGTGCCGCCCTGAGATGAATTGAGCATCGCGCTGACTAGTGCATACCCCAACTCACCATGTCGATGGGAGACCAAATCCACAGTTGCAGATAATGAGTAAGGCAAACTGGAGGCAATGAACAAACGAATATAAGAGATGTTTGGCTCACCTTGATCGTGATGTTTTGAATGACGGGTATGTCCACGCTCTCAAGGCCAGTCCAGCCTTCAGCTTGCATCATGTCATTGTAGTTGTCCTGGCTCTGTTTCCACACAAGCTTGTACCTGAAGGAATGCTCAGTGTACGATAGAAGGGGGGAGAATGAAGACCGACAGATCGGTGCTGAAAGCAGGCCCTACAATTCTGCGATGCTTGCGCCACAACTGACCGTCTGCGGCAATGATATTCGATCCCCAATACCTTCATACGAGAATATGAGCAAAATGCTTCGACCGTGGTATGACATACGAGAGCGCGAGACTGCCCTCCCTCGGCTTGAACCAGCTACTCCGATGCGAGCCAACAGCGACCTGGCGCGCCACATCGACATTGGAGGTCCACAAGTTGGAGCCGCCCAAGATCAGCGGAACGATCTCGACGGTGTCATTGCGAGTGTATGCTGCAGGATTCGACTATAAGTCACAACAGCGGTATGGTTGTGAATTGCCCTGACTTTGGAAACGCCGGACCCAGTGCCACTGGTACCCGATGAACCAGGAGTTGGTGGGGAGCAGGACACCCGGAAGACCGAACGGCTGGAAGGGAGGAAACATTCGAGGAAAGTATGCCTTCGCCTGACCGCAAGAGCTCTATGAACATGGAGGTTTAAGCATCAAGATACGCACACGTAGCATATTGAAGAGGTTGAGAAGGTGCATTACGATGGAAACACCGAGTAGCGTAACGAGCGCGGATTTCAGGTCCATGCGTTCTAAGACACTCAAGGGTGTGCTCCAAGAAGGCATGAGTGAAGGGTGGAAGATAAGCAAAAGCAGGCATAATGAGGAAGCACTGACGTCTTTTAAGAGATTGGCGTCCGTGTCAAATGCCGAACATGAACAAACCGCGCGCCATTTTGCACCGTCGCCCGTGCCGATCTTCATTTTGAGTTCAATTGGCCAAGGCACACTAAAACGTGGTGAAACATACGGGTGCCTCGGCTACCACGAGCGCCGTCTCCTTGGTGTACAGGGTCATAAAAGCGGACATGATACCTGTATCGTACGACCTCGGAGAGAGAACATTTGCTTCCCGCGACACTGACATAAAATCCGGCGAGAAAGCGGCAGGTCATGACCGGACTAAGTATCTTGGTCTGCGATGGGGTCTACGATTGGTATTTGGCAGGTTACAAACTGTGGTAAGTGGTGGATTAGCTTGCGTCGTTCACACGAATCGGACAAACAAACAAGGGAAGTAATAGGGTGGTTAGATTCAATTAATCCTATTCCGTCATTTCAACAGCGAATCCTATAGCAAGTCGAGAAAAGCTACAAGTCATGAGACAAGTCGGCCATCAACCGCAAGGAAAACATACTGGAGCATATGCTCGAAGGAGAACTCTCGGGACACCGTGATGCTGTCGTTCGATGTGTGGATATCTGAAGTCGTCCGAGACGTTATTTGGTTTGCATAGTAAAACGGAAACTACGTACGGCCGAAGTTGGAATTCGCCATCAGTGCCTCGGTTGCGACGCAGGATTGGTAGCCAGAGCGCGTCCAGGACATATGGTCACTTCCAGCGCCGGGAACGAGTTTCTCTTGAACCCAAGGGATTTCGACTAGAGAGAAGGCGTCAACAGAGTATTTTTTTTGGGGGGGGATATTCACAGACCATAGCGTTCGGCAAGTTGGGAAAGGAACTCGGTTAGTTCTGGGTCAACGTCGTTCGTGAGGATATTGACAACTTCTTCGGTACCAGCGGCGACCCAGGCCTCGACGGAGAAAGATTAGCTTCATGTGGAATAGACAGGGTTGAGCTCACAGTCATGTCAAAGTGCTGCATGCCCTTGATATGCCTTTCCGCCTTTTCGTACGATGCAACAACATCCAAGGAGCCCAACAGACCACCCTAAAGCAAGATTGGATTGCGAGAGACCGATGAAACAATGTGGATTACCTCTTCTGCCGAGTAGAAGTGGAACTCCAGAGGTGATTTAGGTATATATTCACTCTTGAGCAGAACTAGAGTGGATTGAACAGCACGTCAATTCCAGCAGCCAGACACACACACCACGTAAAGCTTCGAGAATGGTAACAGTGCCCGAGCCATCGTCATCCGCGCCAGGGGCAGGGAGGAATGGGTTCTCGTGGTTGATGCTGTCGCAATGGGCGCCAATGACAGTCGTCGGGTCATCCTCTGTCGCATTCTCTGGCGCTATTCGCACTATCTAACCGCTTTTCAATAAACGCACATAAAGGCAAGTTTGAACGCACTACAGACGTCTGTTTCCATCTATGCACAAACGGCGTCACAGACACCAGCCTCTGCAGCTCAGGCGAAGCGAGTTCCGCCGTATAGTTCCGAATCCGCTGCGATAACCACTCCGAGCTCGCCTTCCCCGTCTCCGAGTTGTAGTAGCGCGTCCGAAAAGACGTGAACTGCTGCAAATTCGCCTTGATCTCCTTGGCCGAGAGCAGTGGCAGGAGGCTGGGCACAAGGGTTGAGTTGGGCGGTGGGTAGGAGAAGTGCCGTTTCTTCGAGAAACTTGTAGGATGAACATTGGTCCTAGGAGAGTTTTAGGCCACGACAAGTCAAGATTAGTAGACGCACACGTCAAGGTACTTGATCCCCAACGCCTTTGCCTGCAGCTTTTCGCGTTCGGTCATGTACACAGGCTCAGCCTCCAGAGAAAATTGGACTAGTCGCTGGGCGTCGAGGTCGACATCGAATCCTAAAGTGCGCTTCAGTCGTATTCGAGTCGTTTGGGGGCTGACTCACAGACCAGGCTCGTTCCAATGGTTGTCAAATTGGCCATCTTCGAAATGGACGCTTTGGAAGATGGCCTGGTGTTGTGGATGGTCTTGAACTCGAAGGAACTGGCCACGGGCAATGGTGGATGTTGCGAGCAGAGTCAACCACAAGTTCATAGTGGCAGTCAGCGGCAGAACAGCAACTGGTTACGTACAACTATTCGAAGATTCAAGTTTCTCAGCAACCCAAACCAAAAAAGTAGCTCAAAACGAGTCTTTAAACGCGGTCGAATTACGGACGACCCGGACAAAACGATTACAGGAAGGGGAAAAGATAAAATACACGCGACCAAGCAAACAAAAAACCAAGCCCTAAGCCATCTCAACATCTTGGGTGGCAGGTGCCGAAGGGGGGGCTGCATCGGTTGAAGATGGTGTAGCATCATCGCACATGAATGCATCCAGCTCTTTGTCCAAGTCTTCGGCAGTCTTTGGCACCTTTTTGGCCGGCCTTGCTGCGGTAGGCGGCTTGCCACGTCCTCCACGATTGCGAATCGGACCAATCCCATTGCCACGCCTATATTATAGCGCGGTTGGTCACAGGTACGAATGGATAAACAACCAGACATACGGGGCTTTTACATTCAAATCATCTTTGCTAAGACGGTCAAGAAGCGGGGGTTTTTGGATCCTACTGAGCAGAGTTGAGGTACTTGGAGCGCTGACTGATCTTGAACGAGGCGGAGCATCGAAGGCGATAGTCATAGGTTGACCTTGACAAGTTATTTGAGAAATGAGGCATGACTCATGAGCAGCAACTGACAACACACCTTTTGCGAGGATACCGTCATACTGGCGTTTGGCGCGGGTTGCTTCGCCGACAGTCTCAAAGGAGACAAATGCCGTGCCAGAGGAACGTCCACTACGGTCATACTTGAAGGGGAGACGAAGAAGGGTGCAGCGTCGTCATTCATTCGATTGGTGGCGGCTATTCTGAGAATCGTACCCTGATCCGCGGCTCGCCAACGAGCGTGCCTATTTGACCGAAAATGGCCTGTAAGCAAAGCAGTTAGGACACACATATAGGCGTCAAATAAAGCACGACGCACGATGAGGTCTTTTGGAGTGATTTCGTAGTGTAGGTTGTTGACTGCCAATGTCGCGGTAGGCACAGAGGAGGTACTCTGACTCTGTCTGTTCGTTATGCGGGAGGCTGGTGTGTTCTTGGCGCCGTCAGCCATGTCGTGGACCCATGCGTCGTCGATGTTTCGCCGTGGCGGTGCCGGCCGCTGAAGGCTCGTTCAATCCAAACGTTGTTGGCCCGGTCCAAGGGAAACTGACACTGTAAGGCTTGCGAGCTCTGTGGGCGGCCATGAAGGAGAAAATCAGAAGTGTCACAGTGACGTGTCACATACTCCTGCCCCGAAAATCCATTCAGCATCTAGATCTCTGGTCACCTTGAGGTCACTGATGCAAGTATTCACCTTGCTTTGACTTCGGTCTACACGCTGCTGCTGCGGCTCCTAAGTACGCGTCACCATACTGATGCGGGCCTCACAAATTTACGCGGGAAGGATGACAAGACGTAAAACAGCGGCCCAACTCCAGTACTTAAGCCTCTGGATTTCCTAGGCATAAAACAGCCGCCATGGATCTCAAATTCTCCCAAGAAGTCCTCGAGAAATACCCTTCTCTCAAAACAACCGATTTTGCAACCCCCTTCGTCAGTCGACTCATCACGCCCCCTATCTGGACTCACAAGTTTGCATAGTTCAAAGATGGACGAGATACGCGTCTGCTTGAATGGATTTATGCTCGTCCAGACCTCGATACGCTTCGGGGCGATCCAGCCCGCGTATGTGCTGCAATCGAGGAATATTCTGGTCAGCATGAACTGTTGCTCAACGTCGGCTCTACCAAGGCCGACCTCATAAACAACCTCATCGCTGCCCAAAAGCCCCAGGTCATCGTCGAAATGGGCTGCTACGTGGGCTACTCTGCCATCTCATTTGCTAGCGCGATGCGTAGCCAACATCCAGCCAGCACCAAGCTCCAATTCTGGAGCCTGGAGTTCAACCTAAGTTTTGCCTCTGTCGCCACCAAGCTCGTCGAGCTCGCTGGCCTCTCAGATGTCGTCACGATCGTTATTGGTGCTGCCGGAGATTCCGTGAAGCAACTTGCGCAAGAGAACAAGTTGGACCACATCGACATGCTGTTCATCGACCATATGGCCGAAAACTACCACACCGACTTCCAGATTTGCGAGTCTCTCAACCTCTTCAAGTCTGGGTCGCAGATCGTTGCGGACAACATTTTAGTCCCTGGCGCCCCCAAGTATGCCGAATATGTTCGCAATCACCCCAAGTTTGAATCCAAGACTGTCAAATGTCTACATGTGCCTGGTGACCTTGAGGTGGGTCATTCTTTTCTCGATGTTGAGCCAGTTGCTGACTGTATGGTCTGCAGGACGAAATCGAGATTACTAGAGTTATCTGATTTCCTGTAACCACTACATATATGTACAACAGGGATTTTTAAGACCGAGCCACTCGCGGTCACGGGTCTAGTTCTTGATCCAGCTCAGACCTTTTAGATATCGCGGTAGTACTTTCGTTGCGCGAGTCAAAGGGGCCCTTGCTGCGATCAAGGGTCTGCAACGCCGTCCCGCTACTCTCCGACGGATATGTGTGGCTAGCGAAGACGACAGCGGTTCCGGGTTTCGAGGCCGTATACTGACCGACCATCTGCTTCGACCATGCAGAGCCCATCGCAACGCGAAGGATGATGGCCTGTGGCGCTAAAGCCTGCCGATTATTCAGCATGAGGGGGATGAACATAACGAGCGGGGAATTCACGCACAAGAAAACCACCCCAGACGTCGGCGAACCATAAGGATTCCGGCGCGTTGCGCACATAAGTGATGAGGTAGCCAATTCCAAGGAGCGTAAATGGTGCCGCACCTAGAGCCATTGAATAACAGCCATCCGACGAATTTTATTCCACTTACTTTCGACTAAAATGGCAATGACAGACGTATAAACCTCCGCACGTTCTTTGGTCAGTGCACGTTTCATCGACCGGCTGACCATGAAGAGACGAAGAGATATCATTCCGGTGGTGATGATGTTGAAAGTAATGGTCAAAACTGTTATCGAGGTCAACTGATATTGGTTGGGTTGTGAACAGCCAAACCTAGCCAGGGAATAGTGAAGTTAGTGGTGATCCCATGGAAAAAATCTCCACCGGGAAGACCAGACTGGATTGTGGCCGTGATGCTCATAGCTTGTATAGATCAGCCCGAAAAGTTCACTGACAACACGACAATGGTCACCCGTAGAAGCCAGAAGCACCAGAGCGGGTATATAGACCATCCAAACGTTAGGCCCACTGTAAAAGACGTAGCATCGATAAAGCATCAGCCCATTCGAGAGCAAGTCGGCTGTCACGTCCGCGGCGGTTCCAAAGGTATTATACCAAGCTGATCAACAAGTTCATTAAAGGTGGAGCGCCTGCCATGGTGCGACACACCGGCAATGTTGGTCAGAAAGAAGACGACCGGGCCACCTTCAACATCTCTGTGCTCAATCCACATCATTTGGCCTGCCTCGAAGGTCAATGACCGATAAGGACGCTGAGTTGACAAATGCCCACCAAAGAACAGGTTGCATGCCATTGCGATGGTTACCAGTAAAAGGAGTGTGGCACTATACGCGATGTAGATATATCTTGATTTGTCGGCCTTGGAATTGAGCCACAGAAAGTATGACGACAGGAAGAACATGCAAAGTTGGATGCCTAACGAGTATAAGACGCCGTAATGGTGGGCCGTTGTGGCTGGCCTAAAACGGACCGTAAATTATGGCAAAGCACGTATTGCCTGCCAATTTGCACTTGAACACCCAGAATATGACGAATGGGAATGACCTTACCGATATACCAGCTCCGCTCGAGGTCGAAGACTTGGTCCCCCATTGCCAGGCGGAGGCAGGAAGCGAGTGGTTAGAAGCCAAGGCGGAGCGACTTATTTATGTACTCCCCCGTAAGTTCATCAGGCTAAATGTATCCACAAGTTGACGACTTCACACGTCCAAACTTCTATCGCCATTCCCGAGGTTTTGATGGAGTCGCATCATCGACGACAAGATAGAGAGGAAGGAAGATGTGTGCTTATTGCGCACTGCCATTGGCTGGTTTAGCGCGCGCGTCGAGGGGGAAGATGGTGTTGCTACTTTTAGCTCCTTGAATGATGTTGTTCCGGTTCGAAGAAGTTGGCGGCCATGCGGTATCCCGTGGGCACTGTCGCACGATGTGTTGAAGAGGTTCAACTCGCCAGAGAGCGCGACAACCAAGGCACCAGGGCTAAGTATTAGTCTGGCAAGTTGGCGGAATAGCCGGACCACAAATCAACGCGTGACCGTCACATTTTGCGCATTACTCCTAAGGCCAGGACCTAAGCCTCTCAATTACCCTGGCTCTGCCTCCGAATGTTAAACGAGTTTCCAACCGAAATTCTGCTCGAGATATTCCAATACCTGGACCCCAAAGATCCCGGACTTTTCGCCGTTTCAACTTGCAACAGGAGGCTACACTACCTGGCCCTCCCCGTGCACCTTGCTGCTTACGATGTTCCATTAGATTTGACCTCTAAGGAGCTTATTCTGCGGCATGAACAGCTCGAGGTTTTACCTGGCTTACAATCCGCGCTGTTCATTCGCCGTCTCTCACGCCTTTCGTGTTCCTTTGCGCTGAATAGCGCCCGACGGGAGTACAAAGTGGAGGACAGAGACGTCTTCTTCCGGCGCATCAAAACCCTGGCCAAGTTTATCTCCCGTTTGGAAGGGCTCAACGAGGTGACGCTGTCATTTCAAGATCTGAACTTTTGGGTTGTTGAAGAAAGCCTCGGCGTTTTAGAGGCATGGGGATCGGCGATTACCGCGCTGCTTGACGCTGTCTTAAGCTCGCGGTGCAAAAAACTTAGTGTGGTTGGCGGCATATTCATCGTGCACGCCTCTCAGTTCCCTCGCTGGAATACCGCAACACAAAACATTGGACGGCGAACAACAGTCATGTCCGACATCACCCGCAAACTGGCTAGCCACTTGACGCTAACAAAACACGACACCCATCGTACAATTGATGCGGGGCAATCGCAATTGGAGATCTTGAACCTTCACTCGCGTCTCCTATTACTCCATCCTGTCTACTCTTGGACTCTTGCTGCGTTCAAAGCGACCACCCCGAACCTGACTTCACTCTCCATTTCCCATGTAGACATCCCAGAAAGCAGCTGGGATGATGTGATGCCTAGTATCCATGTGCCTGCCCTGCAGACGCTTGAGCTCCACCTCAAGTGCAAGATACAGCTACTGCCCTTCATACAATTCCTTCTCCGCCACCCACTCATCCACACCTTGAGTCTGGGCCGCGAGTTGTTGCCCTCCGAAGAGGCAGTCGCACCACGTGACTGCTTATCTCAGCTCGTCAGTCTCTCCGCCCCGCCTCCCTTCGTCCACTTTCTCCTCGCGGAACGCCGCATCTCGTCTATCTTTTCCCTCCGTGTCCTTGCCAATGTCACCTCCAGCACGCCATACAACGTTGCAGGAATCAACAAAGAACTGGCGTGCTGCGTAGCCGGACTGGAGCAAGACCTCATTCGGATGACGCTTGCCATTTATGTCGACTACAACGCCTCCCACTGGACTGGCTTTTTCCCCGACGAAGAAAACTCCGACCTCTACCGCGCCAGGTTCCGCGGCCTGCAACGCCCGCTTGTAGACGCTATACAATACGCCCAGACATTGGAGTTCGAATCTACATGTCCTAGCGACGGATTCGAGGATCTAGCCCTTCGCTGGCTCCCTCCTCGACTTCGCGATGTCTCGTTTACGAAGTGTTTGAAGAGCAACGCTGACATCCAGTCGTTCGTTAGTCGTATTGAAGAAGCCCGGCCAACTATCCGCAGTATATCTGTCGATGGCGTCCTCCGAAATGGCTGAAGACACGAGCACAGTCAACTTGCGTTACTGAAGATGACTTGAACATACTGACCATTGACAATAGTATTGTCACGAGCGACATCCGAGTCAAAGGGTGTCCATTAGCATTTACGTGCTGCACGTGCACTAGACTCTTAGACTCTTGCAGTCGTCGTATGCTCTCATCGGTCAGTTTGCATAGATTTAGATTATATCGGAAATTGTTTGGTTTGGCCCATGTCCTAGCGACGGATTTGAGGATCTAGCCCTTCGCTGGCTCCCTCCTCGACTTCGCGATGTCTCGTTTACGAAGTGTTTGAAGAGCAACATCCAGTCGTTCGTTTGAGTTACTTAATCAAGAGTCAGTGACTATAGTCACAATGTTACCGTGACATGTCCAACGACTTTCCTTGAACACTGACAATCAGATTCGTTGCACCGTTTTCTCGTTCGTGTTGGGAAAGCAATAGATCGAAAATTGCTGAACGTTGAACACTGAACGTGGCATTTCCGAGACGGCCGTCAACTCTTTTCCCATTCATCGGCGCCGCATGACCATGAATACGTTACTCCACACCAATTTTAGCCGGGGCAACAAGTTGCTTCCTGCAAACACCATCTTCAAGTGGGATTGGCCAAATGTCTGTAGAAAAGCACCAAGATCCCAATGTCGAGTCTGTTTCGGTCTCTTCTCAAAATTTCGAGCCAGCTGAAGAGCGACGGCTCGTTCGCAAGCTTGACGGCCGCATTCTACCCATAACGTGTCTCCTCTACCTTTTCGCTTGTAAGTCAAGTATCTATTGCTTCTCTTTACTCATTTCTTCCTAGACCTTGATCGCTCCAACCTGGGCAATGCGCGTTTGCAAGGGCTCCCGAAGGATACACTCGGCGGTGATCCCACAGGTCACCTCTTCGACTGGGTCAACTCTGTGTTCTTTTTCGCATATGTGAGACCATGTCGTTCATGTATACGTTTGGTCTGACCAATGCAGATTCTCTGCCAAGTCCCTGCTACAATATCTTCCAAGCTGTTCCCGCCGCGTTACTGGCTTGCGGGTGTGGCAATAGGATGGGGCCTCTCTTCCACCCTCATGTCTACAACGACTAATTTCGGCGGCCTCATGACGACACGCGTATTTCTGGGTGTCTTCGAGTCTGGGTTTGGCCCCGTCATCCCGCTCTACTTCTGTAGGCGTGCTCCGCTCCCGCATTATCCACGCCCACTGATGGCTCCATAAGCACTCTTTTATACCAAAGAAGAGATGGGATTGAGGATGGCATATTGGTTTGGCTTTGCTGCCGTCGCGGGTACGCTCTCCAAGGGTTGGAAAGAAAGTATGCCTAGTTGTTCTACAGGTGCATTTGGTGGCCTGATCGCGTTTGGCATCCAGGTATGCACATTATCATCTACAAGCTGCCGAGGCTGACATCTTACAGCACGCTCATGCAACAATCAGTAACTGGCGCCTGCTATTCATAATCGAGGTATGTCATAGCTCCCTCCATCCTTTCTCGGCTCCAAGTTCGAAACAGGGCTGTCCTGCGATCGTAATGGGCATCGTGACGATCTTCTTCCTCCCCAACAGACCGGAATCTACGACATTTTTTACTGATCGTGAGCGCATTATCGCACTGGACAGGATGAATCGAGGGACAAGCGGGGATGTCGGGGCCAGGGTGACCAAAGGTCCGTTTATTCTCCAGCTTCTTCGCAAGGCAGCAATATTCATCGGGAAACTAGCGCATATTGTGCAGGCCTTCCGAGACTGGCGGGTGAGGATTTTTGGCCCATTATATTCGACTGACACCAATAGTGTTATGCCGGTGGCGTGATCTACTTCGGCCTCAACTGCGCGCTTGCGTCCATTTCCGCCTTCTTACCAACGATCTTGACAACTCTTGGTTTCAGTCCGTGTTCTTTGTTCTTGTCTAGCAGTATACTGAACGCCTTGACAGCCAAAGCCGCTGCTCAACTACTCACTGGTCCGTCAAAACTTTCCTGGTGCGCCACTTGCTGACGACCGCCAGTTCCTCCTTATGCCCGTGAGACGCGTGAACAACCAGGATTCTCTGTCAGCTAACCATGGACCCAGTTGCCGCCGTCATGCTCGTCTTATTTTGCTACGCGTCGGACCGCATGCAAAGCCGTGGCATCCTCATGTCCGTTGCCTGCACAATTGGTGGAATAGGATATATGTTTGTTGGCTCTTGTTTCCTGCTTACCATCACTCACTCACTGGACGACAGCATCCTGCTCACCGTCCACGCAAACATCCATGCCCGCTACTTCGCCGTATTCTGCATCGTCGGTGGCACCTACACGACCATCGGTCTGATCATTGCCTGGTGTGCGTTATCTTATCGCCCAATCTTGATTTGATCCGCTTATATCGGATCAGATGCGCACAATATGGGCTCGGAGACGAAGCGCGCTACCGGAATACCCATATTCATGGCCATAGGGCAATGCGGGAGCGTTCTGGGCTCGCATATATTCCCGCTAACGGAAGGGCCTCGGTATACGTATGTCGTTTTCTCTGCCTCATTCATTACCTGACTTCCATTCAGTAAAGGATTCGCTGGTTCGTCCACCTGCACGTCGTTCTCCTACACACTCACTCAGGACAGTCTCGTGTGCCCTCGAGTTCCTCGCCGCCATAGTCTCGCTCGTCCTCTCGGTAACATTTTGCTTCCCACCCGTTCTTTATTCACGCCCACTCCAGTATTCTTATCGGCGGGACAACGCGCGCCGCGACAAGCTCTACGGCAAACCCGACCGCTCCGCACGCGTCGATACCTCCGAGCTCGCCGACAAGGTGCTAGTTTTTCTGCAACTTGGCTTTCCGGTGTTGACGTCCTTGTAGGCACCGGCTTTCCGGTATATTACTTGAGTTGCCTCATTGTGAAGTTTTCTGTATCACATTCCAAGTTGTATGATGAATAAACAGTCAAAATGCCTTTGATAGCAGGTGGACATATTTCACCAAAAGGTGGAGGGAAATGTCATCATTCTGAAAGTAAGTCCAAAAGATGCTCTTACTAGTAGTTCTTGTATGTTGCCAAACTGTGATGGGGTTGGCAAGATGGTGCCTTCAATCACACTGGGGATTTGTGCAAAAATGGGGGCCTGAAGCAGGACTTTTTTTGTAGGGAAACCGGTGCCAAACGTGGTCAGCCAATTGGAGTCAAATTAAGGCCGCAGATTTCCAAGTCACGTGCCCGAAGATTGAGGCCCATGATTTATGTAAGAATCAGCCTGGCCAGGGTTGGTCACTGCAAGGGTTGCATGAAGCAGTTGACATCCGGAGGGTCCAACCATACACAGTTCTTGCCATTCTTAGTTCTTCATGAGAAACAAGATAATCATTACACATGACTCTAGGTCACACACTTCTGTAAACTAAGTAGCTATATCAATTAATATAAGTATACATAGTCCACAGATAAGTCTATTCACATCAGGGTTTTGGGAAAAAAGATAGCCCAATGCTGGACTTTTTTGTGACAGACATAGTGGTTATGGACCACTCCGTCCAAGTGGCAGATACCTCAGCCCACTCTGCAGTGTGCTTCTGACCTTTGGTCTGGTGCCTTGGTTCTCTCTGTAACCCTTCCACCAGCCCAATTCCAATACCCATCACACCAATAAAGACAGCAAAATAATATAAGTAATATATTGTAGGAATGTAGCTCTTATAGATGGGACCCACAAATTTTCAGCCAATCACAGCCGTGATTCAAAAATGTTTAGGTGGGAAACGTTAGTGGGAATATATAAAGTTTTGCAATTAATTTTTTATTGTGTAAAAAACTTTGAGCTTTTCTGCCCAAAAAATGTTGACTTGGCTGGGGCAACAGGATTTTTAGGACCAAAATATTTAATGTTTTGCAATGAGTTTTTGGGCCAAGAAAAAACTTTATATATTCCCACTAACGTTTCCCACCTAAACATTTTTGAATCGCGGCTGTGAATTTCATTATGCTATTGGGTTAGGTCACAGTGACATGAGCTTTGATTTAGCCAATTAAATCTTGGCAACAAGCACTTAAAACCTATATATTTACATAGATCAAATTTTGGGTGAATCTGAATCTGAAGTCAGCTAAGTGCTCTGTACAATCTTTGTGCCTGAAATTGAGTTTGCTGCCTTTGTTTGTCCCCAACTATATGCAAAAGGAAAGGATTCTGTAAAAAAATATACAGATGCTATTGTTATTGATAAAAAGGCTAAATATACTTAACCATATTAGAGATTATCAGCAGCCGCAAAAAATGGCCTTTAGAAATTTTTGAACTGGCCTCCAAATTTCAGAAACATTTGTTGGAAATGCTAAGGCTTTTCTCCAAAAAATTGCAAGTTTCTCATTGTATGGCTGTGTCAGGGGTTCTCTCAGAACTTCTGGACTGCCATTTCGGCTCTACTCTGCCCCCCTATAGCCACCACTCTACCTTGCCACCCTCCACAGCCTTCCTTGCCTGGACTACTGTAGTATTTTACTCAGTTTGTATGTCACATATCATATAGGCTTTAAAATTTAATTTTTTTTACATGTCACACCATTTTGCTCAAATTCCTGTCCAAAAAAGGTAATTTATGACATTTCCAGGTGCCTCTGGTGTCAAGAAATTCCTAATTAAGAAATAACTCAAATTTAAATTTTCATATCAAATCTCACACCATTTTTGGTATTCAAATTGAGTAAAATATTACAGCATCACCAATTTGCCAATGCCCTTCAAGTGTCAGGCTTTGGGTTGGGCTGTGCAAGGCTGTTAGCGGTAGCGGGAATCACGGGCGCGCGGTGATGCGCGGATCTCGCATGTGATTGCAGGACTGGCCAGAGCTCGGGATAGAGCAGGGCCGGAGTAGCGTATAAGAAGCGGCGTCTGCGTGGCAGGTAGCCACGCTTTTATCTCCCCCTATGTTTCCTTTGTACCCTCGGGTAGTGGTCAAGCTACTCGTCTGTTTTTTTTTTTTTTTTTTTTTATTTGTATTTTTATTTGGCCTTTGCCCTTGGGCATGGTAGCCAGCATCATACACAGTATAAGTACTTGTCCTCGCCATCACACAATCTGTGGTGTCTTCGGTATCATGCCCTCGGCCCAACGTCTGGTCTGTCGGGCGATTGGCATCAGGTCAGGTTGGATGGCTGGGTTGCTCCGGAAACGTTGACTTGGCGGGACGGCAACTTCTCAGTGGTGGCATGCTTGCTGGTTCTTCAACTCGGTCTTGGTCACGGCGCTGGTCTTGCGCAATACGGCCTGGAGGATTGGATTTTCACCTGGGTTGGGTAGGCTCTGGAAGTTGAGCCAAAAGGGCCTGTTATAGTGGTCCCTTGTTGATATTGGCAAGAGAGAGGGGTGATCAGATACCCTTAACCTCTCCTGCTCCTTCCTGCATCCCTGTCCCTAGCTGTAGAGGAGACAATCATATATTTCTTGCAGTCCAGGTGCTACTCCTAGCCTCCTAGCACTCCTTCCCATTCCCCAGTGCTGCGAGTTGGGCTCGGCATTGGGTTTGACATATCGTTCTTGGTCATGTGCTTCCCATGTATATATTGCTCCCTTCTGGGGTTCATGTTCCCTGTCGTCATGTGCTGCGTGTTGCGGGCCCTCAGTGGCCCAGCACCAGCACCAGAGACTCGGAGGACGGGCCGGGTCTTCTCTGTGATATCAAGCAGAAGGCCTGCAATGCCGCACAGGCCTACTCTTAGAGAGTTTCTTCTCTTTGGGTCCCCCCTACTAGGACTCTGATCTCCAGGCCTCCAAGGTTGCCCTTACAGGCTGTAAGTGGCTAGTAAAACCTATTAAATTTTGCAAAACCAAGTGCTGATAATCTTTAAGCCATACAGAAACATATATTATTTTTAAAAAAATGTTGTAAGGGCATGGAGGCCTGAGATCAAGGTCCTAGCAGGGGAGGATCTAAAGAGTAAACATTGGTAAGCAAATACAAACAGAGCTAACCTAGCAGGGGAGAATCCAAAGAGGAGAAACTCTAAGGGTCCTCCTGCTAGGTAGCTGACTATATACTACTTGTCTGTAGCTGCTGTTGCTGGGCACAGAAGGCCTGGATGGTATTGCAGGTAAGGTCCCAGGGTGACTGTTGGAAGGGAATTGATGGATCTGTGATAGTGCAGGTGAGAAGGGGGGTTGGACTGGAAACAGAGATGTCTCCAGAGGGCTGAAAGGGAGATTCCCCTGACAAATGTATCAAAAGGGAAACTTTCCAATGACAATTCAGTTTTCTCTAGAAGATGCATCAGGGAAAATATTTATTCCAATGTCATTTTCTTTAAAAGATGAATTAAACCCAAAAGGAAGCAAAGTTTTATATTTCACATTTGCTTCAATTGTAATTAACAACATAACAAACAGCGATGGATATATCCTAATCCGCCTCATACCTATAACGAGCGTAGGGTGTGATTATAACAAGGTGCAAAGAGTCCCGAAAGAATGCGATGAGTGGTATGTATGCATAAACTATGTGGAGCAGGGTTTGGTACTTTCAGACGGCTGTCGAGGGGACAGCAGCAGTCTCGCCTTGTCCTTGTGTCGGCCGATTCCGCCTTCTGCGGCGTCTGCAAATTTCGTATTAGTCACAGCCATCCGGCCACCGAGCGTGGAAGACCAACCTAGGGAACAACGGGCCCTTAGGCATCGGCCGCTCGTCGAGATCAAGCGCGATATTAGTGGCGCAATGCAGCGCCTATTGAACAGGTCAAGTCGTGCTGCACAAAGAAGAGAAAAAAACACACCTCAATCCAATCAACGACGTCCCCAACATCTCTCGCCTGCAGCAAAAACTGCTCGCCCTCCAGCCGCACCCTAATGACATGTTTCCTCTTCAGATAGTCGTTGCCGAGCCCGCTCTCCGCGTGCTGCAGCGTATATGCGCGGATGAGATCTGACGGGTCGGGCTCCGGGACGTCCATGTCCGTCGCCTTTTGCTTCCCCTTCGCCTTGGCACTCGGTGGTGAGCTTGTCAGTGGCGATCTTGACGACGCCAGGCTGACATTCGACCGAGAAGAAGTCAGCGGCGCGCCACTCGTGCTTGTCGGCATCGGCGGTGTAGAGCTGGAAAAAGACGGGCGAGGGATCGACAACGATGAACGCGACCCAACAGGTGACCGCGGGGGATTTGGCAGGTCGCTTTTGGAACGACCATGTGACCTGGGCTTTAGTAAGCCAAGCCCCAAATTGAGACGCGACCGAGAGGCCGACGAAGACATGTCTGTGATAGATGATGAAGACGAGGGTTGAGTGGGCGAAGCAGAAGTAGCTGTCGAAGAAGCACGGCTCCGAGAAGACGAAGACATGCTCGGTCGTGGCGCCACGGGTATTTCAGTCGTGCCTTCCCCATTTTCTGCTCCGGAACTCTCTTCCATAGCGTCCAAACGTCCCTCCTCAGCGGCCAGTTTGATGTCTTGAGCGCCGTCTCGGGCGGCAGCACGTGCCTTGATGGCAGCAGCGGCCGCAAGAGCAGCATTCCCGACGCTTGCCTGCGCCAAGTCGCCTACCCCAACTTTTCTCTCCCACCACCCCTCTGCCTGACACCGATAAACCCGAAACACAGTCCCCTCCAATTCACAGATCACCCGCCGCCATTTGCGATCTTTAGCCTGCACGCCGGGCTCGGAAAATTCCATCTTTCGAGGCATAACAGACCGCAATAAGATCGAATTCGAGTACGGGGGCAGCACCTCCCGGCCCTCGTCTTCCCGGGGAGCTATTCGTGCTTGTGCCAGAGGGTGGAGATGGGACGATTCTCCATCATCGAGGAACTGCAACGGGAACATGGGCGAGGTATATGGTGGTGGCGCAGCGGAAACCTCTGGCATAGACCGTCTTCGCCTAAGCGTGCTGCCGCGCTGGACACCGTGACCATCATATGCAGGCGCTGCCCCTCGTTCGTCTTCCTTACTTTTTGCCGCGTTGACAGAAGAAACGGGAGGTTCATCTTCTGGTGCATTTAAAATGTCAACCATGCTCCTCGAGGCATGCTTGTACATCCCAGGGCGCTCTCCAGCAGGTGAGGGCAGTGGCGGCATTGGTACAGTTCGAGGAATGGCCGCCATTCCCATCAACGGAGAAGAAGCTGGCATCGGTGTCCGACCTTCGGCGGAAGGTGACCGAATTGAGAAGTAATCCGAAGTCCGCGAAGACTGGGCTTGTGCTTGCGGTGTCTTCGGGCCTGTGACCGTCTTCTGCGAGGCTTGGGGCTGCATAACCGATGCAACACTTTCCTTTCCTTTGCTAATGATTGGCGAGCCCAAACCAAGCCCAACACCATTCAACAAACCATCCAAATCCAGCGACAATGGTGCCGAAGTGTTCAGTCGCAAAGGCACAAACGGCGATTCAGTTTCGTCTCTCGAGTCGTCGACCGAAGGGCGCTGGGAATCATCTTCATCCTCATCTCCCTCTCCACCATCATCGCCACCATCATCATCTTCATTGTCAGAATCCGACTCACCCGCGGCAGTCTCAACTTCGGCAGTCCCCTCCATCGCCAACGCAGGCATGCTCTTCACAACCGCCTTGCTTGTTTCCCGCTCATGAGCCCCATGCGGTCCAAAAATCACACTTGATCGTCTTCCCACGGTACCCGAACTCGCTGGAGACGGTTCTGGTGCAGGTGAAGAAATGCTGGGTAGCTTCAACACCGGAATAGCCAGAGGCGGTTGCCGAACAATAATACTCGGGCTAAGACGGCCTAGATCGCTACCCCCTGGAGATAGTGGTGCGCCGGGATTAAAAGCCATGCTGTAGCGATGTAGGGACATGGGAATGGAGGGAGGTCGTCGAGCAGGCAAAGTACCCGTAAATGAACGAGTCACAGTTGATGTCGACATCGCCGAGGAGGGAGAGGGATTTCCTGCCGATGCTGTCCGTGTTCGTGGGATCGTGGAAGGATTTTCAGACCCCCAGGGTGATCCAGAAAGGCTGCCACTTGAGGGAGACGCTCTCAGTATGACTGAGGAACGTGGTGGTATTGAAGGGATTGGGGCAGTGGGAATAACGAGTGGAACGGTCGTTATCGGAGGTAGGCTAGCGGCACGCATTGGGCTACGCGGAGGAGATAGGGCTTTTGGAGAAGATGGTGGTGAAAAAGAAGTTGAAGGACTCGACGATGGATTGATCGTTGAGGTTGTTGGACTGGGGGGATTTGAACGGGTTGGCGTAGGAGGAGAATCTCGCACAATAATTTTTGACGATGTGGGAGAGTTCAATACGAAATGCGGTGGAGCGGTGGTTCCCCGCAACGTCTCCGCCCTTTCCCGAGGTTCACCGCCCCGAAGCGTATCTTCTCTTGACAGAGTGATGTTTTCAAGCGGCATCACAATATCTTTGGCTTCGTCGTCTCCCACAGTGGGTGTCATTCCGCCCTCGTCATCATCATTGGCCTCGTCCTCTGACCAACCCCCACTTCGAGCCGTCGTAAACGAGTCAACAGATGTTACAGAGGCGAATGAAGCAACAGAAGCACGTCGATGATCGTTGGTTGGTTGTTTTTGAGATGAAGTTGAGGGCGTTAGCGGCGGAGTTATCGTACTTATGGATGTTCGTTGCACCGGATAGTACTGATGAGGGTCTACTGCTGGTGCTGCACCAAATGGAAGACCGTCAACAGGCACACCATTCACAGCCGAACTAGTGTTGCTTGGCAAAAGAGGCAAGCCGCTCGTCACGGTCTCCTGGCGATCCAGAACAGGCAAGCCACTCAAGACAGATTGGTCAGAGGTTGAGGCTGTCGAGATAGCACTTGCTCTGGCTGTGGCGTAAGATGATGTGGGAGAAACAGTCGATATTGACGAAGGTTCGCCTGGCGTAGTATTGCCACCTAAAGCAACAGCTATCCCCATGCCCAAGGCTGCCTGGGCACTGGCGCCAAACACAGTACTACTTGGCCTACTCCAATTGCGGCCATCAGACAGTGTTTGAGATCTAGAGCGACGGAGGGCCGGGAGCGAGTCTCTTCTCGTTGGATGCTGCTCAGCATGCTGCGAATCAAGTGTTGTCGGGGAAACTGGGGTGGGGGGAGTGACTATAGGTAGATTGACCGAAGGGGGATTGGAGTTGAGCGAAAGCGGTGGCTTCGCTGAGTTGGAGTTCGGAGTTGGCGGAATCGCTCTTGAAGGGAGAGGCGGACGGGCTGATATAGTCATAAGATTTCGGTGAACGGCGAGATCATTATTGAGACGTACTGGAGGCATGCGGCAAGGGAGAGTTATCCATTTCACTTCGAACTGGACTATCGCTTCCGTCACTATCTCCATTGTCCTCCACAGTTGAAAGCATTAGGCCGAGCATCGGCTGGGACATGTATGGCTTCACACCGCCGTCTAGAGATGCGGAGTGCATATATGGGCCCCGACGAATTCTATTCCACTGTTAGCTATTCCCAAACCCATCCAAATATGAATAGTGCGCACGAAGGGGTCCCGCCTGGGTCTGGGGACGAGCGCGTAAACTTTGAAGACACCTTTTGGAACAGTTTACTTGCACGCAACTGGGAAGCTTGTGATGAGAGGAAAGAGTGTGAAACAAGGCAAACCTGAAAGGCAGACTGGCTCGAGCGGACTTGCATGACTGAATTTGCCCGCGGGCGATCCATCGTGGTCGGCCGATCGTGTTGCTACGAAGGTGGAGTTGGAGGGAGAAAGAAACAAAGATGACGGCGAGTAAGCCTCTAATTTACAATCTGAATCGTCGTCAGCAACTTGATAGCCGTGTGCTCCGTCTTCTGTTCCGACTACCTCATTGCTCTCTGGCTCTCTGGAAATAACTGCAAGTTTCTTGCTCGTCGTTTTGAGCTCCCGTTGCCATTTGCACTCTATCATAGTATGACGACAGATTCGTTGATCTTCCAACGACTTATTCGAAACACAACCGTACGCATGGCCGACCCGGCCAGGAATAACCACTGCGCCTGCCGTACAATCTCCACAATTCGCTCGCTTACGGTTGCTCTGACGGTGAAAATGAGCTCATTCCCCTCGACACGTTTCTTCGGGCAACATCACTACCAACTCCAGCTGTTGAACGAAATTAGCTGCATGACGCTCTCCAAGTGCTAAACGTTAATCTCGGACCTCTTTGGAGTCTACGTCGATAAACCCATCTCCGCAGCAATAGGTATACCCCAACCATGACTGACGCTGCGGAAACCAAAGAGACAACAAGTGCGATTTTGGCTGCTTTCGAGAGTTTGACGCGGACAATTGACCCACTACTCTTCGAGACCATCTCGGACCAAGTCAACACAAGAGATGGGGTGTAAGCGTGGGTGGATACATGTCAATTTTCGACAACTCTGGAAGAGGCGAGCTGTCGCGTGCCGGGTCTGGTCACGTTCAGCCTATCTAGAATACGCTTCCTCCTCCTATCGATATATCAATCTAGAACGATGGCGCACTATGAACACTGACCGTCAACGACAATGTCCGCTCCGTTGATATACCTCCCAGCTGGGCTGCACAGCAACACGACCACCCCACTCAATTCTGTGGGATCTGCCATTCTACCCATCGGGTTCCGACTTTTCCAGATGGCCCTCGCCTCCGCCAACCCATCTCCCTCATTTAAAATTGTATCGCAATAACCTGGACTGATCGAATTGACACGGATTCCGTATTTGGCCCACTCAGCTGCGAGCGAGCTCTTGAGCTGTAACAACGCCCCCTTGGACACGTTATAAGCTACTTGAGGTTGGGGAAAGTTGACTGCGTGGGCAGATATCGAGGCTGTGAAAACGATGCTGCCGCCGCTGTTCTGCTTTATCATCTGCCTGAGAAGAAGACCGTCAGATTGAATGAGAGCCATGAAATCGCCATATTCACTTCCCAACAGCTTCGGCACAAATCCAACTCCCAGTCGTATTGATTTCCAGCATTCTCCGGAACTGCGAAATTGGGATTTCCTCTGCGTGGATCGTGCCAACAACCCCCGCAAAACAGAGCAAGATTTGTATTCCCGCCGCGTCAAACTCGTTCACGCATTCAGCGACGCTCTGCTTGACGTCTTCTTCCTTGGTGACATCCACAGCCTTCTCTAGGATCACACTCGTCGGAAAGCTTTTTTTCAAGGCAGCAATTTCCTCTCGAGCATGCTTTGAAACAAAGGACGGCTCAAGATCAAACAGCGCAACACCCGAAGCACCATGTTCGAGTAATGTTCGGGCCGCTTCAAGGGCTAGCATTCCGGCGCCACCAGTGACTGTGAATAGAGCATCAAACCAAATCGAATTTCTCAGGTTAACGTTGTCCCGCACCGATGGCATTACCACTAATCGTGAAGCGGCGTCGGGCAATCTCAGAAGGTGTCAAAGCAACCAGGCTTTCAGAGTCGCGACGAGTGATAGGCGCAGTCAGTGGATTGTCTTCCGTGGACAAGGTCATAAACGGAATATTGCGCTGCTTCAACGCCTCCCGAGAGTAGTTGTCGGTTTGTGCCATCGATGGTCTAGGTCAAGGTCAAGCATAGTGTGTGTGAGTTGGAAGCAACTGAAAGCGTTGCGTTTGATGGGACTTCTGAACTCTGTTCTGTAAACCTGCTATATTCAGAGGTCTAGAGAAGTATCTGCATAAGGTTACTAGTCCTGCTTTAAAGTCTCTGACCGCATTCTCGTCTTTTCAACCGTATTTTCTCCCTCTCCCGCACGGATGCTGGGCGTCAAAGTCATTTCTGAAGACGTTGCGGCGGCAATTGCCGGTGAAGGGAACAAAGATTGTCCGTGGCGCTCGACGTCAACAGCGGTCGTGTGCTGTGTCTCTCCACGAGTTAGCCGCGAGGCAACACTGAGAACTCTCGTCATCTGTGTCACGGCCGAGTCCATGCTGAGTGCTGTATGACCACGTGTCCTCTGTCGCTGGAGATTCTGCACCAAATCGTCTTCGTCTTTGATTAGGATACGCTGCGGAACCACCTCGTCGCCAAACACAGCACCGATCTCTTCCAGGGTGGTCATACCTGTCTCGACAAACACCAACCAGACCACTACCCACGAAAAGAGACAAAACCCGACAAGAACGAAGTACGAGGTTGCGCGAAGAGACTCGAAAGTCGAAGGGGTAGCGAAGGCAACGATAAATTCGAAGAGCCACTCTGAGATAGTTGAGAGAGCCATCCCTTTCGAGCGAAGCTTGAGGGGGAATAGTTCTGCTCCAAGTAGCCAAGGAATTGGACCCCATCTGCTTAAACTATCAAACAAAATTCATAGTGCACATGTCACTCACGTAGCAGCAAAGAAAAACAGATAACAGCTCATACCCCCGACTACCCCATGCGCTCCCTTGAAGACCGAGATCTTGGTCGGCCATCGTTCGATGACAAGCTTGAGAGATCCGACAAGAGCGAGTGATAGTGCCAAAGAGATGCTGCCAACAAGAAGAAAAGGACGCCGGCCAACCCTGTCGATAAACAGTATTGCTGGGATGGTGCCTATGAGATAGAACACCGAACAGACGCTTGACCAAAAAAGTGCTTGAGATACCTCAAAGCCTGCATGAGCCAGGGTCTCTGGAAGGAAGTGTAACAGGGCGTTGATGCCGTTGAGCTGTGCTAGCATTTGCGCCATCCATGCAATGACTGTTCGTCGAGTGTATTGTCTGAAGAGGTCTTTCCAGGGTGCTGTGTTGCCATTTCGTTGTTCTAGAGCGATAGTGTCTTCGATTTCGTAAAAGGTGCGGGTCACAGATTCGTCGGTAACATCTCCACTTGCGTGTAAATCAGCCAGGGTCCAGAGGCCTTCTGTCTTGAAGCCATTTTGAATGAGCCAGCGAGGGGTTTCGGGCAGATAAAAGGTCCAGACGAACAAGAGTAGCGATATAACTGCTTGAATGCCGTATGGTCCTCTCCAAGAATCATCGCCTCGCATGTCGAAGTAGAAAGCGTAGCCAATCCAAGAAGAGGCGCAATAGCCGGCGTTCATCCAGAAAGTCTCTAGACTAACTGCGAAGAATGAGTATTGAGAGTGAACAAAGGAAAATGCACCAACTAAACATGCCACGAGCGTGAGCAGGGGCAATCTCCACTTGGTAGATGGGAACTATGGTGCTAAGCAGTCCAGTACCGAACCCCTGGACGATACGGCCAATAGTGAGCGATATGAGATTTGGCGAAAACATCTGGATTATTGCTGGAAGGGCTCATAGGATAGGTCGAGGGGAAGAGAGGAGAGAAACGAACAGGCAACAAGATATATAAAAGCGCCAATTCTGATTGAGTTTCTTCGTCCTAGCGGGTCAAGAGACGGAGCAACTAGTGCAGCACACAAGGCCGAAAGGTTGATACATGAGACAAAGACGGCGGGTAAAATGGGAGGGATTTCAGTTTCGCGGAGCTTGATGTTTTCTGTGGTGATAAGTCTGCCTTGCGCAAACATCTTGGTGTCAAAGTTGGGTTGTACTGAGATGGAATTCAATGACTGCCTTTTTACTTGGTTGAATTACCTTGAAAAGCGGCGGTAACACCTTGCGAATACCCAAATAGCGCATCGCCAAGACTCGCCATAGCTCCAGAGAGATACAAAAGACAGCTTCCTGCCCAGCGACGGCTATAGCGCACAGTGTAGGTGGTTGGTTTAGCTCTTTGAATGAAGGCAACCATATTTTCGTTGTGGATTGGCGCAAAGTTGACCAACCGCGTGAGCCAGCGTCACCAATTGTGACCCTGCTTTTCCGTCTTCGCCAATACCCTCCACAGCTCTCAGTCCCAGACTCCATCTTCGACGCGCTTAACTAGCGAAATTCCGAGCTCGACCAACCGTAGATCGTTTTTTCCGCATATTTTCGGCATTTCCGCTGCCACACGCTTTCACCATGTCGCACCCTCCATCGTCAAAGTGCGTTGTTTTTTGGTGTCAGCCCATATCCGGCACAACCAAGCTAAATATACGCGGTCTTTCTAGCCCAGCCACCTCTCCGCCAGCGGCCGGCGAATCTTGGAAGAATGGATTACGACTACCACCAAAAGACCTTCGTCCACAAACGTCAGATGTAACAGCGACAAAGGGAACAGAGTTTGAAGATATGTTCCTCCGCCGCGAGTTGCTTATGGGCATATTCGAGGCTGGGTTCGAAAAACCTTCTCCCATCCAAGAAGAGGCCATTCCCATCGCCCTCACCAAGCGAGATGTCCTTGCTCGTGCCAAAAATGGTACCGGCAAAACCGCTGCCTTTGTTATTCCTTCCCTTCAACAAGTCGATGTCGCAAAAAGCAAAATCCAAGCCCTTCTCCTCGTCCCCACTCGCGAGCTTGCCCTCCAGACATCACAGGTCTGCAAAATTCTTGGGAAGCACATGGGAATACAAGTCATGGTTACAACGGGCGGAACCACTCTGAAGGACGACATTATCCGTCTTTCGGAAACTGTCCACGTTTTAGTTGGCACGCCAGGCAGAATATTAGATTTGGCTGGAAAGAACGTCGCCGATCTCAGCGAATGCCCCGTCTTCGTAATGGACGAGGCAGACAAACTCCTCTCCCCCGAATTTGCGCCTGTAATGGAGCAGCTTCTGGCCTACCTCCCTGAAAAGCGACAGGTCATGCTGTTCAGTGCGACCTTCCCAATGATAGTCAAAGATTTCAAGGTTGGCATGTTTAAATTCTGCTACCACTGAACTGACTTGTTGCAGGAGAAACACATGGTCTCGCCCTACGAAATCAACCTGATGGACGAGCTGACGCTGCGTGGAGTTACGCAGTACTATGCATATGTCGAAGAACGGCAGAAAGTTCACTGCCTCAACACGTTGTTCTCCAAGGTCAGTTGTGTCATCTTCCATCCACCTCTCTGAAGTCTGTTGATAAAGCTCCAAATCAACCAATCCATTATATTCTGCAACTCGACGAATCGTGTCGAGCTGCTCGCGAAGAAAGTAACTGAGCTGGGATACTCCTGCTTTTACTCACACGCCAAAATGTTACAATCGCACCGTAACCGCGTCTTCCACGATTTCCGCAATGGTGTCTGCCGCAACCTGGTCTGCTCTGATCTCCTCACTCGTGGTATCGATATTCAAGCAGTGAATGTCGTCATCAACTTCGACTTCCCCAAAAACTCGGAAACCTACCTACATCGTATCGGTCGTTCTGGTCGCTTTGGACATTTGGGTCTTGCCATCAATCTTGTCACCTATGAGGACCGTTTCAACTTATATCGCATCGAACAGGAGCTAGGAACCGAGATTGGGCCCATTCCACAAACCATCGACCGTGGTTTATATGTCGACCCTGGCGCTATTCAGGAAGAGGGCCAACCACGTCAGCAGCAGCAGCAGCAGCAACCACAACATCCACAACATCCTGTTGCTGGCCCTGCTCGTCCTCCTCAACAACCAAATCACCACCAACAACAGCAAGCTTTATTGCAACAACATGCGGCAGCGCTAATCCAGCAACAGCAACAGCAGCAGCAACAAGTTTTGTACCAGAGTAATGGCAATGCGCCGCCAGTCCAACGACAGCCTCCTCATGTTGGTCGGTCAAATGGTGTACCTCAGGGAATGCATGGTGGCTATCGTGGTGGTGTTCCCGGTGGTCGATGAGGTTGTGGAGCGTCGACCAAAGCCCACACTTGCGACCTAGTCCTCCTCTTTCATCGCTCTTTCTATCCATCGCCCCACTACTGACTCTGCAGCGTCCCACATTCTGTGATTTACATTCTCCCTTGCGCCGCCGACTGATCTCGCTTTTCTGAATTGTATTTTTACTCTCCCGAGTTGGCGTACTCCTCATTCTACTCTACGCGACGCTGCTGCTACTATTCTCGACTATGGTGATGGTGTTATGGCGATGGGAGGTGGTATTGTGGTTTGCATGTCGCGCTTTTGGTCCGATGGGGGTAGTGGAAGACTTATCCGGGCAGTTCTTTTAGTGTCTTTTCTTCGCCGGCGCGCGTTATTAGTTACCCATATCGTGTGCAGCGAAACAAAGACATCGGGTGGTTTCCAATTCTTTGTCTCATGACCAAGTACTACTACGACAAAGCTGGCATACTTCGAACGGCTTTGCCCTCGTTGCGTGCATGAATTTTGAGTTTTTCAAGGATGGCGGATGACTCCCAACGTTCTGGCGCTGGTCTCTCTTCCGTCGCCCAGTAATATATGTCCCAATCAGCCTCGTCGAGCAACTATGCTCTGGTCAGTCTCGATTGCAGAAACTTCGGGTATGCTCACCTTGTCATACTCTTTCAGCTCCGTCTCGCTCATCCCACCAAGATGATCCCGGGCAAAAGTACTCAGAATCAGGTCGCTTTCGAGTGTTCCACGTTTGCGCGACTGATAAACGAGTCGGGCGCGAAGTGAGGTCAATGATTCATTGGGACGAGGTATTGGGGTCGGTGGTGGGAGGTCTGAAGGTGTAACTGTGTTTGCAAGATGTTCTGGGGTATGCGGAAGGGGCCAAGGATCTGCAGAGACTACAGCACTGCGCGAAATGAAGCGTTGTATTGGACCTCGAAGACGGCGGAAGACGATTGACATTTGGCGTGACAGGTCACGCACCGCCTCCGAATGGTTGGCAATTCGACCCATTCTTCCTCGAAATTCCAGGACTTCGCTGTCTTGCACTCGGTCTTGTCCTCCGATTTACCAACTACTCTGCTTCTGCATTCTTTTGATTTCCCCCCTTCAACGCGGATCGGAATGTCTGACCAACCAGTGTCCTTATCATGGCCACTGCACCTCTCGCGCCGAACTTACCTCGAGCTTCAATCGACACTAGAGTCGCAACCGCGCAACCTTCTAATTATTGCTCCTATCACGGCGCAGAATTTTCCACCAACTTGGGCTATGGCTATGAGCTTAAAAGGTTCAGACTCGGGGTCGGGCACCGCTCTTGTCGCGGTCAAATAAGCAGGTTGGCACGCATGTCTCACTTCGCACATGAAATTTCGGACCTTCCGCACCGTATTTCAGGCTTCCTGCACTCGGTTGCAGCACTTTTTCTCGTATGCATTTGGTAAAGCCTCCCGAACCGCCGGCAGACGAGTATGACCAAGCATCGGCTCACAGTGCCTTCCTCGTGGCTCAGAGTCATGGCGATGCCTGTTAAGATGCTTGTTGTTTCGTTTCTCTCATCGCAGGACACGATCTAGAACATGTGTGCCTTGACCTTCAAACTTCATCGCGAGATCCAAGTACCTCAGAGTAAATGAAATCAGGTTTTTACAGCTTTTCCATAGGTCTGGGTAGCAGTATTGGGTGCAAGGTTTCATCGTTCGACAAGGCTGTAAATGAGGAGCAAGGAGAAAGTCTAGATCCCGCGGCTGCGGTTCCTAATTCTGGCCGTCAAGCCCCTATCCTTGTTGCTTTGCGATCGCCTGGTAACTCGTTTGCTCTGGGAGTTGGACCCAAAATGGAGTTCCCGAAGGTCGGTACTAGGCAGGTGGAGATTCTTGGATTACAGAGGTGCACTCCAGCCAGTGAAATTGTTTGCTACTAGGGTCCTCGAACAACCCGGCAGTATTGGAGGGCGGCATGGTCTTTTTCTTTCACTACGAGACTCGTTTCACCCTCCCTCGTGGCTCTTACGGCTATTGTCGTTGTTGAGTCCATGGATAACAACGTGTACCACTGAAGTTAAAATGCCTGCAACGTGTCTTCAACCGCTTTCCTTCAACAGTTGAACAAAGGCGATCTTTGACAATGCTAAGCGTACAGGCTTAGGGTGGTGCGTGAACCCAGTTACCTTTCACGGTATCAGTGACACGGCGCACAAGAGATTGCTGAAAGACGGGCTCTGTACGATGATAGAATAGATTGTCCAGCCAAGTTCACTCTGATGTTCTCCGCGATTTCCAAATCCCTCGTCATTCTTGATACTGGTTCAAATAGCCGATACTTGAAGAAATAGAAGACTTAGCACAACACGGACTCAACAATTCGAGGGATTGTACTGCCATAGCGACCCCCTCACCTCACGAGAAGCTGCGGAATCCAGAAGCAGAAGGGAGACTCTCTTCTGGCCCCGTTACTCATAAAGACTTTAGGTAAATTTTCTCGACTTGCATGCGTTGGTCGCGAACTGCCTCAGAACAGGTACCTGAGTTGCGACCCATGAAGGATTCGACAACAAGATAATCTTGGCAAAAAGTGGGGCGGATCGCAAAGAGAAGGACGCAAATCATAGTTCATGAACAAAGAGGCACCTTGGCAACGAAATAGACTTGCTGTTGCTGCGGGAACGCGAGGAGGATTGGCGACAAAGGGTGAATCGGTTTTTATTCAAGCTGTCACTTGTACAAAAAATCTCTGTTTCCGTGGACACAGTGGGTCGATTTCGGCTCTGACGAAGGGTTTGCTCGTATATGTCATCCACGTGGCGGTTGCTGTCCCTGGTCCTCCGCTTTTATGAAAGAGGATGAAGAAAAAAAACGAGAATCAGCACACATGCTAGGTCATGGTTGCCAGGAGGCAAGGGAGAACAAAGGGTTGGGTTTGGGCATACCTACGCGCCATGCTTCCAGCTCTTCGGCCCGACGGCTCTTTACCACTCCTCGTGCGGCATAGAAACTGATCCCAAACAAGACAAAGAGACCACCGAAAGCGCGAAACTAGTCAAAGGGTTCGGAAGACTTCGGAATGCGGCTGGCTACAGGCAGACGCACAAGACGGGATGGTGTATTGAATTGGAAGGGGGACATGGTAGTATTACGAGTGCGGTGATTAACGGAGGGTAGGGTAAACGGTTTGACGGAGTTGGACGGAGGAGGAAAGGTGTGACAAATGTGACTGTGTCACTGTAGTCGCCGAGAAATTTGGAGTTGCTGCGGTTACCATGACCTTGGCTGGAAGATCAGCTGCGAATAGGCTGTGAAGTGGCTGGTTTATCCGGCGGGATGAATCAGTCCATCCAAACGGCTGGACAAGCAAGCACTTATCGTCGAACCCTCTGACTGGGAACACGGGGGCAAAAAGAATGCAATTGAAGGTCGGTCACAAAGCGTCAATTGGTGGATCGGGCATTTTCGCAGGGTGAGATCTCAGATGGGGACTTATGTAATTTGGAAATTGATTTGAGCCGTTGGTATAAATGACGGATGTTCCTCTCCGCAACTCTTGTCCTCAACCCACCTTGCTTTAACTCCTCTTCACTCCCCTCCCCAACACAAACACTAATGACTACTATCGGGGTATCCACTAAAATCTGGGAGCGAAACCAGCACTGGAGTCTCTACCAACAGTGCGGAGTCTGGGATAAATCGACGAGGAGCGTTCAAGTCTGGGAATGCATTCGAGATCGTATGTCGCAATACTCTTTCTTACCGTCTCACTGACCTATTGTTCCTTTCAGATGACTCTGTACCCGGAACAGAACCACCCAACACCCTATACTGGCGATTCATTGGCCGTCGATAGCGGCGTATCGCTCAAACTTGGTCGGCCACCACGGGGTCGTGACATCGGTCTTCGGTTTTGGGCCAAACATCATGCCACCAGCCCAACCCATCTTGCCCGCCTCTGCATCGCATTATTTATGCCGCCACGCTGGCCACTCAACGCACCGAACGACGTTCTTCCCGCCCGTCTCACATTTCATCGCCGCGCGTTTTTATGAAAGAGGAGACGCGTTTCATTGCTCGGGGGTATATACTACATTGGTCTTTGCTGCGTAACTTATCCAATCCAACTTCGTTTTGTCGGTCCTCCCTTCGTCCCACTCGCCCACATTCCTTGTTTCCTGACGTCGTCGCTGACGTCATGTGTGCAATATTTTGCCGACAGATTGGCGTGTCCTGATGCCGGGAACGCAAACGTGGGCCAGATTGAGCAGTCTAAGCGTCATTTGCGAGGAAAGCGAATTGACTTGGCGGATTCGCCGTAAAATCCACTCAGACCCCTCCGAGCCACACGGACTTCTGAGTTTGCTGAATTCAAGACCCCGCTGATGGTCCTTCATCCGCAAATAGACATGTAAGCATCTCGCTCCACTTCCCACGTAGAGGCGGTTCACGAATCGATCTTGCAGCTAGCCTGGAAATAGCTATAAACTGTTCGATGACGACGTTTGCACTCCCACAAACGGGATTCTCACTGTCGATAGCAGATAAATGGACGATCATGTAATGCGGCACCCTCAGACTATCGACAGCTAGGTGAAGAAGAGGCATATCGCGCCCGCGCAAAGAAGCCCCGAGAAGGTCGCCGTGGCCTGCTAGGGTTAAAGCGGAATTCGAAAACCTCGGGGGATGCTATCCATGCCCTCGTTCCTTGACACATGTTGGGCTTGAACTGCTTTTTGGATTCCCGTTTTGATGGCGGGTCGAAGTTGTGCAACAAACGTCGCTTGGAGAAGAGACAGTCAAGTTGGGAACAAGGGAATCGGAAACGAGCCAGCCCGATGTCGAGTAACATGCTTCAATGCATCAGTCGGCTGGTAGCACAACCACGAGAAGCAGCAAACACCGACTCGGAGGAAAGGTCTGAAAAGGGGCTGGGCTAGTGAAACGGACTGGATTGTTTGGCTTTATTCCGAATGGTACGAGTTTGTAGCAGCGGCGGCGACCCGACGGATAATATTCTCATATTCGCATTTTTTCAAGCTAAATGGGGAGTTCGCGAAGGGACGGGGTACAGAGCTTCGTTGTTCGTGGATATGAGTCATCTTTGACTGTTCAGCGTTCAACCTTGATCATGATTTCACCGTCCGTTCGGTGAAAGAAGAGGGATCGCAAGTTAAAGATACACCGGTCCGGATGCCGTTCTGCACTGAAAGTGCGTTGCCGATGGGTTTTGAACTTTGTTTGCAGCGGACCTTGCTTGTGCTGCCTCAGTTGTGGAGCGAGACTCCAGTCGTGCGGAAAACGTCGTCAATGGTTGCAACACATTGTCGACACTAGGAATGCAGCTGGATCATCGTCATTGCGGGCAAGAATAGAGTTTGTTTATTGTCAAGGCGCAGCTGACTGGTGTGAACATCTCGGCTACTACCGGTTGCCGATTGGTCTTCCAGTGGTCAGCTTGATATAAGCCGGAATGTTGAATGGAGTACACCGACGCCAGTGTGGAGTATAGAGTGTATATTGACGACGACGGTATCAGGTTTGGCCGCGATGACATGAATCGAAGACACGCTGGAAGAATAGTAATAAACCTCCACGTGTATCAGTCGGGGGTCTCTGAGAAGTGTTGAAACTGCTGTTGCTTGTGACTTGGCGCTGAAAGCAAAAAGCAGTACATTATCTTTACCAAAACGGTCCGATGGATGTTGGGGTCAACGAGACTCTGATTGACGTCACGGTCACATGAGCTCCAAGTCAACAACTTTGACATGGACCACAACAACTCGATAACGCTTTCAAGTTCCGCGGCACCGTTTGATTTTGTGGAAGGAATACGTATCCATGACGCTGGATGCTTGGTGGAGCACAACCTTTGCTCCAAAGACGCGACACGTTCAAGAGGGTCTTGTATAGCCAGTCAGTGGCTGGTAACTCACTGGCACAGATTCATCACCACCATATGGCTGACTTAGGTCTCCTAGGCTCATTAGGGTCAATTCTCTAGGATAGCATGGCGCTGACTTAGGCACCTAAATTGGCTGCTCGCCTCCTATGCCTGCGCTTTGGATCCATGCCAACCGTCGAGTCCTCTTCATATGCTGGCGATTAGACTTGTCCAGGTCCGATCAACCGCCGTCGTCAAGTACAATCCAGGTCATGGGTTGACCAGGGTTGACCGCGAATTTTGCTGGTTTACTTTACTCAGGCTGGCGCTGACTTCCAAGTCATGTGGGAAGCACTGGCACAAGACTCGTCGGTTGATCTCCTCTCGCCGATGTTGACAATGCGGTTTTCCTCGACGTTACGGTCTGGATCTCATCAACCCAAAACAGGTCAATGTTTCTGATTCAGCAACGCAGACGACCCAATTTGGATGGCAACATCGCTCGGTTCCGCGATCGATAGAGTGCTCCAGTATTCTCAGGCATGTGGGTCTAAGCTCCGATTGGCCCTCTTCTCGACCATAAACGAGAGAAGACCAATGTTGCCGTAATTAACTTGTGCTCATCGCGCTACAGCTGCCAGTGTCCTTTTCGACGTCATATACTACGCAATTCAAACAAATCTCTTGCCGAATGACAGAAATTCGGAAGGTTCTACTTACCACTGCGCATGCGAAGTTCGAATGATAGACAGTATCTGTTGCCAGTGTTGGTGTGAAGAGGTCCAATTCTCGATTAAATCGTGGAACTGCGCGTGGTGTCACGGTGCTCGTGACCGTGACAACAGATAACTTCGACATTCCTGCTGGTAGTCGGCTTGAGCTCACTCCTGGGACCTCATAAAACGGACTATCAAGATAATTCAGAACAACAAATCAGGTTTCCCGGTAGATAGTAAACCGTAATATGCACAAAGCACTTATAGTAATCATCTACTGGAAAACAACCAGTTGCCAATCTTATCCAAGATGTGCGTGGGTCCTGCCGTGGGACATGAGTGGCTACTTTTAGAGTTGATGTGGATGACCGTGACGGTGTCACGCCGAGGTTATCATCAACTCGACATCCATCGACTGCCCACAGGCCGACGTGTCTCTCCCCCCCTGCTCGCTCAGTTATCTCCCATTTTCCTGACCCACTAGTGCGGGTAGGAAGTTGCGCTTCCGCAATGTTTTCGAGGATAGCGACTCGTTGCTTCGTTGGGCAACGTCGACTGTTATCTTCAACCTCACAAACGACACATGCAGTCATCTCTACCTTCGACCTTTTCTCAATAGGTGTTGGGCCTTCAAGCTCCCATACTGTAGGGCCGATGAGGGCGGGGAATATCTTTTTAACGGGTGGGTGGTTCTTTTGCGACAGCTTGCTTTCGAGTTAACGAGGCCACTATCAGATCTCAAAGAACTCAGTTTACTCGATAAAGTGAGAAGTCTGAAAATAGGTTGGTCTTCGTCGTCCCTCATTCCCGTTCTGATTATGCGCGTTCTGTATAGGCCTTTATGGCTCGTACGTGGTACATCGCAAGGCTTCAGTCAGCTGAAATCCCGATAGACTTGCGGCAACTGGGAAGGGGTAAGCTCCTGCAAGAGAAGTCGACCCAAATCCTGAAAACAACCTTCAACAGGCATCATACTCCTCAAGCAATCCTCTTAGGCCTGGAAGGCAGCGACCCTGAAACCATCGATGCGGGAACTATTCCGTCACGTTACGCAAATATCCTGGAGACGGAGACGCTTGTCTTAGCAGGGACACATAAAATCCACTACTCGATGGACCGAGACATGCTCTGGCGCTGGGATCAAGTATGCGTTATGTTCCGCCCGCTTGGTGTTTCGATGTTGCTAAGGTTTTGGCAGGTTCTGAAAAACCCGTCCGGTGTTTCACATGCAAATGGAATGCGATTCAGCGCATTTGGCGAAGACGGAGAGCTACTGGCCACCAATTGTTATTTCAGGCAAGCCTAGACCTTTTGCGGCAATTCTACATTCATCTCCACTCAAAGTGTAGGGGGAGGTTTCGTCGTCAACGATAAGACTCAAGTAGACGAAAACATGTTTTACAAGTATGTCATTTCGTTTACCCTGCCGGAAAGCTTATTTCCGCAGAGGTGTCGATAAGAAGCTCGTTCACGAAGCTCGACTACACCAAGTTTCGGAAGAAGACCCTTCCGGTCCTCCGTATCCGTTTGCCTCTGGAAATGACCTGCAAGAACTCTCCAAAAAGCACAATGTTGCTAGTCACAAGCATTGATGGCCGTGGCTAACATATCCCTAGATGACGATTGCTCAAATTGTCTGGGACAATGAACGCTCTTTTGGTCTATCCGATGACGATATTCATGAAAAGGTAGGTGGTACCCTATTGACCAATTGTACATTCACTGACAGTGAAGGCAGTTGATGCGCATCTGGGGGGTAATGGACGAATGCATTCGAGCCGGTGTTTCTACTTCTGAAACAGTATTGCCTGGTCGGCTTCAGCTTCGGAGGAGGGCCCCAATGTTATATCGCCGACTAATGCGAGGGTGAGTCCAATCCGTTGGCAATGTCAAATATATTCTCAGAGCCGTGAAGCTTCTATCCTGGTATCGCGATGCCTATGTCCAGTCCTCTCATCGCGGCCGGGTCTGCTCCAGCATTAGATGTCATTGAGGCTCCCGACATCCGTTTGCCGACCCATTCGGAACCGACCATCGGCCCTAACGCGGCCACTCCCCTCCGACCTGCCAAGTCACGACCGGCGCGCGTTGTAGGGTCTTTTGACCACGCGCTCCTTCCAATGCCCCCCGTGAGCTATGCATCTCATCTTGATTCGGCTCCTTAATATTTGGTAGAGAAGCACCCTTCTTCCTGCGATGGACTTTCTCTCTTGCTACGCCATCGCAGTCAACGAAGTTAATGCTGCAGGTATATGTTTTGTAAAGACAAATTACATTATTTGATCCGTTTAGGCGGCCGGATCGTTACTGCTCCAACCAATGGTGCCGCTGGAATCATCCCATCTGTGCTCAAATACATCGTCGAGGTCTGCAGTTATTATTTTTACGCTACCTTGGCTTATTTTGTTCCTCCAGTTCGTCAGTGATGACCACGAGAAAAGCATTGTGACTTTTCTGCTGACTGCCTCCGCAATCGGTATGCTTTTCAAGCGCGCGTCTACTATCGCGGCGGCGGAGGGAGGCTGTCAAGCTGAAGTTGGCGGTACAGAATCCTGATCTAAAAACATATCTGACCACGCTGATAATCATCCAGTCGCTTGTTCGATGGCCGCGGCGGGTTTCGCTGCATGCATGGGTGGTCAGTCAATCGTTTTCACATCGTTAATTGTCTCACAAGACATAGCATCTCCCGCGACTGTGCTTCAAGCAGCAGAAATCGGGATTGAACACAATCTCGGCCTCACATGCGACCCAATCGGTAGTGTTCCCTCTCTATCAATGTGTCTTCACTCTTCTGAAGTAGTCACAGACGGGCTCGTTCAGGTACTTAACAGTGCTCATATCACCATTGATTTGACTGAAGTGGTCTTCTCAAGGTTCCGTGTATTGAACGCAACAGTCTTGGAGGTTTGTCTTATGTTGTCGAACCCAGATGTAGCTCATCATCTTTAGCGGTGAAAGCTATAACCGCGGCCCAATTATCTCTCGCCAGCGATGGCGTTTGTAGAGTGACTCTAGACGAAGGTAGGCGCACCGTCTCTGTTGTTTCGTCAAATTAACGCTCTTCTAAAGCTATCGAAGCGATGCGGTTGACAGCGGCAGATATGAGTGTAAGCCTTGTGCCTAATATCAGACGCGTGCTTATGTCTGGCGCTCTAGATCAAATATAAAGGTAACTGACTCTTGTCGCAACCAACCACAGCTGACACTTGTTAGAAACCTCGCTCTCTGGTCTTGCGGTGGGTCTGCTTTCACAACACGATGACTCTCTGAATATATTTGTGCAGACATCGGTCAAGATTCCACTTACAGTTCCCGCTTGCTAATGACACTAGACTACGCTATGGACTCGCTATATAGACAGACTGGGACAGATTACATAGATTTTGTTCACGTGACTTTGCTTCTTGCGCTCGACCATCTTATCATGGCAACGTCGTTGTATGTCGACGTGCTCTGTAGCCTCGCGAGTCTCGTATTTGCCGTCTGCTGTCTGCTTTGTGGGTATCACAGTCCTGTCTCTTGGTTGATTATCCATTGCGGCTTGTCTCTTCGAATCGAGCTTCCGAGAATAGGCTGGCGTAGACAGCGACAAATGGTACCTGAGCGGGCTCGCCAGATACGCCTCCCTCTTGTCGGCAGGAGTTTGTACAATCATCGCCAACTTCCGCCTCATCAGCGTCTTGAAATCATCCGTCCACCAAATGCTGTCGAAGAACTGCCCGCCAACACCTTGCTATGGGACTCCTTGCGCTCCATGCAGAATATCAGAAACAACCGAAACTCGCCTGTCCTACCCTCCTCCTCTGAACAATCATTCCACATCGAGCTCCAACCCAGTCTGCAAGTTGTCCAATTGCCAGTGCTGCCCAACGGAACCCACTCCCCGTCAACTGTAGCAGAGGTGACCGAGCTGTCCAGTAACATATCAAGCCGTATGTGCAGTCTGGCGTCATCAGAAGCACCAAACAGCCCTCCCCCTCCCCAGCCTATGCACTACCATCGCGTCAATCTCAGTTCCCTTCTGTCCTCGCCACCGTCCCGCAATCGCGCTGCCCTCCGTGTCGCGACACAACCTGTCTACCACTACTCTCTAGGCAAGCCGGCCGTGACTGTGCCGAAGGATGTCGCCCGTCAAGCTCAAGAGGAGTACAAACAGTTTTCAGCTCGACTAAGCCGCCTCGGTGGGGTCTTGCCGATGTAAAATCGTGGTTGTTATCTCTGCAAGACTGTGGTCTCATTGGACATTGTGTAAAGGAGCAGGTTACATCGTTTTTTGACTATGCTGTTCAGTTTCGTAGTCACTTCTGAAAATGTAACTATGCACGTGACCACGCCTACGAACTCTTCACCAGCGACGCCAGAAAGCGTTCCATTATTCTAGACACCACGCGCTCCTCGCTGGTGCCACCCTGTCGTCCAGTATTGAAATCACCCGTGCAGCCTCCATTCCCTACAAGCGCTTCTGGTCGGAGTGCGCCGACAGCGACTCGAACTCGGATGACGAGTCCTCAGTCAATGGAGCTCACCGTGTCAGGGTAAGTTGCCATACGACAATACTCGGCCTTCGAATTCATATCCACACTACAGCGTCGAAAGCTACCGAGATATTGGGACACTTTCTCCGACTTAACGGAGAGAAACGCGGCCCGGGCATTCGTCGATAAAACAGAGCTACTGCCCCATCTACCTGATTCCTTTGCTTACCTTCTTCTCCGCCCACCTCGTTTCGAAAAAACCACTTTCCTTTCAATGCTGACGCAATTCTACGGTGTTGCTGAACAAACTGAACATTCAAAGTTTTTCACTCAGCTGGAGGCAGTCGCTCATGTCAACCACAATCAACACCTTTGCTTGTCTTTCAACTTCACGTCTCTCGACAAGACTGATTCGCTCGCCATATCATCATCAATCTCCTCTAGAGTGGACATGTCCTTGCAACGATTTGTGTGGAATTACTCTGCCCAACTCAACATTGCCAAAGGCCACCAATTATCCAATGATACCGGCGAGATGTTCCAGGAAGTACTCGTGCGTCAATTCCAATATTTGGTAGAAGCCCTCATCTCACCCTATTTAGACCCGCGTCCACAGTTCTGGTTTACCATTGCTCGTGATTGTCGACGACCTCGATGCACCGTTCTTTAAACCTCCCCCGCCCAAACCAAGAGTCATAAATGAATTCGGGAATCTTGCATACAATGGCTTCGAGTTCAGGAATGTTGTACCGCCCTCCAGTCACGAAGTTTCTCGGGCTATGGACATCCATCTTTGGGAACCCTTGATCGCCAACCGTAGGACAATTCAGAAGCTCGTCCTCTCTGGATGCACTCTCGTTCAACACTCGTTAATTCACCGACTGGGCCTCACCATTCCTCCACAACTGGTATCAGCTTGTGGGTTCACGACGGGAGAAGCTCAGCTGTTTGCGGAATCTCTCCTCGAAGATTTGGAGCAGGGGGACATTGACGATATGCAAGCGTCATGTGGGAGGTATTCGTTCTCGGATTCACCTTCAGAGCCGCTCTTGCATCCTCAAAAGGTCATTTCATGGGTTCAACGATTTTCCCGCCCTGATAATGAAGACGACTCCAAAGACAAGTGCTTCGAATTGCTGTCTAGCATTCTGAAGATGTTGCCATCTGAATCGGATGCTTCTGGAGGACTTTCTCTCGTCGATGTTATGTCGTTGGTCGCCGCCGGCCACGTTGTGCCGTCACCACAAACTGCGTATTTTGTCGGTGACGATACAATTCGACCCACTTGGCAAGCCTTCATTGGAGCGGGTGCGTTGGAAAGAGACTCCCAGCACCCACAGACGCTGCGATTGTCGAACTGCCCCGGTGTCATCCCAGTGGTGTGTTCTTTCAGCATGAAACAACCCATTGCTAATCTATCTTGATAGCTTCACTCTTACCTTGATGATGCAGTGACGGAGCGATACGACCCGACCCGAAGACTTTTCTTTTATTGGGAAGATATATGCTCTCACAAACCGAATATGCTGCTCAGGTTGTTGCAGCGAATGATGCGCGACCTTGGCAAGCGTTGCTTGTTACATAACAGCGAGCTCAATCTTCACGGGGTCTTTGAGCTTCTATGGCGAAATGCAGTAGATTTGCAATCTGAAGAAGACCGACCGGAGAAGCCCTTCGTCTATCATCCTTACACGGCCACGCCAACGATCACCGAGATTCCAGCGTTTGGAGGTCAAGAAACGGTCTCGGTCGAGCTCGTCACGCTGACTTTGGCTGGACTCTGGCGTGGTGCCAACCCCAAGAACGATCACCGAGAGCCCACGCGCGATGAACTGCAAAAGCTGTTTGACATCGTTCAAGATGAAGACGAAAAGACATTGTTAGCTCGACAATACACAGTCTGGTATTCGACTCCCAATGCCATGGAAACAAATTCTGTCGAGAGTTTCATGCGGAAAGAGCCTAGCCACGTACAACTTGTTGCCATCGGTGGCTCGCATGTGCTCTACCGGGGTCCAAGGGAGCAACACGAGCCGAACGACGCTTGCGTTAATTGTGGTCATTGCGAGGAGAAGCCGTTAGATCTACCCGATGAGATTATGTTTGGCAAGTGGGAGTAGTGTTTGATGTTGATGGCGGTCACTTGATCAATATGTCGCGCGTGCGTATTGTCACCATCCCGTGTTGTGACTCGCATCATTCTCCTCAAAACCTCACCACAGTGAGAGCGCAACATAAAGTCATTATCCACGGAACAGCGTAAAATGAGCCGATCTCAAACACCTCTTCATGAGCTGGCGCGCCTAGGCGCACCATCTACCTCCGGGTTTATCTTGCAAAGATCTTCTCAAGACTGGTCTGACCTCCTCGATGATGAACCCGACAGCGACGAAGAACTATGGGAAATTGATACTAATTCTTTAAGGCTGGACCCTCTTGCCTCCGGAGTAGGGAACTTTCCTGACCATGCGAGTTCTCCTATTTACTATATGCGCTTCAGAGCCCAAAGCTTCCCAAACCTTGGCACTGTTTCCCGGATTTCTTCAAAAGGAACATCACTTTCGTGGATAAAACTCATCTCCTCTGCCATCTCCCTGACAAATTTGCCTATCTCCTCCTTCGCCCGCCCCGTTTTGGGAAAACCGCCTTCATCTCGATGTTAGGTGAATTCTACGATATTGCGGCCCGAGATCGGTTCGCTACATCGTTTGGCCACCTGGAGATGACGCAGGAAGTCATTGAGAACCGCAATCGACACCTCTGCTTGCCTCTAGGTTTCCCACCGCTTTGGGCAACCGCTCCGGACAATGTTTCGACAATGATAAGCTACAAGTTGACCCCTCAGCTGGCTTACTTTGTCCAGCGGTACCACCAGCAACTGGGAATCCTCCCGGAGCATCCGTTTTCTGCCAATGCAGGCGCCATGCTCACAGAAATTCTCGTATGTACTCAGCCGATAAATCGGTTCAAACTGAAGCTCTCTTCAGTCTCTTGTCCAAAAAGCCGAGCTATCCTTGTTCGTCAGTGTCGATGACTTCGACGCTCCCTATCTCCCATACATTGACCTTCCAAGCCCGGACAATATCTGCAATGCCCCGACTCTCTCGGAGAAGCACATCACAGAGGCTATAAACCAGCACCTCTGGCAACCACTCCTCAGCAGCGGTGATGTCGTGCACAAACTCATCGTCTCCGGCACCACTCTTATTCAGCCAGCTCTACGGGAGCGACTGGCGCTTACCATCGCTCCAGAACTTGATTTGGCTTGTGGCTTCACCCCAGAGGAGGCTCAGTGGAAACTGGGTGGTCAAGTCCCAGAAACACTGAGGAACGAACCGGGACACAACAGAATCCGGCTATATTCGAGAAACGACGATGTGGTACAGAGGAGAGTGACTAAGGACTGTGACTATGTGATGGGATGATGTAAGTAAGACTCCCAGGCTTACACCCTCCCCCACTTGAAACAAACCCATCCAGACGAAAAGAACAGCGAGGCGACAAAAATGAGCGAAGAACCAACAAGTTGCCAGACCGAGAAGAGCCCACCAAGCAGCCCACCAACCATACGACCGTCACAAGGAAACCCCCTGCAAAGCCCGTACGCTAAGCAGCCTTAGCCCGATACGCTCCAATGGGAACAAGCGAATAGACCCGAAAGAAGAAGTCGATTAAAGAGATGATAGAGTATGGGGAAGGAAAATGGACATCAAAGGCCAGTATCCACAGGGCGCTTAGTCATCATCGTTATCGTAGTCCGAATCCGAATCGAAAACCATGTCGCGGTACCGAACAGGCATGACGCCAGCCACACGGGGTGTGATCCCAACCAGGTCATCCTCACTATCTGACGAGTCATAGTCCGAGGAGCTGCACCAGCGGCGTGGGATGGCAGCAGCGACACGGCTCACAGAGCGTGCCGGAATACCAAGGGCAGGATTACCCGGACAGTCGCGTTTGTGATGTGGCACCCAGTCGCTATCTGTCGGCGTTTTACGGCAGTGAAAACAACCACGTGCAGCGTAGATCTGGTCGCGTTCGGCCTGCGTGAGAGGCGGGAGTGATGGAGCCGCTGGAGGGGCACGAGCGACCGAGGTCGGAGCAGCAGGAAAGGCGGAGGAAGCAGGGGCAGGAGCAAAATTCGAAACAGCAGGTACTGGGCGGGGGCTATTTCTAATCCACCCATTGGTGACAGCAACACCGTAGAGCCCGTTCATGAGGGCCACGAGAGCGGGGTAGCGGAGGTGGTGGACGTTGAAACCTGGAGACGAGACCGTGTTGGTGCGAAGGACTGGGTGGCAGTTCGCCAGCACGTAGAATTTGACCACCGTCTCGTTCAGCTTCCAATCACCGCCAGCCGCGTTAAGGACCCGATTAGCACGTTCAAAGCGCTCGATATACTCCGTAAATGTCTCGTTGTTGCCCTGCTTTACACCAAACACATCCAACATCGCGTCCATACGCCACGTCGGCGGGACAAACTTGTCGCGCAAGGCCGTCGCAAACTCTTCCCACGAGCCCAGCCGCTGGAGCTCATCACGGTTTGTGTCCCACCATTCCGCGACCGCGGCCTGCTGGAGCTGCTTGCCAGCCAGCACAATCAAGACAGAGACACCAAGCGTGTGGTCAGGGTTGAACGCGCGCCAGCTCTTCAGCTCGTCCTGGCAGCGGCCGATCCAAGAACGGATGGAGAGCGGGGTCGGCTCGTCGGTAAACAGCGGGAAAGTGAGCTTCGTCATGCGAGTAATGCGAGGTTGTGGGGGGAATGGAGGAGCCGGGGCAGAGTTAAGCAGGTGGGGGGGAAGCTGGTGGCGCGAGTCCGGCAGGTCCAGGGCTGAGACTGGCGAGGGAGCACGAGACAGGCCTGGGGACAGGGAGTTGGAGCGAGATGGCAGCGGCGAGCGAGAGCGGGTTGGCGACGGGGAACGAAGGTGCCGTTGGTTGTCAGGGTCCAAGGCGGCGTCGTCAGGCACTTCTGCCACGTCGTCAAGTGGCCCTGAACGATGTCGTTGGCGTTGTGTAGCAGGACGCGCCGACGCGCCAGAACTCGACCCAGCCGTCGATTTGCGCGGGTTGGGAGCCAGCGGGGGCGAACGAGAGGCGAGTTGGGCAAGCGGGAGACGCGAGGGAGACGCGACAAGACGCGCAAAGGGTGCTACGTGGCGGGAGGAGGGTGGGAACGGATGTGACAGGACGTGGGAATCCCCCGCGAACGTTCGCGCGCAATCTCCGCGACGACGTCGCTTAGCTCGCCAAGCTCGAAATTCGGCCGAAGAAGCACGGCGAGGCCGTCGGGAGGCCGGGGAAGCCGCCGGGAGCACCGGGAGATCCGCGGGGAGGCCGGGGAAGGGCCGGGAAGCGTGTAGAGGCGCAGATTTTGATGTCCAGCAGAGATAATCGGAATGGGGTTGTGAAAAAAGTGGAAACTGGGTGGTCAAGTCCCAGAAACACTGAGGAACGAACCGGGACACAACAGAATCCGGCTATATTCGAGAAACGACGATGTGGTACAGAGGAGAGTGACTAAGGACTGTGACTATGTGATGGGATGATGTAAGTAAGACTCCCAGGCTTACACTCAGACTTTTGCTGAGTCTACTCTTGGAGAGCCGGTCGACATCGATGACCTCAAGTCGTCTTGCGGGGAATATATGTTTTCGAGCACATCTACGGAGCCTCTTCTTCATCCTCAGCAAGTGAGAGAGTGGATTAGACCTAACGCGCAGTCGGACACGGAATATTCGGCGTTCAAGCTGCTCTCAAATGTCCTTTATTTACTGCCACTGGAATCCGACTCTCCCGATATACTTTCTCTGTCGGACGTGATGTTGCTCGCCGCTGGTAGTTCCATACGAGTCGAGCCAGACATTCCGAGCTTTTCCAACTACCAGCTCTCTCGTCCGACATGGCAAACACTGATCGGCACCGGCGCACTGCTGAAGGATCCGAAATCTGGGACTTATTGTTTGTCAAACTCAACAGCTGTCTTGCGTGTGGTATGTCCATTCTCCATCTAGATTCACTGTTTGATGTGATTCCATAAGCTACACTCTCGCCTCGATATTCCTTTCCTTGATCGCTATGACCGACACAAATATTCCGTGACAGCTTGGTGGGACTTTTGTGCAGCCGAGCCGGATAATTTCCTCCTGCTTTTGCAGCGAATTTTTCGGGATTTCAGTCTGCGCTGTCTGGCCCACCACAAGCACAGTGAGCCGTATCTGCACGGGCTGGTTGAGCTTCTGTGTCGAAACAACACAACGCTTCTGCCCTCAGAGCAGCCCACGAAGCCCTTTGTCTATCTTCCCTACACGGCGACGCCGACGATTCTTGATCTCCCAGCGTGTTTGCCTGGGAAGAGGATCTCACTCGAGCTTGTTACGCTGACGCTGAATGGACTGTGGCATGGTGCCCATCCCAATGACGATGACCGCGAGCCCACACGAGCCGAGCTGGAGGAGCTATACGGGGCTGTGTTGGGCGAAGACGAGGCTGCGTTGTTGGACCGACAATACAGAGCCTGGTCATCAACTCTTAACACGATGGAAACGAACACGGTGGGATACTTCATGCGACAGGAGCCTGCCCACGCCCAAGTTGTTGCTGTCGGAGGCTCACATGTTCTATACCGAGGCCCGAGAATGCCAAAGAAATCGTGTGCTCATTGTGGTCACCCCGAGAGGGTCAAGTTTAGGTTCTTTGATGACGATATCTAATGTTGTTCATTCCTCGCAGTCTAGACATATTTTGGCCACCTTGAAGCATGATGAGCATATTGGTCGATCCAAAGCCGCGGCCAGACAAGGTGGAAATGGGTGGGATACGCTAGTAATACAACAAAAAAGAGACGCTGTTCCACTAAAATGTCGTCGCGCGGGCCTCTAGATCAACCGACGGGTCCGTGAAGCTATTATTGCACTTCGTACAGACGAAGAAGAGGATCATTCGGGTCTCTTTACGTTTGGATTGGTCCTGGTAGAAAACCGCGCTGATAACAATGAGTGCGAGACACATAAAGTATCGCCGACACGTACTCTTCATGGCCACAGCTCGGACATGGGATGTTGGAGTGGGCCTATGGTCGGGTCAGGTTGACAAGATAATATTCTGGGGGAGCGTACAAGAGTTGGATCAGTTCCAAGGTCAGTCGTGACTCCGACCTGCTCCCTAACAAGAAGAGTCAGCTATGTTCGTTGTTGCGGGTGACTATGAACGCACTTTGTTACAGTGAGCAAATCATTTCGATAAACGCGTGCTCGGTTTCCTCCGTCCTCTTCGTAAGGGCAGATGCGGCAAGCATAGACCATCATTCGCCGCTGTGGGTCCGCTTTAGGATACAGCAGATTATTGCATTCAGAGCAGAAAGACAGAGATGACTGCTTGTTGCATTAGGAACGCCAGTACCAGCGCAGGCGCGCGTACCATGACGGGAGGAAGCAGACCGAGAGTGACGTGACATCTGTGACCCGCCAAAAATTATGAAGGCGAACTACAAGGTGTTTGCGCTCCTCCCGTGCATTCAACGCTCTTTTTAACGGCTTTTACGAGTTCTCCAACATTTGCGGCACAGTCTATCAACAAGGGAATGTGCTCTTCACCCCAGACGGCAACACCCTCCTCAGTCCAGTCGGAAACCGCGTCTCGATTTTTGATCTGGTCAAGTGCGTTGTCGTTCTGTGCTTGTTTCTTTGCCTGACTGATTTCAGCAACAAGTCGTTCACTCTTCCATTTGAGAATCGCAAGAACATCGCTGCAATAGCTTTAAGTCCTGACGCAAATGTCTTAATTTCCGTCGATGACGGTGCGTTTTTTTTGCGCATTCCAATCTACCACCACTCAAACCTTGCCAAGATGGCCGCGCCCTCCTTGTGAACTTCCGTAGAGGGACTGTGCTCCACCACTTCAACTTCAAGAAGCCAGTGAAAGACATAAAATTCTCCCCCGACGGAAAGTTCGTGGTTGATTGGACAGTTTTCTGTGAAACCTGATTTGAACCAGATTCATTGCGGTCACGCATGGGACGCAGCTCCAAGTCTGGCGCACCCCAAATCACCTTGCGCGCGAATTTGCACCATTCGACCTGCATCGGACTTACACTGGACATCATGACGATGTTTTGAGCATTGAATGGGCACCAGACTCAAGGTACGTCTTCTTTTTTGTTGTCTATCTGGGTCTGAGCTACTCTAGTTGCTTTATAACAACGTCGAGAGACATGACTGCTCGATTGTTCACCCTCAATCCGTTGGAAGGCTTCCGACCAAAAACTTTTGCTGGGCACAGGGACGCAGTACTGGGGGCATACTTCTCAAGCGATGGTGCAACGGCGCGTTCTCCTCCCCTTCCTTTTTGCACGAATCTGACAATTTTCACAGATATATACTGTCAGTCGCGATGGGGCTGTTTTTACCTGGAAGAAAAAAGATTCAGAATCTGACTCTGATTCCGACGAGCCTATCGCATCGACCTCGCAAGGCACGGGAAGCAATATCATCGCCAACACACGATGGGGCGTTCATAAGCGCCATTACTTCAACCAAGCCAATACAAAAGTCGTATGCACGACATTCCACGCTCCCTCTAACCTCCTCATTGTCGGATTTTCCACTGGCGTCTTTGGCCTTTGGGAAATGCCGGCGTTCTCCAACGTGCACACACTCAGCATTTCGCAAGAAAAGATTTCATCCGTTGCCATAAATGCGTCAGGCGAGTGGTTAGCCTTTGGTGCCAAAAAACTTGGGCAGCTGCTTGTTTGGGAATGGCAGTCCGAGTCGTATATCCTCAAACAGCAGGGCCATTTCTACGACATGAACACCCTCGCCTATGCTCCCGATGGTCAAACAATTGCGACTGGAGGTGACGATGGCAAAGTCAAAGTCTGGTCCACACATTCTGGGTTCTGTTTTGTCACCTTCACGGAACACACCGCGCCAATTTCCTCCGTCGCATTCGCCAAACACGGGAGTGTGTTGTTTTCCGCTTCATTAGATGGGACTGTCCGGGCATACGACCTCGTCCGCTATCGAAACTTTCGCACATTCACATCTCCCTCGCCAGTGCAATTTTCTGCCCTCGCAGTCGATCCTTCAGGTGAAGTCGTGGCTGCTGGCTCCACTGACTCTTTCGAGGTCTTCATGTGGTCGGTGCAGACAGGAAAACTGCTCGATGTCTTGACCGGGCACGAAGGACCCATCAGCGCACTCGACTTTTCGCCTTCTGGAGCCAATCAACTCGCCAGCGGCTCCTGGGACCGCACAATCAGAGTGTGGAATGTCTTTGGGCGGTCACGTGCTGTGGAGCCGCTCACAATTTCCTCTGATGTGCTTGCTGTCGCGTTTCGGCCGGATGGGAAAGAGATTGCTGCGTCCTCATTGGATGGCCAGATCGCCTTTTTTGATGTGGAGAAAGGGAAACAGACAAACGTTATCGAGGGCCGCAAAGATGTGTCAGGAGGAAGGAAGGCGGACGACCGCGTTTCTGCTGCAAATAGCACCTCCGGCAAAGCGTACAACAGTCTTGCTTATACTGCTGATGGGAAGTGCATCCTTGCGGGCGGCAACAGCAAATATGTCGTGTTATACGATGTCCGGGAAGGGGAGGGTGTGATGGTCAAAAAATTCCAAATATCACAAAACCTGTCGTTGGACGGGACTGAAGAGTTCCTCGATAGCAGGAAAGTCAACGATGCAGGAATCAACACAGACTTGATTGATTCGCGTGGCGACGAGAGCGACCTTGAGGACCGAATGGATCTCAGTCTGCCAGGAGCAAGTCGTGCCGCTGGCGATATGTCAATTCGGCGTTATAGGCAAGAAGCACGCACTAAATGCGTGAGGTTTTCTCCTACTGGGCGGGCCTGGGCTGCTGCATCGACCGAAGGGTTGCTCATATACTCCCTTGACGAAACTGTGTCCTTTGACCCATTCGATCTGTCGATAGACCTCACTCCCCAGGCCGTGCTCGACGTTCTTGGTGACGGGGAATACCTCAAATCCCTGGTCATGGCTTTCCGTCTCAACGAAAAACCGCTGATCCGGCGGGTCTACGAAGGCATTCCCCGCGGGGACATCCGCCTTGTCGCGCGCCAGCTTCCGGGCATCTACGTGCCTCTCCTTTTGCGCTTTGTCGCCGACCACCTCGCCCAAAGTCCACATCTCGAATTCGACCTACTCTGGGCCAACACCCTGCTCGTTTCTCATGGCCGACAACTGCGCGATCGCTCAGCGGAGTATGCGAGTGTGTTTAGAGTGCTCCAAAAAGCTCTAGTAGACTCAGAACAGTCTATCTCAAAACTGTCCGTTGCAAATTTTTATGGGCTGAATGAATGTCAACTGATTATTGTTTTTACAGATGCGAGGGGAATATCTCAACCATGTCCTATCTTCTAGACCAACAAACCGTTAGAAACCACGCTACATTACAGGGTGATGTCGAGATGCCTCCTATTGCAGTATAATAGCAACTGGATTGTCGTCGAGGCATTGTTGAGCCTTCAAGCCGTTTGTCAATGGACTGTGATGTAGACGGCGTTGTCGGAAGCAGGAACGTGGTTTTGTGAAGTCGAGGAACAGCACGCATGTATGGGAAAGAGACGACAGAAGACAGTAGATGTACTCTACACGACAACAAGCCAAGTAACTGTCAGATCGACGTGAGCACATCACGGGACTGTGACAAAACGCGTTCGAGTACTCTTCGGACGCACACAAGTAGCATTATTCCCACCTGTTAAACTCCGGAGGCAAGTCAAGCGGCGCCTCCTCATAATAGCCACAGTTCACACAAACATCATTCTCTTCTGGCGGCTGCCGTGGACCTCGGTAGAGCACATGTGAGCCGCCAACTGCAACAAGTTGAGCGTGGGCAGGGTCCTTTCGCATGAAGCTCTCCACGGTGTTCGTCTCCATCGTGTTGAGATTCGAAGACCATGTTCTGTATCGTCGGGCTAACAGTGTATTTTCGTCTTCGCGCAGCACAATGCCAAATAGCTCCTCCAGCTCATCGCGCGTCGGCTCCCGATTATCATCGTTGGGGTTAGCGCCATGCCACAGTCCGGCCAAAGTGAGCGTGACGAGCTCAACCGAGAATATTTCTCGCGGTCCAGATGATGGAATCTCGATGACCGTCGGCGTAATCGTATAGGGCCGGTAGACGAATGGTTTTGCTGGTCGGTCTGAGCTAAACCGAAGAGCTACTTCGTTTCGCCATAGGAGCTCGAATACCCCGTGAAGATTGGGCTCGCCGTTGTGGACCAGACAAAGCTTGGTTAGGTCGCGCATCATCCGTTGCAAGAATCTTAGCATAAGGTCCGGATTGTCACAACATAAGTCGTCCCAAAACGTGCGGAACCTCCTAGTTGGGTCGTACCGGTCAAGCACTGCGGTATCGAGGTGGGAGTGTAACTATCAAAGTAAGGTTGGCATAAAGTCATAGGCAAGTTGAAAGACGCACCACTGGAAAGATGCTGGGGCTCTGCGATAAGCACAGCACCTGTGGGTGTTGCACATCTCTTTCCAGCGCACCCGCTCCAATGAAGGCTTGCCAAGTGGGACGAGAGGTATCGTCACCGACAAAATATTCGGTTTGTGGGCTCGGTACAATGCGACCTGCAGCCACCAATGATATAATGTCAACAAGAGAAAGTAGTTCAGACGCATTCGATTCTGGTGGTAACACCTTAAGAATGCTAGATAGCATCTTGAAAGACTCGTCCATTGAGTCATCATCATCATCAGGGCGAGCAAATCGCTGAACCCATGAAATGACCCGCTGTGGATGCAAGAGCGGCTCCGATGGCGTGTTCGAGAACAAGCATCGCCCACATACGGCTTGCATATTGTCGATGTCCTCCTGCTTCAAGCTTCCGAGGATAGATTCCGCAAAGGCCTCAGCCTCATCTGTCGTGAACCCGCAAGCCTTATCAAGTTCTGGAGAGGGATCGTTAGACGCAGGCGTTGAATTAACGAGTGTTGAACAAGCGTGCATCCAGAGAGAATGAGCTTCTGAAATGTTTGACGGTTGGCGATCAGAGGTCCCCAAAGGTGGAGGTCCATGGCATACGCAACTTCGTGACAAGAAGGCGGTTGAGTATCGAGAAAGGCCGGATGGTCGCCGAAGGGAGGGATGAAAAATGGCGCATCAAAATCGTCCACACTGACGAGCAATGGAAATCCAGCACTTGGGACGAGGGACTACGACGAGGTGAAAAGAGTTATGGGACAACGTCAGAGTCAAACGCACAAGTACTTCTTGGAGCATTTCGCCGGCACTATCAGAAAACTGGTACTGCTCGTCTATATTGAGTTGCGCGGAATATTCGTTGACGAAGAGCTGTAGGCTGACGATAATTTGTTCGCCAATCTCTTCAACTATACCTTGTGAATCAGTTTCAACAAGGGATTTGAAACTAATGGACAAGCAAAGGTGACCCCCTCCCGCGCTGAGGTTATACAACCTTTTCATAAGTGAAATGAAGCTGGTTTTCCCAAAACGAGGGGGACGAAGAAGAAGGTATGCAAAGGAGCTAGGTAAATGGCGTTGTAGCTCGGTTTTGTCGACGATGGAGACGGCCGGATGGACTGGTCAACGAGGAAGATGGAAGTAAAGTGATGTGTTGTGTGCCTCGAGGCGCCCGTTGGGCTTGTTGTACATCTACTATCTAATCTATTCTCTCTTGCCCATCTCGCCCCACTCCAACGAAGGCCGCATTCCTCTCCACAAAATCCGAGAATGTGTCCCATAATCGAGGGAGTCTCCGCGGTCGCGCGGGCGATTCATCATCGCTGCCGCCGGCGGAGTCGTGCAAACAGTCAGACCAGCCGCGCTTGGAGGACTTCGAGGAAAGTGCAACTGTTGAGGCATCTGAGAGTTCGCCCAGAAGGGAACTAGACAAGTCTGGCGCCGGATCCTCGTTATGAATGCACATTGCCTATGATGTGACAGGTTGGACTTGTAAGCGGTACTTGGTCATGATCGTGGACAAGCAGTAACCGTGACCATGACTTGACCGTGATTGGATTGTTCGCATATCGCTTGGCCTGGAGCTTGCTTCACCCTCTGGGAGAGGTGCTCATACTTTTAAGTCAAAGTCGACAAACAAACAAACATTATGTAAGCTGACAGTGAAAAAGAGAAGCAACTACAAGAACATACAGACAGATTATATACATGTAGCATTCCATTATCAATCGAAATGAGGTATGTCGCAACGCGTCAGTCAAACAGTGGGGTCTCCCATGGCTTCTTTGCGCCTCCATGGATAGCAGCTTCAAGCATAATGAGGTCTTTGTTGAGATCTAGACCTTCCACCTTTGCTCGATCCATAAAATGTTGCCGTTTGTCCTCGCCCGGCGCTGTGGGTTCCCAAGAAGCATGAGCCCAAGTATAGCTACAAAGAGTTGTTAAGTGGATAGACAGATCAGACTAATGGCGTACTCTTTCCAGAAGACAAGCCAAGACGTGCGGCGTTCACCAGATGTGGGATCCGTTTTATGGTATCGCCCGAATATTCCGGTGGGTTCATAATAGTCACCGATGACTGGACAGTCTGGACGAGAGCACGATTGTGAGCTACCGGGAGTGCATGGTGTGGGGCGAAGACCAGCTAGATGGTTGATCAGTAAAAAGACAATACTCCAAGCTTGCTGACCTTTCCTAAGATAGACATTAGCCTTGCTGAATTAAAGCGCAAACAAAGCTGTTACTCACGCGATGCAGGGTGGGCATAACCACTTGGCATTATGCTCGAGTCGTGGGTCATCGGGGACGATGCCAACACAACAGTAATGGTACCATCGGCCACACAGCCTGCAAACAGTAGTCAAACATCAGAAGCATTGAAGCTTGAAAACGTACACGTCTTCATAACATTGGATGAATAAACCATCGTGCTTGAAGAGGTGAGTAAAACGTAAAGGACAAAGTAAACAAAACAACAAACATCCAAGTATTCCGTTGTTGGTTTGGGCCAGATTGGCTGGATTTTCTCCGTCTTCACGGTAGCATGCTTGGTGCGTTTGGTGGGTTGTTGAGAAGTTGAAGCACTGCTCGCTTTCTGCTTCCGTATTTCTCGCTTTCTCTTGCGCGAGGGATGCAGGGCCGGATCTACTGGCTCCCGCTTGAGTAAAGGCACGTCATCCTCAGTGTCGCTTTCTGGTGGACGCTCTGAGGGCAATGGCGATAGCTGGCCATCAAAGAGATCGTGGAACATAGCAGATGGCGGAGGGCTTGGAGGTTTGGAGAGGTAAACGTCATCTAGATGTCGTTCAGCATGAACTAAGAGGACACAGATGAACAGACATGAAGGGGATATGGGGCTAGAGGGAAAGGTCCCTCTGGTCATATACTCTTGGACCATGTCATCGTCGATGGAATCAGTAGAGGGCGATGGCGGTACTGCCTTCTCAAAGAGACCGAGACTCTGAGAGGCACGGACGGGGGTTGAGGGAGGAGATGTCGAGGTGGTGGATGCTGCATGGCTAGAACTCGAAGCGCTGCCATGCGAAGTCCCTAAGGTCCAATAAGCGAAAAAAGCTTCAATATCCGCACGAAAATACCATTAGTCTGCCAGGAGTCCGATGTGAGGTGCGAGCCACTCAGAATGGACTCTTCGGCCACTGGCATAGAATGTCAAACATAGTAACTGAGGAGAGGGAACGAACCGAGGGTGCGGTTGACAGAAGAGGAATCCGGACTGGATTGCGGATGGAGATGCGGACTTGGAGAGTTCTTTGGAGCAGTATCTGAGCATGGTCAGCGCACCATAGCCCGATATGGGAGTAATTACCATTGTAGTTTCCGGTGGTGAAGGGCGGTAATGTGACCTTAACACCTAAACTTTCTTCCAACGTGCACAAGCGAAGGTGGTGGGTCTTGTGAGAATACTGAAACATGTCGCCGAGCAGGCGGAAAAGCCTCTGGCTTTCCTCGCGTGATTCAGCAACATCCGATGAAAAGCTTTCAAAGAGAGCTGTGAGGTTATCGATTCTCGTGTTTAGAGCCGAATTCTGCGCGGTCAAGGTGTCTTTCAACGAGTCCGCGACGAGTGCCGCAATCTCTGATGCCAGGATAGGGTTGTTCATCCTGGATTCCGGAAGCAAGACGCGTTGTCACACTCAGGCTGTCACAGCGCTGTCACACTGTCACTTGTCGCATCACGTTTACCATGACCACCATTGCAGTAATTGGTGCTGGACCAGCAGGGCTCTCGATCTGCAAAGAACTACTTGCAACATCTCAAACCAAATGTGGAGACTGGGAGAAGCCTGTCGTTTTCGAATCACGTGCGGGCGTTGGGGGAATCTGGTAGATTGATTACTCGAGCGCGTTTCATTCACTCGCCTCCAGGGTTCCCGATGCAGAGCCACACCAGCACCCACAGACGCCGCTGTACAACTCGTTGACGACAAACCTGCCGCATCCCGTCATGTCTTTCCAGTGTTTTCCATTCCCCCCATCCACTCCCGTCTTTCCGAGCGCCAAACATGTCCAGAGCTATCTCGAGGAGTTTGCCTCGCATTTCGATCTCATGGCCTGCATTAGATTTGGGGAGAAAGGTAGCCAAACAAGCGCTCTCTCGTTTTTGACTGATCATAGTACTCAGTGATTAGCCTCCATTGGGATTCAACGCAATGGATTCTCACTTCTTCCAAAGCCTGCTACCGCTTCGACCGCGTCGTCGTCGCCAACGGGCACCACAGTGTTCCACGCATACCCGATATTCCCGGAGTTCAAGCCTGGCTCGACGCGAATGTCGCTTCCCATTCCATCTGGTATCGAAAGCCATCTCATCTGGGCGACAAAGTCTTGGTCATTGGCGGCGGGCCTAGCGGAAACGACATCTCCGCCGAGCTGTCGTCTTGCTGTATAACTCTTATCAGGTCCTATACCGGCGCCCCCAACGAAGAACATGGCAATGTTAAAACACGCGGAAGGACGGTCAAGCTCGGCGAGGCAGGCCGAGTTGAGTTTGCAGATGGGACCGTCGAAACGGACGTAGACTACTGCATTCTGGCCACTGGATACAAGGTTGATATACCATTCCTCCAACTCGCAACCGGCATTCCACCAGCCTGTCCACCTCTTCCGTCGGTCTTGTACAACTCCAGTTACCACCTCTTTCCCCTTGCCAGACATCTCTTCCCGATCCAAACCGAGTTTCCCCCTTCCACGTTGGCTTTCATGGGCCTCCCCGTCCGTGTTGCGCCGCTTCCCGTCATGGAGGCTCAAGCGGCGGCCATCATCAAGGTTTTCGCAGAGCCTAGCTCGTTGGACATCGACGCAGAGTCACAGATGATCCTCAAACGGTACCAGACACTCGACACGGCGTGCAATGGTGACCACACCGCCGTTGCGCGATTATGGAGTATCTTCGACGAAGACCAACAGTTCAAGTACCAAGATGAGCTGTTTCGGTTCGCTGGCTCCTCGAATACGGTGCCCCAATGGCGGAAGGACATGTACTCAGCTAAAGCACTGTTGCGTGCATTCTGGGTTGAACTGGAGCGTCGCGGCGAGGCGGAAGAGTGGGTTAGAGACGTTGAAGGAATGGATGCCTGGGTCGCAGTGATGCAACGCCTTTTAAAAAAGGCTCGCGAATGGAATCCCCAAGTAAAGTTGCCTTAACTAGCCACTTACAGCTGTGATAGACAAGCAGTTCAAGTAAAAGTCCATGGGTCAGCCACGCAGACAATCTCTATTGAGAAACAAACGCGGTTTTTCGCGGCTCCTCCCCAGAAATAGAGCTCCAACTTCTGAAGTAGAAAAATACAACTAGGGCTACAGTTATTCGATTACAACCCGCCATCCACAAGCTTAGATTGAGAGCCACCTCCTATAGATTCCTTTGGCAAGAGAGGTTGCGCCGGTCGTCACATAAATAAACGCAAGGTTGAACGCTGCCTCCTGGGCCAACGAGTCGCGCTAGAGCAAGTTTCAAAGAGCACAACGGGGAACCAACGATCTTACCCGCGAATCGAGCCTAGAAGCTTGTTCCAACACTCGTTCGTAATGTGTGGCGGCATGCGAGAACAGTCCTGCGTCAGTTAGCAACGCCTAAATAGAGGAATAACAACCCACCTATTTGTTGGAATGCCCTACCAAAGTTGTAGTCGATCTCGCCGACACCATCGGGCTCCTCGCGCCGCGTTTGACGATATTGGGACAGCATCGCCATGGTCTGAACTCGATTCAACAACAAAATTTCGGACACAAGGGCTACAACTCACTTGTGCGACCAGATTGTGGCGGTTGTCCGCTTGTCGCTGCATCGCACGGCCTAGTGAAGCAACAGCGAGGCTCATGCAAATCACCGGATCACTTGGGCAGAGCTCGTAGGCGTGCACAAGGTAAACTAAAGAGAGAGAGAGAGAAGCATCAGAAGCCAAACAGACTGAAACATCCATTGACGAACATAGCGCGCTCTGATAGCTTTTTGCTGCCACACACATCTGTCCGTAGAGTGCGATAATCACAGGATTCGATTTCTTGGCAATGTCAGGGAGGGTTTCTGTATTTGCTGGGGTCGGAGTACCGTCGTCTGGTAGGTCCCCGTCGTCGTCATCGTCCTGTTTTGTAGTAGACTGCCCGAATCGTTTTCGCTTAGGTAGCCACTTGATTTGACTCTCCTCGGGGTTGGTCGCGACCATGTTAGAAAGCCGCATTTCACGCGAAAGAGCTTTTTGTAGCGGCGACACAATAAAGGCATCCGTCATCTGTACCCCGCTGGCCATGCCGGCGAGGAAGATGCGTAGTGGCTCGTTGTTGAATTGGTGTGCAGTCATGATTTTGCGGAATTGTTCCACTACGACGGCAGGTTGTTTGGCATGTATTGCACAGGCTGAAAAATTAAGTATCAGTCAAACGATGATTGGAGTCAAGAAATGTTACCCATGAGCGTCAGCCGGATCGAATCTTGTAGTTCCGTTGAATGGAATGGGTTTGACAAGAGGATGTGCTTGAGCAATTCCTCTGCCGAGGCAAATTGCCCACGCAAACATAAAAGAAACGAGTACTGAGAAAAAGAACGTTGGGCATCAGATATTGGAGCGATAAAATGCGAACCCGAAAGAATAGCTGTAGCCATTGTTGAAAGTTCAAGCCTCGAAAAATATCCGAATTCTCAAATCTAGTTGTCCGCCCAGGTTCTACCGGCTAGTCTTAGTCCTGATCCAAGAATTCAGACAAAAGCTTACCCAATTCAAGTTGCAATCGCGAGGCAAATCGCAACTCATCCGCCTCGGAATTACGAGTTTTTGTCGGCTTGGCTTTTTTGGGGAAGAGCCCTCGAAACCCTTGCTAAACTGACTTAGGTAAAGGTGCAATGAATAGTGATACGTACTCGACTGGTGGAAAAGAGCTGTCTGGTTTCTCGAAAGGCTTCAATAAGCTTCTCGGCCTGAATGATCCACTCGCGTTCGTCGTCGTTGGGTTCACTATCCCGCCGAATGTTGGGATATAGCTCCATAAGCCTCTGGTGCCCTTTGATGGTTTCTGCTTCCATCTCGAGTTCGAACTGCTTCAGAGCCTCGGTTGTCATACGCGATTTGGTGGATTTAGATGTTCCGGTCTTCTCAGCTGGCTGACCTTCCGGGAAGAGTGAGGAAGACAAGGCTTGGTCTGTCCGTGAAGCATCGCTGTCCAGTGTCTTATCGATCAGCGATCGTCTTCGAGAGTCGATAACTGCAAAAAATCGGTATGACATGGATTGGAACAATGCCGAACTTACCTTCATAGACTATCTCAAGGGCTTTCCTCGGTTCATTGAGTATTTCGTATATTTCGGCCAGTTTGAGTTTTGCGTCGTTATCAGTAGGCTCGATGCCGCGGACTGGATGTCGCTTCAGTGGGAGGCATGATGAAGGAGGGTGTCCACTTACTGTACTCGTAAACATCGGCAGCTTCGCGGTATTCGTTTAACATACGCAGGCACGCTGCTGTTTGCAAAAGTATATACAGACTGCTGGTCTGCAACCCAAGTCAGAGAGAATACCCAGTCAAATACTACTCACACTGGCTTCCGCACCCAGCATTTCGTAGATTGGCCGAGCTTCTCCATAAAGTTCTCGCTCAAAATACGCATCTGCGATTTCCACGAAAAGCGGAGCATAGTCCAGAATATCTTCTGCCAATATGGAAGCGGCGTGGAACTGTCCTTGTCATCATAGAATCTTCGAAGCAAACAAACCCGACGAACCTTGGCTTCCTCAAGCTCGCCCATTTTAATCCTGGCAATGAGAAGCCGATGTCGAACATTGATATCGAGCGGAAAGACGCCGGGTTGGGGTCCTCCCTCGATGACGCGAACGGTGTCCGGAGCATCGTACTCCCTATCGTCGTCACAAATGTCCCAATACCTTTGCTGCGAACGGCCTTGGAGCCACCTAATACCTTGTCGAATCACGTCTACCGCGCGACCGTAAGCTCCAGTGGTGTTGAGGAGATCTGCCAACACTAAAACCTCCAAGTAGCCAAAACCACCGCCAGGTATCTCCTCCTGTGTCGCTGAATCAGGGCCGAGTCCGGTGGGATAGAGATCTTGGTAATGTTCAAAGGCAGCTTTGAAGAGCTTGGTGCATGTCTTGAGATCAGACAATTCTATGAGAATCATGCGAAGCTCTGCGAGAATGTTAAGATCGTGTGGAATTTGCTTCAGTATGCTGAGGAAAGCATGACGAGTCTTGATACCAATGTCAACATACTTTTTGCAGGATACCTTTCACTTACGATTTTGAAGTCCCCTAATTCTTTGGAAAGAAGAGCGCGTTCCCATTGTGCGTTAACGTTGGTAGGATCAAGACTCGTGAGCTTTCCCAAACAATAAAGTGCTTGTCGGCTGTATCCCAGGTCTCTGTCGGACAGTTAGAGTGTCATAGCGGCTTCAACCAGCCACCATACTTGGATTGCTGAGCCAACCGCTCCCATTCCTCTTCATCGTGGCGTAGATGCGCGGCCATTATGCGCAGCTGTAAAGCTTGTTGGTGTTGGCCCATGTCGTCGTGACATTGGGCAAGCACAGACCATGGCGAAGCCGCCCGAGGCTCGATACGAATGACTTCGAGCATTAGGCGAATAGTTTCGGGGATATTGCCGTCAACATATGCCTGGTTTCCATCCCCAAGAAGAGATTTAACCTCATAAGAAAGTGTTGGTCCGTAAGCGCGGTCCTACAAAGGTCGGTCAATGAATCAAATCGTTGTCTTGAAAAAAAAACTACACTTTTTTCTTCTGCTTGCCGCGTCGTTTACCAACGCCAGATGCCGCTCTGAGGTCGTCTCGAAACTGAGCTTCTTGCTCTTGCATATTCAGGTCCCAATCCTTCGTAAGCATCCCCGTCGATAGACCCTGTGAGAGCTTGATGCGGTCCACCAAACGACTACACATTCATATAAGACCATGTTGCGGGTTGACTAGACGCACTCGAAGTCGCCCTCAATTTCGAGCTCCGTAGATGGGTCGTGGTTATTCGATACATCGTTGTCAGACTCATTGTCGGAGTTGTCTTCAGACTCGCCTGCACCGAAGTCGACATCTTTGTCCACCGCTGAAATAAAAAACGCACTGCTGGTATCCGGTTCCATATCTCCTTCATCGTCCTCTCCGAGCGGAATGGGCTCAAACTTTGCCCCAAGCGACATTTCTTGCGGTGATGCGAGAAAGTGAAGGGTAAAAATAGAAATGCACTGTCACCCTGTGACTTGGTTTGTTTGCTTCCCGAACGGCGACATGAACTCGGACGCGGGCAATCCAAGCCGACAAGTTACTGGAGCGCCAACTATGTGTAAAATGCTGGCACAATCACTGGCAGAACAACTGAGTAAACCTATTTTCGCGACAATTATCATCAACCAAACGCCGGATGGCCCGCAAAAACCGAGATCGAGCGTCAAATTGAGCACAGTCCTGACAGCCCTCGCAGATTATCTTTTCGGCCATTATTAGGCATAATTGAATGCTCTTTTCTCTGTCCTCCATGGGCTCTCACCCGCACCCTCGTTCCTTACTGGCTTTGTTTTCAGCTGTGTTTCTGCTAGCAGAACATACTCTCGCCAATGTTACTATCTATGGGGGCAATAACCCACAAGCTGCCTTTGTCACTACATCTCTTGCACCCGGCGCAACGTATACTGGACCAGCAGCCTACAATCCCAGCTCCATAGCTCGACCTCCTCTCCCAACACCGGGTATCGTCACCACCGTGCCAGTCCAACTGCAAAACTCTGGCACACCCAACTTGTCGATAAAGCAGAAGGGGTCTTTCATTGGTTTCTCCATCGGTAAAAATCTTGAGGCAACCCGCTCGCCAAATACTAACCGTGTTTTGTAGAGATGTCGGTTAGCAATCAAGTTTGTGAGTGTTGTCTTTCATTTACAGCATGACCTAAACATACTCCAGTGGGAAAGAATTCGAGTAAGCCTGAGGAGGACTTTGATCTCTGGTCGACTCTCAACCTTGCCAGGTTTGATTCAAGTGCCGTTCTTGAATCTGATGGCGAATATCCAGCAACGTGCGGGGTCAGTCACGGTCCGAGTCGGTGGTTCGTCTTAGAACAAGAAAGTCTTATGTTGCACTCAGCAATTCTCTTACTCAGGCAATTCCCAAGAGTCCGCCAAATTAACGAATTTTATCGAGAATGGACGCGTCATTGCCAAGAACTACACAGGTTTGACTGGGACGACGCAAACCCCACCCCTCGAATATACCCTCGACCTGCTCTACATGATGCGCAATATCTCATCATTCGTCAATGTGCATTGGTTCATGGGCATCCCTTGGTTCAACACGAAACCTTTCAACCTTGACATTCTCACCGAGTCCCAAAAAATACTGGGAGACTATCTTTTGGGACTTCAGGTGAGTGAATTCTCTGGCCCGCACCTCAATACGCAGTCTAACCCTGCCTGCAGGCGGGAAATGAGCCCGACATGTATGTCTTACACAAACATCGCGTTGACCCATATGGTCCTTTCGACTATCAAGGAGAGATGTCAGATCTATTGAGCCAGTCCGCCACAGCAAATGCCGATCCAAGTGGTCAAGCACTATCCAAACTTGTTGTGCCCAATATCGCAAATTACGCTTGGAAGCCGGAGGATGTCTGGAATACCGGAATAGTGGGCCAATTCGACAAGAACATCGCATATCTGGCGGTCGAGAAATATCCACGGGATAATTGTGTTAGTAACTGAGTTATTCTGTCAATTGGGCGAGTGTTGATTTACAGGTTTAGCCTGCGCACGTGACCCACTTCGCAAAAAGTATCAACGGCTCATGATTCAACAGAATGTTCGGCGGTCCCAATGCAACGGGAATTACCTTACCTCAAGACGTACAAAACCTTTATCTCACTCACCAGGCTCATGTTGACCTCATCGCTCCCTACCTCAACAGCACGGCCTTTGCCCAGACCGTCAACAAGCCATTCCTGATGTTCGAAACCAATACCGCATCTTGCGGCGGCTTTTTGGGCATTTCAGACTCATTTACAGCTGCGCTATGGGGTCTTGACTATGCTCTCCAAATGGCGCATTCCAACTTCTCCGGTGCAATGTTCCATTTAGGAGGACAGAATGTGTTCTACAATCCTTTTACCGCGCCGTTCGTATTCCTCCTCATGAGACTCATGCACAAAACTAACCTCTTCTAGGCCCACAAATGAAACCGGATTCCATAAATGGAGTGTTGGGCCTATGTACTACGCGGCCCTCGTGATGGCAGAAGCCATCGGCCCATCGAACAATACCCAGGTGCTTAACCTGCCGATTGCCAACATCAGCGAGCATACCCCCATCTATGGAATCTACGAGAACGGCACTCCTGTCCGCGTAGCGATCCTCAATTATGTCGATGACCCCAGCGGTGCCAACACTCTCAAGGCTGTCATCTCCATCACAGGTGGGACGACACCGTCGTCTGTTAAAGTCAAGTACCTCTCTGCGGAGTCGGTTATCCAGAAGGGCGATATCAAATGGGCAGGCCAGACATTCGGGAAGATATTCGAGTCGGACGGGAGGCCTATGGGAACCGAAGAAATCAAGACTGTGAATTGCGACGCGGCGGCGCAAACCTGTACGGTTGAAGTCCCTGCCCCCGGCTTCGCGCTCGTTTTCTTGTCAGACAGCGCTTTGACGGAGACGGCTGGTGCGCCGAGCGTCACGTTCACTACCACAGCGCTCACTAAGACGCGTAATACTGGTTAGTCGTGTCCTTCATACTTTCTTGAGATTACCTTAATGTCGATTTCAGCGACCATCGATGCCTCTGTATTGGCAACGTCCAATGGGAACCGCATGGCGGATCATGGGCTGGGCGGCACGAGTAAACCACCAAGCGCAGCTCCTCGTGCTGTAGAAGTACCGGTCATCACAGCTCTGGGATTTGTTCTAGGCGGAATATTGATGTTGGTGTAGATGACGGTTTAGATTTTTTGTCTCTGAGCTGCGATTGCGGGTCAATATATATAAGCACATGACTTGGATTTGTCAGCATCACATCTTACTTCCAACTCGCACTCGCTTTTTAATCTGGGTGAACTGCAGATTGGGGAAGATGGAGCATTCGTCTCAATTCCCAGCTGCAAGTTGCTGAGTTATGGCGCGTCCACTCAAGTCCTATGGCATAGCAGAGTTCGGACATGGGCCATTCTTTATCGCTCAGGCTGTGGACCCGTTGTGCAAGCTATACACGACATCCTGGCTCAGCCTGAATTCTCGCGCCGCCCCAGACAAGAGTTCTGTGGACATGGATACGAATCTGACGAGCGCGAAAAGCACGTCCCTCCATGTGAGAGCATTGGCATCCAGTTAATCAGACTAATCAGAACGAGTAGATGTATCCGGTGAATCATAGCCGTTCGGTAACTGAGCCTGATCGTTCGGTAACGGAGCCCGCTGGGGTCATCATATTGTCTAGTATGGCCAGTGTTGTAACTTGTTCAAACCTTAGCACACCTTCTCTCGTATGCAACTTGAACTGCCAGCGACCATTTTTCTGGGCCACCAGTACCCATAGGTAACGATGGGCTCTCTTTGACCCATACCATTGAATTTTAGATAATGTTGGTAACTGTTACTTCACTCAAAGGAAATGCATTGGCAGACAGTTGGCCCTCCATGATTCATCAAGTAGGATCTTATCAGCAAGATCATATTCATACCAAGCATCTGGAACCTGGAAAATTGCGGCTGTGGACAACTCTGGCTCGACCTCTTCGTGACAAGCTGTCCGTCTTGCTGCCACTGGCAGAGTTCTTCGAACACGGTTTTCCAGATGGTGAAGCCAATATGTATTTCAAGTTCACCAAACTTCAACAGACCAAATGGCGGTGGCGCTCTTCACACGACTGTACGATGAATGCCCATGATGGTTCCGAGTCCGGGCATTCGATAACTGGAAGCAGATGCGGATGCGCACTCAGGCTGCTAAGCCGTACATAATGTGCAACTCGCTTCCTTGCTGTGGTATACTTAGCTTTAGATCTCATCGGGATCTTATCAGGCTCCTCATGCCAGTGCGCTATTAACAGAAAAGCCAAGTTTTGCATAGGTCGTATCGAAATAATAATACCTTGCGCAACGACCATAGCGTGATCGCCGAGTCGGAAGCCCGGCCCGGAGCCGGCGCGGCTGCATCAGAAACCTTGCCGCGGCGGATCAGAGACCGACATTTCTTTCTTTCGTCTCGCTCTCAATCTCGCCCAGTGCAAAATTTCTCATGGCGCGCTTAATCGAGTCCTACGGGCCCGCAGAGATTGCGCATGGGCCACTGTTTGTTGGGCTTTTTTTCAACTCCATTCTGTTTGGTACGCCACGTGCACTGATGAAAACCTCGCCCACCGGCTTGACTTTCCAATTTAAAGGCATAATGATTATTCAAACGTATTTGTACTTCATCACATACCGAAGGTGCATTCTTTCCACTGACAAAAAGCAATGAATTTCTGACGAACCAACAGTGACAAGGCGTGGACAAAGATCTTCGTGAGTTGCCGAGATATGTTGTAGCAGTCTTATCAATCAGGGTAGGTGTTCTGCGTCTTCGTCCTGGACACGCTAAACACTGCATTCGACTTTGCCTATCTGTATGAATGCCTCATCGTCCATTATGGTCCGTGACCTCCATTCGTTTATTCGCTCGTCATGGTTCTACACAGGCGACGTTGCGAAATTGACTCGTGCAAACTGGTGTGAGAACCTATCGTTCGACTCTGCCCCAAAATCTCATAGCAGGCGGTAGTATTCGCGACAGATCCCGTCATGACAGTGCGTCCATTCCAACCAGTCAAAGTACTAAGCTTGACCAGAGGTTTTAATAGGCAATGATCGCTGTATCCGTTCAGCTCTATTACGCATGGCGAGTCAAGGCGCGTCCATAAGAACTCGTCTTACTTTTCATTTGACGTTCGAAAGGTGCTGACGAGAAATCGCTGGTTGGTCGGCGCGGTTATAGCCTCTGTGCTCGTGGCGTTTGGTGTGTTGCTGTTTGAGATCTGAAATGCGAGCCGACCATAGTACAGCGGGAGGCGTTGCAACCTCCATTGAAGTCCATATGCACCCGCGGTTTCTGGATTTCATCAAGTTCGAAAGCGTCGTCATCATCTGGCTCGCAGCCTCCGCCATTGCAGACATCTTCATCACAACTATCCTAGGTACGGGTTTCGTCAGAGATGGACAAGCATAAGCTCAATCCCTACGAAGTCATTCATTTGTGAGCCTCCTTCGATTTTGTCCCTGACTGCTTTGGCCAAGTCTGAACAGGGTATCAGTATTTGTAGCGTTCTGATGTTTCCATTGACCTCTATTACCAGAAGTCACACAAAACCGGCCTCGCAGGGACAGATATGCTCGTCGACCAGATCATCCGAAGTAAATCCATCGTCTCCCCACCATGGTGGTCTATCCCTGATGACCCCCATTCCCAAGTGACAGTTCAAACGGGACTGGCAACTAGTCTGTGCGCGACCATCGATCTGATTCTTTTCCTAACTGATGTGAGTTCCTAACATGAGTACTTGCGAAACGCTGACCTTCGAACTAGCCCGTTGCGCTGTCAGTTTACTTTACTCCCGTCTGCAGTATGGTAATTGAACATGCACAAGCCACCTGATCTTCAACATTCCGCTCTGCAAGCTATACACGAACTCCTTGCTCAGTAGTCTGAATGCTCGCGCCGCCCCAGAAAATAGCTCCACGGATACGAGTCTTACGAAAAAACGCGCGTCTTTGCAGGTAAGAGCTTCGCTGCGAGTTCATCACCAGGTTATCGAGACGAGTAGATATATCCAGGAAATGCCCGTCGTTCGGTGTTGATAGATGTGGTCAATCCGCCAGTCCACAGTCTCGTCTAGATTTGTCGATTATAACTTGTACAAAGGTTGAAGTAAATGCCACATTTTACGATCCCCGCGAGCTTGCTTGTGGTGTCCAAGCTTCGGGTTCGCTGGTTGCAGCTGGTTGCACAGCTGGTTTCGGTAATTCGAGTGGTGGGGGACCAGATTCTCGAGGTAAGGATAGTGGTGGAGCGGATTCAACAATTTGTGGACTGTCGCGTGCTTCTAGAATCGCTACGTTCCTTCGTATTCGTTCTTGACGGATCATATCGGCTTGCAGCTCCTAGTTAGAGTTGAGCAACGATTGTGAGCACGGAAAAGCTGTTAGACCTCAAGCGTTGGTGGGTCGGCGCGGGTATGTGTCAACCACGAAGACCATTGCACTGAATCATGTTCATAAGTTGGATGCCGGTGTTAAACACCACACCTGCTAAACGCTGCTGCCCTCCGATGTATTTGTGCATGTCCTGTGACCCTCCATACTTGACCGTGCGTCGTGGCCTAGGGTCTTCAATAGAGATTAGCGTACGACGTTATTTGGCTTTCTGCTGCACCATTGTTAACGCTGGGATGTTCATAGTAACGGTTTCCTGGTTTTTTGCATCTCAGTATTCATTCAAAGTGAAAGTCTGTTTGATACCTTCGAAGTCGCGGCCTACAAGGTATGACTTGCCACGGGTTAGGTGTTGTGGAGGCTACAGACGAAGACTTACTCGGCCTCGAAATCGCTGCAGCAAAGTGCGGAGGAAGCTAGCCATCAATGTATCACGTGAGCACGAGGCTCGACGCGTCACCCACCACTTTCTCCAGATTCTTCCAGTCAGCCCAGCATGCCTGCCGACGTCGATATGAAGTCTGTTGAGAAGACAGAAGATAAAGACAAGAAAGACGAGAAGGAAAAGAAAAGACGAAGAAGAGAAGCCAAAACCACCACCAACACCACTCCAAGAAATCAAAGCGAATGTTGGGCTTATAGAGCGTGCAGTGTCTAGTATCGAGCCGCGATTCGCGCATAGAGCGTTGAGGACGATGGCTGCGCTTAGGAAGAGGCTGGATGATACCGTTCTCAGGAATGCTGTCGAGGACGTCTATCCCAAAGGTGTGTAGACTTTTTTGTTATTTGGCAGAAGGGTTAGCCTCTTATCAATGTTTCACAGAGTCACTCGCCAAAGAGTCTTTACTATCATGGCTACCTGCAGCATCATCGCAAGCAACAACTACGACCGAAGCGATGGAGGTTGACGCGACCAAGACCGACGCTTCAGCTCAAACAGCGGAGCCCATACCTGAAGTCGATATTTACCTCCGTCTACTCATGATGCACTTCTTCACTGCAACATCTGAAACGCACAGGAAGGCATTGGAGCTCGGGCACCAAACTGTTGAGAAAATGCAAGCACTGAATCGGAGAAGTATGGACCCCATTGCTGCCAAAGTTTGGTACGCTTTAGAACGGACATATGAGGTCGCGGCAGAGTTAGCTGACGCACGACCGTACGGTTTATTGCTCTTATTGGATGCCAAGTAACGAGCTTTCATAGGTTGTTCCTCGCTGCCCAACGAACAGCAGCGCTTCGACGCGATGACGAGACACAGGCGTCCTTGATCAATCGTCTCCTTCGCAGCTATTTGCAATATAGTTTATACGACCAGGCAGACAAACTCATCTCGAAGACAACATTCCCAGCTACTGCGGGCAATCCTCAATTTGCGCGATATCATTATTACCTCGGTCGCATTAAAGCAGTACAACTCAACTACAGTGACGCTCACGCGAATCTACAACAGGCTATTCGTCGCGCGCCGACAGCAAAGCTTGCGCCAGGATTTTACCAGGCTGTCCACAAGCTTTTTGTCGTGGTCGAGTTGCTCATGGGCGACATTCCCGACCGCAGTCTCTTCCGCCATCCGGTGCTTGAGAAGGCATTGACTGCCTACTTCGAAATTGTCAAGGCGGTCCGCACTGGCTCCCTCTCGCAGTTCCAGACTACACTTGCAAAACACGCCAGCCAGTTTGAGGCCGACAAGACGATCACGTTGATCGTTAGGCTGCGGCAAAACGTGATTAAGACGGGCATTCGCCGCCTGTCTCTGTCATATTCACGCATTTCGCTGCGCGATATTTGTGTCAAACTGCATCTGGACTCGGAAGAAGATGCCGAGTACATCGTGGGCAAGGCGATTCGTGATGGTGTCATCGAGGGCCGGATCGTTCATTCTCAAGGGTGGATGGAGTGCGGTAGTCAGAAGAGCGGATATGGGCCGGAGGTCGCAGACGTCTTTTCGAGACGTATCGGCTACTGTCTCGAACTGCACAATCAGAGCGTAAAGGTATGATGTGTTTATGCTTGGTGTTGGGTTGCGACTGATTGGTCTGTAGGCAATGCGTTTCCCGCTCAACGCCCATCGGAAAGAGCTTGCTGCCGCTGAAGGTGCACGTGAGCGGGAGAAGGAGCTTGCGAAGGAGATCCAAGAAGGTGAGCTAGACGAAGAAGACATGGGCGACGGATTTTGACAGTAGATCGCGAAATAAAAATCGGCATTTGACTCTCCTTTGTTTGGGCTGCGAAGACTTCCGTGGCCACAAAAAGACTTGGGAAGACGTGACGAAAGGCAAGGTCATTATCCACGAACCCTTCTGCCACCCGGTCGATGTGTACGATGATATTCTCTTCTCTATGATCTTGTGCTGTCATCGCTTCAAGTTGGATCATTTCTTTCGACACTGTTATCTTTCAAGGACGTTTGATAGCGGAACCTTCAGCTTGAGGACTTTGCACGTTCAGCCATGTGGCCGATGCTTCTGGTGATGAATTTTTTGACCTGCGGAGATTACACCCGAAGGAAAGACATTTGAAAGGTTTTGAAGTATGAACGCTGACATTGACAGCGGGGGTTGCGGTTGTACGGCGGCGAGTGTTGCGGGGTAAAGGGGGGTCAAAAGTCAGGTTCACAATTTCGGATGTCGGGTCAAGGGGCGAACAAGCCTGCTGACAGAGAGGAACGTTGCCACATCCGAAAAGCGTTATGGGGCAAGAGACGATAGGTTGGGAGAGAACAGAGACCGAAAAGCTGTGGGGTTAGACGTCGATAATGCACCCTGAATGGACTATAGATGCCGTTCTCCCTAAAGGAGAAGGTTTTGTGCAGTGTGGTCGCGTTTGGTGACAAGTGGAGTGGGAACCGGACCGGCCTATATAAGGAAAGACATATGACAATCGAAAGACATGGGAGCTTTGCGCTGTCAAATTGAACGAATGGCATGTGCAGTGAAATTGGCTATCTCAGGAATAATCGTCCAGGGTCTACTTTGGTTGGTGGGTGCGGCAGCCGGAAAACGCGGCCTGAACCCATTCAGCTAGCGTAGAAATCACACATCGGTAGGGCTGGGGTTGGGCTTGCCGGGGATCGGAGATGGCAATTAGAATTCGAAGGAGGGGTGGATGACTTGTGTATGACTGACGTGGGAACGAGGAAGACAGCCTTCAACCACGTGCGAATGATGGGCTGATGTATAAGTAAAACGAATCTTGACTGGCGCCGCCACCCACAACAGAACACGACCATGGCTGCCAGCCCACGCCCAGAAAAGGAACGCGATGAGCCGCGTGCTGACGAAGCAGAGCGAAGTGAAGAGCAAGAGAAGACTGAGGAAAAGGAGGAGCAAGAGAGGGAAGAGAAACCGAGAGCTACAGCCCCCACCGAAGAGACTGTCAGCCCAACAGACAATGTTCTTAAGATAAAGAGTCGCGCACCTCATGAACATCAACCACTTCCTCCACAACCGCCCGCTCCGCAACTATATAGCCCTCCGTATAACGTCCAACCACAATGGCCTACCCGACCTGCCGACCAACCGTGGATGCCTCCTACTGACCCAGGCGCTCATCGAGCATATGGCATCTACCCAGAGCAGGACCCTCACCAGAGCGTCCGCTTGCCTTCTATCCAAGCATTGCTCACGGAACCATTCAATCCTCCTCCCCGTGGTCCAGTCTATTCCGACCGACAGGATTGGCCGCATCAACAACAACCAATGCCAATCGCGTTACCGCCGGCCCAGACCGCGCCAGAGCGATATCCTCCAGTCGTTGCTCCTCTACCTCTGGATGATTCTCGTGCTCGTTCACCTCAGGCAATGCCTCAGCGCAAACGTGGTCGGTTGCCAAAGGAGACGACAGATTTCCTCAAAGCATGGCTACACAGTCATTCCGCCCATCCGTACCCCAGCGAAATCGAAAAGAAGCAAATGTGTCATGCAACGGGCCTGAGTATGAGCCAGGTCTCCAACTGGATGATTAACGTGCGGCCCTTCTCTTTGTCTTTCGGGTCTTCCTTGTTAATGCTGCAATAGGGACGACGTCGCATTCTTGGTCCATCTTACCTCAGCACGTCGCGGTCGAACCCACACACATCCCCGCCCGTGACGCTCTCTGCACCATCCATGAACATGAATCCCGCACCAGTGCTCCTCACAGCCCCGTCGATGATGTTGCGCTCACCCACTGGCCCGCCCCACGGCCCATAAACGCGTCAGAGTATCTGGCAAAAACTCTCCCCCCCTCTTGTGTTTAGCTTGGAGTTTGTGTTTCTACGGCGGTTGCGGCTGTCCGTCCCCAAATCTCTACATCACCTACGTTGCTTATACACGCAAGACACGAGGGCTGTTTGGCAGAGCTTTTCTTCCCCTCACTTCTTAATTCCTTTAGTATATAGCCTTATTAGTTGTAAGTTCATGCAGCAACAAATGAATTTTCAGGTTTTTTGGGTCTCTCTTTCAATGCGGTCACGCGACTGGCAGATCTCACCCGGAAGCATGTCGAACAGAACTGCGTCGGAACTGTCTGATGCATCGTATAGCCATAGCCGTCAGAAGTTTGTTTTGAACGGGACCGACTACTTGCCACAATGATCTGCAGAAACGAAACATTGCCAAGTAGGAACTGAATACTATCAATCCAGCATAGAATGGTAGCTCTGGTGATTGTGGCTGCTATGTCCACATAACGGTGGCAGTTGCGTTTTTCAGGAGCCAGTTTTGCGAAAGTTATCTTCTGGGGGGCGAGAGAAAATCAAGTGTACCTAGCCAGCCAGTTACGAACGAGAGTGCAATGCTCACCATCAGAAAGATTACTCTGTCAGTGTCAATGGGTCCGATTTGTTGCCGCTGATTTATTACCGACCCATGAAAAAGCCAGTCAAAGGTCATGGGCAGACAGAAAACCCTCAGAATTGGGACGACAGGCCAAAAAAAATGGGAGGGTGACTTTTGGCTTTGGTAAACCAGTTGTCATTGGTAGACTGTAGCACCGTGGTACATTGCGCATACGTAGGAAATATTATGATATGTCGTGTAGGTAGTCTATACAATTGTCGGTTTAGAAGAACCCACTTCCGGGGAACGCAGACGAGCTCTCGCCGCCGCGTCCTTCCGAGTTGGAGTCGAGCGAATCCACATCATCAGAGTCACGCGACGCCGTTCCGGGCAAAACGGCGGAGCCCGAATGCAGCGACTCTTGGCGCTGAATGCTGCTATGCACCGACGGAATACGGGGAGGAGGCGAATAATTCCGCACGGCCGCACTGGCGCTGGAAAAGTCCTTGGAAGGCGGCCGGAAGCCACGTGACGCCGGCGGCGGTCTGCTGGGCGGCATATCGTCTCCATGGCTTAGACTTGTCCTCCGCAACCGCGCATAGACAGGCTCTTCTCCCCGTCCTCCTTGTTCGGTGGCCGTTGATGGGCCAGCGGTCGAAAACAACCCGCCAAGATTAAGACCTCCGAAATTGAAGTTGATGGGCAGCGGCAGTCCAATTGCAGCCTCGGCGTCTTGCGGCGGGTTGGGGGGACTGGGGTCAAACTATGCTTTAAGTTAACGAGAGAATGTGTCGAGAATTTGGCCAACATACGGAGCCCCAGACTGCTTCTCGTTCTTCGTCTCCTTGTTCAGGCCGTTTATCGGCCGCGCGATCGATGAGATGGCACACATAAAGAGTGTCAGCGCTGTCTCTAACCACTCCCGCACAGAATACACTGACAGCGGCGCAAACGAGACCAGCCAGGACAGCAGCAACCACAGCAGCGCGTTGCTGTTCAATATAACTAATGCCTTCTAATAATAATAATAAGCTATGTGTCACAGCAGCATAAGATCTAGACATACCTTGTCCATCACGGTCTCCCGCTGTGCGTAAATACGCAACTAGCGCAAACGGCAGGGCCAGCGTATATGGCCTGGGAAGGGGCAAAGACGGGACGGCACGCTCTGACCCACTCGAGCGGAGGTCACGAACACCCCTGACACCATCCCAGAAGCTCGCGCCAGTCAAGCCACAATAGACTCCAGTATATCGACCCCCACCAATCCGCTCACCCAAAGCATGGACCTTGGAAAGCGCTATATCGGCAAATAGAGCAATAAAGCGGTACGGGAGGGCGAGGGGAAGCCAGTACAAGACTACTTGAACAATGGAGAGTGTGGAGAGGATGAGCGAGAATAGCGCAGAAAGCACGATTGGGCCGAGAGGTCGAAGGAGAGCAGCGTGGATTATACGTAGATGGCTGTCGAGTTCCGGATAGCCCGTATTCCAGACATCGTTTGGCGCTCCCGCTGGAATGGAGTACCGGAAATACCATGCGCCAATTCCACCGGCGACAAGACTTCGTTGGATGGAGCGGGCAACGAAGAAGACGTGTAATGCACAAGCGGCGACAACTACACTAGCCAGTTGCATGTACCATGAGTGGGAGAGGGGAAGGCGGACGAGGAGGGTGAGTATTGGGAGACTGAGAATGAGTCCGACCAGAAGAATCAGGGGCGACAGAACAAGCAAGAGTGGTGCTCGGAAAAACAAGATGCGTGCTGAGATTGAGAGAAGGGCTGGAGAACGGGCTGCCCTCCGCAACTCCTCGGGTAAACGCCTCACGCTGATGACGGCTAGCGCAAGCGGCACAAGGGCGAACAAACGAAGACCCCAACCGGCTCCAGCACTGAATGAGCCTGCAAATGCGATGATAGCTGACAGGAAGAGGGCGAAAGGAGGTGCGAGTGCCGATATAAGCAACACTGGACGAAGGAATGCCCTGAGTAGTGCGAGATGGATGTATGCCAAGATAGCGGAAAGAATCGTGAGGAACGTCAATAACGGAATAGTGTGTAACAATGCTGGTGGCGGTCGTTCTTCCGGAGAGTTGGCCAGAACAAGGGATATGATAGCGCATACGCAAAGAGCCGTGTAGCCAAATAGAAATGTGGCCGCCGCGTAGGCGTTTGGCTGGGGTTTCCGTCGTCTGGAATAGGGTAGATGGAAAGCATGCGGCTCCGTTCTGGGGAGTAGGGATTCAGATAGACCGAGAGAGAGGGATTGAGGCTGTTGTGGGGCATGATTGGTCGGTGGAGAGGTCGTCCGTTGCGGCAGGAGGGGTCTGTGAACTGCTTCGGGGGTCCGTTGATTTGCAAGCCAACCGCCTTCCTCCTCATCGTCCTCAATATACCCAACATTGCCCTCCCCACCACCCTCTTCATCGTCGTCTAGTCTCAGATATGGGTCCTCTGCTTCCTCTGGTGCATCGTGGCTGTATCGGCCGAAATGGGGGTCGTCAGCATCATCGAGCTGGACTGACGCCTCGTCCGTGGTGAAGGAGAAGAATAGAGGCTGAGCGGTATTCGATGTCGACGCTGAGCCCTGCTTCAAGAATTGGGAGGCATAGGTCGCAAATGACATTGCGAAGGAAGGAGTGAAGGGGTGGCTGTTGACTCGGACCGATTTAGGATTACGCGTCAACTTGACCGCCACGCGACCGCAGCCTCTTGGACTCAACCACAGTCAGCCATGAAAACTAACTCGGTCTGCAACAAAATGAACAGCAACAGCGCTCTCTTTTTACTGAACGACGAAGAACTTGACCCAAACTTGACCTCAATCCTTCAAGTGAACGGACTCGTGGCCTACCATGTGGTCATACTGACACCACATATCTCTATTGCAACGAAGACAGTTAGTTGGTCGTGTATCTCTCGCGGGACAAGACTCTAAGAAGAATCCTTCAAGTTCTCTATGATCAAGTACTCTTGTCGGCATATTCCCTCCTCGCCTTATTGATCAACACCTTCGTATCCAACAGCATCCAAACCACTTCTCTGTGGCCATGGCCATGGTAGCGCCAAAACTACATTGCGAATAGGTAAACTGTCCCTAATCCGATAACATCAAGATCAAAGCAGTTGAAAGGGACAAAGCACTAATGGCGGCAGGCTTTGTGCACAAAGAGCTCAGCGGCGACATATAAGATCAACGTCCACCAGGCACTACAGTATTGTTCTCTCCCAATCCCAATCCCAAGCCTCATGGCCACAATAACCAATATATCACCAAGCGACCTCGCGCGTGCGGAAATCGCCCGAGCGCAGTTTCGCGGCCCACCCAAGTACAAACGGAAGGACCTGGCGTTCTGGGTAGGGTTTGACACCTCACCCCTCTGCGAGGGCATTGATGGCATGTTTCCGTATCGGGTCAAGGCATCCGCTGACGCTTGGTGCAGATGACGTGCCAGAGAGTTCAAGTTCAGCCAACGCGAATGGACTGAAGAGACCGCGCAACGCCGAGGCCCCAGCCATCTCAGAAGACGCCTATTCACATCTGCCGCCGTTGAAACGAATGCGGCTACGCTTCTGCAATGAACGGCTGGGCGCGAGGTCCAAACAGCAGGGCGTGGAACAAAACCAGAACGTCCCTCCCCCAAAAGTCATAAATGCTGGCTCGACTGGGACATCGGTGCCAATAATACGAAAATCGATACCGCGGAAAGCGAAGGCGCGGGCGGAGACAGAACGAGCGGCTGCTAGGACACCGAAAAAAAAGAGGAGTCCGAGACGGAGAGCGCGGGTATGAAGACCTATACCATATTTAAACTTGAATCCTTTTGTAGTATTAGACCATGAAGAATCTAGATCTTCAGTGAATCTTCAGTTTCAGTTTGGCATTGCACGAGAAAAACCCGGCTCGTGATTTGGAGATTCCTATCTTCTTCAAGCTTTACTTAAGTGGCATTCGTTCGCTGAATCATGGCTGTTCTGGATCCCCTTGGTTCAGATTTCCGCATCTTGAACTTCCGAACTTGTTGAGTCACTACCTCGTCACAGGTCACAAAAACAGTTTCTCTTCCTTCAAGCCACCACTCTATCGTGCTGGGGTTCTCTGAAATATTGCCAACTTCGTGCACTCTAATCACGTTGTTTTCGCTGGACTCTCCAGCGGCCAGCACAACTTGGATCACAGGTAAGATCATGCGCCTGCGTCGTTCGTTTCGTTCACTGTAGGTGTAGGACTTCATGGTAGAACTCATGGTACAAGTCAACCTCAAGCCTTCGATGCTCTGCTCAAGCTGCTCACGTTGTCGAAGGCTGTCCACTATCCCAACTTGAAGAATTCCATTTCCATTCTTTCCCTTTTCGGTTGGCCACTCTCTGGCGACGATCAGCATGTTCAACTCACGTCCTTGGGCCTTTGGTGCATTTGGTCCCCATCTCGAGCATTTCCGGCAAATCGGGGATTGCGGGCGGTGTTCGCGGCCGTTGCCTGTGCTTGTGCTCCTGGATGCCGCCCTCAAAACTCCTCGATTTGTGCTCGACGCTGAGGTTTACCCATGACGCGGGCGGCTCAGAATTTTTCTCTGGGTCGTCGTTTGGTTCTCCACTGATGCAAGCTTACCGCTTGGCAACGTAAGAGTTGCGACAACTTTGCTGTTTTCCGAGCATTCACCAGTGGCCATCTGCATGGGTCACCGTGTTATGATTACGGACTGACGACTGTACATCAGCACGTATGATTTATTAGCACCCAGTATTCTGCAGGAGGTTGTCATCGAAAATTAATGCTGTTCGTTTCGTCTGAACTTCGTCATAGTGGCAGAGATAGTACTTAACCGCGCGCTGGGGGGCAGCCAAAGTAGAAGTCAAGGCCCAAGAAAAAGACACGGAATCCACCAACGCCATCTAAGTCGCACCACTCGATCTGTTCTAACTTGTGCTCTAAATCGATCGATCTGTTCAACTGCAACTTCCGAACGTCGTCACGGCCCGGGGTCACACAAACGGCTGGTCTTCCCTCCAACCACCATTCTCTCGTGCTGGTGTACACCCTCTCTGGACCATTCGCTAACATCGGTGCATCCACCGGACCAGTTACTCTCCGGCGACGCGTAGGATCATGCTGCTTCGTTCGTAACTTCGTCTGGTTTACTATCGGAGTAGGACTCGATGGCAGAACGCAAGGTATAAGTCAACCTCAAGCTCTTAATCCGGCTGCTCATGCTGTCGAAGGCCATCCAACTGCTTGCGTCCGGCATTGCTAGTGACTTGTTCTCGATCAAGGTGCTCTTCGTTGTTTATCCCATTGGATCCATTCTCAGACCATGCTCTCCAGTGACCCTACTTGTACTCTTTCCTTTCCTTCTCTTGTCATTTGGCCACTCTCTGGCGACGATCAGCATGTTGAACTCACGTCCTTGGGCCTTTGGTGCATTTGGTCCCCACCTCGAGCATTTCCGGCAAACCGGGGATTGCGGGCGGTGTTCGCGGCCGTTGCCTGTGCTTGTGCTCCTGGATGCCACCCTCAATTCTCCTCGATTTGTGCTCGACGCCGAGGTTTACCCATGACGCGGGCGGCTCAGTGTTTTTCTCTGGGTCGTCGTTTGGTTCTCCACTGATGCAAGCTCACCGCTTGGCAACGCAAGAGCTGCGACAACTTTGCTGTTTTCCGAGCATTCACCAGAGGCCATCTGCATGGGTCATCGTGTTCCGATTACGGACTAACGACTGTACATCAGCACGTATGATTTATCAGCATTCAGTATTCTGTAGGATGTTTGTTTGTAATACAGTAATACTGCCTCCTCAGAGAGCTCAGGCTACCGAAGTTGTCATCGAAAATTAATACCGTTCGTCTAAACTTTGTCATAGTGGCAGAGATACTAGTAGTACTTAGTAACAGCGCGCAGGGGAGGCGCTGGGGGGACAGCCAAAGCAAAAGTCAAGACCCAGGAAAAAGACACGGAAACCAACTTATCTCAATCTGATCTTATCACTCCAGTTTCATAGCCCGCGTAGCATGCTGGCATTTCCTCGCACGATCTTTTCTCTTAGCTGCGAGCAAACAACGTACTTAATGTGTCAGCCCAGATCTAGAGGAATTCGGAATCTCGCACAGACATGATACTATACTTACTAGTATTGCTCTGATATGACTTGGATTCTACTATAAACGTGCCGCAACGAAATCGCGCAATGACCAGCAACTGGAAACTTGAATAGAGCTGGCTGAATAAGAGTGGTGCCGGAGACGACGAGTTTGTGCACGACATCACCGCTGCTGAGGAGTGGTTGCCAGAGGTGCTGGTTTATAGCCTCTGTGATGTGCTTCTCCGAGAGAGTCGGGGCATTGCAGATATTGTCCGGGCTTGGAAGGTCAATGTATGGGAGATAGGGAGCGTCGAAGTCATCAACACTGACGAACAAGGATAGCTCGGCCTTTTGGACAAGAAACTGAAGAGAGCTTCAGCTTGAACCGATTTATCGGCTGAGTACATACGAGAATTTCTGTGAGCATGGCGCCTGCATTGGCAGAAAACGGATGCTCCGGGAGGATTCCCAGTTGCTGGTGGTACCGCTGGACAAAGTAAGCCAGCTGAGGGGTCAACTTGTAGCTTATCATTGTCGAAACATTGTCCGGAGCGGTTGCCCAAAGCGGTGGGAAACCTAGAGGCAAACAGAGGTGTCGATTGCGGTGTCATCTCTAGATGGCCAAACGATGTAGAGAACCGATCTCGGGCCGCAATATCATAGAATTCACCTAACATCGAGATGAAGGCGGTTTTCCCAAAACGAGGCGGGCGAAGGAGGAGATACGCAAATTTGTCAGGGAGATGGCAGAGGAGATGAGTTTTATCCACGAAAGTGATGTTCCTTTTGGGGGAAATCCGGGAAACGGTGCCAAGCTTTGGGAAGCTTTGGGCTCTGAAGCGCATATAGTAAATAGGAGAACTCGCATGGTCAGGAAAGTCCCCTACTCCGGAGGCAAGAGGGTCCAGCCTTAAAGAATTAGTATCCATTTCCCATAGTTCTTCGTCGCTGTCGGGTTCATCATCGAGGAGGTCAGACCAGTCTTGAGAAGATCTTTGCAAGATAAACCCGGAGGTAGATGGTGCGCCTAGGCGCGCCAGCTCATGAAGAGGTGTTTGAGATCGGCTCATTTTACGCTGTTCCGTGGATAATGACTTTATGTTGCGCTCTCACTGTGGTGAGGTTTTGAGGAGAATGATGCGAGTCACAACACGGGATGGTGACAATACGCGCGCGCGACATATTGATCAAGTGACCGCCATCTACTCCCACTTGCCAAACATAACCTCATCAGGTAGATCTAACGGCTTCTCCTCGCAATGACCACAATTAACGCAAGCGTCGTTCGCCTCGTGTTGCTCCCTTGGACCTCGGTAGAGCACATGCGAGCCACCGACGGCAACAAGTTGTACGTGGCTAGGCTCTTTCCGCATGAAACTCTCGACAAAATTTGTTTCCACAGCATTGAGAGTCGAAGACCAGACTGTGTACTGTCGAGCTAACAAAGTGGTTTCGTCTTCGTCTTGAACGATGTCAAACAGCTTTTGCAGTTCATCGCGCGTGGGCTCTTGGTGATCGTTCTTGGGGTTGGCACCACGCCAGAGTCCAGCCAAAGTCAGCGTGACGAGCTCGACCGAGACCGTTTCTTGACCTCCAAACGCTGGAATCTCGATGATCGTTGGCGTGGCCGTGTAAGGATGATAGACGAAGGGCTTCTCCGGTCGGTCTTCTTCAGATTGCAAATCTACTGCATTTCGCCATAGAAGCTCAAAGACCCCGTGAAGATTGAGCTCGCTGTTCTGTAACAAACAACGTTTGCCAAGGTCGCGCATCATTCGCTCCAACAACCTGAGCAGCATATTCGGTTTGTGAGAGCATAAATCTTCCCAATAAAAGAAGAGTCTTCGGGTCGGGTCGTATCGCTCCGTCACTGCATCATCGAGGTAGGAGTGAAGCTATTAAGACAGATTAGCAATGGCTTGGTGACGACAAAAGGAAACACACCACTGGGATGACACCGGGGCAGTTCGACAACCGCAGCGTCTGTGGGTGCTGGGAGTCTCTTTCCAACGCACCCGCTCCAATGAAGGCTTGCCAAGTCGGACGAGTTGTATCGTCACCGACAAAATACGCAGTTTGTGGTGGCGGCACAACGTGGCCGGCGGCCACCAACGACATAACGTCAACGAGAGAAAGTCCTTCAAAATCATCCGACTCGGATGGCAACATCCTGAGAATGCTGGACAGCAGTTTGAAACACATGTCTTGGGAAGCGTCCTCATTATCAGGGCGGGAAAATCGCTGAACCCATGAAATGACCTTTTGAGGATGCAAGAGCGGCTCTGAGGGTGCATCCGAAAACGAGTACCTACCACATGACGCTTGCATATCGTCAATGTCCCCCTGGTCCAAATCTTCGAGGAGAGATTCCGCAAACATCTGAGCTTCTCCTATTGTGAACCCACAAGCTGATACCAGTTGTGGAGGAATGGTGAGGCCCAGTCGGTGAATTAACGAGTGTTGAACGAGAGTGCATCCAGAGAGGACGAGCTTCTGAATTGTCCTACGGTTGGCGATCAAGGGTTCCCAAAGATGGATGTCCATAGCCTGAGAAACTTCGTGACTGGAGGGCGGCACAACATTCCTGAACTCGAAGCCATTGAATGCAAGATTCCCGAATTCATTTATGACTCTTCGTTTGGGCGGGGGAGGTTTAAAGAACGGTGCATCGAAGTGTCGACAATCACGAGCAACGGTAAACCAGAACTGTGGACGCGGGTCTAAATAGGGTGAGATGAGGGCTTCTACCAAAAATCAGAATTGACGCACGAGTACTTCCTGAAACATTTCGCCAGTATCATCGGATAATTGGTGGCCTTTGGCAATGTTGAGTTGGGCAGAGTAATTCCGCACAAATAGTTGCAAGGATATGTCCACTATGGAGGAGATTGATGATGATATGGCGAGCGAATCAGTCTCGTCGAGAGACGTGAAGTCGAAAGACAAGCAAAGGTGTTGATTGTGCTTGACATGAGCGAACAACTTTGAATGTTCAGTTTGCTCAACAACACCATATAATTGCGTCAGCATTGAAAGGAAAGTGGTTTTTCCGAAACGAGGTGGGCGGAGAAGAAGGTAAGCAAAGGAATCAGGTAGATGGGGCAGTAGCTCTGTTTTATCGACGAATGCCGCGTTTCTCTCCGTTAAGTCGGAGAAAGTGTCCCAATATCTCGGTAGCTTTCGACGCTGTATCGTGCATATGAATTGGAAGGCCGAGTATTGTAGTATGGCAACTTACCCTGACACGGTGAGCTCCATTGACTGAGGACTCGTCATCCGAGTTCGAGTCGCTGTCGGCGCACTCCGACCAGAAGCGCTTGTAGGGAATGGAAGCTGCACTGGTGATTTGAATACTGGACGACAGTGTGGCACCAGCGAGGGGGGCGTGGTGTCTAGAATAATGGAACGCTTTGAGGCGTTGCTGGTGAAGAGTTCGTAGGCGTGGTCACGTGCATAGTTACATTTTCAGAAGTGACTACGAAACTCAACAGCATAGTTTCTACGTGTCAAAAAACGATGGAACATGCTCCTTTACACAATGTCAAACGAGACAACGGTCTTGCGGAGATAAAAACCACGATTTTAGATCGGCAAGACACCACCGAGGCGACTATACTTATTGCTCTGACATGCTTGCACTCTGAACGTGCCGCAAAAAAATGGCACAATGACCAGCAACTTGAATTTGCAACCTCGAACGTCCGACAAAATGTAAAAAAAATCATACGCAATGATGTACAGTCGTCAGTCCGTAATCATAACACGATGACCCATGCAGATGGCCACTGGCGAATGCTCGGAAAAACAGCACCTTGTCCAACTCTTACGTTGCCCAGCGGTATACTTGCATCGGTGGAGAACCAAACGACGGCCCAGAGAAAAACTCTGAGCCGCCCGCGTCATCAGCAAGCCTCAGCGTCGAGCACAAGACGAGGAGTATTGAGGGCGGCATCCAGGAGCACAAGCACAGGCAACGGCCGCGAACACCGCCCGCGGTCCCCGATTTGCCGGAAATGCTCGAGATGGGGACCAAATGCACCCAAGGCCCAAGGACGTGAGTTGAACATGCTGATCGTCACCAGAGAGTGGCCAAATGACAAGAGAAGGAAAGGAAAGAGTACAAGAAGAGTCACTAGAACATGGTCTGACAATGAAACCAATGGGATGAATACCGAGAAAAGCACCTTGACCGAGAAGGAGTCAACAGTAGCAGTTGGATGGCCTTCGACAGCAAGAGCAGCCTGGATTGAGAGCTTGAGGTTGACTTATACCATGCGTTCTGCCATCGAGTCCTACGCCGATAGTAAACCAGACGAAGGTTACGAACGAAGCGGCATGATCCTACGAGTCGCCGGAGAGTGACTGGTCCGGTGGATACACTGGCAGTGTGGTTGGAGTGCGTAAAGTTAGCGAATGGTCCAGAGAGGGTGTACACCAGCACGAGGGAATGGTGGTTGGAGGGAAGACCAGCCGTTTGTGTGACCTGTGACGACGTTCGGAAGTTGCAGAGCTGCTCTGAGAGCTGAAAGTTGAACAAAGGGGTACGGATCGATCGATTCAGAGCAAAAGTTAGAGCAGATCGAGTGGTATGGTCATGGTGTTGGTGTTACAGAGCGGAAGCGGTGCCTGCCCCAACTAGTCCGGGCCGTGATCGGGCCGGGCTTCGGACTCCGAGCTCTACAACGTCGCATAGAGAAAGTACAGCTGGGATTTGAGCTTTAGTTATGATGGGATGATTCCGCCGCTCGTCTTAGGGCTGTTCTGACTCGGAATCGGCGGCCTCTTTATTCAGAGAGAACATTCCGCTCAGTTTCTAAATCTCGTCACAAGTCACACAGACCACTTCTCTTCCTCAAACCACCACTCTCTCTCGAGCTGGCGGTCGCTTTCTCTGGACTATGGCCAACTTCACAGTGCCAGAGCACTCACTAGACCAGGTCATCTTTAGTGCTGGCTTGGATTCAGGTAAGATTGTGAATTTGTGATAGCCACTCTCTGCGTCGTTGAGCACTCGATGGCAGAACTCATGGTTCAAGTCGATCCCAACCTTTCGATCCTTCGCTCAAGCTGTTCACGTTGTCGGAGGTCATCGACCTACTTGCGCTCGTTGATTAAGGTGCTTTTCTTGGTGTTTACTTTTCCATCGCATCCAAGTCTCATCCCATTTCCCAGTAATTAAATTCTTTCTTTTGTCGGTTGGCCACTCTCTGGTGACGATCAGCATGTTCAACTCACGTCCTTGGGCCTTGGGTGCATTTGGTCCCCATCTCGAGCATTTCCGGCAAATCGGGGATTGCGGGCGGTGTTCGCGGCCGGTGTTTGGGCGTGTGCACCTGGATGCCGCCCTCAATACTCCTCGATTTGTGTTCGACGCCGAGGCTTGCCCATGACGCGGGCGGCTCAGAGTTTTTCTCCGGGCCGTCGTTTGGTTCTCCACTGATGCAAGTATATCGTCGCTGGGCAACGTAAGAGTTGGACAAAGGTGCTGTTTTTCCGAGCATTCGCCAGTGGCCATCTGCATGGGTCATCGTGTTGTGATTACGGACTAACGACTGTACATCATTGCGTATGATTTTTTTTCACATTTTGTCGGACGTTCGAGGTTGCAAATTCAAGTTGCTGGTCATTGTGCCATTTTTTTGCGGCACGTTCAGGGTAGAAGCATGTCAGAGTCAGTCAGGCCAACAAAGTATAGTATCATGCCTGCGAGATTCGCAGCTTTGCTACCGGTACCCGTGTTGGGATTCAAACCAGGACGGAAGAGCCTGAGAAAAGATTGAGCGAGGAAATGCCCAACAGTCTAGCATGTTATGCACATCTTGTGTGGGCTCCAGTTAGAAACCGGAGTGATAATTATAAGATTGAGATGAGTAGGTGCGTTTAATCACTCGTCATCGTACCCACTAAAAGTCCGACTTTTACTAAAAATGACCTGGTCTACTGACTGTTAATGCGCAGAGTTGTCTATAGTCCAGAAAAAGCCTCTGCCAGCTCGAGAGAGTGGTTGTTTGAGGGAAGACAGTGGCCGAACAGTGGCAGATGTTCGTCCTCTGCCGGGCCGGGCTGCCCGAGCACTGATCCGGGCCGGGCTCGGGCGGCCGGGCTTCGAGCTCTTAGCACTACAGCTACGGCTTGTATTTGAGCTTTAGTTCTTGTGGGATGATTCCACCGCTCGTCGTATAGCTGTTCTGACTCGGAATCGGCGGCCCCTTTGTTCAGAGAACTTGAACATTCCGCTGAATTTCTAAACCTCGTCACAAGTCACACAGACCACTTCTCTTCCTCGAACCACCACTCTCTCGAGCTGGCGGTCGCTTTCTCTGGACTATGGCCAACTCTGCGCATTCACAGTGCCAGTGCACTCACTAGACCAGGTCATTTTTAGTGCTGGCTTGGATTCAGGTAAGATTGTGAATTTGTGATAGCCACTCTCTGCGTCGTTGAGGACTCTATGGCAGAACTCACGGTGGTTCAAGTCGATCCCAACCTTCCGATCCTTCGTTCAAGCCGTCCACCTTGTCGGAGGTCATCGAACTACTTGCGCTCGTTCATTTTTCTCAAGGTACTTTTCTTGATGTTTATCCCATCGTTATCGAGTCTCATCCCATTTCCCAGTAATTAAACTCTTTCTTTTGTCGGTTGGCCACTCTCTGGTGACGATCAGCATGTTCAACTCACGTCCTTGGGCCTTTGGTGCATTTGGTCCCCACCTCGAGCATTTCCAGCAAATCGGGGATTGCGGGCGGTGTTCGCGGCCGTTGCCTGTGCTTGTGCTCCTGGATGCCGCCCTCAACCTTCCTCCATTTGTGCTCGACGCCGAGGTTTACCCATGACGCGGGCGGCTCAGAGTCTTACTCTGGGTCGTCGTTTGGTTCTCCACTGATGCAAGCTCACCGCTTGGCAACGTAATAGTTGCAACAAGGTGCTGTTTTCCGATCCCCCACTAGTGGTCCTCTGCCTAGGTCATCGTGTTATGATTACGGACTACTTAACGACTGTACATCATTCATGTATGATTGCTATATAGTACACTTGTCACTGTAGGATGTTCTAATGGAAAAAAAGGCTGTGTGCCGTCGTGTGTTCCTCTTTCTTGCGTCCATCGCCACTGCCTTGCGAGATATTTTCCTAAGGAATAATCAGATTCAATAGCTTGTACAGGCACAAACATCCAACCTTTTCATCAGCGAGTTGACTGCTGCTGGCTGTCCACAGACGGTTCTTGGGAGGAGAGAGTGGGGGGGGAATGGTCGTGTTGGACGTGACAGGCTCGACTTCGTCGAAGAGCACCAAGTCAGTGTGGCCAACATTGGAATCCTCCTCTTCGTTACTGCCGAATGGAGGTGTACCACGAGCCCACAGGCGATTAACAACGGGAGAAAGCGGCGGGCGAATAGGTGTGCTGGTTGTCGCAAACTCGACTTTGTCGAAGAGAGTGTCGGTATCCGAGTGTTCGAAGTCGAAATCCTCGTTGCCGCCGATAGGGAAAATGGGGGGAGGGAGCTCAACTTCATCCAAGAGCCGGTGGATGTCGTCTGGTTCCGCGGGGAAAAGTCCATCGTGCTGCTGGCGCCACAGAGGACACGGAACCAGACGGAGGGATGAAGGTTCTGAGCGACGGATTTTATTCAATACGCAGTCATGGAGGTACGAGTCGATTGCTCACCACCGAGTCCTTGCCATCGGCAAGATCTTCTCACCTCCTCCAACTCTATCTCTCGCTGGAATTCCTCCTCCGTTTTTCTTCGTGCCTTCAATTCGGCCAAGGCGAGATGGCGCAAAGCCATTTTGTCTCTGAAGCAAGTGTCAGTGCGCTCACAGGCAGGATATTAGGTGTACGCACTCGGGAACGATGGCTCGTGTAGCAATCCGCATGATGTCGCCCAGACTTCTTGTTATGCCGCGGCGTAGAGCAGCGAATGCGTCGGGGTTTGCGACTTCGTGGTTATCTGCTCCCAAGCAAATGCACAAAACCTCAAGGAGATGGAGAAAGCATGGCGATGGCCAGGGGAGGTGGTCCGGCCAGAGGCGGAGTGCGACAACGTTGGTGAGCGGATGCACGTCTTCTCCCAACCGAGCGAGAACGGCAGCTAGGACATGGTCGGTGCCCGCCACTGACATCAACAGCTGTTCACAGAGTGTGAGACGGCCCACGAGGAAACAAACGCGGCACTTACGGCCTGCTCGCCCTTGGTAAAGGGCCCATAGCGAGCCTGCTCTTCCTCGATTTTGGTGACCAGGCGCCGATTCCATTTTCGCCTGCCCTCCTTGGCGAGCCAGTCACCAGTCTTCGAGGAAGGCAGCCACTGCAGCGGCTTGAGGGGGGCGAGACCACTGCTAGGTAGACGGTCGACAACGGAGTGGGCGAGGTCGGACAGACTATCAGATAATCAGTATCCAACGCTAGCGAGAAGGTTGAGAGAGTGCATACGACGCATTAACCACGCGCATGGTTTTTGTCGAAAGTCGGTAGAGGACGTAGTTTAGGAATGTGAAGCAGGTGTGGTGGTCGCAGACGAAGTCGCGAATGTCTCAAGTGTTCCGCGACCCACCAATTTATACCCCTCTAGACATCGTCATCATGTCTCGGTGATCCTTCGCCAGGTTTTCTTCCAGTTTAATTACCCAGATGGGCTGGAGAGGATTGAGGTCGGCAGGAAAAGTGTAGCAGCAGCAGAATATCATTGACACGATGAGGAGACTGCTGGAGACACGACATGGTCATTTTCCGGCGAATTTGTCCAGTTTTGCGCTTGGATTTTATCCCTGAGCATGGTTTCCGACTTCTAGATGCGATATATTCGTGAGCAAAACGTGGTTGGTGGATAAGAGTTGGCGGTCACAAGTCAAACCGCAGTAAAAATCTGATGCGGTCAGCGTTCCTGCGAAGTCAAGTCCTTCAGGTTGAGCGATAACTGCAAAGTAAAGTCCGAGCGATAACTCCATCTGCAGTTGAGAAAAGTTGAAAATTGAAGTAAGTTATCATTTTTACAAGTCCCCTACTCGAGTATACTCTAATAACGCGACATATCACCACGGTGCGGGGAGCCCAGACGCAGCTGCCCCAATCTCCGAAAGCTGCGTCAACGGATCCAGCTTGCCCTTGAATTCCGGCAAGTAAGCTTGGTTGGTGTAAGGGCAGTACGCCGCCGGAGAGCCCTTGTAAACCGGAGTAAATGTCGCCCCGCAAATCTCGAATGGTGTGTAAGGATCAAACGAGAGCTCTACCGCATTCCTTGGGTTTCGCTCTCCCGCAGCTATGCGTTGTCGGGCCTACTGGATGGTTAGAAGGGCGATAAAGAGCAAGGTACAAAAAAAAAACTTGCCATGGCAACAACTTTGGCATCTGGGTTGAGGGCAAGCAAACGTCTCGCATATCTCGCAGCGTCAAATTGGTTGTTGGCCTTGCTGAAAACGGTAATAGCGCTTCGTAACGCAAGCAACACTTGAGGCGGTTGCAGTTTGCACTCCGTGAAATAGGCGGCCAGCTCGAGATTTCGACTGACGTTGTCCGGTTCCTCCTCTGCGACCCGCCTTCGTTCGAGTTCGATTGAGACACCTAGCAGATACTCGCGGCTGGTGGTAACAAGTTCACGCCACTAAAAAAACAAGATGAGAGAGGTATATTGAAATGGATCGCAGTTCTTACTGTTCGAGCTTCATCATCAGATGCAAGAGGGACCAACAAAAGGCTACGAAGCACAGAGCGGAACACGTCTCGCGCCTCGGCCAATTTATTGCCAGTGACCAACCGGAAACCTTCCCCGAGTTCAGTGCGGACAGAGGCTAATGACCGCACGACAACTGGAAGAGTACGAGACATCGATGTTTCTGTCGGATTGCGTCGGATGTGAAGCTGAAGAGGCGGTAAGGATGCAACAGGTGTCAGGTATGTATGGGACGAGCGATAAGTCGACAAGAAGAGCGGCTTGAGATCCACAAAGTTGACTATGCCGAGTTGGCGATTGAGGAGCTTTATATCAACGTAAGCAGATGTTATACGGAGACGCAGACAACATACCTGCATCGCAGTCTCAAACGATCCCGCCGCCACGTGATCAGGCGCTAGAGGGGAGTTACGGACCCAATGCTCTGTCTCGCTGATACCTGGCGTTGAACCTGGCAAGTCTTCATCTGGGGTAGCATCCTCCTCGACCTCCTCCGTCACCTGCGCCGCTCCGGCATCGGCATCAAGTTCCCATCCTCCTTCTTCAGGGTCAAGATCGTCTTGCACTTCCTCGTCTTTCGCCCACGCGTCGAGTGCAGATGAAGCACCAGCAGCAGCATCACCATTGACATATGCAGGCTCGATACCAGTCTCAAGACTACCATTGGCCAACGCTTGATCAAAGAAGTTTTGTCCAGTCGAAACAACAGGCCAGTTCTGGTCAGCAGTAGAGTTGATCACGGGTGGGGGCTTGAGTATTGAAGTCCCGAAGGCAGGAACATCATCAACATCGGCTTCTGTCATGCCCACGGTTTCAAGAATTTGGAGAGCCAGGTCGTCGAGCCCGCTTGTCTTCGCAGTCAAATATGCCAAAGGATCTAGCGATGTCGGTTGTGGTCAAACCAGAGCATTGTTGTTCACTCACTCAGACCGACTTCACGCAAAATAGCTATCCGTCCTTCAATATCACCCGCATATAGCGCATTGTGGAAGCGAGACATTGGGTCGCCTCTAGCATCAGCAATCTTTTGCATCTTCGCTAATTTGTCCGTGCTGCCTGTGGCGAGGTAGAGGAACGACAACTTGTCGAAATTCTTGGTCTGCTGGTATGCTTTTTCGACAATCTATAAAGTCAGGTTTGGGGATTGCGTGTGCATGCATATAGTTTCGTACCTTGTGGTTGCCTTGTTTCAGGGCTTGTTGAGCAAGACGGTCCCAACATTCCGGTCGGTCGATGGTCTTCGCGGTCTCCATAGCCACATCAAGGTTACCACATTCGAGTGCAAGCTCAAAGCGTGTGTTCGTGTCCTGAACGAAATGCAGGGCAATCTAAACACAGAAGTTGAGGAACGGATTGAGAAGTATCTCACGGAATCATACCTCAGGGAATCCTTTTTGGTTGCAGATATGCGATGATACTTTGACCCAAAAGCGTGGAGGTGCGAATGATGTAAAGCATTTCTTCATAATTGTTCTTCAGCAGGGCGAGTTTGAACCGATACTCTGTCGGATCAAAGGTGATGGTTCTCGGACGTCCTGAGCGGTCAAGACAATGAACGGTCTTGCCCTTGACCCGGGTAAGATAAACAGGATTATCCAATGTGCAAATCACGCCGTGGTCGCTGTTACCAGAGTTTAGTAGAGCTCGACAAGTAGCAACAAAACTCACCCTTGAGGAAGACAATATTTGATATGGTTCAAGGTCGAATAGATGAAGACACCAGAATCGTCCCAAGCACCGGATTTGATTCGGATAGTTTCGTGAATAAGACTATGCTCTGTGAAGGTTCTGTTGGCAATCGTAATAGCTAAGCGAAGATCAGCACAATGCTTCAGTTTCGGTTGATATACACACTATGCTTGCTCATGAGAGCTACCAGAGACCCATCATTGCTCCATACAACATATTTGACGGGGGGTGAGTTGATTTCCGCAAGCGTTTTCTGTTGTTGGATGTCATAGAGAACAACAGTCGAGGTTGAACTCAAGATGAGGCTAGCAGTGCCACCATAGAAGATTTCGTTGGTTTGGACAGGCGGCTTGATCTTTTTGACGACGGTATTGGCCAAATCACCAATTTCGATGAACTAGGGGGGGTTAAGCGCGAAAATAAAATCAACGCTTGAGTTCAAACAAACCTGAGTTGCCTTTTGCAGGACTGCAAATCGATTTCTTGAGACAAATATGGCACTTTGACCAGCACCACGCTTCCCATCCACACTCGAATCCTTCATTTCACCCTGGGCCTGTTGCGGCAAACTCGTGAGCTCATATAATCCGTTGTCGGAGGAGATAGTGACGAGAACAGCTCGCTCCGCGGGATTGAAGCTTAGTGTTCGGGGAGGCACGTAAACGCTTCCAAATTTGCGCACAGAAAGCAGTCCAAGGTCGGCACCAGTATTGAAATCGTATGATCGGACATATTTGTCCCGGATGTAGTATAAAGAGTCCTGGTGCACCGCAAATGCAGGTCGTTCGCGCTCTAGCTTAAAAACAATAAGTCCACTGTCGTGGCCCGCAGCAAAGAGGTTGAGGTTCGGATGGGAGGCAAGAACCCAGAAACGATCATTTTCGCGACGGAATGTTTGAATAGCGGTGCGTTTTGCGAGGTCCCAAACACGGACGGTTTTGTCTTCACCGCAAGAAACGATGAGTTCATGTTTAGGGTGGAAAAGAGCCGTCGAAACGTTGTTGAAATGGCCACGGCAGGAATCGACCTCCCATGCTTTGGTCTCGCTCATCCGCCAGATTTTAATGGTGCGATCGTCGGCAGCGGAAACGATGAGGGGGAGAGTGGGGTGGAACATGGCATAGTTGACACCACGGTCGTGACCTTCAAGTATATATTTGACGGTCGAGAATGTATCAAAGGACTCGAAGTTTCCGGGGCCTGTGCTGGTATTCGGAGAGCCTTTACGAAGGCCCGAGATGTCCCACACGCGAACAGTCTGGTCAACAGAAGCAGAAACAACCAGGTCGTCTTTCGGATGGAAATAGGCAGACATAACATAGTGAGAGTGACCAGTGAGGATTGCAATGCAGTTTCTGGAGGTGCTGTTCCATATGCGGATTGTCTGGTCGTCAGAAGCAGAGATCTGGAAGGAATATCAAGGCCACGTTAATTTTTATGAGAGAAAACGTACAATCCATGGCATTTCGTGGTGGAATTGGACAGTCCGTACGAAGTCAAGGTGGCCATGGAGAGTGAAGAGACAACGACGGTTTTGAGGCCGTATGTCTGCAAAAGGTTCAGACGCGCCGAGAAGAAGATGGGACAGGACACACCCCAGACTTTGATTTTGTAGTCGTCGCCACCGGTAGCCAGCAGGGCGCGACTGGGATGAAAGTTTACACCTCGAACGGGCCCTAATTGGGAATGAGAAAGATGTGGGCGGATGCGAGTAGCAACACACCTTCGTGCTCTTCAAAACGGTCGACAAGCACGCCCATTCGATAGTTCCAAAGCTGAATACTGCCATTATGAAGAGCAGCAGCAAGCAAAGGTTGCGTTGGGTGAAACGCCAGCCCTGGAAAGTGATTGAGCGTTAGTCGCAAAAAGGTTCCTTCCAAATACCCTTGACGCGATTGCTCTTCGATTCGAACTTCGTGAGCATCACCGACATGATGGGCAGAAGAGGGAGAGATTAAGGTCGTCGGCGTGAATTAGAAGGAGCAGGAGAGCGGCTCGTAAGCTCCCAGACGCTTTTTGGCGGGAGGCGCGACGTGGTAAAGCTACGTATGTGACCAAATTGATGGCCTGACACAGCCACTCTATGAAGACCTCTTCGTTTCTTGCCTGGACAATAGCTACATTCTGCCTAGGGCATTCGCAACAACCTGATACTTGCGCAACAAGGTCAAATACAATAATCAATATGCTGACGGGTCGTCTGCAAAATAATTCCCCTCCAAGGCATCCTCGTAATTCCACTCTTCATTGAGCAAGAGCCGACCCAGCCCACATCTTTGCAACACAGTCGAAAGTCTATCCAAGTCCTTCTTTTGATCCAGCAAGCCTGCGTCCGGCACAGGAGGAAGCGTCTCAAAGACAAGTCGTGCACTCTCCACATCCGCCAAGTATGCCGCTGGGGGAGACCGGGGTGGGTATTTTATCTCGACATCAAGCACCCGCTCGATGGATTTGTGCTCCCGAATGAACTTGAGCGCTCGCGTAGGGCCGACGTTTTTTATTCGCTGTGTGAAGTCCGTGCCAAGCAACAGCGCAAAATCGATGAACGAGGCACGATCTAGTTCAAGTGTCGTTCGTAGCTCTTTTCCCGACAACAGGGTCAGCGGCAAATTGCGGCTCGTAAGATTTCGAACGAGTGGCGCCTCGTAAATGACCACATCCTAGGTACAGTTAGAGAAGTCCATCGCTGGTTCAAGACTTACTGTGTCTTCACTCGCGACATAATCAGCAAGTCCTTGTTGAACCATGGAAGCGGCCAGTGCCTCCGCTTCATACGTGCCAGTCGAATCAATACACGGGATGCCCATTGCCCGCAAAAGCTCTTTCGACTCGTCATATGTGCGTGTTGTTGGTGGATTTGTGCGCCGTTGGTAAGACTCGGAAATGAGTTCTGCTCGCAAGGTCAAGGTTGAAAGCGTGTCTGAGAGAGATCCCGTCAACGAGTCTGAGGCCAGAGCGGCCCAAAATTTGGCCTCATCTGCCGCCAGCTGTTGTTGTGTTTTAGACATCGAATATTCGATGTGTTCCTCAGAGGCGGAGGGACTGAGGGAAGCTAATTTGCTCACACTCCCGCGAAATTGGGAGTATAAAGAGTTCAAGACGCCGGGTAGTTCGGCCAAGGAAACATGCGAATACAAAGTTGACTCTGGTGATACATGTGTTGTTGCAGTATAGTCGTCTAGGTCATTAGTGGGTGATAAATAGCTTATATCGTCGGCTTGAAGAGTGTCCAAGTAGTCGAGAGAGTACTCGTCCATTTCGCGTTCCGGTATATCGTGAATGTGCACCAACTCTTCTTCGGGTGGCTTGTGAACCACACGCTTCGGAGAGTAAGAGGCCTGCTCCTCGGATATTTGAAGAAATAGCTCGGACAGCTGGCCTTTAGCAGAGACGCTTTGGACATCATTCACGAGAAGAGCTAGTTGTTGAAGGCGTTGCATCCTATCAGACTCTATGGATGCACGAGCAATGGTCAGCTTTCTGGCTTCTCGTCGGCGTTCGGTCTATTCTGGAGTTCAGCAACCCAAACTCTCGCAAAACAACATAAACATACCTCGCGCGCCTTCGCCAGGCTACGTTCGAATCCATCGAACACACAAATAGCCGTGACCCCGGAATCTTGCATCTCCTTCACCAACTTGTACCACCCGAGCACATGCCGATGTCCATGGGGAACAGGCGCGAAATGAAGGCGCTGGGTAATAAGGGTGCCATCTCTGGACGTATGAGAGTTATATTCAAGCTTGTCTGAGGGCTTACATGACAATACGTTGTCCAGCCAAATCGCGCAGACGATGAGGGAGTTGTTTCACGACATCTGGGCTGGCTCGAGTGAGAATTTTGCCTGAAATGGAAGAGAAAGCGTACAATGCTTTTCGGAGGAAAGGATAGAGCCCCAACACTCCCATTCACGTCTGGCAGAAAACTTGAAGCAAACTTGAAGCGTGTTTGAGGCAAGAATCGGACGAAACGCGATCACTTGATTTGGCGTCCAAACTAAGCCTAACTCAGCCCCATTTGTTGCCATGCAAATGCTTTGGTTTGGATGCAGTATGATACAGTGTGAAGTTGCGAATAAGTACGAGATAAGGATACAGGGTTTCGCTCGGTGCTTGAATTCACTTTTACACCATAGAAGTACATTCGACATTGCGCGACCACCGAGCCCGGATGTGGGCCAGGCGCAGATTGAACGTTTCTGAAGTAGTCCACTGAAGGAGCAAGAACACAACCGCCACCCCCACCAACACCGCAGCCGCCAGACCCCGCCCAAAAAAACACGCAAACATACTGATGCAGTTTGCAACAACCGCGAGAAGTCCCCAAAGATAGAAGGTGCGGGGTAGCGAAAACGCAAGGGCGACAAATTGGAACTTGAATGTTTGAGATTCGATAGTATCAAGATAGTTCATCTACAAAATGTGAGCTTACGTGATCTGCGGAGAGGAAAAAACTCACAGCTTCAGCAGCACACAAGTCTTGCATGGGCTCAAATCGGTGAAGTAAGACTACAGAAGCCAGGATACTAGCACCAAGAAGGGCTGTTGAAGCGATGGCGAGCGATAGGCACGATGGAGTCACGAGGAAGAACATGTGCAGCCTTGAAAAAAAGGAGTTAGCCCACACAAAGGCGCCGCAACTCATTGGCTCACATCAAGGTAAAGAAAGCCTGATCAAATGGTCAGTCGGATCGCGGAGGGGGGCTGAATGCACTTGCTCACCTCCCGTGATACAGAGCGCCAATCTGTTAGACAGCCGGAAACCAGGTTCTTCCACTGCTCCGCATAGACCAAATGATCCACGAAGACATCGTTTAGTTGAGCCAGATATTTATCCGTCGTTTTGAACGAGACACGAGACGCGACAGAGGACACCCATTCGTGCTTTGTTGTGGGATCATAAAGAACAGCTTGGTCTCTTGAGAGGCGAGAGAATTCTTGACCGTAGAACGTCAAGTATCGGTTGCGACCTGTGATGGTGAATCAGATCATTGTCAACACTCGGTTTTCTCCTCCTCACAGATCAAACTCCACAGGCGAGCTAAACTCATCGATGAGCGGGAAGATCGACAATACCGTGTAAATCGGGCTCACCGACAGTACAAACTATGTTCCCGTTGGCAGGATGTTCTATGCAAAAACATTTTAGTTGATTTGGGACAGTCTCGAGGGCGTAGAGACGGACCTCGAGAACTCTTAAGAAGACTCACAAATCCCTCGCATTCCTGCTTGGAGTAAGGGAAGGTGGAGACCCGGGAGGTCATTTGATCTGAACCCGTTGGTGGCGGACTCGCGACAAAATGCAATGAACATACCACAGATGCCATGCGTAAATACGCAGATTAATGAGTCAATGAGCGCCACCGGCAAGGCACCAAAGTGCATCGGGAAGTGTTCAACGTGGGTCCAGTATAGCTCCTCGCAAAGAAGCTTGAGTTGCGGGACGGACACGACTGCAGGTAGGCCAAGCTCTTCTGTGTCGAGATTTTGCTCCATCCAAGTTTGCGCAAGAGTGGAATGATCGACGAAATAATAGGCACAGTCCTCTTCCTCGAGCTTCAGGAAGAGCTCAATTTGCGGGGAGAGGGGAAAGTTTCGCTGGAGAGCGATATCTTCGATCCTCTTGGTCCAGCAGAGCACGTTCTCGAGCACGTCTTTGCGGTACATGTACGCCTCCGTCACAACGCGGGGAGAGCCCGTGCGAGAAAAATAAAGTTGACCTTCTGGATGAACATGGGCAGTCCAACCTTGGGGCAGATATTCAGGCCTAACTCCTGCATGAGATCAACGAGCAGGTATTTTACCGAGGATCGTACTCGGGCATCCCACGATGAGTGAACATCGCAGAGGAAATTGTCATGCTACACGGCTCTGAACTGTAAAAAAAATAATCAGAAAGATAGCACATTATTGCGTAGAAAACTGTCTTACAGTCCCGTCCTCTCGTAGCGACCAGTGTCGTTTGAAGTGATTGGTCGCAGGACGGCTTGGGTCTCAGTTGAGAACTCGGACTCCATTTTGATTACGTCGTTTGGTGCGAAATGGATAGCCATGGGACGAAGAGAGCCGCAACGGTTAAGAGCTCGAGGGTCCAGAGTACGTGCGAGAGATCCGGAGCACATTATTTTCCCCTCGCTTTTAATAGTGTCCCGACGAAATTACGAATGGACTTTGAGGCTATCAAGAAAACGGCACCGCATCACTGGCAGTATGCAAAAGCAGTGCGTAGAATAACAGCCTTCGGCCCAAGTCGAAGCTGTTCAGAATGAGCCGAGCCGAAGGCTCATCTCCATGGCATGGAGCGCGCCTTCCAGAGAAAGTGGGTTCAGGAAACGGGCGGTGAACTTCTGACGACCCGAATGGGCGCTTGATGCCTCTTTGATGGTTTCCCTGAGAGGACCCCACAAATTCTCCTCCACAAACCCCTCTCCCAAGGCCCTAAACACTTGCTAACCGTCGCCGTTGGAGGGGGCTGCGGCGCAGTAAGCTATCCAGACGGACATGGGTTGTGTGAGACCGTTGTTCACGAGTAACCGAAACTCCGAAAGTCAACAAAACCGTTCTCGAGTTTGGGACCTTGCGCCAGCGCCAGAGCCTGGCCTGGCGCTGCGGTATTAGCGCTTTCGACGGCTGGCTTCCGTGATAATGCATCCTCCCGTTGTCTGATTTGACCGACCGACCAGTGCACGTTTGGCGCCACGGGTAACAGTATTGCGGTGCAAAAAAGTTGACAACTGGCGAACGGACATCCACATGCGCCGTGACGCTAGCCAGCTCGAATCCAGTTTGCATGGCAGTCGCCAGGCGGTTCGCCGTCGATAATTGACGCATTCAACTCCCTAAGGTGCAGAGAAAAAAGTGCTGTCAACGATGATCGTCGGAAGCAAATCAACTTCGGCCCGGACCCGAGTTATCCGTCCCCTTCCTCAAGACGCCTAATCACTAAGCGCTCTCAGCTCCAAACTCAAACGACAGCCCCGAAGCATCTATCCCGCGTACGATGAACATCTTTGGACCCAATCCAACCTGATCGGAGTTACGGACAGCTTTTTTCGCCTTTGCTGGCCGACCGCTGGCCGCCGTGAGCCTATATAACCGCTTGCGAGTCCGCCACATTCCTAACAAACAGCCTTACCTTGCCCCAAAAAGCAGCATTAATTCACCTATTCACTAATATGTCTTCCGACTCGTATGTATCACCAACTTCGGGGCCATCTCACCGTTAACGCCCTTATCGCTAGCGCTTCCACCAAACCAATCGAAGAGATCCAGGGCCAGCCAAAGGCCGAGTCCCCGTCTACCTCCCACGAAGGCCAGACAGAGTCCAAGGCTCCTGTTGAACACGACCAGCCAAAACTAAAAACAGAGGATTACGATTCCGATGAGTTTGAGATTGGCCAGCCTCCGAAACCTCCCGGGTCAGTGCTCTTCTGGTCACAACATTCAACTCAGCTCATTCCGCTCTCAGTCATCTTCCTCGCGGCAAGCCAACCCCAAGCATTTCAGGCAAGCCGCCTGGTGGAGGCAATGGAAAGCCGCGTCCTGCCCCAGGAGGTCGTTGAACGATTTGTTTTTCCAAAAGTTCTGATATAAGAGATTATTCAGCGTATACTATGTACCATGTAACTATTCTCGAGCGCACCGCCAACACTCGTTTTGTTTTATTTGATTGTTCAGTTGAGATGCTCCTTACGCCGCCACTGGAAGCAGGGAATCGAATGTTCTTCGCCCTGAGAGCGGTCGCACAGAACAATCAGATGTTGCTCAAACAAGTTGGCAGGCTGTACGGGATGGGATGCTTATTCGTCCGTATAAAGGTGTCCTGAGATGAGTTAATATGGTCCATTTTCAACCCCGACATCTGAATGGCAGAGGCGCGCAACGATTCAGGGTAAGAAATTCGGTTCTTAGTCTCGAGCGGGCTAAGAATGCTGTTAGGGTCCAGGAGACCGTAGATCGGCCCGTCGAGGTTTCTAATGGCAAATTAATAGTTGAGCCAGCGGCTGGCAGGACCAGCCTCGTTATCGACCCAACAGCACATGGAGAGGACAGTGACGATTCAGACTTTGAGGTTCCGCCACCACCACCTCCCACAGCGGTTGAGAGAGCCAGTCCCGTTGTAGACCAAATAACACGGGAGGGAGAAAGCGACGAGTTCGACATCCCCCCACCACCGCCTCCCACAGAGTACGTCAACGTCGTTGTGGCGCTAGAGCTCCTTTGACATCACCTCCAGGCATACACCACGCGGTCAACCAGACCATGCCGAATCTGCCGCGAGAGGTTTACCCCCGGTCAAGAGGAAAGACCCCCCCAAGGAGCCGAAAAAAGTGAAGGACAATACTCGTATCGAGCCACCAAAAGGTTCCAGTAGCGCTGCCAAGACGACCAAGCGTTAGACATTATTGAGGCAGATTATCCGTAACTTATTAGTAAGAAAGAATGGTGTCAAACTTATCTATACTGCGAGTCTCTCGGATCTATCGAGCTGGAGTGCTCGCATTGATTTTCAGAAATGACGAAGGGCATCGAATATCAATGTCATTCAAGTTGGACAGAAGTTGAAGTCAAGAAGTTGCAGAAGCGCGACTCGAAGAAAGAGCGGAGGTCAAGAATTTTACTTTTGGGCATCAAGCCTCTTCACTCGAGCTTGATCAGCTTCGACCAATGTACCGTTAATCGCGCGCTCCAAGAACCCACGCCAGTCCTCGTCAGGGGGACCATAACACATCGTGTGCACAACAGAGGGAAGACGCGGAATCGTGATTGGAGCAAGATAGACCGTGTTCCCCGACTGAATGAACATGGTCAGGCAGTTCCGAGGAGGGGACTCTCTTGCCACGGTGTCTGCTCGATCCCTTAGTGCCGCTCGTGTCGCTTCATCAAGTCTTTGGTCTGCCATACTGTTCACAAGAGCGGATTGGAAGACAAATTTTCCAGGGACGCCCGTGCTGGACGGCTGCAGACTAACAACCAGCAGATGAGTCCGAAGCAACGAGAGTTGGGAAGGTTCATGCAGTTCCATGGCGTGTGTCGCGACATAAACGAGCAATCTCGTGTGTTTCTGTTTCACCTCGTCATCCAAAGCGCTGAAAAAGCAGAAAAAAACGCGCAGAAAACCATTTCTTTATCGATCCCAACATATCGCGTTCTTCCGTTCCCTTGGAAGGTAGCGCTGCCCGTTGCTCTCCTTGCCATGCACAATTCTTCTTGTGGTTCGGCCAATCTTTGGTTTGACAATCTTTTCCCTGCATCATCATGTTGGCAAACAATCGAAAGATCAAGCTGATACTCACGCAGTAGAGTTGCTTCTGGCACTTGCCGCAACGCTTGAACTTTTCGGCCTTTGTTTCGGTTTTGTAGCAGACGGAGCAGCTCTGACGAGCCGTCTTCGCCACACTGAGGCCTGGTTGGGACATAGATGAAAGCAGGTCAGAATTGACTAGCTTTACCTTTATAGCGCTAAGAGCGGTGCTTATGTCAGCGCAAATTTTGTACAAATCGATATTGCTACAGAAATCACTAATTCGATGCGGGTGAGCAAAGGTTAAATAAACGGGATAAGAAACACCGACCAACGTACAAACGAGGCTATCGCCTGCCCTCCACCATGATGATATGGTATCCGAAGTTGGTTTTGACCAACGATGAGTAGTTCGGTTTGTCGGGAGTCGACGGCGTCAAGGCGAAAGCAACCTCCTGGAAAGCACCGACCATACTCCCTCGCACCATCCATCCCAGGCTACCACCCGCTAAGGGATGTGAATCGCAGCCAAGATCTGAAACCCGTTGACGAACTTTTGGCTTTATCCTCTGAGTATTCTTGCGCCACTTCTGTCATGCTCGAGTTGGCTTTGCATTCCTCAACAGCCAAATAAGTAGCACGAACTGTTGAATGCTTGCCCTTCTTGCAGTTTGCCCAGCGCCTCGGTTGCTTTCGAATGTTTCTCGCAAAGGATATGACGGACCTACTCAGCCTCTTAGATCCCCCAAATATACTCGGAATTGGTTCATGCTCGCTTACGTTCACAGCCGTAGCGGCTTTCAGAGCGCCTTTGGCAGGTTTCGAGCCCGAGTCCGCTGCATCATCCGTAGAGGAGGAGGATTTGCCTTTGCCCTTCGATGGTTTCTCGGTTGTAGACTTGGAAGTTTTGTCTCCAGTAGATTTCTTGGGCATTGACTCGTTGTTGATGATGGCAAAGTCGCGGTCACCTCTTTAGTCACCGCTGCAACTTGTTTCGAACCACGTTTTACTCCTCTGGTGTTTGCAATACTACGAGCCTAGATGCTTTCCAAACACGCTCCTTGTTGTCCCAACCTACTTCTCTTTCGCCGAGTAAATTTGTGCGCCCTGATAGGCCAACCGACTCTCCTACTTTTTCCGCGCTCCGAGATTCGCCGTCCCGACCAACCTCAAGCCTGTGTGCGCGATCCTTGACCAACTACATCGACATTGACACGGACATGGTCGGACTCACTCGTATAAAGTCTCTAGCCAAGACCACACAACATTTATCTCGGCGAAATGCTCTTCACTTTCTTCAAACTCACAAGTCCCCTTGCCGGCGTTGTCGCTATTCTGGCAGTCGCTCTCTTCACTCGAATATTGCGAGGCTACAAACATCGCTCTCCCCCCGGCCCTTCAGGCTGGCCTATTGTGGGCAATCTTTTCGACCTGCCTCCAAGCACGAATGAGCCTTGGAAGGTTTATCAAGCATGGAGCGTGAAATACGGTGCTTCATGTCTGATACTACGCGGAAGAGGGCTTATTATAATGCCTAGGCTCCGATGTGATCCACATGAAAGTGTTGGCCACTCGTATAATTGTCATCAACTTGGTCAAAGCTGCCTCCGATCTCCTTACTCAGAAGTCAGCAATCTATGCCGACAGGTATGTACCGTCTCTTTGCATAGAAAGAGCTCTAGTAAAACATGATAGACCGAGAATGCCTATGCTCCAAGAAGCGTGAGCTATTCCCTCCAAGATTCAGGTTGGGTTGAACTTGTTATCAGAATCGGGCTTGGATGGCATTTCGGGTTCATGCCTTACGGTGACGGCTGGCGGCAACACCGAAGGCTATTTGCTCAGCATACCGGCACGTTTACCATCGCGAAACAGCTCAAGTGGACAAACATCCTCCTCGAGAACTTATTATCATCACCCCATAACTTCATCGAACATATCCAGCAGTGAGTCGACCGGCGCCTGCTAGTCTTGTTCCAACATTTTCCGTAGCTTTGCGACGGGCTCGAGTCTCGAAGCAACATTTGGCATCCAGGTCAACCCTTCTGGAACTCCCGATCCTTTTATCGAAGCAGCGAAGCAAGTGGTTCAATCAATGGTAGAGGCGGGAATATTTGGTAGCTACTTGGTCGACTATTTGCCGTTCCTGAAGCATGTCGAGCGCCTCAAGGGCCAAGTGAAAGAGTGGTCTATTGCCTCAAACGTGGCCGCCCACGTGCCTTGGGATGCGATGACGAAAGCTGTGGTGGGTAGATTTCTCTACTCTCAAGGACACAGCTCACACCACTCCAGCAATTGGGTGATTTCTCCCCTTCTGCGGCTTCAGAACTTTTCGAGAGCGATAATTTGGACCAAACAATCGCTCGACAAACCTTGGCATCCATGTTTGCTTCAGGCTCAGCAGCGGTATGCCCTCCTTATATCTCTACGTCTTGGTTGACGAACGTTTCTATGCAAGACCGCTTCTACCATAACAATTTTCCTCCTCGCGATGGTATGGGGCTTGTTTCATTCCATTTTCTGTTTGTCTAATCATCCTCCTCAGGTTCTTCATCCAGAGGTGCAAGAAGCTGCGCAAGTCGAGATCGACAGTAGTGGGAGATCGTCTCCCAGAGCTCTCTGACGAAGTCAATTTACCTTACATCACCGCACTTATTCGAGAAATCGGGCGATGGAACCCCGTAGTCCCACTCGGTAAGTTGTTAAAACACAAACAAATGGCGCTCAACCAATTGAACCACACAGCATTTCCTCATATGCTCTCGACCGACGACGAGTATGATGGGCACCATCTCAAAGCTGGCACGATCGTTGTTCCAAATTCTTGGTACGTTTCTTTGCGACTACTTTGGATGAAGTTGACCAGAATAAGGGCAATATTGCATGACCCAGAAGTTTACTCGGAGCCCGAGAGTTTCAATCCATCGAGATTTTTGACAAGACATGGCCTATTGAACCCCCTTGTAAATGATCCCGAGGCCGTATGGGGGTACGGACGAAGAGCGTGTCCTGGACGAAGGATCGCTGCCTCAGAGCTTTTCTTGACCATCTCAGGGATACTCAAAGTCTTCAAAATTACGCCTGCCGTGAATAACGAGAGCGAAGTTATACAACCGAAATGCGAATTCGGCAGTGGGTTGTTGCGGTAAGTTTACTTGGATGCCCTTTACCATGTTATTTACTTACTCTTAGATATCCTAAACCTTTCAAATGCTCAATCGAGCCCCGTTCGAAGGAGGTGGTCGAACTGATACAGCTATTTTGACCTTGAACTTTTAGTTTACAGTATCTAATGTACTAGCTGATGTCCTAATTTTGAAACCTGTTGACTTTATGATGCACAATGCTAAGCATTCAATATAAGATTGAGAGCAGGAATAGTAACAATCGCGTCTTTTTGGGACAAGCCAACGGAATCCCGCTTACCAAGCTGATCCTGTCACCGATTATCTTTTTTTTCGAGCGATTGACTCGGAATCCCATGGGGTGCTATCTTCTTAGCCCAAGCTTCCATGGAAGGCAGCGATGAAAAGCTCCCCATCGGGGTCGAGAAGAAGAAACCCACTTTCCAGTCCCAAGGACTGCAACGCCGTTTGTTGCGATGGGGTGTCGAAGCAAGAGGTGCGGGGCTAATTTGAAGTAGAATTGCTTATCTTGACGCTTTCCAGGAATCCGGCCGGTCGCAGTAGAGGTAGTTGCTTGCCCTACGACGAGAGCCGATGCTCATACCATGGTGTTGTAGGAGCGAACAGACACACAGTTGACCAAAATCTTCTTCATATGGTTCTCTGCAAGCTTCAACTTGCTCCCGTGCGCGCTTAGCTCTGTCGTACTCTTCAAGCGTGTTAACCAATCTGTGATAGCTTCTCAGCTGGTTCATTAGGTCCAATCGCTTATGGACTTGGACTGCGCGACAGTTGTCTCGTCATTCTCTTCTTGAACCTACTGTGCTGTCTCCCGCCGGGATACCTGTGCGTCACTCTGAACCCCACATTTCAAGTACTAATAGAGGCTAGATCGACATGGGGACCTAAACTTGGTCTACGGCAAATGGTCCAGGCACGCTACAGTTTTGGTTATTTTGGCGTCATTGCTCCCGTTCTGCTCAATCTCATTGGTATGACGGGGTTCTGCATCCTGGACTGTATTCTAGGTGGTCAGACACTCGCGGCTGTCGCAGACGGAAACCTAAGCTGGAGGTAGGCACACCTAATTTTGAGTTTACTACCCATTCTGATTCTTGCAAGTATCGGAATCGTCATTATCGCCGTCATTTCTTTGCTTATCTCGTTCTGTGGCTGGAAAGTCCTCCACTGGTCAGCTTTCCGGATTCCTTTGAACCCTTCTGACTTGTGATGGAAGGTATGAGCGGTTCGCTTGGATTCCAGTGTTCGTCATCTTCCTCATTGCGGTTGGTCTTGGGGGCAAGAACTTCAAGAATATCCCTTCTGTGGAGCCACCAACTGCCCAGACCGTGCTATCCTTCGCTGCTGTGATCGCTGGCTTTGTATTGACGTGGTCGCCATTGTCGTCCGACTTCAGTTGCTATATGCCGCCTGATGCTCCAAGGTGCGTGGCGAAGAGACCTCGTGTCTTCTTTACTAAATATTTTCCCAAGTAAACGGGTGTTTCTTTACTCGTATCTCGGCCTTGTCCTTCCTACAGTGTCGCTTCAATGTTTTGGTGCACTGATCGGTGCTTGTTTATCGAGCGTACCGAATTGGGAGGCTGGATACGAAGGCGGCGATGTTGGCGGGATCTTAAACGCCATGTTGAGCCCAGCAAAAGGCTTCGGAAAGTTCTTGACCGTTCTTTTGGCGTTGTCGGTGATGGGAAATGTCGCTGCAACGTGAGTTTCACGAATTGCACTTGGACGCTTTAACAAGACGCTCAGATTCTATTCCATCTCTCTCAACCTGCAAATACTCGTCCCCGTCCTTGTTGTGGTTCCACGCTATGTTTTTTCCATTCTGGTCACAGCCATGTGAGCGGGAACAAATCCATAATTGAAGTCTAACGGGATTTGCGCACAGCGTCATCCCTCTCTCTATAGTCGGTGCCCACAACTTTTACTCGACATTAAGTAACTTCCTGGGGCTTATTGGATACTGGGCTGCTTGCTATATCGCCGTTGTTCTAGAGGAACATTTCATCTTCCGCAGAGGAGACGCGTCGCGGTACAACTTGGCCGATTGGAACAAATCCAAACGACTACCGTCAGGACTTGCAGCTGTCGTAGCGGGGATGTGTGGAATAGGAATTGCGATCCCGTCAATGGCCCAGGTTTGGTACACTGGACCAATCGCCGAAACAACGGGTGATATTGGGTTTGAGCTGGCGTTTGTGACGACCTTGGTTGTGTATCCTCCTCTAAGGCTACTAGAAATTCGTATACGAGGTCAAATTTAGCTCACGATCGCAGGGTGCAATTGTTTTGTGACAAAGCTCTTTTTCTTCGTGTCACGTCACGCACGCGAGGTGACTTTTTTCCTCTTCTTCGCTTGCTTCTTCAACTGCCGTGGCTGGCCCTCGCTGCTCTCCCCGACCCGTATGTACCCTTCTACACGCGTTGCCACGCGTTTGCTGACCATCATTAGCGCGTTTTACCTCAAATGGCTTTTCCACTCGAGTCCGACATCGCGGATGAGCAGCTCGACATGGACTTTCTTGAACCACCTCGCCCTACCAGCCGACTTGGGTTTAACAGCGAGCTCACCCCCGCCTCCCCACAACCACACCGTGCCGCAAAGCGCCCGCGATACACCACTTCTCCAACCAAATGGACCAAAGCGCTGCTTCAGAGAATCGGTCTCTCGACAACGCCTGGCAAAACCGAGATTACGACCCTCACGACATTGGAAAACGACCCAGAAGACGAAGACGCGGACCCGTTGTCTTTCGCTACTCTCCCTTCTCTAGCATCATCAGCAACCTCGCCATCCTCGTTGGACTGCGACAAGTCATTCGAACAAGACGACTCTGATGATTCCTCCTCCGAAGACTCTGACTTTGATTTTGACTCGTTTGTTGACGAGAACGATGCTGAAGAGCTCGATTTGTTTCAGTTGGAGCCAACATCCACTATTTGTCGCCCTCCCTCCCCACCTCTCCCTCCCCGCGTCAACATTCCTAATAAACCGCCCACCAAAACATCATCTTTGTCTGCATCTTCGCCTGCATCGACTGCCGAGAATTCTTATAGCCCATCGCCACTTTCCCCAATGTATACTGGCCGTTCTTCCCGAACCGCAACCAAGCCATTCCGGCATGCATATGGCAACCATGGCCGGAGCAAATACTCTCTTCTTCACTGCAAATTTCTCTGGGCTGTCCGCGAAGAGCAATGGGAAGCACATACCGCCCGTTTGCGCGATGCCCAAGCTTATTCGGGACTTGTCCTTCCCAAGTCGACACTACGACCGCCACGTTCATTTCCCGTCTCCGATCCTGAGCCAGCGCCGATACCGCCAATGACCATCCACCCAAGGCATGGTGATTTGTCCGCTTTGCACGATCCGCAAGCAACACATTTGGATCGCTGCTTCGTCGGAATGCAGCCATGGACGATTTCCAAGACGCTGTGGATGTATGATGTCCATTTGTGGGCTGCTTGGCAAGCAAATCACGACGATGGAATCGATTTTGATGACGATGTTAGCGAGAACGAGTCTATGGCGGCATCTATTTCCAGTGCTAGCGACGACTCGGACTCAACATTGGTCGATGAAACCCAAGACGAGACTATGGTTGACATTTCGCTGTCGAATGAGGAGGAACATCCACAACTCAAAAAGTTTATCGTCACGCGTCCAGATCCATTCGGTGTCGGCTGGGAAACTTCTTGGGCGAAGCGGTGGGAACTCCTCATTGAACTTGTCCGCATTGACACGGAGCGGGAACGCCAACAAGCGGAGATCCTACAGAAAATACAGCCGCAGCCCAACAAACGGCCTAAATTTTTCATCGGTGACGACGACGAGAGTGACGACCAGGATGGCATGATGCTTTTCTGAAATTATGACTTTTTCTCTCCCTTTTCTGGCATTGACGACGACACAACAACACATTTGTACCACCATGCATGCATATTATCGTACCCTATAATCGATTTGTCTCTACACTGTACTGTACACCAACATAAAGGACAAGCACAAGCAATCCGACTGAACTTATTCTCGCTCAATGGTGACGTAAGCGCTTGAAAACCAGATATTCATTCCAGCAGGCGATCACACCGCCAGCCTTCTTCTTCTCCAACCACATCCTTCCCACATCCTATCCACAACCCCAACTTCCCTACGCTCGCTCATCTACAATGTCTCAACACAACCCCCTAGCTTCAACGTCCACGCCTAGTACGAAGTGTCCGCCAACTCCAGAGTGCAAATTCAAATTTGATCCCATTGAACTCCAACCACTTCCTCAAACCAACCAAGCCCGCCTAGATTGGTTTCTCAAAGTCTCTTCAGCCGCTGTGTGGTCGCCACGGCTCCCTTCGCCACACTGGTCACGAATCTTGAACCGGGAGAACAAAGGCACGGTCGACAACAGTGAAATTCAAGGAGATTCAGATATCAACGCCTCAATTGCGCATAGTCAGCATATATTGTATCCGAACAGTTCAGTGGAACAACGCATGGTACTGCTCTCTCTCGCGGAATTCAGTTTCTAACAACTACCAGACTGCCCGCCGCGCTCTTGTCTCCAATGCCACGTTCCACGCCATTCTCGTTCGTAATGGGGTCACCAAGTCCTCGTATAGCAAGCCACTCGCCAATGCGCTCGAAGTCTACTTTCATGCTCTGGCGGTGTTCGATTTTTTCCTAGCCGAGATGTGGGTTATTCACCCCGTTGATACATATCGTTATGTCTCAGTGCGTTGTCTCCTTTCGTTCTACTTCCATCCACATTCAAGTCGTCGTAGACCAGGGTCTCTCGAAAAGCGCAAGTGGCTAGAAGATGATCATGAAGACGAGAGCAGACCGACTCAGAAACACTGCAGAGGGCTTGATCCTGTCACAGCAATTGTACACTACCTCCCTCAAGTTCCCGCTATTGCTCCCCTTCTTCGGCTCACCACTACCCAAGAAGACAAGAAAATTGAGGCGCAGGGCAAGGGCAGCAAGCGTTGCAAAGAAAACCGACCACCGCATAGAAGTTCCTGGAGTTCGCGCCCCCGTTCAAGCCACGAGATCTTTCGTGATCAACTTCCAACCCTTCCCTTGTCGATGTTCTTCGATGCGGCTGCTCGCCTGCCTCGCCCCGCGCTCGATGACCTTCTCAGACTGGAACCCTTGTGGTATAACGGTGTGATGGACTGTGGTCAGGCTCTCTCTGCTCGTGATCTTCTGGCTGTCTTGTCGTTGGCTTCGCCCACAATATCAAATGCGGATCTGACGGTTTGTTTCGTGCGCCACTTTTGGTCTCGAATTGATGGTCTGGACATAGCTTCTGCGGAATGCGACCTGCGACCACATTCGTCGAATAACCCGGTTAGCCGACCTTCTCAATGTTCCTTCGCTGGGCAGATCACGCAAGCTCGACTTGGCTGCCGTGTACTTCTTTATTGCCAATCATGAACGCGACCTTCCACCTGAACAAACTTGGTTGTGGCAAGTCTCAAGGCCAGCTCGCTTAATGGCCAAAGCCAAAGGGCAGAGCATTCCGTTCAAGACGGTCGCAAACGGTGAGACTTTGGGGGTCTTGAGGACATTACGTCGTCTGGGAGACCAAGGTGTACGTTCAATTGCCTCAAAAGAATCATGCTATTTCTCATTTGCGCACTAGGCTCGGGAGATGGGTTGGATCGGCGAGCCACTTCGCATCACTGGCGGTTTGACAAGCAGTCCAGCACCATTGGATTCTGAGACTCGGGCGGGTTCGGATTCCAGCTTTCCTGTATGAAACATTTCTACACCTATCAATCGAGATTCGAGACATTAGCTCCACTGCACTGCCAACACTTCCGATATTTAAGCTGGACAATGGTTACCGTCACATTAGGTTCACCTCTCTGTTCTGTTCACCCATCTCGGAGTATTCCTTGCTCCCCTTTCGTTTTGGTTGCTCTCTAATGGTCGCCCTCAGCTTTTACGACGACGACATCACCGACGACTAGGACGACCTTGACCCAGACTTCGACAGTCAGCGACGGCTGAGCATCATCTTCCTAATTCCCCAGTGTGGTTTACAATATCCATTGTGCAACCGACGGGCCGCCGGGCAAGGGAGAGCGAGGGGCAGAGGAATGTCTTGCTGCTGTGTGTTGCCGGGAAGCCTTGAAGGCGACTGAACGTGAGCTTAAACCCTCTGGTAGGGCCTGTGATCGCGGCAACACATTCAGTACAGGGTTAAAGTTTTCTGCGCGCCTTGCATTGTTTGGAATGCTCCTGAATGCCTTCGGGACGCGCCATACTGGCCTTGATGTTACGGAAGGTGGTGTGTCAGTTCTGGTCTGTTTTGGACGACCGCTTGCAGTGTTTTTTGCTTTGTAATAATGATGATCTTTTGGACTGAACGTTTTGGCCTCTCATTCGACAAATTTTCTTGTGAATCCACTTGCGAAGGGTCACAGAGCAGAGTCCGAAGTGGGTTGTGCTTACTCTGATCAAAATTGCCGACCACCGGAAGGCTCTGACGCGTCTCATTGCCTGTCCAGCGTCATCAAACTTGTTGTCGCGTCCCCATTTCGAGGGCTGAACGCCTGTGCCGGCTCTGCATACTTAGTGGATGTGGAGGATGAGGCTCACGCGCTTCTGGGATGTGAGGCTAACGAAGAGTTGGTAACACTTAGGCACGCTTTCTTGGAAGACATCATTGCGCCACAGAGGTTTGACTTCGAGCAGGATTTAACGTTCCTTAATAGGTCTGTGGTGGTGCAGTTGGCTAGGTACACTTTCGATGTCTGACATAAATGTGTATCGTGCAGCGGTGCAGTGGGTACCGGGAGGATATAATTTGAAAGCGTAGATGACATGAAGATTGCTCCGGGAGAGGCTGATGATACATCATTGGTTTTCACAACGATTCCCGTCTTCATTTATCTGTAGCGTACATGAGCCTGTTTCCTTGTAGGGACCTACTTTCTTTCTTTTCACTGAAGGCGGCACTGCAAATCAGCCATCATGATGCAACTGGCAGCCGCGCCGTTGTCACCGCGCCGGCCATCTTTTCAGAATCTTTCTCCCCTTTGAGCTTTGCGCCTTGCACTCCACTACAACGCCGCGTTTGCTCCGCGTCCCCGCCAATGGGCCATGGCACATATGTCCGACGTATCCCGACCTCCGCGCCGACCGGCTATTCGCACGGGTCAAGCCGGCGTCCTTCGCTCGCGGCGCCGAATCACGCCGTACCTTGCCCCATGTGGATATCCCGGGCCGACTTCAACCACAAGCCCGAGGTGCCCGGCGGTTTCTATCTCACCGACAGTGTCATTGCTGCAGCGCAATTCGCGTGTTGGGGCGCAGTGAGAGAAGGACTCAGATTCCAACCGGCAAAAGTTGATGTCTTCGGTATGTTGTTTCAATCCCTCTAAGCTGAGGGAGGACGCTGATCGTATGAACCATCCGTTGCAGAGTACACCTGGAACGGAGTTGGTGCTGACGTATTCGAGTTTCCGGGCTAGACGCATTAAGACTGGCTAAATGTACGTGTGTTCACCGCTGACTAAGCGCAACTCACCCACATGGCTGTTGCAGTTCCAAGTGTACAACAGCCTTGAGGATACCACCAGGGAGAATCTCTGCACAGTCGGCGCAGACCGCTCTAGCGTTCTGGCGGCTTGTCTTGGTGGTGGCCTCCGAGAATCACGAGGGATCAAAGTTTGGCCCGAAACGGATCCGATCTCCGCTGATGATTTCAATTTCCCCAAAGGACGTGCGTGCACCCGCGGATCGTCACATGTGCACAGCCGCTAGCCTGCAACTCGATCACGTGCTTCGTCGTTTTTTGGCCTGAGGCCAAGGCCAGCGATCCGCTATTAGATCTGCCCAATTTTGAAAAGAAAAAAAGCTGGCTTTGGCTTTTTGTTTCATCGAGATTGACGGGAACGCGAGCGGCGATGGCTGGTGCAAATCCCTGGACCCTCACGCGGTCCTCCAATCCTTGCGCCACACAGTCCACACCGGTGAACGAGGTTGTGGAAGCCGTGTCGAGCTACGCGCTATGTCCACTGCCATGTACTTGATGCCTCAGGCGCCAAACAAACCCCATGAGAAGCCCGAGCTTTGATGAAGAGAGGCCTACTAAGGGAGAGAAAGACAGTCTGAGCCAACCAGTGGCCATGGCTCTTCCGTCGATATCCCCATTGACAGAAATGTACATGTGTGCTCAACCGTCCTCAATTGGTCCTCAACGTGGCTGAGCGCTCGAATTTTGAAACGGGTCTTTCGAATTTCCAACCTGCTCACGGAATTCGACACGCCTGTCACGGTGAGCAAACTATAAGGATGCACTTGGGGTCTGGGAAGGGCATCGTCGTCGGTTCATTCCTTTCTGCAACTAGTCCTAGTCCTCCCCCGGCCTATTCCTTTCCCTTCAACTTCTTGCGGCCAGACCGGCTTTTCTTTTCCTTCACTTCTGTTTGCGCTAGATCGCAACTTTCTTCTTCATTCGCCCCCCCCTCCACCGTAACGCCCTTCTGCTACGATGCGCTTCCCGACAAGCTTCCTGGTCTCGCTCCTCCTGACAGTGCCCGCGTTGGGCAGTCTCGAGCCACCTACCGAGGCGGACGACGCCGAGCTAATGGTGAGCCGAGTTGCTTCCTTCTGCTGTACCTTTCCTGAAGCGGCTTACGTTATAGGCGCTTGAGGCTCGTGCAGCGCGCAGGGCCCGCAGTTTGAACAAGCGGGTACGTAATCTCGTGTTTGTTTGTCAGCCACGCCGCTCACCGAATCGGTACATAGGCGACGAATCCTCCGGCAAAAGCGCCGGCAAAAGCGCCAGTCAAAGCGCCCGCCCAAGCACCAGTCAAAGCACCGGTCAAAGCACCCGCCCCAGCGCCGGCCAAAGCGCCAGCAGCAGCCCCAGTCAAAGCACCCGCCCAAGCGCCCGCTAAGGCCCCTGCAAAGGCTCCGCCACCTGCCGCCAAAGCACCTGCCAAAGCACCTGCCAAGGCCCCCGCGAAAGCGCCCTCACCAAAGAAGGCGGCGTGCCAGGCACAGATCGCCAAGGCGTTGCAAGCCCGATATGCGGAATTCGGGCTAAACCGCCACGAGGCACGTGCTGGCGTAAAGCACCCTAGCGGGAAGGGCCGCATCACGGTCTTCCACGGCACCGATCCAAGACAGTCCGCCTCCCTGATGGCCGGCGTGAACCTGGCGAAGACCGCTGCAAAAGGCGACTTCAACCACAGTCCCGAGGTGCCCGGCGGGTTCTATCTCACCGACAGTGTCATTGCTGCAGCACAATTCATGTGCTGGGCCGCAGTGATACCAGGATTTGAACCGGCAAAAGTTGATGTCTTTGGTATGTTGTTTCAATCCCTCTAAGCTGAGAATCGTATGAACCACGTTGCAGAGTACTCCTGGAACGGAGTTGGCGCTAGCGTACACGAGTTTCCGGGCCAGACGGACGACTGGGGCAATGTGCGTGTGTTTACCGCTTAGCAATCAAACTCACCCACATGGTTGTTCCAGTTCCAAGTTTATAACAGCGAAGAGGTCACCAACAGGGAGAATGTCAACCATTTCTTCCATTCCGAAGCCATCGAGATCTACAAAAACGTGATGATTACCGGGCCGATGGACGCCCGCTCCGGTGTGTCTTCTCTTCCAAGTTTTACTAGACCTGCTGCTCATGCTATGCAGATGACACGCTGACCAACGAGTTCCACCAATACGCCATCGTCAATCAACCTGCAGTGAACACGCGCCTCAGGCTGGTCGCGCGCCACCAAAACATCATCTGCAAGAACGTGCCCCAGGGCAATGCGCTGACGCCGACGCTGTACATCAAGGGCCAGGGCGGGAACCCCGGTTTCCAGACCCTCCTTACGAAGCTTCAGACACCGAACCTTGTGTCGGCGTTGGAAAATTGTGCTTGAGTAGGTGGTGGAGATGGGTTGTAGCACTTACTAGTTGAGTAGTAAACTTTAAAAAGACAACTTTCGATGACACTGTCCTTCACGCATTCGTGCCAGACGCCGGTTTGGCTGGGTCAGGCCTCTGTTGGGCTTCAGCAAGTCAACTATGTAATGCCTCGCGGACATATGCGAGCATTCAAGGCCCAAGTCCGACAAGTAGCGCGAAGAGAGGGCGTTTGTGAAGTGTCTTCAAGACAACACAGCAGAGCGCTGCACGGCGCATATTTGACCGAAATCCTCGTTGTCGTGGGAGAGCGCTGCCACGTCAGGGAAGGTGTGACCGTGACGCGTGGCGGTGACGCCACGCGACGCCCACCAGCTTTTACGGCGACAACATCACCGACGACTAGGACGACATTGACCCAGACTTCGACAGCCAGCGACGGCTGAGCATCATCTTCCTAATTCCCCACTGTGGTTTACAATATCCATTGTGCAACCGACGGGCCGCCGGGCAAGGGAGAGCGAGGGGGCAAGAGGAATGGTGTTTCCGTTTTGGTCTGTCTTGGACGATGCGATGGAACGCTTTTTTGCTTTGTAATAATAATAATAATAATGATCTTTTGGACTGAACGTTTTAGCCTCTCATTCGACAAGCTTTTGCTTCGTTGTTTTAGTTGTGAACCGATTGAAGGCAGTATCGACCGAAACAAGTATACGGGAATGAGGTATCTCTTCAAAGGAACTGTCTATATACGTGTTAAGGTGCCTTGGGCCGCGGGTAGAGTTGTGTCGTGTCGTCCTCTATACAGACTCGCCACGTTTTCCAATGGAAAGCTGGGTCGGTGCCGAGTTCCAGGTACATCGAGAGCTCCTTTAGCCATGGGGCTGCTTCGACTATGCCTTTAGCTTCATCGTAGAGCTTATTAAGATGCACCCAGTATTTTTTGGATTTCTGACTGAAAGGCGGGTTGCCAAAACGATCGGGCATCTCGGGATGGAGCCGAAAGACGCACAACTGCTTGATACCGGAGACACAAGCACGAATTCGCGGCTGCATGCAAGTTAGTAAGGTACGAGAGAAGGCACTGAGAGCACGCACGAAAGGGTCCCAGAGCCCTGCCAAGCCAGGCTCTCTATGCACCCAACAGCGCCGTATCTCTAGTTCTTCGACCAAAGGAAACATGGAGGGAAGCTCAGTGAGGAGAGCTTCGTCAGAGACGAGGTCGACCGCTGAGCGAATAATATACGATATTTGGAGAACTCTAAGCTGGGGTAGATGTGCACGGCGTAGGATTGCGAGAAGGGCTCCGGGCTTCATTTCCACCCGATGATAATTCGGGACTCGCTCAAAAGGGTACATTGACACTGCCAGCTTCTCGAGGGATGAGGGGAGAAAGTCAAGCAGTCTTTCTTCGGCCGCGATCGAAGACATTTGGAACGATTTCAGGGAGGAGAAGAAAGTCTGCGGTGACGACGGATGGGAGGATGGATCATTGAGGACGATGGGCATCAGTGGCCTTGGGTCAGTTGGATGGCGCGCAAGCATCAGACCAATCGAACGCAGCTTCGGCATAAGCTCCAGCAAGCGAAGGAACTTCGTTGTTTGAGAGTGCTCTCCTGTGCCAGAACGAACTTCTGTTTCTGAGTTTAGGGTGAGCGAAAGGTCTCCACTTGTCGAATCAGATGGAATATCTTCCTCCGTCGCCTCCAAAAGCACACTTGCACTTTGATGATGAAAATGCTCTTCCGGCCAATAACCCTCCACATAGAGCTCCTGTAGCTCACCCCATGGCGCCAAACTATCCATTGCCCGTAGCAAGAGCTCGCTAGGAACGTAGATTTGTTTCACAGTCGTGCGACAAGCGGAAAGAACAGCATTTATATTGTCTTGTTCCCTTCCGAGAATTAAAGGTGGCCGTCGCGCAGCGCAAATCGCCCGTTCTGGACCGAATGTGTCTTCAAAATAAGCAAATGGATAGTCGAAATTGTCGATCAAAAGCGGACTGGATTGTTTGGGAATATTGAAATGTTTCCCTGTTAACCAGGATGCGTCCAACATTAGTGTGAAGGTAGAGGTGGCGGCGTTGAGCGCATCAACAAGCTCTGGCCACAACCCTCCATCCATGTTGTTGGCGATTGTAAGCATTCGGAGGGAGCGCATATGGGGCAGAGCACCCCTCAAAAGTGTCGCCGTTTCGCTTCGAATGTCGTCGGCGGTAGAATCGGTGAAGGAGGTGAAACCGGCAGCAGTAATCGTGAGTTGTCTGGTGATTTGTCATGAACGGCTCGAGTCGAGGCAATGGAGCACTCAACCGGATGTAAGGTAAGATACTCTCTGGAGCAAAGCGTCGTAAAGCTGGTCTCCAGATCACATTCGCAAAGAGCTGGGCTAGTAGAGCTTCGCGGTAAGTGCGACACACTCTCGAGGCTTGTTTCCGGTCCCGGCGCTCCATGAATCCGAATATGACGAGGAGAACATCGCGGTTCAGAACTCCGATGTTCGTGATAGCAGAATGGTGAGGTGAATTGAGAGTAGAGGGATTCGCAGTATCTTGGTGCATTCCGGGTAGCTTGAAAGGCACAATTGCAACTTGAACTTGGAAAGCGCAACACACTGGCGGTGGACAGATAGACGGTAGCGGTGGGGACTCGGGGAGGAGGTGATGGTTTAACCAGAGCAACAACCAGAAGGACAGGTCGTTCTTATTGCTGTTTGTTTGTTTGCCGTGTTACTGTGGGTGTGGTCAAAGTGACATCTCCGTCGTTCGTCTTCTGTCTGCCCTGAGCAATACCATACATTATTGAAGAATATACGCACCAATTACAGGCCAGATCCATTCCGTTCTTATTCAAATGCACCAAAATTCCCATCCGTTCACCAACTTTAGACTTCACAGTTGCAACTGGGTGAACTATTTTGAGATAAGAATTCCAGGAGAGAGCAGCCAATTGCCGTCATTCGAGCTGAGTGTTGTAAAATTGGGTTGTCTATGCGCGTGTGTTGTGAGTGTTTGTCTTCAGTCTGTCACGCTTGACTAATGGTTGCTTGAGGATATGTCGTGGTCAGGCTGGCCCATACCGACTTGATATATTTACACTATAACTCTACAACATCTACTTGCAATCAGGGAAGCCCAGCGAGCCATAGCCAGTCCAGTCAGGATGGCATGCACGGAAGTGGTGGGTCTTGTCAATCTCTTCAAGCTCATCGATCTCCTCCTTGGTCAAATCGACGACAACAGCGTTGGCTGGCGCCCGTAAGCTTTCAGCGGATAGGACATTTTACAGGACTTACAAAGAATGCGGGTGTTGGTGACTGACTTGGGGAGGACGGTGACATTCGACTTGTTGGCTTGGAGCGAGATGAGGATGTTGGCAGGCTCGACGCTGTGCTTGGCCGCGAGTTTCTTGACAACCTCGTTGGTAAGCAGGGGCGAGTTGTCGGAACCCAGTGGCGAGTAGGCGGTGATTACGATGCCCTGTTTCTCGCAATACTCAACAACGTCGTGCTGTGGGCAGGACCTGAGAGTTTGATAAACATGATGTTTATTGCTACAATATTTAACTCACGGATGGAGCTCGATCTGGTTGACGGCGGGGATAACAGTAGCCACAGCGAGCAGACGCTCCAGGAATTCAACGCTGAAGTTGGAGACACCAATGGCGCGGAGTTTCTCAGGGTGAGCCTTGTAAAGACGCTCCATCGACTTCCATGTATCGAGCCAATCAACGGAGTAGTCGGGGAGTGGCGGGTTGTCCTTGGTATGAGGAGCAGGCCAATGCATCAACCCTACGAACGATTAAATGAAGTTTGGCTCGAGAAAAGGCGACAAACAGAGATCAAGATAATCGGTCCCAAGCTTGCTGAGAGACGACTCGAGTGCACCATCGGGGTCCTTCTGGTCCGGGTTATCCAGCTTGGTGGTCAAGAAGAACGATTCGCGAGGGACACCAGATGCCTTGATGCCCTGGCCGACCTCTGCTTCATTCTGGTAAGCGGCAGCGGTGTCGATGCTGGTGTACCCATTCTTGAGGGCAAACTCCACAGCGTGCTCAACAGCGCCTGGCAAATCGATCAGTGAAATCGATGAAGGAGAAGGTCAATGGCTCACCAGGCTTGCTCTTCCACGTCCCCAGCCCAACAGTGGGCATCGACGCGCCAGTGTTCAACTTGACCGACTTCGAGGCAGGCATAGCGACTTGGCAGGGGGAGCAAACACTGTCCCTCGTTTTATAGCAGCGCCATCGATATCAGGTCATGTGGAGGGAAAATCCTCGGAGCGGTGTCGCGCACGGGCCGCAAAGCCCCCGCACTCTCAGCCCTTGGCGAATATCAAAGAAATTTGCCATGTAGCCATAGTTGGAGATGGAGGATACACTCAGACTGGGTGTCCACGAAAAAAGAAGCTACATACGTCACATCAAACGCGGTCACGGGTCCTCCCGTGAATCGTGGAGCTGACAGAATCAACTTCGATGACGAGTTTACTTAGTTTGGACAGTCGGTTTAGAACCAAATTGTGGCAGCTGGGACATTGATCAAGGACACTCTTGAAATACACTCAGGACATTAGGCTCGTATTGCCGCGAGTGGAGTCAGGGCGGCACGAAGCACGTCCATGGATCCACCATCCTCTGCCAAAACACCGATGTCCTTGTAGTCGTCGTGATTAAGTATATCATCTAGTAGTTCCCCTGCACCTGATAAGTAGGCGACATGGGCGCAGGCGCAATGCAGAATGAGGAGGCGAGCGTCCGGCAAAGGAAGATCTGTCCGCGCCTCAGCGATTCGGTGGATAGGAGCCCAGTTTCGGAAGATGATTTTCTCGTTTATCATCTCAGCAGTACGTTGACGTCCATCCCCCATGAACTTGACAAGATAGGTGTCCTAGTTATAGGTTAGATTTTGTTAGAATCAGAGTGATTGCAAGAGTACAAAAAATGTAAGCACCTCCTCGCCTTTGACTGGTTGAAAAGTCATTTGAAGTTCACCGAAGAGGTGGTGAACATTGGAAGTAAGCGAGATGATATTGCAAAGGTTTGAGGACCTTGTTTCGCTCGCTGCCTTATTGGCTGTACGGAGCAGACTATCCACGAGCGTCTCCATGCCGAAGTCACGAAGAATACGCAAGGCAGTCGCTTCGTTGTTTTCCTGACGGAGGAATTCATCAGAAGGTCGAAAAACACAAAAATCGCTAACTCTGATGCTGCTGGGTTCAACATTTTCGAAGAGTGAATTGTTCAGGATATGGCAAGTTTCCACCAGGTTCCGGTAGTAGTTCTCTTCGCTACTTTTCAGTTGCATACTGAGCTTCTCTCTGGTCTTGAGTGACTTGTTATCATAGATGCCCGTCACCGCGCATCTATAGTAGTCGCGTGCAAGCGCCTGAGTGAGGCATAAGCAGTCATTCAACGAGGGACAGTTTTATAGAAAAGCTTACTCGAGTTCTTGGAGATGAGCGAGCACCAGTTTGCAATTCGACATCGTGTGCATCGCCAGCGTGATCAGAGGAAGCGCGGGAGGAGTGGCTGGACGCGATTCCTTCTTTGCTCTTCGTGCGAACTACATATAGTCCAGTGAGCAGTGAAAGAGAGAGAGAAAAGCTACCACATACACGGGCATATTAGATGGTCAACATAGCGTTGGCCATGCGCATAAATTGCCGTCTCATCTGGGGAGGAGACGACTTCCTTGTGGACTTGGGTAAGAGGCTTGTTGCCAAGAGCAGTCTCACGCAGCTCGAAAAACTGTTGATAGAGAAAACCAACAACGCGGGCATTCACGATATTGGCTGCGTTGAGCTGTCGGCTGGCTTCGTTCTTGGACATATTGTACGAATTGACAGCGGAAGATTCTGCTTCAAGAACAGAAATATATGAGCTCTCTACCACAGCATTCTCGGGCCACTTGAAATTTGGGAGAACAGGCTTGGTGAGTGGCAGAGACATGTTCGTAGCGTGCAACAAAAAAAGTGACTGTCGTGACTGTCCAGATCCATCATAACGCGTGTTGCGTTGGTGCTCTGGGTTCGATATTGTCATTAGTCGAAGGCAACGAGGAGAAATATAGGAACTACACGATATTCAGACGGATCCGAGTCAGGGTAGGCATGAAAGCTTCAAGTTGAAGTTGCGAAGTTGTACAAGAACATGAGCTCAACCAGGCACTCTGGATCCTCGGTATCACCAGTAAGTACCACGAGTTCAACTTGTCGAGTTGAGGTTGTCGAAGCCTTGGCCGCATTTCATCGTTGCGTTCAAGTGACGTCTGCAAAGAAACATGATCAGTCAGCGATGAGTCATCACGGAGTCTGTCTGTTTTGAACTTCCAGGAAGCGACGCAACGTTATCCCATCTTCCTCAGCTTTGTCTTATCAAGCATCCGCTCAACTAATCCTCGCTCAATAACCACACGGGCTCAAGCTTCTACCGTGGCTAGTATAAGATGAAGACTTGCGCGTCCCTGAACTCACTCAACTCAACCTCTATCAGTAGCCTAAATCCTAATGGCTCCTTCATTTCCTCTTGCAGGGCTTGCTTCGGATGGTTGGTCGACCGATAAAGAGGCCACGGCGACCTGTTTCTGCGGAGCCGTTCAGCTGGCATTCGTGAGTTTGCAATTCTGGCGCTTCAAAGTTGACCTGAGCTCATCAACAGCCTATTGAAGGCCCTGGCCTTATCAACAGCTTTGTCTGTCACTGTTCCGACTGCAGAAAGATCACCGCCAGCATGTTTGCCTCTAACTTTACCATCGACGACCGCTACCTACGCCACGTGCGGGGGAAGGAAAACCTGAAGACCTTTGCGCAATCCAAGACTATTGGATCAGGCAAGCTCATGACCAACCATTTCTGCGCGACGTGTGGCAGTCTCATGTACCGGGTCGGCGAAGCCTTTCCTGGCCAGTCGATCCTTCGTCTCGGCACGGTTGATGATTTCCAATTGAGCGAAACGAAGCTCAAGCCTACGGTCGAGCAATTTACCAAGACCCGGGTTGCTTGGTGCAATCCTATAGAGGGAATGGGCCAATCTAATGGGATGTCGATGTAAATGTACTTTAATATGAACCTGGTCGGAACGGGGAGCACATCACCGGCGTATAAATGGTCCAGAATGGGATAAAAATCCAGGGAAAACCCTAGCGATCACCGTGATCGAGCATAAAACTTTGTCGCCGCTCCCGGCCTAGACTCTGGAAGACCGGAACGAACATGATATCGAGGGTCCTTCCGGGGCAAATTGAGTTGCCACGCGCAAGCCGGACAGGTGAGTTGGGAGTCAAGTAAAAAGGCGGTTGGCTGGTTGATCGAATAGTTGGCGCATATGTCATCCAGTGGAGTAGCTGGGACCCCTCCCTTACTTCATGGCAGAGACCACCACGACCGCCAGTTTGACGCCGACGGACTTTGACATCGAAAAGGTCATCCAACAAGCTACACAAGCTGCGCAGGCCGACGGAAGACCAATCCCACTCCGTGACACTCGAACTCAGCTTTTCGTCGCCAATCTACCGTATAGAGTGCGCTGGCAGGACCTTAAAGACTTGTTTCGAAGAGCAGGCACTGTTCTCAGAGCGGATGTCTCGCTGGGACCTGACAACCGCTCACGAGGCTATGGCACCGTTTTGCTAGCAACTGCAGAAGATGCTGGTAGGGCGGTCGATATGTTTAGCGGCTATTCCTGGCAAGGCCGCATTTTAGAGGTCAGAGCAGACCGGGTCCGCGACTTCGACCAGCCTTTCCCCGAAATCGAGGAGGAGTATGCGCCTATGGGTCGCAATTTGTTTGTGGGCAATGTGCGTCAATTGCTATCATTTCGGTGGCGCTAAATTTCTGCAGCTGCCTTTTCATGTCCAATGGCAAGACCTGAAAGATCTCTTTCGACAAGCAGGCACCATCGTCCGAGCTGATGTCGCATTAGGGCCAGAGGGTCGGTCAAGGGGCTTTGGGACCGTAGTTTTCGCTACGGAGAAAGATGCAAGAAGAGCGGTGACTATGTTCTCCGGGTATGTGTGCTCTGACTTTTCTCTCTGATTCGACTGACCTCGACTAGATATGAATTCAACGGACGAACACTCAAAGTACACTACGACAAGTTTTCGCCAAGTCCGCAGCCATTCGACATCGGTTTGCCGCCCTCGGCTGCGTTTGACCTCGGATTAGGCGCAGATTATACGGCTGAGATCTTTCCTACGCCGCACCCTTTCATCCAACCACGACCTTTCGAGCACTCCATTGCACAATTCCAATCATTACAACTCGACCCACAACTGTCAGAACCACCGGCCACTGTGTCTAGTAGGACGAGTCCGCCAAGTACATCATCAACCGCTCCAAGCACCCCCTCAACATCGGTAAAGCGCAGTCCAACATCCCCACATCCTCATCATCCAGGGCCAATCGCCCTGCCACCACCCCCTGCGATCCCTTCAGATCAAGCCGCTGGCCCAGCAGCATTCAATCCTCCGCCATATGGCCTAACTCCAGCCGGGCTGCCTCCAATAACACCCAGCATGCCGCCATTTTCTTTCCATCCAATGCCTATGCCATCTCCCGGAACCATTCCCCAGCCAGCCGCGGCATCTTACTTCGCAGTCGGTCCGACCACACCAACACATGGTGTCTACTCTGCTCCACACTTCCTGAATGTTACCCCATTGGCAACCCCAACTTCACCACACTTCCCAGCATATATCATGAACCCAGGAGTTCTGCCGAGTCCGGGACTGAATGGTATCGTCATGGGACCACCAAGCGTCGGTGTCTTGTCTCCGGGAGCTTTCTGGGGTCGCGCAGGCGAAAACGGTGGGGTTTTCGGTGCGCCAGGACCTGTTGGTCAGCCGGTGAATGGACAAGTGGGTTCAGTCCATCCTGCTTTTGCGCATCACTTCGGCGGAAGCCCCGGCGTGTTTGGTATGCACTCTATGGGCCCGCCAGAGGAACCCAAGGGGTATTTTGACCTCGCTCCAACGCCCGTGTCTTCGGCCATCAGTCGTGGAATCGAGAAGGAGATTCTCAAGACGCCTGACGGCAAGAAGGATTCGGACTCAGTCGTTGATGTGGTGGTTAAGGAAGAGCCGAGTCCAGATTCGAGTGCGTTGGGTGATGCAGAGACCCAATCGATGGCGGACGCGGAGGAAGAAGTCGAGTTGCTTACACCACCATCAGAGGGGTACAAGGGTCGACGATATTCTTCCTACGACCAACCTCCACCATCACCCATTCGTGAGGGCCGCCGCGCACCCCCTCCACCGATACAACTCCCGTCCAAGACGGGGTCTAGGTAAATCGACGAGGATCCCCTGCCGCTGGCTCGGTATGGGGCTCACAACCGGAACACACTAACTTTTGGAAATGTTATTAATATGTTATGGGCGGGGCACTAGTTCATATGGTCTTGGAGATAGTGTTTTTTTTTCTTCCTTTACTTATAATGTAGCACAATCCTTGCTTTCCTACCAAATGCATTGTTTCTACCGATTGAGGGTACCGTAAGCCTATTAGTATGCTAATTTTTTATACTTGATATCGGCAGGGTGGGTATAAAAATGACGATGCGCTTTTAGACGCGAATTTGTGTCGCTTAAATCTGTCTGTGGACCCACCATCCAACCTGGAGGTCCAAGTCAGACTCGGATGATATCGGGCCGAAGACCGATTGATCAGCAAACGATGGCAGTTAGCATCGTTTCTCTTTGCGTGTGCCATATTATGTGCCAACAGATATGCTTCGATATAAGTAGCTGAGCTCAGAGCAAGCAAGTAGCAAGTCTCCTCAGTTGTGCCGATCCAGCGTTAGATGGGATCATGATCAACAAAAACGCGTGGGGTCACGCTTCGTGACACGAACACGCATTGTTGAGGACCGCTGTCAGTGCTTGGTTTTGAGATCGCTTTGACTCGGTGAGTACTCATAACCTCTCATTGTTGCTCTTCTCTCTTCGCAACTATCCTCATGTCCGCTTCAGGTCGTCGTTCGCAGCCGTCGGAGCACCGGGAATGATGGAATCCAGTCCGAGTCCTCACGAGCTCGACATTATTCCACGGGAATCGACGACTGGCCGTCTAAACACTCCACCCCCAGCCACTGAGAGCGAAGATCGAATAACGTCTTTTACCAATACCCCTCGCTCCTTGAAACCTGTTCAGTACCATACTCAGCAACAAGCAAGACGCAAACAACATGGGTCTTTGGGACAGCATGACGAAGTCGAGACTGCAGAGAGTTGTATCCCCAGAAGTCTTCTTCCAGGACTATTTGCCGCCGACGCCCGCCGAAAACTTGAAGCCGAAAACTATCCAAAGTATAGTGAAGAAGGCAGCGCCAGCTCTTGCACAAGCCAACACAACCCTCGAACCATATATCCAGCATTATAAGAATAGAGAGGGTCGCGACGAGAACGTCATGTCCAAACCATTCATATGTGTCATCATGCTTATATTCAAGTGCTGCTAACGACGTTTCTTCAGATTACCTATGGAAATGTTGTTCTGGCTGCGAGTGGCGCAGGAGCCTATCTCAAAGACACGCATCGCGCCAAACTTCCCACACTCAAACCAGACCCTCCCAACCACACCAGTCCTGATTTTCTGAGCGGATTGATCGGCACGGAAAACGAAAAGCTGAGCTGTTATATCACTGATTTAACCATCATGACCGACGAGGGAGCACTGTTAACGAGCGAAGCAGCAAAGAACGCCCGTGCTCAGCTATGTAAGAGTGCGCGAAGCCTCCTTATGGCCTTAGGACGATGCCACGTCTACGTCCTCACCGTGTTTGCCATTGATCAAGCCCGTATCTTCCGTTTCGACCACTCTGGCTTCATAGCCACCACGAAATTCAATTGGCTCGAGCACGACAGCGACATCTTTCCTCGCTTCTTCTTCCGCGTCAACAATCCCTCTACCTCGTTGCGGATGGATGGCCTTGACGATACCATCACTTCCCCCGAGGACATGACGATTGCCAAACTGTGGAAGGTCCTTTCACGTCATCCCTACTACTCCAAGACGCTCGACAAAAAAACCGTGAAAACCAATTGTCTGCGCATTGTTGCCGCTCGACGGGTCAGCGGCCCACTGTCGTATGAGCAGGAACTCGTTCATTGTTTAACAGTGGGCGAGATTCTGTCCGTCTCCAACGGCTTATTTGGGCATGCTACATGAGTCTACCGCGTTGTGATTGAAGAAGACTTGGACAAGGACGGTCCTCCCGCGGTTTACGCGCTCAAAGACGTTTGGCGCCAAGCATGCCGGGCGCCCTGAGGCTGATTTCTACGACCTCATCAAGTACCACTGCGAGACCGCGCAGCCCAAAATTGACATGGATGCCATTGGGATGGCTCGCTGTCGTGGTAGCATCGATCTTTCTGACGCGACATCTCCGTTGTTTGACCAGACTTGGGACCCTAACCTACACAAAACCCGCTTCGCTTTCGACAACGCCAGACAGCGCCTTCATACTCGCACGCTCCTCACACCCGTTGGCTCGTCAATCGAAAACTTCCCGTCGACGAAACGGGTCGTGGAAGCGCTATTGAATGTTTCAATACGTTCGTCGTCCTTCTGCTGCTTGATTTCTTGCTAACCCGTTGGTAGACCTCAAAATTGCCTACGACGCGGGAATCATCCACCGGGACGTTAGCGTTGGCAACATTCTTTTCGTCGAAGACACGTCCACCGAATCATCCGTTGCCGGCTTTCTGGTGGACTGGGACTATGCAGAGCTGACACAAGACGGCGTCAAGCGATTTAACGAAGTGTTCGTTACGCCTGGCTCAAACCGCCTCAAGGCCAGTTGGGAGGAGATAAAAGAAACCCTGAAGGACATGACTGTAAATCCTTGTTTTATTTTCCTTGATCCAAGTTGCCGAATGAAGCGCAGGGAACGTTTGCATTCATGGCCATCGCGATCCTGGAGGAGCGCGGCAAACGACATGACACTGTTCATGATCTCGAATCCGTCTACTGGGTTTTGATTTGGCTCATCTTACGCCACACCAAACACAGTCATCCCCACGGAGCCAATGCTTGTCGTAACCTCTTTGACGCGCCAGAGGCAAGCGGCAAGTTGGCTTGGATCAGCGCCCGGCCCAGGAACGCACCCGTGGACAAGTCGTCTCCCCTGCATCAACTTCTTGTCAAGCTCGCCGACGATCACATTTCAGTGCAGAACAGTATCATCCCGAGATTCCGACAACCCCTCTCGCATGTCGCTTGGCACGAGTTGCTCCGGGAAAGCCATCGACGCGGATGGGTGGCCAGCGGCGGACGCTGCAATCCCCTACAAACTTGTTTCTGCCAACAAGCCTCATTTGAATGGCGAAGAGGCCCGGCAGTCCCAACAGCAACAACAACAACTTGACGCTCCTGCTGCCAGTCCCTCGAAGCGCACCCATAGGTGTAACATATTACAAAAAGTGTGCAATGTAGCCTGGGGCACGGTTCTAGAAATACCTAACTCCAGCCCATCCTGCGCTGATGTTAGGCATTTTACAAAAAGTGCCCACACCCTGCCAAGGACCAGCCGGTCCATCAGCTATCCGACCAGCCGCATCACTATCCGGATCAGTATATCTTCTTCTCGTATATTATAATCTGATGGCTTGATCGCCGCTCCCCCCAAGGCCCTGCCGACGCCACCTGCAGCCAGTTTACTGTACATAAAATGCCAATAATATATATATTCCCATATTTATATATTCCCATATTTATATATTCAAATATTCGTTCTCCCAAGCAACAATTCATACGTAGTGCTATCCTCTCTCATAACGCCCTTGACGGCCTGCGCCGGGGAAACATTCCACGTGGCAAAGAAATCCTCCGCAATGCGCTGGTAGACGGCAGCCTGTTTGAGGGCGTAGGCCCGCAGACCTGAGGCCAGCCCTGCTTCACCGACCGAGCGACGTTCCGCTCGCGCCCGCCATTCAGATTGCACGCTGTTTAAGCTGCGCAACACACGCTTCATCTCCTCCCGCAGAATTGCCACCTCCTCCGTCCACCTGTCTCGACGGGCCCGAGCCTTTGACCATTGGACGCGCACAGCTGTGGATAGTTGAGCCGCCCATGGACATGATTTGGTCTGAGCCTTACCGTCATGTATCTCGCCATTGTCGACACTGCCACCCACAAACCAAATCCAAGATACAGCCGTTGTTTTCCTTTTCAGTGACGGCTCAGTACGCACGCGCCGCACGGCCCCGACTCGTCCCAGACGTGCCCTCGCTTCCGCGTCGTCTTCCTCAACCGATGTTCTATCGCTTAAATCCTCGTCGCGGAGCTCCTTGAACTCTGGGGCATATTGGGCTCCCCCCAACGCTCTCATCGCACGATACGCCCTTCGATACTTCTCCGCGTCCTTCAGTTTCCGCTCGTTCATTCGCGCGATCGCAGTATTCGATCTTGTGCTCTTCTTCTGCCCCACCACCTGTGAGTTGCGAAACAGGATCAAATGCGTCATGGCATGGATCCGTGAGCGCAAACTCGCGATCGCGTCACCACATTGAGCGCGTCGAAGTTGGAGCTCGATTCTTTTGAGGCCCTGCAGAGGTCGCAGCTCCGCTTGTGATAGGTCTGACGGAAGGAACAACGGAACGTGTTCAGCCTTGACTGGAGGTAAGTCGGGGTCGCGCAACTCTTCCGCTGACTCTCGCAACGCTCTGACCCCTGGCATGAACACCTCCTCTAGCTTTTCGAGAACCCGCAGTTTTTTGAAGAAAGAAACACGAAGTTCATCGAGTTGACTCGCACGATCTGCTGTCAACCCTTTGCCCTTCGCTTCTGTTGCGATTCGAATTCTGGACAGCCATAAATCATCGCAGTCGTTGTGGCGGCCAACACTTACTGGAGATTCTCCAACTGCAATTTGGCCTTTATGAATCCGGCCGATGTCATATTTCCCTCAGCAATCCTGCCCCGTCCTTCGCGTATCTCTTCCAGCTCCTCTTTTCGGAGTTCAGCAAGGACTTGCGTTTCGGAAGGTCCCGCTGAAATCGAAATAAGTCGGTGGAAATGTGGTGGGGAAGATGCAGAAACTGACCCTTCTTCCCGCCTTCCGTCATGTACGGGTTGGGTTTTGTTCGGTCTCGCGACCACGCTTCCACAATCCCCATCCATCGCCCTCGACTTTTATCACTCAAACTCTCGTCCATCTCGTTAAACTGCTGGGTTTGCCTCTCGCACTCTGCAATCGCAACAATGAGTTTGCGACACAGTGATTCGCCTATTGTAACGTCAGCACCAGATAGCCACAAGCTGGTAAAAGCGCTGGCCTTGAAGGATGTTCTTCTCGAAATTGACGTGGTCAACCTTGTCGTCGATCGTGTCATGCCGGTTCCCTTCACCCATCTCTTTGGTAGCGAAAGACACTGGGTTTAAAACGGACCAGGTCCGCTCGATACCCTCCCCATCAGTTCTTCCCACTCCCTCCAGGTAACTGAGGCGAGTTTTCCGCTTGGCAAGAGGGCTCGTGGACGAGAGCATGCCATACAGGAAGTGCGAAGTCGATATCGAAGTTGCTGAGGTCCGCCGTAATGGAAGCATTTTCCGTTGCTATCGTCGAGGCTCGCGCAAGCAATTTTTGTTGCCACTGACAGACAATGTCATACGATAGGACCAGACGCCGAACGCTTGCGAAGCGCAATGCCGAAAGCAATATGTAATCCATATTTGAGTAGCTAGAATTGAAACTAAATTCAGCGTCGAAGAGGAAAAGGCAATTGCAAAACTAACCGCTCGCCCTTTTGTAAATCGCCCAAGCCTAAAGGTCGCACCACTCCGTGTCGGGCACAGACGCAGCCTCCCACACCAGACACTCGCAATCCCGTCGTTAACCGGGTATCCTTCTGCACCAAAGCCGCGAAAGCGATACAGGAGCTTACCTCAAGAAAGGATTAGCGCAATGCGAATCAGGTTTAGGACCAAACTCACATCTTCTTCCCCAACATAGTTTCGCAAGTGGTCTTTATACTCGTTCACGCCTACGAAATAACTCCACCCCGAGCCGAACGATGGATCTGCTCGCTCATTCGGTCGAATCCGGTTCTTCAATCGAAAGTTTGCATCTAATGCAAGCATAAGCGAGTCTTGGAATCTAGAAGCATAAGCCAAAGACTTCGGACTTGAAAACGACGCCTTGCTCACCTTTCAGCGACGGGCCGTGACTCCCATCCGTCCGGTAGGTTAAAACCTGGTGAAGGACATGCCCAGCAGGGAACGGCCAGCTCCCCTGGACCAGTTCCCGGGACTCCATCCGGCTCATGCCCACGACCCCCTCGCTTCAGGCGTTTGAGCATGTTGTACTGCCGCGCCATACGGCTGAATGCGCGGTAACGATCCTACAAGGTACAATGAGTAACAGTATCGTCGCCAGCAGCAATGCCACCTACCGGAGTAGCTCCCACTTTTGTAGGATTACTCAATCTTTCCAACGAGCCCACGAAGTCATGAGCATTCATATTGCCCACCACAGATAGTAAGCGAAACAGCTCGAGCGCTCTGAAAGTGGCGCATGTCGCTGGAGTGACTGTCGTTGCCGGGTACCAAGCGTTGTCCAATAGTTGCGCAACAAAGCGGAGTGGGTGTGGGCGAGATACTTGGTACAGCCACAGAATTGCACATTGAGGACGAAGACGCCACGGATGTCGAGAACAACCATACGTCCTAACGAGCGAGTCGGGGAGGGGGCAGGCATGACCATGATGCCCCAGCTGATACACCAGACCTAGCCCGTTGTCATAGCCCGTAGTCGTTCGGTGTAGCGACGCGTCTGCCCAAAATTGGCCATTCCATTTCTAAGAATACTTGAGAAAACGAAGGAGCCCGCGATAACTGGGGAACACACCTTCACAACATGGAGAGGTGCAAGTGCGTGTCGCTCTCGTACGCAACCTTCGCATTGCAGAAACTCCCCACAATCCTCGCAGCGAAACAATTGGTCGTTGATGTTGGCATCCTTGCAAAAGGCGCATTTGGTACATTGCGAATAATCGCCCAGGCCGTCGTGGCGTATCATTCCATCCAAGAATGTGGACATGAGAGGTCGCCATAACAGATTCGGGTTGTCCTGAAGAGAAAGCTCAGTGGCCAAGCAAACGATATCGTAGAGGAGTCTTACCGAGCTGTCATAGCGCCGCCGTTTCTTGGTGTCGGAGTCATCCACATCCCAGACCAGTGTCGAAACGCTGTCGGCGACCGCCACCATGGCTTCTAAATCCCCTCCCTCAAGACCCATCCAATCTGTGTAACTGTCGACGGCCACCGCAGGCCCGGTCTCTGTCGCGGGCACGGCCGAGCTGGCTTCGACGTTGAAAAGGCGTTTCCGAAGACGAACTCCATCGAGGCTGAGGTCATAGGCTTCGTCCGCCTCGAAGTCGCTATCTTCGTCTGCCCCCACATAGAATGCATCCTGTGGCATGTGCGATCAACAAAGAACTCGAAGAAAGGCGAAGACAGGATCACACACCAACACTCTGCCGTCCCCAATCGACGCTAGAAACTCTGCAAGTCCGTTCAGACCGTTCCTTGTACACGAAGTCGTGGAAAGTGCCAAGGTAGAATCGCGTGATCTTGATGACAGTCACACGCTGTCACTTGGCACTTGGTTACTGGTTACCCACATGCTTGCTCGAAGAGCAAGGACACCTCTCTGAGCTCACCTAGCACTTGGTATACCGACAGTTCAGAAAGCAACGAAGTCTTCACAACCATACTCACTCGCGCTTCACTCGAGCGGCCCAAGTTGCTTGTATAGTTGTCACTCCCGCCACCCAGTACTAGTGTGATTTCACTATATCACTTCACTGTTCCTGAAACCTTTCAGGCCTTTTTCCTAGCGCGCGCATGGGGGACTTCTCGGCCAACCTAGGCAATCGCAAAGAACCCAAAGTAATGGATCCTCCCACGAAACACGCAGTGTATCATCACAATCCTAGTGTTTCCACCTTGCTTTCCACGCGACCTTCTTTTTTCCCCGAGCCACACAGTCAGATTTCTCGGCAATCCGCCCTTGTCTTGCAATTGCAAACGAGAATGGCAGTGCCGCCCTTCTACTTGTCACTTTTTCCCCGAGCCACCTTCGCTTCTTGTTGTCAACGCGTCAACCCAACCTGTCGCAACAATTTTTCAAAAATTCCGCGAGCCAGCTGTCAGCGCAAGTCTGGTCTGGCCCATATGTCTGGCCCACTCCGATAGCAACCATCAACATGACTTCAGAACCAAGTGTATCATCAAGATCCTAGTGTTTATCGCAAGTTTATCGTCGACCGTCGACCGAATTAAACTAAAAACTCCACAAAATTGTCATATTCAAGCCAACAATCGTATACTAATGTTTATTCGCTGGCCCATGCCGTTTCCACGCTTTCGCCGTCGCACTCGTCAGCTTGAAGCAGATAAGCAAAGGTCTGGGACGAGAGATAAGACGGGCAACCAACCAATTGTGAGGCTAACGGATGCAAATTGTGGGCGTTCATGGAATTCATGGAACCTTGGCACGCGAACGAGCCATTGACACGCGATATCGTAGGAAGTTGGATGGGTGTTAAGGTAGGTGTTGAAGCGTTTCAAGAGGACAAAGTCGAAATTGTAGGTTACTTCCCCACGGGAGGGGGCATCGGGGCCAACACAGCTAAGAAACACATCCGTCAAGTAGCGTCCTCCGAACAAGTCGAGTACTCACGCGATTTGTAGAGAACAACACGTTGCTCTATGGCGGAGCCCTGAGGCGCTTGTTCAAGGTGAGTGGTCGACTGCATAACGGAGAATGAAAAAAGACAAGAGTCTAACTAGTCCAATTTAAGGGCGCGGCAGACTGTGCTAATTGATGGAGACCGGAACCAGCAATCGTTAGGCGAAGCCTCAAAGATACTAAAGTCGACCCAATGGAGACAGAATTGATTGAGCACAAGGGGGAAAAAATTTCTTCGAGTTGTCAGGGAATTCATATACTTATGCGGCACGACATTCTTCCGCTCGCTCGCACCCTCACAAGCATTGCGGCAGACGACTCTGAATTAGAAGACATGCCCGCAGACGTTTTCCAACTCAGCAGTGACGAGGAGTCGGGCCCCGATGGCGCCCCCAGAACGTCTGTCTTGATTGACCTCAGCCTGGACTCCGACGATCCCCAGCTTGAGCTTGTCGTCGCCGCGCCCGAAGAGACCGGCGCCGCGCCCGCGTGAGCTAATGCAGCTACTGCCCGCAATAGTTTTAACCATCTTACAGTCAAGCGTAAAGCCGACGAGAACGAAGACGCGGCCCCTCCGCGGGCACCTCAGCCTCAGCCAGCCGCCGACCCTGTCAACACTTTCGTGTCTCCATTGGACCCGCAAAACTTGGTACCTATAAGTCAGTTCAGTTTCGTTCTGTTGTGTTGTCCTCCCCTCATATTCACACATAGGCGAACGCATTCTGGCTCGTGTACTGGCAGGTACTAATTCTCGTGAAGTCTCTTCTAATTCTGCGCTGATCACTCGTTTCAGAACACGACATGGGTTTTTTTGACCGAGCGGCTTCGCCAGGCCTTGGACAGAAAGGCGCGCATGAATAAAAGGGACCAGTGGATCTCTGGTTATGCGCTGTATGCATTCGGCATTTCCGATAGTGGCCGCCAGAGAGCTTCGCAGTTGCCTCTCAAAAACCTGGCCGGTAAGAAGACTAGCTTATGACGTGTCGTGACTTATGTCATCGCCCAGAACGAATGCTTGAAAAGTACATTCGGTTTGAAGTTCCTCGAAGGGTGCGACGTCGGGTGGTAGAGGTCGCAGATCTCGTTGCCGCCTCTATTTGGGCTGAACTGCCCAATCGTCGTACCCTGCCGTTCCCCATGACAACTCCATTCGATAGCATTGCCGTCGCAGACTCCGCCGCGTTGAAGGCAATCGTCGCCGTCGCACTCGAGCAGTGGACGATTGTGGGGGCGCTCATACTCCATATGCCATTCAAGTCCCACGTTCCGCCCTCTACGAGTCGGACTCCAAGGATCCCATCGACTTGAAAGCCGAAGATCGCGACCTGCCTGACAAATGGGCCTGTGGTGTGTGTCACCATGTGAAATCCCACTCTGTCCAGTAAGCTCCTCGTCTCCCACTGCGAACCGCGCTCAACCTTAACAGACTATCATGCAAGGACTCCTTCTGCCACGTTTGCGCGCGTACGGCATTTGCTGGCCTCAATTTCGAGTGTCCAAAATGCCACGCCATTCAATATGGTCCTCCTGTGCCATTCTTCAGTGAGCGAGAGGAGATTGCGGAGTTTTTACTCCCTGACGTCGACGAGAGTCGTGTCAAAGCGGGTTGGGAAGGCTTGCGTTTCCCTGCTGCGAGGCACGCGGATATTGTCTGCTCTTGCGGGGCTGACATCATGTGCAAGTGCGAGGGCGATTCCGACGACGACTCGCCGCCATGCTCGTGTATCGCAGCCTCGGTTTGCCGCTGCCTGCTTCAAGTTTAGATAGTCGTAGTTGGTTCTTGTCTGCAAATTTTAGGAATATAATTGCTCTTTCTCCGCTCTTTCTTGTCCGAGCCCCAACTTTCCTAACTTTGTCTCATGGGCCATTTACTGGCCAGTACTTTGGCTAGTACTAGTAGCTTCAGCTTTTGGTGAGCAGCTCAGCCAAATGAGCCAGGCACTCGCCGGTCACGGTCTACAAGTTATTTGCCCAGGTGCTGAGGTGTTGTCGGCGAGGGCGAGCAGCCAAATAACCCGAGCATGACGAACACTAGGCGGTGCACGAACACTAGGCGGAATGTGACGAACACTAGGCGGCTATAAAATCAACTTGTTTTCCAAGTCCTGTATTGCCAAGTACCTAGACTCGCTCAAAATAGAGCGGAATATGGAGGTGACGACCCCTCTTAACTATCCCTCTCTTCAAAATCCAGCCGATCTCCCGAGCAAACAAAAATTCGGCGTGGCGAGTTAGGCTTGACGGGATGACAGAAACGCTCTAAATCTTGTTCTCGACTTCCATTGTTCCAACTAGCATCTTCCACAAACACCGCCAATCGCTCAAGGGAGACTTATTGCTTCATGTAGGGCATGTTTCCTAGCCATACAAGCATATTACACTACGGACATTAATGTATTTTCCGCCCCAGAAAATGCACAGAAAATTTGAAATTTTCTGAAGATTTTCTGAAGATTTTCCGAGAATTTTCTGTCACGGAAAATTTGGAATTTTCCATCAATCTTCTGAGAATCTTCTGGAAATTTTCCGGGTCAGAAGATTTCCAATTTTCTGTCACAGAAAATTTTCAGAACATGCAGCACTCGGATCTGTGATCCGGCCAATGTCATTTTTTCCCGGCATACACATTGGTTATCAAGGCAATCAGTCGGACCACAATATTCACTCTGATTTGTTGTAATTGCATGTAAGTACGCATGTAAGTACACAAGGGTATAATATTCATACTGATCGTGCCGCGTACACAGCCTTTGGCGGTGGAAGCAAAGCAACATGCAACACGACATGCGCGCCCTGATGCCTGACGTGGCTACAAATCCCAGTTAGACATAAGGGCAGTCTCAGCCTAGCGCCGGCACATAAGCACTAGGACATCTTGCGAGGCCCTAACCCGTGATCCCGCCACAGCCCGTATGAATGCAGGTGTGTTAATTCATTGGACATGCTGGGCGACAGGCTCGGGAGGTCTGTGATATTGTCATGAGACGAGCAATGAAGACAAAAGCAACAGAGAACACACCATCTTCTTCATCCGGAGAAGCCCTCTGCGTGTGCATGCGCTGGTCGTGGATATCTGTCAGCATTCTCGCCGCTAGCAAGCGACTGGGTAGGTAAGGGTGGGGGGGCGGTCGTGGTCGGAGTCCTCTGTCAAGCTTGACAGATGATCGTCGTTAGTCGCGGAACGGACAGCCTCATGAGTGCTGTGAATGCCTAAGCTGGAGTGTCCCAAGAGTGGGCGTAGGGCAGAGGACGAGGGCAGCTGGTTGCAGCTATCTTGATAAAGGGTCAGCATTCTCGGTGCCGACACAACTTGACAAGGCCAGAATGAACCCAGCCGACTTGTGGACTGCGGAGCTCAGCGAGAAGCCAAGCCCGAAGCGGCAAAGCAACGGTTTGCGTTGGCAGCAATGGCTCGTGGCCTTAGCGCGACTCACTCGCAGTTGTTGAGGACATGCGGCGGGTGATGGTGAGCTACAGAAGGAGATCAGGTAAGTGTTGTACTTCAGAGGGCAGCAGAAGGCGGTAGCTTGCCAGTGCACCCGTCGTTCCCTCCGCCACTCTGGAACAACTGGAGCTCGTGGCTTTGCATCAGCGAGCGAACTGGGCTGGCCTAGTTCAATGTTCTCACGGCTGACCTTCATCGACAGGCTTCGCTCAGTCAGCAAGGCTTCGCAACAGCATCAGAATCACGCCCTGAAGGTCGTTCACATTTGGCGTTAGAACTTGGC